CTCTTTCATCTCTTTCCCCTCCCAGCCATGGCAGCCCCCGCCCCAGCCACCGCCACCCACCAGCAACACCCCCCTCAGCCAGCAGCAGACGCCGACCTCCACGCCCTCTCACGTCTCTCCTCCTCCGCCCCCAATGCTGCCACATCCCAGCCACCCTCAGCCTCCCGCACCCCCCCAGTCTCTGCCACTGCACCGGCAGACACCCCTCGAACATCTACTCAGCCGACGCCCCAAGCACCCATCCCTCCCCTGCCTACAGATCTCTCTCACTCGCATTCTCACACCCCACAGCCTCCGCGCCATTATCCATCTTACCACGAGCCCCACACTCTCGGCATCCACGATTCAATCGCTCAAGCTCCCGATCCCAAACCGGGAGACTTTATGCCCCCCAGGCTGGGGGAGGACGACGCCGACGAGGTGTTTGATCTGGACGCGCTGAAGGGTCAGGTGGATGATGATATACCAGGGAGCCCGACTGCCAAGTTGATGAGGGTGATTGCGCCACAACAGGCTGTGCAGCAGGTGCCGGTATGGCCCCAGGTGAGTGTCCTTGTCTGAGCTCTTGGGAACCACGGATGGGCGCGGTATCGTAATCTCACTGTTGAGATCGCGCCGCCACATTCAAGTGCCACACTGCCACACTGCCACATTGAGATAGAGTCAGTTGGCTGACGTCCTTTTGCTTTTTCTTCTAGCCGCCTCCCAACGCGAGTGTCAACCTCTTTATTGGTGAGTCCATTGACCCCCGTAACTTGTGGATGCATGCTGACAGTGATTCAGGACGTGCATTGTTATCGCATGGCAATGACAACTGGCCACTGGTATGGAAAAGTCCCATCCACCACTTTTATCCACTGACACGTCTCCACAGAAACCCAATGACATTGTCAATTGGATAAGAAAACACTATCCTTCCGAATGGGACGGTGATGAAGGTCGCTGTTCTGCCCACCGCGTCCGCACCTATCTCGCCCGTAAAGGCGCCGACATGTACTACGAAAAGCTCACCCAGGGCTCCATTGCCGGCTGGCGTATCCGCCAGAACCATCTCTGGCGGTTTGAAAATGGCGGTTTCCAAGGGCGAGGGATGAAGCAAGAGGAAGCAATCGCCAATGCGCAAAAGGAGAGCGAGATGGTCGCGGCAGCCGGCAGGAAGGCGGCCGCAGCTGAAGCTTTGGCGGCGGGACATCCTGGAGTCAAGGTGTCGATGGGGTCACCAGGGATGGTAGCCGACAGTAGTAGCAACGGAGCGGGAGTGCCGCAGCCAAAGAGGCCGAGGCTAAAGGCTCCGGTGATCAAGAAGCGCCAATTTGGCAAGCGAGACGAGATCCCGGGCTTTGCGCATCTGGGTATGGAGGCGCTGCAAGGAGACTTTTCTTTCCAGCCTGCCCCTGCTTCTCAACAGTCTCAACATCAACAACAGCCTCAGGAGGAAGAGCTTGATCAGCAATCGCTGTACTCTACCCTCGAACAAGCTGCGGGCCCCTCGAGCCAAGTCCATCATGCCGATGGCAATGGCCAGTACAATCCCCTACACGAAGAACACAACACACTGAACTTTGACGAGTCGGGTATTCCTTCATCTTCCCACCACAATATACCTTCAGCTGGTGGGGATGAAGATCCAAACTCGGTCGATATCAACATGGTACAACAAGCCATGCAGGCGGCGGCGGGGCAGATGGATGATTTGGAGATGGGGATGCAGCTGCCGATTGAGATGCAGATGCATTCGGCTGAGCACGATGATGAACAAAGGGATTACGAGTATAGTGCGAATGGGTATGGGTATAATGGATAGTCGTTTGAGATAGTTCATGTATTGTGCCAGGCCTTGCGTGTTTGGTTAGCCCAGAATGCTGAAGTCCGATGTTTCATTATCATATCGGCATACCAGATGCCCACTCTACAACATATTTATGCCCAACAGCGGATCGACGCCTCCAGAATTCCTCCCTTTTGCCTTCACGGTCGACGCGGACAATCGTTTATCTTCCCGGCTTGTCACTCCCAGACCAGCAAGCGGATCTGAACTAGCTGCAACGCTCGAATCAGCGAGAGGGTCACGGGTCGATTTGACGCCACTGCTAGATGAGGAGATGCCCAATCCAGCTGTCGAGGGTCGCCTTTCCTCTACTTGCTGATGCCGTGCGAAAGCCCCATTCGAGCTCAAAGGTGCACTTTGGGGAACTCTTGGTAGGCCCGAGATGACACTCAACCGACTCTGGCCATTCGCCCGCTCTGAAGGAGATTGTCTCGCTGTGTTTGATGCTCCGGCAGTACAAGAAGACCCCGTCCGGGATGGGGGTGTCAGACTGGCTCTCGCCCCACTTGGCCGCCCAGGAAACATTGGTGTCGTCGGCATGACAGACACACTAGCTGGGGTCGGAGTAGCATCCCCGAACTCCATATGACCTGGTCCGGATTTGACCGTCAGAGGGTCACGGTCTGGTTCTGGGACTTGGCTTGCCGTAGCAACAGCAGGAGCAATCGCAGGAGCTTGCGGCTCGTTATCGGGGGCAGGGGTTGTCGAGCGACTGCTAGGCGCTTCGAGCCCTTCGTGCCAGCCCCATTCTTTCACGATATCATCCACGTCTTTGCCCGCAGCGTCTATCAGTGTGTCCCGGACACGCTCCAGGCCTGACCAGGCGGCCTCTCGCTCGCCATCTGAACCTTCAGCGGAAGACTGGTCCTTGTTCTTTACTACGTCAAGCCATTCCAGCATGGCTTTGCCCATGCCTAACATAGCGAGCCTCAATTCTGCCATCTCACGCTCGGCATCCTTGACGGTCTTCACTGACACCTCAGATGTTTGACTGTCCATTGAAGGACGAGAGCGAAGTGGCGGGCGAGGCGGAGTGTTGGTGTGGGACTGGGATGGAGAGTGGAAGAATGAACGGGCTGGGCGAGAGGAAGAGGGTATGGATGAGAATGCGTTGGAAGGGCTTTGCGGGCCGGGGGATTGGGCGGGGGAGAAGGGGAGATTGGGGAGATAAGAGTAGGCCGAATCTGGGATATTTTTCTGGTCACTCGTCAGTAACAATTCACTTCACAGAGAAGACTGCTTACCCGGATATCACTGACAGTAGACAAGAAGGCCTTGTCCAATCCCGCAGCTTGCGCTCTTTCAAACAGCCCTTGGGCTATACCGCCCATCCCACCGCTCTTCTGCATACTTGAGCGTCCAGCATTGAAGCTTCCACCCCTCGCATTGGAACGGAATTCTGCTTGTGAAGTCGCGGGTCCGTCGATGTCACCCCTGAAAGGTGCTGCCTTGATGTTGAGAAGGTCTTTATTTTGAAGAACGATCTCAACCCCGGCTGCTGGAGACAGCTCATCGCGTAGATACAAAGCTTGGGCAAGGATCATGAATGGTTCAAAGGGGTAGGTCGGCGAGGGAGCTGGGTAGTGTAGAAGGTTGGTAAGAATGGCTGGATAATCGCCTTCTATCACTGTACATAGGTCAGCTCATGTACATCATGAGGATGTGATCACTGACACTCGTTTCGTATCAGTAAAAGCATAGCAACACAGACAAAGTCGAGCAACTGGAGTCCCGGGTCTTCGGCGAAGATTCCATCCCATAGACGCATTGCTATATTGAAAGGCAATTCTCGGGTGAAAATCAACCTCAGCCATCGACTGTAAAGAGTCAACACCTTATGTTAGGATAGACAAATACACGACTTACATGGCCCAAATCTGAGCTTCCACGCCCTCTGACTCCAATTTCTCCCATAGTTGCGGGTCAATCTTCCGCAAAATCGAAGAGTGTAGATTGCTACATCGTATGATGATAGGTGCTTGGGGTGCAGTTGGTGATTTCGACCGCTGAGACATGTCAGCGGATATACATGACCGTCTTGAAGTGACTCACTATGGGAGGGCCCTCCTCTGCTCGCCATTCATAGAACGCCTTCCCGTTCTTCATGACAGCCGCGAACAGCTCAAAAGCATCATGCTCTATATATCGCCTATCAAGCGTCCTCAACATTGCCTCCTCCTTCACGGTCGAGCCCTGGCCAACCGTCAAGGAGTCTCGGTCCACCGCCAGCAGGCAACAGGCAAATAGCTCGTGCATCCCCTGCCTATACCCCACATCCGGATTGAGCACCGAAAATATAAATAACGCAGTCGTCATACACCGTTGGACTCTCTCCAACTGAAAGTAAGGCATGTCTGGGAATGTTCGGTCGACATCTTGCCGGATTGTTGCCCGAAGCTCGGTGTGGGCAAACCAGGTCTTCCAGGGCGATGAAGTTGATAGTGACAGTGGGTCCCAGCCTTCATTGCCTTGCAAGGGTGAAGTAGGATTGGGAGAACTCGGATTGGGGGAGAGGGGTTGATTTGGAGAGTCGAGGGACTCCTGGAAACCCGAGCAGTCGGAAGCCCAGCGGCCGTCGGGGGCAATGAGATATCGCCGCCTGTGGATGTTGTAGGTCTCTCTCGTTGTCTCCACCACAGGAGGGAACAGATCAAGGGATGTTGGGGGTGGTAGTAGATTGTGATAGAATCTCCAGTACAGCGATCGCAGAGTGACACCCCCGTTCGCTCCTTCGGGACCCAATCCAGCTTTGTCTAGTGACCGGGAGCGCAGCTTGCCCAGATTCATGAGGGGATCGGAGAAGATCTTGTTCCATTGGGATCTATAATACGCATATCAGCAGTCAATCGGGCACCATTGCCTGCTCCATCATGGCCCACCTGATTTCTGTCGATGAAGGACGGATGAAGACATCTTCCTCACGGGGGCCGCTCATGTTCCAGGAGATACTGTGAGCAAGCTGCGGTGTCCCTTCTAGAATTTCAGTCAAATTGAGATACTATAGATGAGATATGATGAAGATATGTTGGAAACGCCCGAGAACAACAATCTGAGAGGATTCACGCGACACGGGTATCGGACGCGACTGCTCTTACAAGTTACATCATCACTTTGGCGCGGTCTGCAACTCTCGACGAAATATCATTGTATCCGAAGCCATGCATAGATATGTCTAGAAGAAGCTGTCCATATCGAACTCCATAGCGCCTTGCTGTACATCCTGCTTCAGCTCCTTCATCAGGTTGCCAACCTTCTTTGGAGGCGGTTCTTCCGCCTTTGGCTCCTCTTTAACGACTGAAGCAGGTTCTTCAGCCTTGGGTTGTCCATTCAAGATTTGAGGCTTTGGCTGTTCATCCTCGACATTGGCCGGGCTAGTATCCCTCGTACTGCCTCCACTCTCAGCGAGGACATCCAAGTCCATGAACAATGACTCTCGTGGCCTGCCATTTGTGCCTGAGAGTAAAAATGACGGTCGGCGACGCCTGGACGGGCTGACCAAAGTGTCCGAAGGAGAGTTGGTTGATGTGAATGTGGATGACTGGGGAGTCGATGCCCTCTGGGATATGCTTGACATGCGGCGCCGCCTGTTGACGGGGAAAAAGGGTCGTTCAAACGACCAGGATCGAAGCAAGTCGAGTGCGAGGTTGTGGCATCCTGTAAGAGTCAGACGTTGGCAACCGGAAGATACCGAGGCACTTACCCATGCGGAAGAATACTCTAGCATTGTGCAAGACAAAGTCAAACTCCATCTTCGCAGACACCTCGCTTGTGCCCTTGGCAGTCTGTAAAGACTTGGCTTCGAGGTATTGGAACATGAGTAGCAGGGCTGGGTCGTCATTGTCTGGATTGCCGACCTTCAGCGCCTTTTCTGGCTCATAGCTGCTAGCCACATCGCCCATTGGAGACTATAGCATATAAGTTTGCGTTCGGTAATTCAATAAAGAGACTTACGATGAGCACTCTCACGGAGAGATCCCTTCGGCCCAACACCCAAAAGGCCCATGTCGCCAGCCACCTATGGCCACCCTCAAACGCCATAGGCAGCACCGTCTCACTAACAATGTTACGGTAGATCAGTCCTTCCGTCCCGCCTTCTACTACTCTGGCCAAAGCCAAGCCCAGCTGCCAATCACCTAGTTGCCTCAAGCAAACGTTGATAGCATCTTTGGCTTGGCCTGCGAGCATGAAGAATGCAGCTGCATACTCGTAGCGCTGTTTGCTCAAGAGAGCATACGCATTTTTGGCGGCGGCAGTCTTCCAGCGGTCGAGGGTAAAGTCGTTGGCTAAAAATTTCAGCATGAGCTGCTGTTCTTTGTGATCAGGGGCTTGGCGCCAGAGACCGTGGACTACCTTCTTCTTGCCGAGGGCGAAGAAGAGCAGCGAGCAGGATGTAGGATCACGATCCTCGTCGGCCATAAACCTGTTCCGGGCGATGACTTCCAGCTGGGACTTCTATGTCAAGAATGAGCATCGACGCTGGAACGTGGCTGCGAACCTACCGCAGTCTCAGCCGACTTGAGCCACAAAAACACTCCAAACTTCTTTGCATCCTTCCACACCATCTTGCCGTTAGAGCAACATTGGGTGGCAGCCTCCATCAGGATATCCTGGCTTTCGCTATGCATCGCCCAGACAATGTTTCTGAACGACAAGTGGCTAGCTCCTTTGCCGCTCGCGCCGAGATTCTGCCCAAGACCTGTCCCGGATGGGGGCGTGACATTGCCTGATGTCTTGTGGATACGATCCCAGTTGACGGACATGCGTATGGACGTGAGATAGCGCATCCCGCAGATATCGAGGGATCGGCGTTGTCGCTCTGCCTATGAGGTCACGAACATGAGCGTGGTATTCGAACAGACCTTGTGGCACTTACTTCCAGAGTGACTTGCGCCACAGTTGCCAGAAACGACTTGGTGGCATCGTCTAATGGTATATCGACAGGACCATGTAGCCTGTCGACCAGGTCTGACACGGTCTTGGGACTGAAGTCATCCTCCTCCTCGCTGTTGTACGGGTCAGTCACTATACTTTGGTCAGAGTTTCCACACTCACTCATCAATTAATGGCGCCGAATCAAAGAGACTGTCATATCTCCTAGCATGCTAGAGGCCATAATCAGCAATGTTCTGGAGGCCAAGAGCGCTCACGTACAGCCTTGACAGGTTTCGAGGCCACCTTTGAGGAGTAAAACTCGATCGGATCCAGCCTCTCAAATCTCAAACGCGTCTTTCCCTCTTCCTGACACTCTTTCAAGGCTTTCACCAGTCGCTCCAAGATACTCTTGACGAGTGTAGATTTATCTGATAGCAGGGTCAGCTTGTGCATGCCACGGTCAAACCAATACGTACCCCAAAGCAGACACTGCGCAAGCATGACTGGATGATAGTCCACCAAGGGACCATTCTGATGAGCAATGAGCTGAAAGATATCCTCCTCTTCATCCACTGCTTCCTCCTTCTTCTCGCCAGTCTTCTTTTCCAAGAATCTGCTAAACATGTACACCTGATTGCCCGCTCCCACAGCCAAGCTGCCTCCTGCGAGCCATATTGAGTCATTGATAGGCACTCCCGTATATGCCGACATGTCGATGGACAGGAAAGGAGCCCACCCGGGGGTCGTCTCGGCGTAGGACATGCGTTGTTCGCAGATGAGGTCAATTCGATGGCGGAAGCCGACGGCTAGGACGGATTGGAGGTCGGAGGTAGTCGTCCAATCGAGGTCTTGGATTTTGTCGCTTGCTCTAAAAAATGCATCAGTCGTGTCGACGGTCCGTAAATACAGAAAACTCACTCGTAAATGCGGGTCAACTCCCAACCGGTCGAAAACTCGCTGACTTTCGAGTCCCATATCGTCATCTCTTGCCTTCCGTCTTCCAGCTCGCACACTGACAACCCTTGTTAGCTCTTCTCAAAGCGCCTCCTGTCATATACTCACCCAGAACAGTCTTCTTTCTCGAGCTACATCTCGCCATCTTGACATTCTTCCTCCCCGTCTTTACTACTCCTGTTCTCACCCACGGCTCATCCTCCCCTCTCCCCTCACCCTTGCTATGACTGTGTCCTCCATTTACTTCACAAGCCCTATCCGGATGTGTCATTCCACCCTGTTCCTCTTCATTAGCTTTTTCTCCGACCAAATGTTGCCCCAGCTTGGGCGTCCAGAACTCCAAATCACCATCCGCAGATATGGACAGAATCATATCCTGCAGAGGTGTATTAGTCGCCCAGTCAATCACATTCTGATGCCACCCCATCGGGTCTACTGGCAAGACCATGTTCTGCCCATGGGCGCGGTCGAGCGGTAGGCGATAGTGCGAGAGGAGAGAGACTGTGGGCTGTTCGCCGTGGGGTGCGTCTCCATTGGGATTCAGCCGAGAAGATGCTCGCCAAACCCAAGCTTCGCCGGAATGCGTCGCAGCGGTGATGATAGCCCGGTTGGTCCGTCGACCGGGCCTATCAAACCCATCATCGATATCCGAGACTGCCAATAGCATGCCTATCTCATCGTCGTCTGAAGGATTGAAATGGGGTAGCACGAGGGGGTCTAAGGGGGTGGCGCTTCCGGGATTGAGGTGCTGCAGGGTGACAGTAGCAGGTCCATCCGCAGGCTTTGTATAGAATACAATAGCCCGGCCTTTGGAAAACATTGCACCCTGCCTCGGTGCATGTTCGACCTTCCACTGACCCTTGCCCACTAGTGGCTTCTGTGTAGAATCCCACGAGCTAGGAGCGAAACCAAGCTGCTGCTTGTACCACGTACTGACCCCGCCTTGCTCCGAGAGGGCCAGCAGACCTCGCCCGTTGGGCGTACGGATGAGCGAGGTGATACTGTGGTCGAGCTGGACGGGAGTGGATCCTTCGGGAGATGAAGAGCTAGTGGGGTAGATGCTGTCGGGTATGGAGGAGAGAAGGCTGAGTAGGGGGATTCGGAACGAGGATGTGTGAGGGCAAGAGGAGGACGGAGCTAGCACGGCTGTGAGGTTGGAAGAACCCGGGATATGTAGCAGAAGGGTCTGTGGGGACCACTGCGAGGCAGGTGCAAGAGACGGGAGGCTAGCCCACGCTAGGGGTAGAGACTTGAGTAATGTTGGGGGTTTTCTGTCCATATTCTATACTGAATCAGCCTTGGTGCAGAAATCTGAGACAGCACTCACGATGATGGAACGTAGAGAGATACCTCCATCAAGTCCAGCCCACGCTACAACGTCACTCTCTTCCGTCTCCATAGACTCCAGGATCTTCATCCCTGCCTCCACTCCCTTCGGCTTATCCACCTTGGCCTGCTCCAGCTGAGCGCGGATAGCGGACTTGACCACCTCTGCGTCCCAGACCCACATTGCCTCGAATCCATTCCCTTCTGGCATCTTGCCCTTTGCGGTTGATGCCGGGGTGGAAAGCCGACTGAACGCTCGGTGGTCCAGAGTATGGAGGAGCTGAAACCATACAGGGTCGTCCAACACTGGCGAGTAGATCCGGAAGACCGAGTTGGTCGTGATAGTGTATAGGTAGGGGTCACCGGTGGGACCAGATTTTCGCCACCCTATCCACGCTATCTCTCTCGGATGCCGTACCTCTTGTGGTACTCCTGCCGGTTTGCCTGTCCTGTCTATGGTCATGATGTATGCACACTTTTGGTCCTGCATTGAAGGTTAGTTTTTGCACTGCAAGAGCCGGCAAACGGACCTTTTTGAACCAGCAGATATGGTTAGAGCAAGGAGATATCTTGATGGACGTAGGTTCGGGGACATGGCGCTCCCAGAGACGATCCCAGACTACCACATCAGAGCCAGCGTTGATGCGCCAATATTCAATCCCAGCATGGGTCCCCAGTGTCAAAGAACCTGCATAATCATGAGTATCTGGTGACATTCATATTGGATAGACACACCAGAGTGAAAGTCGAGACATGATATAGGACTTGAAGCTACGATGGTCGAGTGGATAGACCACTTGCTTCTGCCAAGACTCCGAGGCTGGTGTTTCCAGACGACCACGTTACTGTCGCTCCATGCAATGATCTGTTGTATCTGTCAGTCGTCCTCAATGTAAGCTAGAGGTCACACTCACATATCCGTCATGAGATACACACACTACGCCATCGACCTGACCTTTCTTGGACGAGCTTGCTCTATGAGGCAATGCCAACCAGAATTCAAGAGTTTCTGCCAGGTTGGACTCTGGCGTCAAGAGTACGACATTAGATGAAGAGGCATATGCCTATTGAGAGATATCAGCATTAGGCCTCTCCATGCGAATATAGACTTGCAATGTATCCTGAAGATCCGACAGTGATGGCACCTGTGCTCTGCGGGCAACAAACGTTGGGACGCCCCGGGACCGCCTGGCGGAGGCGGAGAGGCATACCAGAGTCTGTAAAGTCTACTTGAGTACTGGAGGATGTAGTGCGCTCCTCGTATGGAATCGACCCGTGATTTTGTATAGCTGGCACCAAGCTGGCAACACAAGAACCGGCGCGATGATGCACGGCTCGGGACACCGTCCCTGCGGTCATGACCGCGCGGGCTGTGGCCGTCCGGAAAGATATCTGGAATTCCTTCAGCTGGGCAGTGACCACATTTCAATTTTGTCGAGGCCAAACGAAGGTCGTGGTGCTGCTGACTGGCTGCTGACCATGCATGTTATGCATTCAGGGACACCCACATGCCATGCAGATCCAAGGTATTGCAAGCCGAGGCCGCTGCGTGGCGTTGTGCCGGAATGGTAGCTACTGCCCGATCGATCTCCATCGATGCAGATATATATAAAGAACGCCTTTTACTTCTCGCCATCTCTTCATCCTGATCACTTTCTCTTCCATCATCAAACTACAGTAACGCAACCATGTCCACCATGTCCCTCCCCGCTACCTTCCCCATCGTCGGCCTCCCCCTTTTTGCGACTTTCGCCCTCAACGCAAGTCCTTCTTATCGCCACGCCGTAATGGCATTCAGCTGACCTTATCTGCAGGCCTACCAGTCCATGTCCGTCATGAGCGCTCGTACAGCCGCCGGCGTCAAGTACCCCACTTTGTACGCTTCCGAGGCAGATGCTGCTGCCGATGCCAAGAAGATGGTTCGTACCACTGCCCATCTTCATGTAGGTTCTGAGCTTATAGTCAATTGTAGAAATTCAACTGTGCCCAGAGGGCTCACGCCAACACCCTTGAGTCTGCCCCCTACGTCCTTGCTCTTTTCGGTTTCCTCAGTGAGTTTGAGCGCTGCTTTTGCTTGATGTCTTGGGCTGCGCTGATAGCTCTACGAAGGTATCTTCCACCCCAAGATCGCCTCTATCGCTCAATTGCTTTGGGTCGTTGGCCGAGTTGGTTACACTGTAAGCTGTATCTACATGTAGAGCTCTTAACAAAGCTGATCAACGTGTCTTTTCTCAGCGTGGCTACGCCACCGGTGAACCCGCCAAGCGTGTACGACACTTCCCTCTACTTTCCTTTCAAGACAATTGGCTGACACTCCTGTATAGATCAACGGTCTTACTAAGATCTCTTACCTCGGCATGGCCAGTAAGTCAACTCGACAATCACCGTCATCTTTGCTGATGACCCGTACCCAGTCCTCCTCTTCGGTACTCTCGGTGTCTCTGCCCAGAAGACCTACGCTCTCTTCTTCTAAGCGCTCTTATCATTGCATCATGCACCATGACATCCTATAGACTTCAACTCCAGACAAATATCCCGGCTACCGGCAGAGCTTGTCAAGCAAGGGACAGGCACAACATGCTACTATCCAGCAGGAGAGGGACCGGGACCGAGACGGAACCCCGCCATGCTGATGCCGGCCTGCCGAAGTCGGCCACCAGTGCTGTGATGATGGTACAGTATGAAGGCGAGTGCTATATCAGCCTTCTCTCACCATCTGTAGCTTCAAACTCTATCTAACAACGGAACATGTCGTCCATCACTCTCCCTCTTACGTTCCCCATCGTCGGCCTTCCCCTCGCCGCCACCTTTGCTCTCAACGCACGTCTTCTTGCCCAGTTTTTGCCCCGTCTCCAGCACCTTGCTAACCCTTCTCGACAATGCAGATGTATCAGATCCTCTCTGCTTCCGGCTTGCGCAAAGTCGCAGGCGTCAAGTACCCTGCCGTATACGCGCCGGACGCGGAAGCCGCTGTCGACCCCAAGAAGATGGTGCGTACCATGTCCAAGTAATAGATTCACTCACATGAATGTGATGGTGTAGAAATTCAACTGCGCCCAAAGAGCTCATGCCAACACTCTTGAATTCACCCCCTTCGTCCTCGCTCTCTTTGGTTACCTAAGTGAGGCATTCGGTGGTGCTGAAAGGTATGCGATACTGATGATGACAAGGTGTCTTTCATCCCATTGTCGCATCTGTTGGACAGACGCTGTGGGTGGTCGGTCGTATTGGATACACTGTACGTTTGTAGCTTGTGTCTGCTAAACAGGAAGAGATCGAGGCTGATCAGTCTCACTCTTTCACAGCGCGGCTACCATACTGGAACCCCAGGCAATCGCGTACGCTCTCTCGAATGCTTCGGATATTCTTGACTCATTCTGACTCTTGACAGATCAATCTCGTCAATAGACTCTCTTGGACAGGGATAGCTGGTGGGCCACAGCGCTTCCTCCCCCCAATACGCACAAAGGGTTGACTGATGCCGTTTACAGTCTTGTTCTTCGGGACACTTGCTGTTTCTATCCAGCAGACCTACTATCTATTGTTTTAGATTGCACTGACTTTACTTAGAGCATTGAATCATGCACCCAACTCATCATCCCATGCCGAATTCCCAAGCTGATCACCCCTCTTTCAAGACACAACTCCCGAGTCGACAAAACATACATGACACCTACAACAATGCAACAATACCACATCAGCTTCTTTCTCTACCCTTCTAAGCTGCTTCCCCCCCTGCGCCATTTTGCTCCTTCTTCTTTCCCCACGGCGCCAGAAACAAGAATGCTACCATACTCGGCACGATCGAGCAAAGTACGATCCATCCAGAGAGATAGACCCAAGCTTCGACACCGTGGATCTTGTTGGGGTCTGAGGAGCGTTTCCAAGAGTAGGCGGGGGTGGAAGAGGATGAGGATGCTGAAGAGCCAGAAGAGCCGAAGCCAGAGTTAGAGGATGCTGAAGCAGAGGCGGAGGCGGAGTAGTAGCCACCAGAGCTGGAACCAGAGTCGGACAATGACGATCCGCTGTAAGGAGATCTTTACGCCATCAGCCAGACACAACTTTATCCATCGCACATGACTCACTCGTGTGAAGTATTTCCACGCATCCCGTAGAAGCTCTGGTTCATATAAAGCACCACGATGAACGCCTTAAACCACGCATTCGCTGCGACGTAAAAGTACAAGCCTCCAGCATCGTTTCGTGGACCGTTGGTGACACCACCAGCGTAAAAGACGCTGATCCACCGACCGCCCCAGGCATTGTAGGAAGATGCTCGCCAGGCGAGGTCGGAAGCCAATACAAGGGTGCAGAGGATGATGATGGATAGCTAAAGATGGTCAGCGCGGGGAAGGGAGAAGAGGGGTGAGATGGACTTGGTAGAGAAGCATCCATACGGCCGAGCCGAGATGTTTTGGAGCATTCGTATAGTCCACATACCCGCACCCTTCCTCACCTGTATATCCTCTCGGGTCTGCCGGTATATCAGCGCACTCCTTTTCCATGTGCCCAAGCCGGAAAGGCGTACCATAATGATACCCGTACTGCGCATGATAGTTCGAAAAGTCGTTCACCAAAACGACAAACTCTGCCACGATCAGCATAATGAACGCGAGGATACCAAAGACGTTGAAGATGAAACAGATCCAGATCCAGATGGTCGGGAAAGTATCCTTGCCGAGCCAGGGTTTCTTTTCATCTGGCATGTTGTGACTGCTCGGGTCGGGGTGTGAGGTGGAACGGAGTTGTGGAAATGTGGGTAGGCTTGTGGGAGGGAGGTGAGGGTTGTGTGATCAGATATGAGCAGGGTGGGGAAGGAAGGGTGCACAGTGTGTTGTGGTTGTAAGAGATGGGGAGAGATGAAGAGAGCAAGATCGTAATTACACAGTCTCTCGTTTGACGCATGACGATGCGAGTGACCCTTTGTGTCCACCGGTAGTGGGTTCGAGAGTTTTGAAAGGATGGACTTCCCACCACAATAGCTGACATGGATGACGTATGAGGAAGGGATCGTCACCGTCAAAGGTCGAGGATCAGTGGGCATTTTACATGCTTGTACACAGATATCTACATTGTCATGAGTGCTAGTACTAGTGACATGCAAGACCTTTAGTTCCCGTCCCTCCGAGGACGGCTCTGCAGTCTCATCAGCTTACATCCGACTGGACTTGTGTCAACTCACCCAACGTCCAAGTCTCCTTCATACACGATGTGTCCCAGGAAAGCGCCAATCACGATGGAAGAGAAGAGGTAGGTGTTGTAAGTCATGGCTACCAGCATCAACTGTATATGATGATCAGTATATGCGTTGAGATCCTTGCGAGCTCATAACGTACCCAGAAGGAGATGGCGACAGAGATGGCATAGAAGGCTGCCCTAGTGATCTTGATCTTCAGCGGAAGTCTTGTTCTGTGATGACATCAGCATGGCTCAGAGCAATAACGTCGAATGAATAGTACTCACACTCCAATCTTGCCAACGGCTCCCGTCTCAGCGCCCCCATACCCCACCGGGATTGGCGGGATCAACCCCGCCCCTGACGAGCTCGCGCCAGCATTACTATCCCTCCTCGCCGCGCTCCCCGACTGCTGAGACGAATAAACATTGTACGCTACTTGGCGGTCGTACTGCTTGGTATAGTGGAGGAGGTAAGAGTAGAAGAGGGAGATTGCTATGATGATGAGGCTGCTCGGGCGTCAGTGAGAGGGTCGAGACCGTAAGGGGTGATGAAATACCAGGAGAGAATCATGGTCCATGTGCCAGAGATATGCCAGGATCTGAATACTACGCAGGTGTCTGCGACCTGATTGTTCCAGAGCATGTTCATCTGCGGTAGTCAAGCGTTCAGCTGGATGTGTTGACGGGAGAAGGGGACGCACGGCACAAGAGGGCATGGTGTGGCCTGAGTGGTCGCCGTGATCCATGGTGATAGAGATGGGAGAGAAAGAAAGATGGAGAGATGCATTTGAATCCTTGTTGAATCCTGGTGTCACTGCTGCGGCACTCGCCGATCAGAAGGCCACAACAACAAAGGCCGGCCCATTGCCGGCCCATACTGAGCCATAATAAACCAGCTTTCCACAAGCATTGTACGTAAGAAGACGTTGTAGAAGGCGAATCACATCATCTCTATTCATGTAGCAAGCCTAGTACAACACAAGTATATATCCCAACATCTACTGTAGATCACGCATCTCACTCAACACGCCTTGTCCTACTTTTTCAGAGCCAAAGCCAAGATCAAGATGAGGATGGTCAATATCAGGAAGATCATCGGGGCAGACACTGAACTCTGTCAGCACTGATATTGCGTACTTTGAACACACAGAGACTCACAGCCACCAAAGTCGGCCGGCACGACTACCACCCTCACCGTGTTATCAGCACTTGCTGATACTAGTAACGAAGCTGAAGGGTTGAATTTCAGAGCGGTGGGAGGGAATGAATGGGCGTGGAGGATCTTGAGGAGGGGCTATAGAGCTAGTCAGGATTTGTGATGGTTATAGGAAGTGGGTATGGACGTACGGCCAGAGTTCGGGCGTCGAGGATACCGATGGAAAGGTCTGAGCAGCCGTACGACAGTATCTTGCCATCAGAGCTAGTGCAAGAATATCAGTTGCAGCTCTCAAAGCTAAGGAAAGAGCATACCTAACGTCAAAAGCTGTGACAGGCTTCCCCGCAACCTCCCTCTTTGCCAAAACATCCCATTTCCCCACATCTTCCTCCTCCCCTGCCCCGCTCTTCTCAGCCGTTGCCTTCTCCTCTTCAGTCAAAGGCGCTTTACTAGCCTCCGCCACAACTCCAAAGGTACACACGAAAGCCTTCCTCGGCCCTCCGCGCTTGGCCGCCTTGGAGGCGTTGAGGACGGAGTGCAAGTGTAGCGGGGTAGAGAAGGAGCGAGAGAAACGGGCAGAGCGGAAAGCGACGGGGACAATGTCGAGCGTTGGGGGGAAAATGGTTTGTTGGAGAGTGAGGGCAAGGGAGGGCGAGAGGTGGTAGAGGGCGAGGGCGGAGAGTGTGGTCACGGCCAGCTGAGAGAGGTCAGCAGTGGAAGGAACAAAGGAGAGGCGACTTACCCAGTTACCATCAGGACCTCCCCAGTCAAGGTCGGTAAGCTCGGCATCAGTGGACAGAGCAGTCACTGGCTCCAGTGTAGGAAACTGGAGAATAACGACCTTGTTGTCTGTGCTTCCCACAGCGAGGAGCTTGCCAGAAGGCGAGATGACTGAAAGTTTCTAGAACCTGGATCAGTCAAGGGTACAACATGATGAAGATGAACCATACTTGGTAGGGAAAGTCATCAGACCAGGCAGCGTCTATCGTCTTCTGGCCCTTTACCAGCTCAATCCTGCGTTCCATCAGCATTGCCCCGCCGCCATCCGCATGTCACGTACTTTTCATCGCCATAAGAGTACACTCGGACGTGATCATTGACGCCAGACTGGATGGATTCTTGCGAGGCATTTATGCCAGTCACAAGTTGTTTGCTCTGTGCGCCTTATCAGCCACTGTCCTCACTGCAGCCACCTCACTCACCGCCCTGTCAACAGCCATAGTCATAGGCGCATCTTCATCGTTGCTCAGTGAGAGCTCGTTCAGATACTTGAGTTTCTTGCCGTCTTTCGAGACATTGCACAGTTTCTACGAGAGTATGAGCTCTGACTTTCAATAAGGACAACAACATACGAGCTTGTTGTGGATACCGCTGCGCGTTGCGCCGCCGCCGCCGCCGAGGAGGAGGGAGTCGTCTGTGGCCCAGTCGAGGCAGTAGACGGGGTAGGAGGGTGTGGGGTGGGCGTGGTGGGCTGTCCTGGTCATCGCGAACTGTCATGCAGTGCAGAATAAAATGTTGGCAGAATGTCGAAATCGTCCACATCATACATGCATGCGCAACAACCAGTGTTTACGTAACGCCCTCTCCGGCTACAACTGCTGCCATCATAACGTTAACATCTCCTCTATCATTTCCCCCGTTCTTCCCCCAGCTATACCCCCGCCATGCGCCCCTCCCTCCCCAGCCTCGTCAACATCCTCGTCCCCGTCAAGAGGTCCATCGACTATGCCGTGTACGTCCCATCCCATATCTTCGGCCGAGCAAGCTCACCTCCCCTTGCAGCAAGATCCGGGTCGCCTCAGACGGCAAGAGCGTCGACACCAATGTCAAGCACTCTATGGTAAGTCATCCCGGACCACGTATGCATTAGCTGACAGCAGTGCAGAACCCGTTTGACGAAATCGGTTAGCCGCTTCCGAGCCGGCCCAGCAGCCACTAATGTCCTCTGCAGCTGTTGAAGAAGCCATCCGTCTCAAGACCAACTCTGGCGAGCCCGTCTCTTCCATCACCGCCCTCTCTATTGGCCCTGCCAAGTCCATCGACACTATCCGTACCGCTCTCGCCATGGGTGCCGACACTGGTATTCACATTGTCACCCCCGAGAACACCATCGTCGAGCCCCTCTCTGTCGCTCATGCCATCAAGGCCATTGTCGAGCGCTCGCAGGGAACGGACAAGAAGTTTGACTTGCTGCTGATGGGCAAGCAGGCGATTGACGATGACTCGGGAGCGACCGGAGGAATGGTGGCTGGTATGCTTGGATGGGGACAGGGTAGTTTTGCGAGCAAGGTTGTGATTGAGAAGGGAGGTAAGATCCAGTTGACACGGGAGATTGATGGTGGTTTGGAAAAGATTGAGAGCGAGTTGCCCATGGTCATCACTACCGACCTGCGTCTCAACGGTATGACCCTTGGCTCTGTTTGGTTTCGCCGCGCTGACTCGTTTGCAGAGCCCCGTTATGCTTCTCTACCCAACATCATGAAGGCCAAGAAGAAGAAGGTCGAGGCCCTCAAGCCCGAAGACCTCAACCTTGACTTTGTAAGTCGATTTGATAGTCGATATCTTCTCAAAGCTGACCCTGTTCAAGACCCCTCGACTCAAGACCATCTCTGTTACCGAGCCTCCCAAGAGGACAGGCGGTGCCAAGGTGAGCTGACTTGGTTCGCATTCGATCATATACTGATATTGTGTCCAGGTCGAGAACGTCCAGGAGCTGGTCAGCAAGATGAAGGAAGCGGGTATTCTGTGAGATACCCCAGTGTAGCCAGGAGATATGCATGATTGCTACCAGAAGCACTTATTGGGATACACCTGGAGAGTACATAGCCATGATCCTAGGGATACATATACCCCATGCGACCGGTCTCCAGACCTGCTGTAGTTCAGGCGATTCCAGGCACGCACCAAATGGCATCTCATTGTTTCTTTCGCGACTTTTATCAACTCCTCATTCTTCCCATCTTGCACAACCTATTAGATATCCCTGGTACTCCTGGCTGCCTGGTCAAGGCTTCCCGTCCCTATGACCCTCCACTCCAACATCACCCGCCGCCCTCCTGTCCGGATACCCTTCGCCCACTCTCGGCCATCCGCCCCCAGATGCTGCCATCGCCCATTCTCCTCCTCGCCCTCCGCCCGCCAGAGTATCGGTGATGCTCTCATCAACCAGGATCCATACAAAAGAATATGGTTCATTCAACCCACGAGCTTCATGTCCTTTGCGAGGGATGGGGGAAGGACTCTGCATCTAAGCCAGATATGGGTTTGTCCTCTTTCAGTTGTTATATTACTCAAAAGCGATGGCTAATGGTATTTGCGGGATATAGCCCGACTCTCTCTATCACGAACCATACTTGATACCCTTCTGGGCAGTGACCATCTTCAACGACCAGATGGTCGAAGCCATCCATCGCCCCACCGGCTATACCAATTTCAACGCCCCAGCGCAAAGGCTGAGGTCAGAGATAGGCGCTACTATAGCTGCTGTCCCGGCTGATCATTGGGCCAGGTGCGTCGTCTCTTGAACATACTCGCACGTAAAGCAATGAGCTGACCCGGCGAACGTCAAGTGGCATGTATTTTGGAGACCACGCTCGCCAGCGCACCGTCATCCACCACAAAATCCTTGAAGACCCCTTCTCTCGCCTCGCCCAGTATATTCCCACTAACAATCCCGGGTCACTGGTCCGTCCCACCAATGATGCGTTCGATCCGTTCTTCAAGACAGACTTGTACAGTCCGCTGTATACGCCCAAATTCGCGTTGGGACCGCCAAAGATGGAGCAAAGGGATATGGACAAGGTCGTGGAGAGTCAAAAGTTTGTGGCGAATGCGGGATGGGAAGATGTCTTTACGAGGGTACAGGATTCAGTGAGTCCCGAGCCTGTGCCAAGGGTGTAAAAGTGTGGGCTGACTCGCCCCAAAGAAAGTATTCGCAGTGCCCGTCTACCGCTTAATATATAAAGTCCATCTCAGGGACGGGAGTATAGCAATGTGTGATGGAGAGATTCCGGGTGAGAGTCACAATTTCCGGGTGAATTGGCCCCAGGGTCGATCCCAGGCATCTGACAGCACGCCAAAAGTGAGTCTTGGTCCTTCTCCACCTGATAGCTTTGACTAATACACCTTGTCTCAGCCTCGTCTCTTGAAAGCAGTAGGCAGGCTCGGAAGACTCATCTGGGACGAAATGGACTTGCATCCCCCTACCTGGCGTCTCACCACCAAAGGCTCGACCGACGTCGTGTCCACCATCTTTGATACCATGCGCCGAAGGGGCCCGATGACACAGGGAATGTGGGAGGATGGCAATATAGTGCCTCTGATAGGGCCGCGAGGGACCGCAAGTGGAGAAGAGCTAATGTAAGTCCACAAGGCGGGAAGAGTCAAGTGGTGCTGAACTGCATGTAGCCACTATGGGGATGACTTTATCAAGAACCGGGGTATATCAGTACCAGAGCCATCGTACCCCGTCAAAGTTCGCAACGAGCCTCGACGCTCCTCGTCCCTCTTCAGCAGCCCTGCAGCCACGGCTGAGCCCTCCAAACCTTCATCGCCTCGCCCTTCATCCTCCACCACCAAACCTGCCCCGGGCACAAGCTCGACAACACCATCCTGGAGCTCGAGTTCCCTCAAGGACAAACGAGACACGCGATTCAGCGCGTACGCCCAAAAGCAAGCCGAACGTATCAAGGGTTCCATCGGTGCTGTAGCCAAAGGCCGTACCGCCCGGCGCCTCACCCCGCATGACCAGCGCGGATACTATGCCGAGCTTGGCTTGGAAGTCAGCGCCGACTTTCTCGATGCGTCGAAGGCGGCGGATGTCGACAAGCTTGTAAAAGACAAGTTCAATGGGTTGTCTTTTGTAAGACATCCGGATCACGGAGGAACAGACGAGGGATTCCATAATCTGGTGCTGTCGAGAGATCACGTGGAGAGCTGTACATCTAATTTCCTTCTCCTGTTGAACAAGGCGCTGACGAAACATATAGATCAGAAGAGGCTATTTTACAATAAACAAGTCCTGTCCTGTCCCGAGCTCTCCTCCTCCCAATCCAAAACACCTCCTCCTCCTCCTCCTCCTCCACCACCACCACCAACTCCTCCTAGAAAGCCTCCCAGTTGGTCTCCTTCGCCCCCATACAACGCTTCAGGCTCGCCCAGTGACAAACATGGACATTACGCGACTTTGGGTCTGTCCAAGCAACTCTGTCGAGAGTTTCTGGACGTGGGAGCGGAGGCTAGGGTGAACGAGTTCATATTGTATAGGTATGATACACTGAGAGAGGCAGTCCCCCCGGGAGATGCGAAGAAGCTCAGAAAGCTGAGCGAGGCTTTCGATAGTGTCAAAAACTGTATGTCGCTCAAACGTCTTGGTTTCATTATTATTGAGCTGACGGTCTAACAGGGAACTGTCGAACGCAGTATAATAGGAGTCGCTGAGAAGTTCGCCATGGTTCATCAGATTGGCATGGCCGTTGCCAGTGCCAAACAATCATAGAAATGATAGGCATCATTCCAACGCATTGTAGCTTAAGCATTATAATGTCATTTTGTATCACCATCATGCATGTGCCTCCCTCCCTCATCCTTGAATCAGGTCGCCATCTACATGTATTGATGATCTTTTCACCACATGGCAGATCCGATGCGGCCTGTTCTGAATGCCCAGACATGTGATGTAAAACATACATCACCATAATTCACTCTAGATCGGCCGCTATAGATCATATCAACACATCAATCGTATAAATCTCGAAAAATTGTTCTAAATATTTTGTCCATCGTCAGTCTCGTTCAGTCTCTTCGGGCTCAAAAGGTTGGGAAAATTCTAGTTATGAAAGCCATGATTCTATTGCTCTTCAGATACACCACCTCTCCCTCATCATCGCACCACAATGCTTCCCCTCCTAGACCACCAATGCTTCTTCTTCCCGATCATAGAGTTCCTGTCCGTCAACCCAGGCTCCTCGCTCTGTACCCTATTCTCCTTCTCCTTCTTCACCAGCTTTCGTCCCGATCCCTTGGTCAAAGTACTATTGGTCCCCTGACTGCCTGCACTCGCAAACGCCTTTTGCGTCTCATCACTAACCTGCATCACCCGACGAGCTCCAGGAGAGTGCACCGCGAGGGTGTTGGCTCGACGGAGTGAGCTGGGAGGACCCGGAAGAGTGGAGTCGAGCTGGAGCTGTTCGTCGGTATACCCGGGCCCGGCAGATGGTGCTGCAGCAGCAGAGACACACCTTTGGGAAGACCCCACTGGTCGGTTGGCGGGGTTGGCATAAGCATGCGAGTTTGAGCTGTACGACGTGCCCTGGATGGTCATCCTCCGTCGCTTCACCGAGGCATCTCGTTCAGCCTGGGTGAATATGTCAGACTCTGGAGATGAGGCCATGTTGAGGAAGGAGGTCTGCTGGTCGATGCCTGGGTAGGAAGCGCCAGGTTGGCTGTAAGGCGAAGCAGGCTGGGATACGCCGCCATCTGAGCCGAGGGGGTACGACAGGACAGAAGAGCGTGTGGGGTTCTGGAGCTCGGGCGCACCACTCGCAGCTGTAGCATTCTCGCTCCATTCGTTGGTACCAGCAGTCTGCTCGGACGCTTCCTTCCTCTCCTCCTGGACGCCTGCACCACTCATGCTGTCTTCAACAGCGTGGGCAAGATGCTTCATCGCGATCGTCCAAGCCTCTTCAGCAGCGTGAACATTCACCAAGCCTTGTTGACCGAGCTTTTGCGCCTCATCCAAGGATTCCCTGGGGGTGGACTCGGTTCTGCTCCGGCCTTCTTTGTCTTTGAAGCTGACGCGGCGCACGGCAGGGGTGGGCGACGGGATAGAGGTCAGGCTGGCATATGAAGAGCGCGCGGGGTCAACGCTGTGAGATTGGGATCGTGTAAGACTGGCGTGTCCTTGAGACGAATGGGAGCCAGATCTGATGAGGGTATCAAACGCCAACGGAGTCCTGCTCCTTGGCCTCGGCATCCCTTCCGATCTTTGCGCCTCTTGCTGGTGCCTGGTCGCCTTCTCTGCCATCCCCATCAATATACCACCCCACTCCAAACTCTCTCGCGCCATCTTTCTCATCACATCGCCCGTGCCAATAATCTCTCCAGAATGCCTGAGCAGCGTCGCAGCATGTGTCGATAGCAAGTGGCTAGCGATGAGGAGAGGCAGATCAGCAGTGGGAGAAGAGGATGGGGGAGGAGGAGGAATGAATGTTGGGCGAGGAGGTGATAGATAAGAGGGAGGCGAGATGGAAGTCTGGCGGGAAGGAGGTCTCGGCAGAGGACGCGATGGCCGGGGAGGCGAGACGGGCGAAGGCTGAACAGAAGTCTGTGTAGCTTCATCCACCATCACTGGAGTCGTGTATGACTCCGAGTACTTCTGTGAATCGGGGCTCGGGGTGCTCAGCGCCCTCTGAGGAGAGAACGACCCAGCTTGACCATGCCCGTGGTCACTGGACGAGTGACCTGACGACCCAGATTGAGGGATGGGTTGACCGTCGATCATGGTCACCGCAGGCGGGAAGGAAGGGGTGTCGAGAGACTGGTGCACCGTCTGCTGGGGAGACTGCGCCACCGCCTCCTGGGGCAGATCAACCAGTGTGTTGCCGAAGGACTCGGGCTCACGTGTCCACAGAGGCGACCCGGGGCTGATGGGCGTATGGAACTCTTCCTCGACTGTCGTGCTCGTGGTGATCTCTGGCAGAGGCAGCTGCTCGTCCTGCGTCCCTTCTTGTGGATCATTCGGAGACGGCACATGGTTCTCCACGTACAGCACCCTCTTCACCCTGTCAGACTGAGTATGAGGCGATCCAGCACGCTCTTGCAGGCTCCTGATCGACCTAGGATCAAACGCAGGAGAGGGAGTCTTGTTGTCTGCATCTTGCGGCAATCGAAAGACGTCTGAGCCATCGTCCCTGATCCCAAAGATGCCCGACGTGCGGCTGGCTAGAGGAGTGGTCGCTCCACTCCTGTCCTCGGGGGTGAGATCGCCCAAAAGGGGAAGGGGAGAACGGGGATTGGGGGATTGTGTGGGTGAAGCACCAGAATCGCCTCGCTTGGGGACCTTCTTGGACAGCCTCTTGCGAGGAGGTTCCTTGCGAGAAGCCTTGGGCTCGAGGGAAGTTGCAGAGGGCTTGCTGCCGAATATGGAAGACAAGATGCTCGAGGCACGGGTGAGGCCGGCAGGGTTCTTGTCTCCCTTGTCTACCGAGGAGCGCGTGCTGGCAGTAGTGCTAACAGTACCAGGAGCTGGAGCTGGAACAGAGGCGGTGGGGGCGGCAGGAGCCGGCTCTTGATGGGCTCTGAGGGGACTCGGTGGGGCAGGTATATTATCCGTAGACTGTAAAATGTCAGAGACTGTGTCGCATATGTGGAGATGACTCACGAAAGACTTTTGTCTCTGGTGCTTGTTCACTGGTGACGCTATGGGAGTAGCCGCAGCAGTCGCTGGGGGAGTCTCGATAGCAGGCGTCACAGGCTCACTGGGAGTACCACTGTAGCTTCGCGACCTCTGCATGCTGGTAGAGGGGCGGAAGATCCCGAAGCTATGGGGCCGCTTCTTCACCGGACCAGCGGTAGGAGGTCGAGGTCGGGCTGTCGAAAGCGGCAAAGACTGCTGGGATGCTTTTGGAGACCAGCCTCTCCGTCGCGCGCCCATCTCGAGATAGACGTCTTCCTGAAAGACGGGGATGTTGTGGAGAGTCGGGTGTCCATTCTCGACAGCGGTGAAAGAAGGCCGGCGGTTGACAGACGACTCGAAAGCCGGTCGGCGGTGGAGGTCTGCAAGGCTGACGTCCTGATATACAGTCAGCCAACATGTCACTGTCGGTTAAGGTTGGGGACTTACACTGTAAGAACCCTTGAGGGGAGACGGCGCTCTGGAAGTAGGCGGGGTGGCGTACATGCTGTTGGGTCGGCTCAATCTACGTTGCCTGACAGAGAAGTCGCTCGCGCCCACACCGGCCATGTTCTTGGCAGCCTCGTCAGAGACAGGCTCCGTCACGACATCCTGCCCCGCTGCAGGCTCAGACTCGGGCTCGGGCTTGGGCTTGGGCTCAGGCTTCACCTCGATCTTGGTGTCATCATCAAACTTGATCGACCTTCTCCTTTCCTTCAATTCTTTCCCAATCTGCTCGTCCTTTGCCTTCTTCTCCTGGGCGGCCTTTTCCTTCTCGAGAGCAGCAGCTTCTTCGGCGGCCTTGATCTTGGCGTTCTGTTCACGCCGAGCGATGGCTTCTTTGCTGTTGGGATAGTATCTCTCGATGTATCGGCGCCGGGCCTCGTCGCTCACGGATCCGTAAGGAGAAGACGGGCTAGAGGGGCTGGATGGGCTGGACGGGGAGATGGGAATCCTGGTTGCCACTGGCTTACCATTGCTCACTGACCGAGGTGGGGGCAGGAGACCGCCGGGGCCAGGAGGACCTGGGGGAGTCCGGGTAGGGAAAGGGACAGTCGAGCTGGCAGGCTGCTGAGGGGAGCCAACCTTGATGGGAATCCCAGAACGACGACGTTCCCTCTTGGCGGGACTCTGTGAGGTCGTGATAGGGCTCAGAGCAGCGGTAGGGGAAGGCTTCTGAGGAAGAGGTGCCTTCGTTGCGAACGACTGGATAGATTTGCCCAGGGGTTGGAGATGCTCCGACTGGGAGAGCTTGACAGTGTCGCCAGAATCCTTGGATTGGAAGCTGCGGGCATCGTCATCGCCATCGATGGAGGGGAAGATGAGGGTGCGGTAAGAGTTGGGGGTGGTTAACTCCGTGATGGGGGACAAAGAGCGTGTTGGAGTCTTTGGCGTCTGAGGAGTCGCCATGGCGGCGAGCCCAGAGCAGAGCGCGGAGACGGATGGAGGATGGGAAGGCGAGAGACTAGAAGAGTGAGCAGGATGTCGGGGATGATGTGGTTGACTCACCTGTCTGTGGTCTGTGAGCCGAGGGGATGCGAGAGAACCTTATCGACCGCAAAGGACGCGAGGGGCACGTCAACGTGTTTCAATCTGTAGTCGAGGAGATACAGGGGTCAGTAGGGGTGGCGATCTATGATACAGACAGAGAGAAGATGGAGAGGCAGAAGAGAGAGAGATGGGAATGTATAGATTGATGGATGGATGGATGGGGACGGGCGGGATGGTGGGAACGTGCAGACGCAGGATGGCGTAGGAACCTGTCCCCGTTGGATCGCTGTATGGCTAGCCCACAGCATATTATCAAGGGAGACCCAATGGACCGTCCAAGCTCCCCCGCCTAGCAGTTCCTGAGTCGCACGTAGCCGCCGGCCCAGGACCCAATAACGGGACGATATGAGCTCAATGTTTGTGTCTACTCGTCACTTGCCCAGGGTAACCTCCGTCCTCGCCATACCACCGCAGCTCATCCCGCCACCCATCATCTCCTTGCGCCACTCTCTCTCGGCTGCCGATCAGCTTTTCTCCTTCTCCTCATGTCCTGCACATGCAAATGCTCGGTCGTGGATCCCCCCTGCACGCACCACGTACATGCGCTCGTCAATGCCCATGGTCCGGCTGCGGATCCGTGTTCCCTACCAGCTGCTTATTTCCCTGACCTGCGTTCTCAGCTCTCAGCTTCCATTCTGCAACGGGTTAGCGCCATCAGAAATCTTTGACAATGGTCAAGCAACGAGTGGCCGGATGAGGAAGAGAAGCATCCGCGGCGGCCTGGATCGACAAACGATAGCTCCGGTTTATTCGGTACATACTGCATTGGGAGAACAATGCCATGTGCGACGTTATGGCTGGTGCTCGAAATGGCAAGTTGTCGAAGAAGAGTACGACAGCGAGCTACCCCAACAAGTCCCAAGCCCTGATTATGAGCTCACTGCATGATAAAGTGTCGAATTGTCCGCTCCTCGTCAGCCAGCCGGGGATCATATTACGGCATCGTGTTAAAGGTGAATGGCGGCGTCTCTGATTCCCCGTGGCTCGCAGCTGACGTCACATTCGAGCGCGAGGAGCTGACCATCCTGCCTGCATGCATGCCATACTCGTGCTTGGTGCCCATCAGCTTGGCACCTATAGACCTAGATAAATATCTGCCTGGCGGGGAGAGCGGAAATGGATGCTCGGCGATTCGTCGTCATAGACTTCTGCCACCAACTGCAGCAATCGTCGACCCACATATGAGCAAGACCTTCTTGTTGCGTGTATTTGCCTGATATACCTACAGTGAGTCTCTACCAGTCGGACCATGTCAAAAGCTCAGAGCGAGCAAACGAGCCTGCTCTGGTTATCATTTCTGGTTCCATAGCTATCAGTCCCGCCACCCGGCGGTCTAGGAACTCAGCTGTAACTGTAGTACCTCGGGAGTCCGAAACCCGATTTTTAGATTAGACTTTTGCGTTAACAAGAGCTCTGTTCCACAGCTGTTCCAGTGCATATGCAAACTCGAGCACAGTCTCGTAGTCTACCGCTCTATACACGAGTACAGTACGATGTTTGAGTACTGTGCGGGTACAAGTCAATGAATTTCGCAACTTTGATCGCTAGGGAGTGTGCCAGAAGGAGTGCCAGCGGAACTACGCGGGGCCTCAGCTCACTCACCAGTTATTACCGCGACATCTACGTTATCTCTCTTCGTCCCCTTCTTCCCACTGCACCAGTCTGGTCTACACAACTGCGTCGAAGGATTCCCACTCCAACACGCATCCAGAAGGGACTTACCAGTCACAACACACATTCTAGCGCCAAAGACATGAGGGAACAGTCGCGTCTGTCGAGTGGGGGGCCAACCATGCTGATCGCAACTCCCCAGGCCCACCAAGCCCGGTGTCTATGCAGTAGCGGAGGGACGCAATCCTGGCTTGTATAATATTTGGGCGGAAGCCAATGCTTGAGTGAACGGCTACTCTGGGTAAGTACAGTGTTGCACGCGACGCGGTCGTCTTCGCGGTAATGTTCGATTTCCTGACAGGGGTGTGATAGCGCAAAGCACCAGAAATTTAGGACGACAGAAGAAGCCGCGCATTTCGTGGCTGCATCGGGCTCAACAGGGTCTACTCCCCAGTACACGGGCTATGCCCAGAAATATCACCAGTACAATCCCCAAAACGGAAGCTACAATGTTCAGGGATCTTACCAGTACAGTTACCAGCCACGCTACTAGTAGCTACGTAGGACCAGTGACAAGGAGGGAGTCCTGATGGCTGAACCGCGAGAGGCTGCAAGCTCGCGTGTATGTATACCCTTTCGACAAGACATTGAGCCAAATTGGTTCATTAGCATCCTCAGAATCTCGGTTCTGCCGTCTTCTCAGCTCTCTGCTGCGCTTCCTCTGGCTTGACACAAGCCGCGCGAACCAAACGCTTCCTGATAGAGCATGGCAGCTTGCCATCTTTTGCCAGGCGTGATGGTCAGCGCATCGACACCTTTCTAATCATGTTTCACAGACAAGACCTAACGTATGAGTTGCATGCATTTGCTTCTATATGATTGTGGATCGGACTACACCCTCCTTCCCTACATCGCCCAGACCTTCGCACACCCATCCCTTCCTCCCGAGACCAGATACTTGTCTATGAATCTCATCTTCTCCACAGGCTTCGTATGGCCCCCGACCACCAGCCGCCTGTGTTCTTCCGTCGTCCTGTTGTAAACCTCGACACCGTTCTCGCCCGTACAGGCCACAATCTTTCGAGAGTCAAACTGAAGGGCAGTGACGGGGTATTCGTACTTATGCATCTCGGAGAGAGCGCCCATACGAAGATCCCAGATCTGTATCCGTGTCAGCGACGGTATGATGAGTTGGAAACATTAGACTCACCCGCACTGTCCTGTCCAGGCCGCCAGTAACGATGTACGACTCGTCAAATTGCAAACACGTCACCGGTGCTGTATGCCCCACCAACGTCCTATGCGCCTGGCCCGTTCTCATATCCCACATTCTCACCCCGCCATCCCCACTTCCACTCGCGAGCGCATAGCCCCAGAACTGCACACCACCAACGAAGTCCTGGTACATTTCCCAGGTGCCATCGGAATACGGCGGAGTGGGTACAGCAAAGTTTTGAGAGGTAGCAGCGGTGAGGAGAGAAGATCCGGGCATGCCGAGAAGAGAGGCGCCGGGCGAGGGGAGGATGTCTTCGTATGTAGTCGAGTTGAAAGAGGTTGAAGAGCGGTGAGATAGCCTGGATGGGCGCGTGGGGATATTGCTTGATGGAGGCGGAGGCGGAGGGTTGGAGATGGCCCAGAGAATGTCCATGGTGAGGAGGCATTGCCCGGTGGCCACATCCCACTGTCGAATCGTCTTATCTGACGACCCAGTCACAAGACACCCATCTTCATAGTAGAGCGATGTCACGCTCTTACTGTGCCCCTCGAGCGTTCTGACACAGGGACTCCAGTCTCCGGGTTCCTGCCACCCACCGCTGTGCAACTCGTCCTCTCCTTCTTGCTCACGCTGTTCGGCTATTCTGTCAAGGGGATCTTGCTGAGCTAGTTGTTTGAGTTGAGATTGGAGGCGTTCCTCGTAGTCTTCGACCATGCGAAGATCCCAGAGACGGACATTGCCGTCGGCACCACCGGTCAGACAGAGAGTGTCCTCCACTTGGACGGCTTTGACAGAGCCTGCTGGGTCGTCAGCAGTGATATCTAGTTGTGGTGGATGAGGCGTACCTTTATGACCGCGCAACTGTCCAATCTCTTCACCATCACACAGATCCCAGACCTTGACGACGTCGTCCTGGCCGGATGTCACCAACATTCCATAGGGCTCGTCAAAGTCCAAGGCAGTGATGGGCGCTGTGTGCCCAGCTAATGTCTGTCAAAGGTCAGTATGGACATTATACACTTGTGGATCAACATACCATGAACGCCACCCCAGACGGCAAATCGTCGTGCTCTGAAGGCAAGAACGCTGGCCCCTTCCGTCTCCTCGAGCTTTTACTCGGCCCGCTCACCGTGCTACTGCTCGGTACAGCCTTTGTCCCCGCTGCGGCCTTGTAGGCAGGCGATGCCATGAGCTCTTGCACACCTTCCAGCTCGTCGTTCAATTCGAGATCCTCCTCTTGTAGATGGAGGAGTGATCTCTCGAGGCGGGTGCGTATCTCTTCCAATGCGCTGATCTTGTTGCCGATCTCGGTGATCTCGGATTGTATCAGAGACTACAAGTCATCAGAAGTCATTCAAGGCGTTGACAAGATAGCTTACCTGTCGGACATGCAGATTGTCTTTATCTTGCGAAATCTCGTCCGCCTGCTTGGCTAGATCCTCCAGTCTCAGCTTGCCATCGTGTCTTCCCTCTGTCAACCTCCTGCTCTCTCTCTTCTTTCTCCTCTTCTTCGCCGCCTTTCTACCGACACCTAGTTCTCCTTCCCCGTCCGCCTCTCCATGCTCCGTCAAGAGCCCACGCGCGCGGTTTCCGAGCCTTTTCAGACCAAGTTCACCACCTAGATCTTCATCTACGATGCCGCCTCTCACCGTCCTCCTTCTCTGCTTGGCCATCTCCGATGAAGGAATGGTGGCCTTGAATCCTCTGATCAGACTTGGGGGCCCCTGTCCCGGGTGTAAGAGGGCAGGGTCATCGAGGGAGAGGGACGCAAGATTGTCGACGTTTTCAATGATCGCCAAGGACGAAGACGTTTGGCGTTGGTTGGGGAAGGGGATGTTGGTGGGAAGGCGTAGGAGAGGGTAAGGTTTAGAGGGCGGGCGGTTGGATAGAGGTCGTTGAGTCGACGACGAAGGATTCAAGAAGCGGGATTGCATCAAGGAGGGGGCAACTGGGCACCATGTATCAGCGCTGCTCTCCATATTTTAGCACACTCACGATCAGACAGTATTCTGGTGCTTTCCGAGCGCCTGTGTTCACTCCCGAACGGCCCCATGATCACTTCTTTCGCGATGGAGAAGGTGCCATTGAGCGACGACGGGAGATACGACGACTGGTCGAGGTCATGCTGTGGTGCTGTAGATGGCATGCCTGCGGTGGTGCACGAATGCTGCGTTGACGAGTGTTTTGCTCTGATTGCGCTGTTGTTGAGGACGGTTGTTGTAGAAGACGAAAGAGAGATGGAGATGCGTTGCAGCGTCAAGGATAGCGGGAATTCGGTGAGGTCAGCGGCTGGCGGCGATGGCGGCGAAGCGCATCCAGGCAGCGTCGAGGCCCTTTTCGTCGTTGCGAACGATTCTTTACGGCATCCTGCATATTCGGCGTTGGTCAACTTCAAGCAAGTCTTCCTTCTACAATGGCACTGGTAACCATCACTGGCTTCCCTTGCTCCGGCAAATCCACCCGCGCACACCAACTCAAAGAATACTTTCAAAAGCGGCTCAAAGCAGAAGACTATAAGGGGCCGTCACTAGTGGTGGAAGTGATAGACGATGAAGGGAGCCACGTACCCAGGTCGACATATGACTGTAAGTTCAGGGCCGAATGGCTTCAAGGATAGGCTGATTGAAATTCGGCAGCAAGTGCTCAAGAGAAGCCTGGTCGTGCGAGCCTCTTCTCTAATGTGACTCGCTCCCTGGGAGAAGATACGATCACTATAGTGGACTCTGCAAACTATATCAAAGGGTTCAGGTATCAAATGTACTGTGCTGCCAGAGAAGCTCATACACGAGTCGCTACAGTAAGTCTTGACATATGGAAATGCAGCAGAGCTCATCCCTGTGAAGGTTCATGTTGCGGCTCCTCCTAATCAGTGTCGTGAATGGCATGAAAAGCGTGGTGAGAGCTCGTATAAGCCCGCGACGTAAGCTCCTGCCTCAGCGAGTTGATTCAAACTGACGCAAAGCAGCTTCGACAACCTTATAATGCGATATGAAGAGCCTTCCTCTATGGTCCGCTGGGACAGCCCGCTGTTCACTATACCCTGGGACGAAGATCCTCCTTATGAGGACCTTTGGAATGCTATAATAAAAGGGGACAAGAAGCCGCCTACGTCTGCTGTCTTGCAAGTAAGTCGTCCGAGGGTACCTCAGATATCGACTGACGACAGTGTAGCGTAGTAAACCTCCTCCGAATACCCTCCAGACTCTTACAGCCACAACTTCTCTGATCAACTCTTCCCTTTTCACCCATATCAACTCTCTCCCTGGCTCCACCACCTTCCCTATCCCTTCACCACCCGCCCCCAAGGGCTCGTCTCTCGTCTTGCACCTCCCCGACAAGAAGATTACGCTGAGTGAGATGTCGCGGCTCAAGAGGCAGTACGAGTCGGTACAGGTGAAAGCCCAGTCTAGCGGAGGCCTGGCAGCAACTGCAACTTGGTCAGAAGAAGAAGTGTCGACGGGGTATGTGAGGTTTCTGGAGCAGGTTTGGGAGACGGGATCATAGGAGTCGGAGGCTTTGGTGTGTTGATGATATGATACATGTGTGAATGGTCGTCGTGATTTGACGACGAACGAAGTAGACCATGATAGAAGCGTGATGCCACAATGATAAGAGACGCGATGGTGTATTTATTATTCTACCACTTGCGGTACCGTGGTACGTTTCGTAATGTCGCTATGCGATTCAATCCTACTTCTTGAGGGGTTGAAAGCCCAAGACCCGCTCAATCCTTTCCAATCCCGTCTGTGTTCATCATCAGCTTTGATCGCCAATTGATCGCCCATCGTTTATCGTCACTTACCACCAGATTCTTTCTAGCCACCGTGAACGTGATGCGATACCACCCCGGAACATCATAGTGGTACGCCGTACCCGGGGCGATATAAACGCCAGAGTCGAGAAGTCTCTGGAAGATGTTCTTTTCAGTAGCGACGTCAATACCGCCAAGCTTCTCGCCAATGTTGACCCATACAAAGTTGCCTCTGCGTGATGATTTGTCAAGTGGTCGGTTGCTCGAAATTCACTCACGCATTGCTGTCCGCGACGACCACTCCCCTCTCCTCAAACCAATCTCTCACAAACGCCTGTGCCTCTCCGAGCCTCCCCTTGTTCGTCTCGAGAAAGTTGCTCAAAGTCTTCTTGTCGTTGAGAAGAGACGACCAGATGATGTCTGCAGGGGAGGAGAGCTTCATGAGCATAGAAGTGTTGGCCATGGTACGGATGAGAGTGGGGTTGGCAGGGGTGATGAGGGCGCCGATCCCGAAACCGTTGGCACAGAAACTGAAAGCATGTGTGTGAGTGTGCCGCAAGTTCGGCCGGGTCCCGCTTACTCTTTGCTCATGCCATAGATCACTACAACCTGGTCAGCGATCGGGTGGCGGATACAGCTCTCAGAAGCTTACCGTGAAGTCTGGCTTTCTCAAAGGTGATACCAGGAAGCTCCTTGTCCAAGTCCAGAGACAAGAAACTGGTAAAGGGAACAGCCCCCGGGTACTCTGATCCTCACATCAGCCACACCACACCATAGAAAACTTCCCCTTCGGACGTACTCGCGTTCTCATACACACTCATCCCGTAAATCTCGTCAGACACCAAATGCAGATCCTTCTCCTCACAGAACCTTGCGTAAGCCAGAAGAGTCTCGCGGGGGTATGGTCGGCCCATGGGGTTCTGTGGGTTGCAGACAATCTAGCGGCTGTCGTCAGATCACGACACATAAGATCAGTGATAAGATACGACATACCACGGCACGGACTCTAGTGCCTTCCTTCTTGAGCTCCTCGTATTTGGCTTCAAACAACTCGAGCCCTTCAGGAGTGAAAGTCTTTTCAATAGGAATGTAGATTGGAATGAGCTTGACTTTGCCGCGGCTGATCAGGTCTCTGTCGAATCCTGTATAGCTTTGAGACATGTCAGTTTGGGACTTGACGTTATCTATGAGACTCACTAGGGCGCAGCAACCAATATAGCATCGCCCTCATCCAAAAGCGTGTAGAAGAGCTGATCAAGGACAGCCGAGCATCCGACCCCTACAATCACATCTCATCAGCAACAGTACCCACTTTGTTCCAATATGCTTACCGGTGATGAGGTGGTCAGGCTTGATCTCCATGACAGGATGAAAGTAGTCATTCAAGAAGCCACTCAAGGCCTTGTTGATCCGCCTGCTTCCCCAGAGTGAATCGCCATAAGAGAGGTCGAGGGGTGTCATGTTTTTGAGAGCGCTGGTAAAGATCTGTGGTCAGGAAACGTCAGCTGACGTATACGCGCGCCACATGACATAGAAGCAGACGCTTCGTCGGAGAGAAGCATGCGAGAAGGGGGAGACGAGACGAACCTCGAAACACTCTTGCTGCATCAAAAAGTTCTCGGCGACCCCCAAAGATACAATACCGTGCGGATTGGTGTCTGCATCATACTCTGTGGCTCTCGTCAGTACCCTCCACCGACAAGGGCGACAATATGGGGCTGACGGTTCTTGAACAAACACGAGAATCTGTCGATAAGGGGTCCAGCGTCCGGGCCCGTGGTGGCTCGAGAGCTGAAATGGGGGCCTGGATAGTCCTTCTGGGCACCAGCAGTGCTCCTCTCAAGAGTAGCAAGGCTGGAGATGGAAATGGTGCCGAAACAAGACATGAGCGTCTCGTCATACTCGCTCTCGGCATCTCCATCATTGTCGAGAGGGGCAGGCAGACCGAAAGGCGGCTGCTGGGAGTACGGCGGAGAGTCGGGGGGAGATGGGGCTGAGGCAGACATGCTGGGTGGGATGCGAGGTGATGGGAATAGATAGAATGACAAGGCGCGCATTGCATCTCCCGCAATGCACTTATCTATGCCCATGTGAGGCTGTAATTACACGGTGCTTATTCCAAGCTTCGAGATAAATGCGCCTCGGCCATCTTCGGTGCCTCCAGGTACGCCCTTATCAGCTGTTGACGCGGGACGGCATAACACCATGCGATGCATCTGTATCAGGTCCATTATCCATTATGGCAAAAGTATATAGTCTAACAATACAACCGACAGAATAATCGTCATTCCATTCGTGACAAGCAGCCGTGGCAAAAATTGGGCAAAGATCTCGCCGTGATCAGAGCTCCCTCCCGTCGCTCCTGGCAAGCGACTTGAGCACAAAGTAGCTGAAACCAACGATCCCTGCACTGAGGCACAAGCCGCGGATGATAATTGCTACCAGCAGCGCCTGGCGGACGGCCGTGTAGAATGTCGCGAGGGCTTGGCCGGACCAGTTAATACGCCTGTCGGCCGCACGGGAACGGCCGATAGTCGATGATTCCCATGATCTGATCACCTGTCGGTAGCGCCTCGAGAACACCCTGCGAAAGAGATGTCAGCATTGAGGGTGGCAAAGTAGAGTAAGCGTACCAGATCCAGAAATTGACGTCCGGGTAGGTAAAGGTAGGGAAAACAGCTCTGCAGGAGCGTCAGTCAATGACCGATCTATGCCAGATAATCTCCACCCACGTCATATACGGGCCTGCGCCTCGTCTCCTCTTCCTCTCCTTTCCATTCTCCGCCGCAGCCGCCTTGGTGTTCTTATCCGTCTCATCTTTCAGAACCTTTCTGGCCGCCTCCCATTCATCCTCAAACGAGCTCTGTACAGTGACAGGCGTTCGAGGTTCGTTGAGTGGAGTGTACTCGGAGATGGGGATGGTAGGAGAAGAAGAGGTCAAGGTGGATCCTTCCGTTAGCAGGGTGGATGGGGCGGAGGGGTGGTGCGATATGAGGTCGCTACGGGTCGTCAGTGATGAATGATGAGTTTTGGATTGGCTTACAGGGTCATACCCAGCGTCAAGCCCCACAGGCGGAGCACTTGACTTCCGTCATGGCTGTTTGTCCAGCTCCCACTCCCTTCCACACTCTCATCAAACTCTGCTCTATCAAAGTCTTTGGCGATGGCAGCAGGGTCGTCTGGTAACAGCAGACATCCAAATCTATGACACTCCATCAGCCTCTGCCGTTTCATGTATATTGCGACCCACTTCATTTTGCCGATCAAGTTGCGCAAGCACCATCGCACGAGCTTGTTCCTTGGACTGAGGCGACTGCTTATGTCAATGTCGATCTTTGCCCAGCGATCGTCGGCAAAAGGTGGAACGAGGAGCGTTAATGGAACCCAGTGGACCGAGGAGATTTCGGACTGTATAGAGAGTCAGCAGGATGTCGTATATAACCGCATGGACATACAGCTTGGAGCTCCGGAGTGGGGCTGAAGGGGGACGTTTGTAGAAAGACTGAATATTTGTCAGCTTACAGCGATGCTGAATCGACCGTTACCTTACCAAAGGGGCTTAGAATCATCAACAGCCTCTTGCCGAGACTCGTGGTAACCTCCCTCTCGTCCAGTCTTCCAACACTCAGATACTCCTTTTCTGCTAGATCCACCCCAATCTCCTCCCACGTCTCTCTCAGAGCAGTATAGTATGCGGACTGGTCATCAGGCTCTTGGCGGCCACCAGGGAAGGCGATGTGGGATGCCCAGCGGTGGTGGGTGTTTCCCGCAGTGGAGGGTGTTGGGGGCGGAGATGCTCGGCGGATGAAGAGGACTTCGGGGACAGTATTGGGGTGATTCACCCATGCTTTGGCAGTTATCAGTATCCTTCCATTTGTGTATTGAGACCGATACAACTTACGAAGCTTCATATAGTCCTCAAATTCCAAGCCCTCTCCCCAGTCATCTCGTGCAATGACATTGCCGTCATACCCTTCAGTCTCGTGCCCTTCAAAGACTAGCTCGTCTGCTGGTTTCAGGCGCAATATGATAGCGACAGAAGCACGGCGCGGCTGGGTCACGGGCGATTGTATAAGACGGGTCGGGGTCGTGCGCAGGGATTGTAGGAGGGTGAGGAGTTGGGCGGATGGGGGCTCTAAAGACGTGGTCAGTATTGTGGCGTGGATTTGGCGCAGTGGATAGCTCACGAGACATGATAGTCAATTCAATAGTACGTGCTAGAAAAAGCTATGCCCTTGAGCAGAATCCAGGATGAGTATGCCTGGCTGCGTGCTTCTTTCGATGAAAGGCTCCGCACCTTTCCTTTCTGCACACTTTGCGATGAACGAGTCAAGGGGGCGCTGTATGCCGTTCGGTGTTCTCGTGGTCGACTTGGAATGCTTGCGAAGATGCGCGCGATCCTTCTTTGGGGAAATTCAAAACAGTACTACCGGGCTTCGGTCATAGCCGGTGTTATGTAATCGCTGTTCCATTCAACCCCCAGCAGCCATCAACAATTTAGGTGTAAAGGCTCGTGTCTCTATGGCCAGGGAGCCATGAGACTGCTTGACTTAACATCCAACGCCTGCACAACACAAGACGAGACTACATGCCACGTTACAAGTGATACAACCTGGAGACTCAATGGAAGCCGACTGCGGGGCGGGATATGAGGGCCATCGGCCAACCGAGATCTAATGAACACGACCAGAGTACTCTCGTGAAACTTGCCTTCAAAGAGCATGCCATACAGCCACACTGTTCCTCATCAGAGCCAGCCTTAGTAGCCTTGTGTCTGTAGATCACTGCCTGAAATCCCAACAGCAATTCTAGTTACCCCCAAACCTCACCAGCCCCTGATGAGAGGCTTCGCACTTCGCGGCCCAATTCTTCCTAAACATTCCCATCTTCCTGCAGACATATCCTGATCTCTGACTGTATCAAATCGAATCGGATGTCAGTATGAACTTAGAGTGCCTTTATCTTATAGTTCTTGTCCGAACGATTGGTAATGAGGCCCCTCAACAGCCTTTCTTTGATTTTGGGGGTCTGTTGTTCGTCTCAAGGGTGATATCTGGTGGGAACGAATACGATCGTCTCTGCGCTGCTCAGCACGATATGTCGACGGTGATCATTCAGGTGCCGAGGGCGCAGCCCCGGCTGGATGTTACCAGTACAGTACAATATACTGGACGTACATTTTGGTCGCATAGTGGTCGCTGCCCTCATATCGATCTACTGCCATGTTTGCTGCTGGGTGGATTCGCTGAACGCCCTCCAGGTACTGACTGCTGTGTACCATTGGTCTCAGACGCATCATAATTCATCGCGGCCACTGCAAGCAGTGCGGAGATCTCGTAAGCAGTGCATTTGGTACGTACATAGAGTACTCGTACTCGTCGCGTACTTTTTGCACCATTTGTCTCCTCTACCCCTTACAGTCTACGGCAGCATCCATACGATCCTTGTGCCTCGTGACAACACACACAGAGCGAGTACGTCTCCTCCGCTCCCACTGCATGTGCTGTTCCTTGCTGTGGTTCTCATATTGTTCTCATAATCCCGTTTATTCCGTCTGCACGTTCTCACCACCACAAGAGGAGGTGGAGGCATAGTTACGTAATTAGACTACCAACAAGTGCAACCATGCCAGCAGCGGGTAGCTCCGTCATCTTCAAGCCCGGTTCCTCGAGTCACAGCCTACGTATCATCCAGAGTCCAACCAGAGTCCGAGCCTCAAGCCTGGCTATTGCCAGGCTACTTAACGACCCTCATCCACGATAGCAAGTATGTAAACATATGAAGCTCAGATTGAGGCGCCTATCGGCGCGATATAGATGCATGCAGCGCCTAGGCCCGAGCCTGGCTATCGCCAGGCCACCCAACGCGCCTCCGCAGGCGCATGTAGTAGCGTCTCCGGCACCTGGGCCTAGCACGCGTCGTAAAGCGAATGTTGTTGTCTACCCCATATATGTCCAACCCCGAGTCCCCGACGAACGATCTGGTCACGTTGTCACGAAGCAACTCACCAACAATACATATGTCAATTGCGGGGCGTCGAGGCACAGCCCAGATGATCGCGCCGTAATAGAGAGGCACTGGGTCTAGCAAGGTAAACATCGACCGCTCTGCTATGAGGGTGATTCCACAGCCACATGACAAGTCGCATACATGCCTATGTATACGCGAATGCAGATACAGATGTATATCTGGCTGTCGATATCCATCGCACTCTCAAGCTCAGGAGCCGGAATGTTGAGTGATACATCGCAAGGAACACGAGAGATCACTCCGCCCCACCCGCCATCAGGCCCCCCACTTTGACTGTATGGCATTCCAATGCGACAATCAGCAAACCACAGCCAATTCGATTGATGTAATGCATTGGGTCCGCCGCAGAAAATCTCATCTTCCTCTTCCACCGACATAGAGACGACTACCCATATCCGACCAAGAGGGGCCAGACGACGGTGCATAGGTGGGTTCCTTCTCAAATTTGGTCAATTATCTCACTTGCATGCTCTCTTGACCCGAGGCTGAGGGAAAGGCGGAAGAGCACGGAAAGAGAAGGAAAGGGGGCGGCTCAGAACGATACCTTTCTTTCTCGTTCGAGGCCTTGGGTGGAGGGCTGCATGGCTTGTCCTTGATGGATGGGTCGGAGTGGCGGGTGCGAACAGTCGCTGGTATGGCCAGGGGAGATATCTTCTGATGAGAAGCGTAATGTAAGACTGATGTAGATGTTTATAGATCGCGTGTCTTTGGAGCAACCACCATCATCAACTGTTCTCACGCACGAGCAATTCTTGTACTCGAAGCAGGACCGATACCTCTTGGCTATACCTTCGTCCGTTCTTCTTCAGGCAAAGAAGGACTCATCTGCGACCCTCGTTGCGAACGTCAAGGTGAGCAGAGCAGCAGTATGGTCTCGGTCAGGTCTACTTGTACCGCGCGTATTGCGCAGAAGAGCTGTGGCAACGCAGCATCATTTCCATTCTTGGCTGGCTTTATCGCTATATCATTTGGTTGATCTCTACTCGCCTGACTGAGGCTCCGGGAAACTCATTGAAGGGTAGTGCTGATATCAATGACAGTACTATCGGCACATCCCATCCATCACCCATTGCATCATATTACCAGTCACGACTGTCCCGTCGCCGTTGCCAACACTCTCCCACTCTGTTGGTCAATTATCTCTATCCTCCGGAACGACATCTTCCTCGAGGACCACCTTATTCCCGGTGCTCCTCTACGGTCTCCCATCCGGTGCATCTGGGCCCTCGACTCCTCCCCTCTTCCCTTCTGTTCCTGAAATCTTCATCTTGGCCGATACCAGCATAGAGCAGGTATCCTGATCCTTGTCTGAGGATACGTCTCCCATTCTGGTACCATCGGTCCGAAATTCGTGACTACACTAGGCAGATCAACAGCGAACCTTCATCTCCCGAAGCCCCTTGATACACCGTACGCCTATCGCCCCTCCTTCTCGAGCAGCCACCAATCGCTTACCTGTGAGGGCAATCACTGGAATATTTGGTAACACACGTGATAGGCAACAACAACAAGATCTTCAAACCACTTTTAAGCTTGCGAAGGTACTCTTATCTCGTAAGTTCTCTCGTAACGTTTTCATTCTGCGCAATTTGCTTTATTGTCACGACCATCATCTTTGCCGTTCAAGCTTGCTGCACCTGCAGGGCCTGCTGGGTTGCTGTGGCAGTAATGCGGCCTTCAGCGCCTCGAGGGTTGAGGTTCAGCTGTGAGATCCCTTTTGCGCCACCCATTACTATTCGTTTTTCCGATCGAGTCACGAATGTTCCCTGTCATTCTTTTCAGGTCATTTATCATTGCCTGTGCGGCCTGTGCTTCGTCTACTCCTGATTTTTGCGTGCCCCCTCTCTTCCACAAATCACGGATTTGAATCATCAGGATCCTCTTCGATCTTCCTACATCCTCCTCTTTTCTTCTATCAGATTCTGACATTTGTCGTCGTCCCTTTTTTATGACGCGCTCTCTGCCGCCGCAGCAGCTAGATTTGTTGTGACACTGTGGCTGGGTAGGGTGCTACTATGGATCGTGTGTTTGGTTTCCGCGTTTCGGGGTGGAACACATGTGAATACTAGGCCCAAGAATTGAGATAGAGAATCCTCGCCAGTCTCTGTGATAATCGAATGCTCATTGGTATCCATCTTGCCGTTCTTATGCTGACCGTTGTATAGGCAGGTCTTATCCCTATCTTCCCCAAGCTAGCTTTCGTCTTTCGTGCAGCCCCCACCCCCAGTAATCTGCACCCTGAATCAACTTGTTTCGGTCCCTCTTTTCCTGATTATCTCCCCTCGCACTCCTTCCATCCGGCGTTTCCGGGCTCTAGACGCATTACCTTGCTGTGCGAATTTCAAGCATCTGGCGGAACCGCTGAAGGAACCGAGAGCAGCGAGCTATAGCAAAGAGCGAGACAGGGTTCCCATAGCTTCCACAGCTAGCAAATCTAATAGACAGTATACAGCAAGCTCAGCAAGGCCACCGACCACCGATCATCAAACGTCAGAGGATACGACATAGGGGTATCGAGAGTGTTGCCAACCTTACACATCAAGGCACCAGTACGTATGCACTTCTTGACCTTCTTGGATGACTCTGAGGGCTTGGACTGACTCTCCCTATCAGAGCCGGCTAGACAGGAGAGTTTTAAAAAGTAAATTGTAGGCAATCAACACGCCATAGCCTCACTATGCGCTTTGTGTTGACCGTGCCGAAGCTCCGAAAGATTCTGCCTTACGCCCCTTACCAGAAATTGACGATTCATTGAAATCTGGTACTGTCCGTCCTCCATTCGCCGAACATCCGAGCACCTATATTTCTTTGGTCGTCATTCGCCGTATCCGTATCGCATACCGGCCAACAGCCCAACGGCCATCACTCCAAAGTTTGGTCCCGCCTGATCAGATCCCGTCTCGTCATCGCTAGCTCCCTACTATAGCCCTCCGGGCTCACAGCCACCCGCAACAACGCCTTACTTCGGGACCTCATTACCTGGCCCAGCGAAAGACGAAACCAAAAGTGCCTTGTCTTCTCCACTCGGAACCAGATTGCAATCAGCCTAGCCAGGCGATCGGTGGCACTAGGACTTTTCCTGCTCGGAATACATAACGCTGCCGTTGCCCCATCTCGCCATCTGCCCAATTCTATTACCAAGCATCTGTCATCATTCGGCCTTCGGTTCTTTTTCCTCATCATTGCCAGATATATATCGATTCCATTTGCTACGTAAGAGTGATCAATCTCTGCATCTTTCTTTCGTCCTGCAGTCAACTGACACTCCTGCAATCAGCACCTTCCTTCGGCCTCTTCTTGCTGTCCGCTTGACTTGCCCCTCCTCCCCCCATCCCCATCCCCATCAATTATTAGCATCTCTTAGTTGTCAGCCGGTGACTGCTAGGCGGTGGGTGACTACACGTTCGCATACGCAAATACCTGCAAAAGCCGACCGACGGCCGCCTCCACTCTCTCGCTCGCGATTGGTGAGTTCTCCGAGGTCCTCCGCATCATGCCGTTTCTTTCTCTTGTCCGACGCCCGAACCGTGTTTCGGACACCGGGCGCAAAAACTTCTAGGGCATTTTATTCTTTCATGGTTTTGGCTTTCGCTTTGCTTTCTCCCTTTTCTTCCAATTTCTCCGGCTTGGTCTGCTTTGAGTGCGTGTCCCAAGATTTTGGCTATCCGGCAGATCAGGGCAGGCGGATTTCCTGGAGGATAAGCAGCGGATCGTTCCTTTGCACATCAAGGCGGCCCCGGGTCTGCTTAATTCGCTAGCAGCGAGTTGGGACGTTCAGCTTGCATTGCTTTTGCATGTCTTGCATGCTTTTGCTTGTCCAGTGGGAAGCCCACGACTGGGCTCTGAGTTCTTTGGTCTGGCTTGTTCAGGAGCTCCTCGATGTACATCATTGACTTGTTCTTGGGATGCCGTCGACCGTCGATCTTGAATTCCGTGAACGTTAGCTCCGCCTTACACCCGCCATTATGTGATCTGCCGGCGAATTGTTGCGCGCTGCCTTGACCGATGCCATGTCCTAGGGGTCCTAAGGCCTCCAGGCCCATATCCTATATCCTACTGCTTACCTATACCCTTTCGTCTAACTTGTGGCCTTATGGCTTGTACGATTGCGTACGGGCGCGGGCAGCTAGCTGGCTTTCGCCGGCCCCGGAGGCGTTCTCGCCGGCACATACTTTGTTTGCGATGATGCCTGGTTCACCCCTCTGGGGCCAGACTGCCCCCCTGTCTGTTGTCTTCTTTCTACCTTATGCCTTAACTGTCTTCTCTCTGCCGCGCCTGCCGCTTTCTTCCCTTGGGACGCAGAGCTTTCGTTTGCCTATCTTGATGCTTCTCGTGCTGCTCCCCTGACCCCCTCCCTGCCCCCTGTCATGTTCCTTCCAGCGTACCCCGTGCGGCGAGCGGTTCCCTTCCCACCCAGAATTTGCTTTCAACGGTCATCGGATCGGAACTTCGGAGATCGGAGATGGTTAAGGAATAGCTGCGGCTTCCCCACCCTTTTTGACTTTTGCGTTTGGCGACGACAGCGACGTGCGACGCCCTGCTCCCTGCTTCTAGTGCTTCTTCCGCCGTTCCGGATATTCTTTGGTGTTGTTTGGGTCTGCAGTGAGAGTCTTGCTGCCTGGAGCGCTTTGCTGGACTGGGCAGCTCCCATTAAGCAATGCCGGAAACTGCCTCACGCCACCCCTGTGCCTCGTTCTTTTTTCCGTGGGATGTACTTCTCGCGGGCGAGCTTCTGTGCACTTCGAGTCTGGATTCTGAAGCGGCGAGCTACGTACTGCAAACAAGCTTGTTTCTAGATAGGCGATAGGCGATCAGGCGAGATTAGGACCCATATAGGGCCATTTGAGGGGCCAAGGGCTGCTGTCTGCGTGCCACGCGCTCATAGCTTGCAATGAGTAATCGCGTACCTCTCGGGGCTGTAGAGTTCACCCGGATTTGTTAAGGGGATTTGCCTTTTCGGCTCGTTCTTCCCAAGCCCTTGACGCCGGATCTCTACTCTTTCGTTCAGTTCTTGATCTTTATGATATTTCATGTTGTTTTTTTCTTTCCCGTGTCCCCCCTCTACTTTTACGCTCCCACTTTCTTCTCTTGCTCTGCCCTGCATAGCGCCAGCTTCTGAACCTTATCCTCTCGGCGTCGCTCTTTACTGATGACACGCGACAGGATCAGGTCAGGAGCATATTATCGATACCATCATCCCCAAAAGAAAACATCCTCCTCATTGCAGAGGATTTTCGCGAATCTGAGATTCCAAAAGCTCTACGACTGTTTCCAAGGCCGGATTTGTCTTGTGAGTTGCATCCCCTCGACGCTTTGCGTCTTCCGCGTGGCTGTTGGCTGACATGCCGGAGTCCGACGCAAGAGACCATCCCATTCCGTAAACAGTTCAGCACAGGTGGCAGTGGTTGAGGGAAAGCAGATCCGGAGGTGAGTACATTCGTTGCGAGCGTGATTGTTGAGTGGCGGAGGCCAGTGCAAGGGCTGTGTGATGTAGCATATCGACCGAAGGCGATGCTAACCACCCTTGCAGTCGTATTTGCGTTTGCCCCCTCCCACACCATGCCCAACGGGAGTCGGCGACTTTCGCCTGATTCAAAGAACGCCCACAATGCCTCACAATCAACTCCTCTTTCACCGATCTCTTCCCAAGCCCAGGCCGCCCATACACAATGGCGCGAGTCTCGCACATCATCATCTCAAAGTCACTCGTCAAGCTCGAGCGCCCATTATCAACATCCCTCCCATCAATCTCATTCTCATCACTCCCGACCGCCATCTTCTTCTTCCAGCTCTGGGTCGGCAGTTGGGTACGAGTCCAGATATGGACCTCCACATCTAGCGCCTCCTCCATTAGCGCCTTACGTTACACCCAATCGGCGGTTTTTCGCACCTCCTCCCGCGCAGGAACAGTGGTTGGGTCCTGATGGTCGACGTCTTACCAGCCAAGACCCTCGGCCAGCCTTTCCTCCCCTTCAGCGACCTCCGCCTGAGCATATTCTTGCAGCTTCTAGCTCCAGATCAACGCTGTCTATCCCCCCGCCCGTGCAGCCAACCTCATACTCCCACCCCTATCCTGCTCCGGCGCCATCTTCTGCTGAGGAATCAGCCCAGCGCCCGGTTCTTCCGGGAGGTCATGCGTTGACACCAATGCACTTCTCCATGCTCTCCACCCACGACCACAATCCACTTCATCCTTCCTCGTCAACTGTCGTTAGGGCGAAAGGGCACATGGAAGTGCCTGGGAAAGAATCTTTCCCTCTGATCACTGGGTGGCAGGAACCTTCTTCCAGCCGCAACAAGCTCCCGATGAGGTCTCGATCTCGATCCTCGTCTTCGGCTGACTCGGGTAGCACTTCCCGAGGGGGCTCGCAGAGATCGTTTCGCGACGAAGAGGCTCAAAGAACTTCTAGGACAAGCAGTACCTCGAGCCAAGTCGAAGAATATCGACAGACTTCGGGGAACACCTCTCAAGAAGGCTCTGTTCGGGCAGCGAGTGTTGGTGTAGAGCATCGCAGAGGAAAGAAGAAGCGTACCCGGGCACTGATGACCCATGCTCAACAAGCAGGTCTTATGAATCTGTGGAAGCAGGCAAGTCCTGTCTGTCTGTCTGGCATGAAAGGCGCATACTAACGGCGATGCAGACCAAATTTCCGACTAGTGGAGACAGAGAGGTCCTCGGTCAGCAGATTGGCTTGACGGCTCGGCAGGTGCAGGTGTGGTTTCAAGTGCGTCGTCATGTTTCTTTCTATTTTTCTCGTTGCATAGAATAGCTCACTGACATTCACAACAGAATCAACGGCAGAAAGGCCGAAAAACACTTCTCGTCAACGGTGGTGTGCCCGACGGCGAGGACCCAGCAGACTACGAAGACCTTCAGAAGTCTCCTCGTTCGCGTCGCTTGTCGGTGGAGAAGGATGAGAGAATTTTTGCATGGGCAGGGAACAGCGCTGGCGGCTCAGTGTGGCCGGTGGCAGATGGGCACGCTACTGAGGCCGCTACCCCCAGCTACGGGGCTGGCTACTCCTACCTTCCTCCAGCGACTGGCGAGCACCAATTCCGACACGTTCCTCCCAACACCAAGCCCTTCCCGGTCCCTCCTCACACTCATCCATCAGCTCCACTTCCCCCGACTTCCGCACTGTCGTGGAGTCCAAGCTCGCAGTACCCTTCCGTCCTTGAACCACCTCGTTCATCAAGTTCTTTACCCAACGGAGACATGGCGTACGCACCTGCACCACTCCCCTCTCGTTCAGGGTTTGTGGATCCCAACTCTGCGTCTTCGTCTCGGGGCGGCTATCATTCCTACGAGCAGTACAGCAGGGGATACAATGTCCATCCTCCTGTTCAGGGGGGTCATTCCCCTGCCTACATCCACGAAGCTTCACGCCAACGCTCCATATCTGAAGATCATCATCCTAGTCCGTCCACACTGCCCCCGCCTCCTTCCTCTTTCTCATTGGCACCATTTGGTTCTGGCCTTGGGCCGCCTCCTCCTCCTATTCTGTCGGCCCCAATCACAACCCCCTCTCTGAGTCAATCGAATCGCCAGCGAGCTGATACACGATCGAGTGTTCAGTCGGTCCCATCGTCTTCTAGCGCGACGTCAACGCCGGCGTCAACCTCTCACTTGCCCCCGAGTTTGGCTCGTATCGCCATCGCGGGCCCGGTGGCTGGTGGTGATGATCTTCCCAGTCTATTGCCAGGGCTGGTCGGGGGTCGTAAAGACGAGGAGGTTGGTTCACCGAGGAAAAGGAATGCGAGCTGGACCTTGCCCGAACGACGAGTGAAGGGGAGAGCCCAAGGGGAAGAAGAAGGCTCCTCGTCTGGGGTACGGAAGCTGCTGGAGTGATGCCTGGTTTGCTCATTTCAGTCTTCTCATTCTTTCGACGCCTTGCGCTTCCATCTCGAAACAAGTCATCGAAAACAGTATATATAGCGTCTTGGAATCATAGCATCGAGATGTTTTGGGGCTCGGATCTTACAATGGTATGGTCGCTGGAAGGTGGAAAGAGCTGTTTCTTGTTTGATTATCTTCAGAATTTATCATAGCATCGGCCAGCATATCCTTACACAACTATTGACGTACTGTACAGTACCGTCATGAGCGAGCATTGATTTACGAAAGACATGCATCAAAAGATCGAATTATAACATGGCCGGCAAGTCTTGAACACTCACATGAGTTTGGCTCCTCGGCTCATGCGACATGCGGCCCATGCTGGTTCTCCACGCGGCGGACTTGATGAAAGGCTATATGCCCTATGAGATATAGTGCTTTACATGGACTACGAGACGAAGCCACTACGAAATTGTCGGGCTCTGATAGCTAGTATATCTGGTATTCGGTCATGAAATGCGAGTTATGTGACACCTCAGGGCCGCCCTTCATTACCGCTAGCGGATGTTGGCGGATGCTATAGGTCATATGCACAGTATCAGCAGGTACATCTGCACGTATACATAAGTATGTCTAAAGCTGCCTGGGGCCGTACTCCATAATGTCTGGTAAGGAGCCCCCTCTACCCCTTCTCCCAGTGGCCGCGGATGGGCATGCGGAAGCATGACTGTGCGACGCGCTGCAGGCTGTAGGCCCTGTAGGATGCATAAGAGAGGTGGAAGGATCCCTCCGAGTGCGGCCGGCTTGAACCTTGAAGGGGTAGCGTAAAAGGTACCGCCGAGCGAAGATAACCTTCCCCATTCACAGCCCGCCACGGCACGGCAATTCGCGTGCCCGGCTGTCTCAGCTGGCTCGACACAAGCCCTTGGGTGGGGAGGGGAAGGGCTTGTGTCGAGCCAGGCTGTCTCAGTTGTTCTTGTTCTGGTTTCTGCGACTGCGCCCCACAGCCCACGGCCTCGCTCTCCTATCCTAGTCGCTCTGGATAGACTCACTCTTCACCCTCCGTGGTACTGTAGCGAACAGCAGAATGCCATATCTAGCTGGCTTGCCGTTGATCTGATATCAGAAAAAAAAAGCTCTTCGAGACTGCTGCTTCGAGCTCCCCAACAGGCCCAACAGATTCGTCTATCCACGAGAGTAGTTCCAGATGTATTGAGGATACGCTCCAGAGTAGCTGTTGTCTATCAGTCTACACAGTCCTGCCCCTCTATACCAGAGGACTCTACTCACATCAGCTCCCAAAAGAGCAAGCCTGTGCACCAATCAACCCTCCCCCGCCCCCCGCTTTCCTCTGCACCAGACAGGCACATCTGCGTTCCATCATTTGGCACATCCTCCTCTTTGAGTCTTGCTCGCCTCCTTAAGCCTTGCCCTTCCTACCATCCACAGTGCGGACAAACAGTATTAAGCCACCAGGCGATGATCTTTCTTAGTTTTCGTTGAGGAAGGGTTCTCTCTCGCTCGACGGCAGGAGGGCTGATGGGTAGGTCGTGCAGCTTGGAGTATAGGGAGAGGTCGGTGACGATAGTGCTCACCCGTTCAATGCCATGCTCCGCACATGATGACCTATCGGATTTTGAGAGGTCTATGGAAGGATGAATAAACCAGGAGAGGGACACACTGCTGTTACCGGTTTCTAAACTCTCCACCTCCTGTACGGCAGCGATTGTCGCAGAGGGGCTTTTAGGTATTGCAATATAGGAGAGAGGGTAAAGGGTCCACAGCATTGAAAGTTGGGTTTTCTGTTGTCAGTCTCGCTGAAGAAAGGCATACTACCCTTGGGCTCTCGGTACACATGTCTGTGCGATCTAAAGGGCGTCCCCTACTAGTCTTTCTGCTCGATCTTCGTACAGAGTTCGAAGCTACTGGGGCAACTAGCGCAAGCTGCAGACCATTCGTTTTCACCACTCACGCGGAGAAAGCAAGTGCATCTCCCTCTCAACTCCTATACTCTAGACCGGCGGGCAGGTCGGTATGGTCAGATAACAGCGGCTTGTATCGCAAACATGAGGGCAGTCCTTCAGCCCACATCATTGTATCGTTCAGAATCCTCAGCCCGCACTGAGCCGCCCTCAATCAGTACTTGAGTTCAAGTGTCCACAGCGGCGGCGGGAGAGAGAGAAGTGCAACGCCACAGACGCCGTCCGAAACTGTGGAGCTTGGTCTGAGGTGATGACTTCCAGAATCAGAGCGCTGAAGCCACTAGTCATACATGGTAGTACTGTTACAATCTACAGCCGTAGAGAGCTGGGTCACAAACTCACAAGTCTGTTCAAAGATGATTCCTCGCGGCGCTCAATACGTCCATCACATTCCAAACCATCAAAAGATAGCCACTGCGTTAGGCGGACTAGCAATGCCGTTTTCGATCTGCAAAGGCACACTACTGAAGTAGAAACTCCACCGATTTTGACGGTGACACTCGCTCGCCACCTCATTGAGACGCAGGATCTCGCCAATGGGGATGCCCATCCCCGAGAGTAGCGTGGGGTGCATCCAGACGGCGTTCTCCCATACAGCTTTCCAGTAGTCAGCTCAAGGTCTTCTCCTCTGTATGCTTAGTCGAGCACTCACGCCAACTCTCAAACGTAGGATTGTCACTGCCGACAGCCACAAAACCCGTTTCCCATATCCACTTGACCACCTCCTCCTTCCCCTCCACCCCATACCACCGACCTTGGATCGCACTCTCCCTATGTCTGTCCACTTGAGCCTTCTCGCTGTCCTCGCGGTACACGTCTTCGAAGCCGGTACGGACGAGCAAGACGTCTCCGGGGCGAGGTTGCAGATGGAAATGTTCCACAGCTCTCAGGAGGAGAGGCAAGTCGACCGGGTTTGAGGCAGGATTAAGCAAGGGAGGGTTGCTGGGCAGATTGTTTTGCTCTAGGTACAGGGGAATGTCGATAAGGATTCCACGAGTCTGTATACCACCGGCTTTGGCCAGGGCTTCAATCTCGTCAGTCGAGAAGCTCCTTGCGTATGAAGACTCACCCGCTACGCAAAAGTCACCCGTCTTTCTGTTGAGGATATCTTGATCTTTGATACCACCGTAGAAAACACCAGAGCCTGGGTAGCTAAAGTGTAAGAAGTAGTCCCACTGGCTCGAAGCTTGAGTGTTGATAGTGAGGATCTCATCGTAGCAAACAACCCAGGGGGTCCCATTCTCGTCGGTCTGTTGCTTCTCATCGTCTCCGTACCCCCTTCTTTTGATTTCATGCTGCCCACAAGGCCTCTCGAACAAGCACGTCCCAGATTGATATACTGGCCAATCGATGGGGAAGCTCTTGCCGACCTGTATACATTCGCGAGCCGCCGCGACTGTGATAGAGGGGTTCAAGAGGGAGAGCCGACCGATGGGATTGGGCTTGATAGACGGCCAAGAGGAGAGGGGGTGTGATTTGTGGTCGATGGGTGTTAGGTGGGAAGAGGAGAGAAGGGAGGCGTCCACAAGGTCTTGCTTGGCGTCTGACATGGCGGGGTTACGGCGGGACAAGCGATAATAAATAGTCGAAACAACCCCATGTATATATACTGGTCCATGCGGCGGGTCAGCTGATGGGTACATGGTCAAGCCATAACCAGGTCCCGCGCCGGCTAAGTACAGACTTGCCTGTGCCGAGTGCACCGGCATCTGCGGTCTCGTCATGATCCCGTGATGCTTTCCCACAGCAAGATGTGGCTTTGTGGCTCCCTGCATAACAAGCACGAGCACAAGTATGCATTCGAATGCCTAGCATGAACATGCACGATTAAAATACTTCGCGTTGGCGCACAAATTGCTGGACTACATCGTCAAAATCTCAATCCCAGCACTGAGAGTGTCGCCATTTGAAGCAGCGTATTATGGGACGTATAATACATCTACATCATCTCCGTCACTCCTTCCTCGCCCCGACTTTCGACACCAGATATTGCAGTACCTTCTTCTGTTCTTGACCCCCAACGCCTTCAATTTCTTCGGGCACTTGTCCTTCTGAATTAGACTACACGCCAAGATCAGCAAATCGATTCGCGGTACAAAGATGATCACTCACTCTTTCACGATCAGCACCAGCTTCTATGAGCACCACAGCCGCATCTCCGTGTCCGCTCTCCAGGGCCAGATGCAGCGGCGTGTTTCCTACCCCCCAACCGAACATTAGCTCGCGTGTTCCTCTTCATGCATAGTCTGATCTGAAAGAGGTGCTCACCAGCACGGTCAGCAGTGTTCAGCCTGGTCTTGGCCCTTCCCTCGGGCGGGTTGAGCAAAAGCTGAAGGAAGGCGTTGTTGCCAGTCGCAGCAGCGCGATGAAGAGGATGTTGATTCGCTCGGTCTCGGGCACTGATCTGAGAAGATGCGAGTCAGTTTCGTCTGCTGAAGATCAGATCGTTGGCTAAGACTCACGTCGGCACCGTTTCGTATGAGCAGCCGTCCAACCTATATATACCTTCAGCATATAAAAAGGTAAGCGTTGCTATCACTCACTGGAACGTTCCCCTTGGAAGCGGCATAATGTCTGCGATAAAGGTCAGTAAGACACTGATGAGTTCATGAACATCAAGTATTCACAACGACGTCTGTCCTTTCTCGTTGCTAGAATCAACCTTGGCCCCAGCGTCCAAAAGCTCCTTGACGATCTCAATATGTCCCGATGCAGCTAAAATGATGCTATCGTCAGTAACTGCACCCGATTGAGCATCGTCAAACACTACTAACACGCAATCATCAAAGCAGTCCAGCCCATGGTATCTCTCGCTTCCAGATCCGGGTTATAATTCAGCAGGAGCTGAAGCATTGAGAGACTTGAAATGGTAGCCGCCCATTGAAGAGGAGTCCTGCCGTCCTACGTGGTTACCGACAAGTATTGGGCGATATAATGGAATCGATATGGTAGCAGGAGCGAGCAGTCCAGAGATCAGCTTCAGTCTTTTACTTGGTCGCCTGGATTCACATACCTCGTCCCTGACATTGATGAGTTTTGGGTCATCATTGAGTAGTGATCTGGCAAGACCAATCTGACCTATATGGAGTAAGCCTCGCCCAAGCATTACCACATGAATGAGCGCCCCAGCGAGCAGCTAGATAGTGATCGAGCTTTCGAGAGCGAATGGTGGGGGTGCTTCGAGAACCAATCTCACCTTCCAAAGCCGCTTTGTGCACACTGAAGCTGGACATGTTGCTGGTTGCCTGGGATCAACTTGTAAAGAAGACCACCGCTCATACGTACTAGACGACGCACGCGCGACGCGTCAGCGGTGGAGGCAGAACGTTACGTAACCAAGGGACCCGCGCGTCAATCGACGACCACGAACAAATCAACAGACCCTCTACGACAGCTTCTTCTACATCCCGCTACACCCTCCCTCTCACCGTCTCTATCAATGGACACCTCAAGTCCCTACGGAAGTTGAATAATATACGAATCCTTTCGGTCAGGAGGTCGTTCTTGGTCCACTCCGTCTCGAGCCACATGTGGAATGACGCGACAACGCGCCTACCAGCATCGGCCTTGACATGCGCCGCTGGCGACGGTTCAGAACCACCACTCAGTGACCATGGATTTCTTTGCTGATAGTCTCCGTGCTTGTAAGGAAGAACGGATCGACAAAAGTCAAGAGGCCTACTCATGGTTGGCTGACGGAAGATGTCGCCATGATGGTGGCCTGTTATATCTGTAGGTGAGCCAATATACAGAGTCACAAAGTCCTATCCGCCCCAGCTATCTTCATGGAACTCTCGTTGGGTATATTAGTAGGTGACCCATCATCGCTAGACGCTACCTACTAGAGTAGAGCACCGGAGAGTGTCCGGAGCCGTCAAGCTGGATAACGCGTTGATTTTGGTTGTGATAGCAGTGCGCTTTCGTATAGCATCAGGTGTGAAAGGATCCATTTCGCTAACAGCGCATAGCATTGTTATAAATGACCTTTGTTGAGAGGCAGTGAATGACTATACTAATCAGTACGGTATAATTTGCTAGATGTACCTCTAGTGACATTGATACATACTTGGTTTGTCTCTGCAGTCCATTGCGCAATGAAGGTGGTAAGAAAGGTCATCGAACGAGAAGGCTTCTTCCTCCCCTTCTCAAGCGCGGCGCGCGCCGCCTTGCGTCCCGATGATGGGCGGTGATTGGCCCGGAAGAAATGGCATGGTTGAGTTGGACGCCAATAATACCCTCAACCCTACCTCCAGTCTGCTTAATCCGGCCCCTATTGCTCCCATTCCAAGGCGGGAGTGGAGCTAGGCATAGCCCCCTCCTCTTATCGCGGAGTCAAGTATACTCACGAACGTCGCTGGGTTCATCAGGCGGTGTAGGTACGCGGTGGAAAAGTGCTCGACTACACCTCCCGCTGTAGCTCAACCACGCGTCCCGCTTACGTCCCACCATCTTTTCCTCAACATCATATGCAACTACAACTTCTATTGGGTCTTCATCTCCGTCGGGATTTTTACTCCAGGACCTTCTGCTCCAGGGCTATATGTGTGCATTCTTTGTGTGTGTGTCAACGCCATTGTCCTCTTTGGCCTCTTTCAACCTGTTTGCTGTGCTCCTGCAGCCGCCTCTCTCTCTCTCTCTCTCCAGGTAAGATTTATCCACGGGGGACAGGGGATCCATGCAGTACACCGACGATTCATATGCACGTATCACGTGGCGTAATAGAAAAAACTCGGGGAAAATCGATTGAAAGAACTCTCAGGAGCAGACCAAGGAAGAGGTGACGGCCGTGTGTCCCACTTCTGTGCGTATGCATGTGACAGCGTGATTTCTGTGCTCATAGTCTGATGCTTTCCACTTGAGAGAGTACCTCGAACAGATAGACATCCTCGAGCTGCAATCCATAGAAGTCCAGACTAGCCCATTACAGAGATTGCGACAGAAACTAGCCTCCACCGACCCGCCCTGTCTTTTCCCTGGCATCCCAACCTTACTTCCTTCCTCCCATACCCCTCTTCTTCCACCACTCGCATTCTTTCCACTGCATGGCATCTCTGCAGTGTTGACACCCCTCCTCTCCCTCCCCTCGGAAAAGAGTGGCATCACTGCATAGAAGACTCTGGACGCTGGCTTCCCGACCGCAGTCGGCAATCGGTGCGTACAATCTCTCATTTCCTACATCGTCCTCTGTTCAGCCATCCATCTGCCCATGGCTGCATCCCTGCTCCCCATGACTGGCTCATGGACCAGCAAGTAAATGCTGGCTGCTGCAAAATTTGTCTGGGATCGATTGTTGACGGCATCGTAGATCTCACTTCCCACCCTGTCATCGTACCGTCAATCAAATCCTTGCCCTGACGGCCTCATCAACATCTCCCACCCTACAAGATAGCGTTACCATTGACTGGTAGTAACAACTACGTCTGAGCTAGTCTCAGATCAACCTCGTATGTCGTCCCCGCTATGATCCTCCCGCATCCCGAGAACCTCCTCACTGATATCAGCCAGCTTGATCCTCTCCGCCTCTCCTCGTATATCCGAGACCTGCTATGGCAGGACCAGTCATTATAGATACTCCTCTTCACCTAGCAATGCCCAATTCGACAACTCAAGAATTAATGACGGACTGGACTCCCAGACTCGGAAGCTTTGGTGGATCGCTGCGGCGGGACAAAGACAAGTACGTTGCTCCACGAAACGGGGCATGATCGTATACTGATGTCTAGCAGCATGGACATAGGCGGTTCTCCTTACCGGACGTCTCCTCATGGCTCGCCCACACCACAAGGCCAGACATTATTCATCAACACTCCCCACTCGACTTCCCACCTTGCCTATCCATCCATATCGGGCTCTCCATTCCCCCATGTCCCTCATCATCGCCATCTCGCTTCCCCTCTATCGCAATCTCAAAGCTACTACCCTTCACCGCATGGGGGCTTTGAACCCGACCCTGTCCAGTGGCAAGCCCACGGCCGCTCGCCTACATATGCTGAAGGTTCTGGGCAACTGCAGTACCTAGGCTATTACACTGGTGAACAAGGATTGCTGAGCACATCTGCATTGGAGAGGCCTTACTCTGCACACGGAGAAGCCATCTCTACGATGTCACAAAGAAAGAGGGGTAAGCAGCCAATGAGAGGAAGTGGTGGGATGGGGAGGGCGACACCGAAAAGGGGACGATCGGAGGAGACCCTGGGGTCCGCAAAGAGATTGAGAGTAGGCGGTCCTGAACAAGAGCGGTATATGTCCCCGGCAGCCTACCCCGGGCCTTCGGGGCACTCAGGGGCCCAAGATATGACCCCTATCAACGAGATACCAGAGGACCCCGCCAATGGAGGTGTCCCCAGACCGCAACCAGAAGGTGCAGCGACAGGGGAGCCTGAGCACCGCCCATTGGTCATCACCCGTCACGAGACAGAAGGCCGAAAACTCGGTCTTCTAGGTATCGCCCGAGGCGAGCTCGAAGACTCCAAAACCCCCGAAGATCCGCCTTTATCCCCTCGTATGACAACCATCGATGTGCTGGAAACCGACGAATCAGGCCGTGCGGTACTGGCCACAAGAGAAGTGCTGGAGACAGAGTTGACGTGGTTGGACCCGAACAACCAAATGACACCGCCATCTTCCCCAAAGAGGATGTCGTTCCAGACGCCGGTGGCACCTCGTAAACAAGCACCCCAAGAGGAAGAACAAACGGACGAGGAGAACTCAGAGCCAGCACTGGAGCGGGAGGCGAATCAGCTGTCCAAACGGCTCCAAGCGTTCACCGAAGCAATGACACACGATGAACAGCCCCTCGTCTCTACACGAATCGAGATGTTTGGTCGAGTAGCTGTTCGCAAGTCTACAGCTTTCAGCTTCCTCCAACTGAGCTCTTCAGAAGGGTCAGCAGCTATCGAAGAGTTCAAAGCCGATGGCAAGGAAGACTGGGAAGTGGAGTCTGACGAGTCGCGAGTATTTCGGCCCTTCGTCAGGCCTATGTGGCCCGATAACGAAGCTCCATGGGCGCTTGCTGGCGGGAAGATGAAGGATAGGATCAGGAGGGAGGAGGGAGCCAAGGCGCATACGCTACGGCGGTATCTAGAGACGTCTAGTGATGAGAGCGAGGAAGAGGATGAGCATCCGCGCTTTTTCCGGGCTGTTCGCCAGACGGGCCACTGGGGAAGGGGCAAGGGTAAAAGTATCTCAAGGCTGCTTCCCATGGAGATGCGCGAGCGGGAGAGACGTATGGACCGGACATCAGCCCGAGATGCGCTGTTGAGCTCTTTACGCTCCCGTCCTGTACCGGTACTCCCAGCTGGGGTAGTAGCCTGCGTCTGTGGCGCGACAGCCCCCAACGAGCTCGGCTCTATGATCTCTTGCGCAGCTTGCCGAACATGGCATCATCTCGTCTGCAACGAGTTTGAGGACGTGGCGAAAGTTGGACCGAACTGGTGGTGCCAGAGCTGTACGGCCAATGCCTCGGGCTTACGAACACCCGTATCCCATACGCCTACCAGGAGCTATTCGTCCATCGGAGATCCAAGGAGTTCTGCGGTCAAATCCGACATCAACCATATCGCGCTGGCGCCTTCGCCAATGTTTGTCAACTCTGGCAACATCTCTGCTGCGCGAACTCCTGTCACTAGGAACCCTGGGTCTTCTCCGCAAAGACCAAAGCACTCGAGGGTGTTGTCTTTCGGAGGGGACATGTGGGCTTTCCAGGAAGACGCTGCGCCATCTACACCTGTGCCTGTCGTACATGACCGGTATTCTACCCCGCGTATCAGCGACACTCCGTTTGATGTCACTTCCACCCCTTCCCGTCATCTCGACTTCAACTTTGGTCAACCGTCCCTCTTCTCGCTCACCCCCCTGGGGGGCAGATCCAGAATGCCGTCTACGGTGCTGATCGATGGTACGCCCGTCATGCGGGCGACTCCAAGAAATACGAGTGGGCACGGGGGTGCACTGGAACCAATGTCTGTGCCTTCACGAGCGGACTTTTTCCGTGAGCTTAACAAGGGCAATGGGCCACACTCTGCGGGACCGAGCTTGGGACATCACCACTCCAACGCTGCTGTTCATCACATGGTAGGGTCAGCTTCGGTAGGAACAGGTGATAGAGAGCTTCCAGCGTCGCCAAGATGGCCTCATAGTCTTTTGGGAGCGCAGCTCAGCCCTTCACCATTCGGAGGCGGCCACAGACGGTCTCTGAGTGGGAACAAGCTGAGCAGTATGAGATCAAGCTCGAGGAGTGGGCTGGGGACGGGATATGGCGTAGCGGAGGAGAAGGATGAGTAAGGGTTTAGAACAGGATCTGAATGGGATTACATCTTAGTGTTATATGGTACGGATATATGAGACTATCTATGTTGGATTAATGTATTTACATACAATACGTCTGCCGAGAGTATCAGCATCATCCATTGGTGGAGTTACGCGTCCTCATCACCTGCTTATGTAAGGATCTGTGAAAGTCGACGAAACTCTCCTCCCGCCGGGCCATTCGACGCTGAACCGCTTTGTGTTGTTCTCTGTCTTGTCTCTGTCAGTCTTCTCCCATCTATACATATATATCACCGCCACACCACATCAGATCACACCGCCCGCTCTTACCGGTCATCCTCCGACGGTCGAGTCCCCTTCGCACCACACCCCACCCCTGTGCCTTTCATGGGCTCAGCACAATCTACCCCAGGTCCTCAGCCTCAAAGTGATCACCCGACAATGGAGACAAATCCCTTCCTCCCCCCCACAGCAGACCCCCTCTCTCACCCTGTCCAAGAAGACGGTGGTCAATCTACGCAATGGCCGCTCACTTTGTCTACAGACACGTCCCTGTTGACCCTGAAAGAGGCTGCACGCAACAGTTCGCGACGGCGAAACGATACAAGACTACCATCTGCCGGTACTTCCCCTCACGCGCCTCTCAGTCAACGAATCTCCAAGCCCAGACTACCCTTGGCCGATAGAATAGGCAAGAACAAACCAGTCTACATTGACAGAGAAGAGGGAGAGATCAGTGATGAAGAAGACGGGCAAGAATCTGTCGAGCGTCACGAAGGCAAGAACTTGGCTCAACGACTTGGTCAATTCTCAGCGGCTTCGTCTCTCTCGGCTTCTGGTGGAACTCAGCCTCACGCATCAGCTGCCCCCAGTCGTTCCCACGCCGGGGTCTCATTGTTGGAGCGGCTCGAGCGACTATCATCGCCCCGTAAACGTACAAGTCAACAGCAGATGTCGCCGCTGGCATCTCCGCCTCCTCCGTCTCCGCCTCTTCCCCATATCCCATCAACACCAGAGACCGAGATATCCCGTCCCGCTTCTCCCGAATTTCCGCCGACCCCGCCCATGCCAGCAACCGCAGAACCCGCGACGCCCCCTTTCCCGCCAATTTCCGATTGGCTGCCGTCGACTCCTCCCAGACCCCCCACACCGATGCTTGACGCGGGCATGGAAGTGGATACACCACCTTTGCCGTCTCCTCCTCGTGTGCCAGACTCTAGGCCGCCGTCTCCCAGTGACCCGCCTCCTGTTGAGGAGGAGCGCCCTTGTACGCCGCCAATCCCTCAAAGGAATGAGCCTCTCGAGATGGATGATCCTGTCGAGGTATATCGAGAGCGACTATCTAGATCTGCCGGTGCGGTCACAGCTGGGGAGCTGATGACCCATCCGCTTACTCCCCCTATCCCGCCCGCGTCCCCTGATATAGATCTGGATATTGCACCTGTCGATATGCCGGAGCAATCGCAGACAATGGCTGAGGCAGTCCAGCCAGACGAGCCCCTGCAAATCTCAAACGAGGAGGAGGCTCGAGTCGATGCTGGGAAGGAAGAAAGCCCGGACGAAGAGGCGAATTCGTCTGCAGAACAACCACCATCAACAGCCGCAGCTTCTGGTACGCTCTCGTCACGCCTTCCCTCTACCGAACTGACTTGTTGCAGATGCAATCCCAGAGGACACCACCGATTACATGGGTCTCATTCGAGGCCTCATTCTTGACGGTGTCTCGCCACAGCAGCTCATCGAGCGCGGTGCTTCGGCACACAGTGTGATGGTCGTCTGCCAAGAGATTGTCGAGCGCACGAAGCAATCTGCTGGGTCCGTAGAGCAAGGCTCAGCTGAAGAAGCTGCTTTCCTTGCCGTTGAGGAAGAAGCTCCTCACGCCGAGGGCTCCGAGTCGCGACCTATCTACGTCGCTTCCAGTAGCGCCGCCTCGTCCCCGACTCTTGCTCATCTGGTACATCCCCAGCCATCACCTCTTGGAGCCAGTCAGCTCAAGGAGGCGCTCGATCTTACTCTTCCCGCGAAACCTGTCGCAAGATTGGTCCCGCAGGAAAGTTTTAGACCGAAGCAGCCGTCACCAGCACCTGCAGAAATACTGCCGCCAGCTCTCTCTGTGCCAGATGTCCCTCCTGCGAGCTCGTCCAAGCTTGACACCTCCATACCTGATGCTTCAAGTAACCTCCCCCCGCGGGCTGGTAGTCCTCCACCAAATGTACCTTCACCCAACGTGCCTGTCTCTCCAGCTTCAAATCAAACATCGAAGAAGAAGAAAAAAGACAAAAAGACAAAAAGGGAAAAGGCCGCTGAGAATGCGGCGAACAAGAGGAAAGAAGCACCGGTCACTCGAAGAGCGACGGGCGCTGTCGTGTCCATGACCCCCGAAGATATAGCTCTGCATGTCCAGAACCGGCACGAGCATAATCTACGCTTCCATGCTGCGATGATGGCGGGGCAACTGCCTCCGCGACCCGGAGCTTACACTGCTTATTCCATCCACGATTACCCAGTCCCGTCATTCAACCCTGACATGCCGCCCCATCTTCATCCTTATCGCCCGGCCGCGCTTGGACCCGATATTCGTCCTGTCGAGCCACCTGGAGCTCCACCCCCTCCCCCCGACCACCCACCGCCTGATGCAAGTGCTGCTGCACTGCATGCGAGAAAAAGAATGGCTTTGGAGAGTATGCGAAGGAAGAAGCCGGCTTCAGCCCAGTCGGAGGTAGAGGTGGATACTGTGCGGCCGACGGTGGATAGTTCTCAGAGCCAAAGTCAAAGCCGCGAAGCGGAAGCGTACGAACAAGCCGCGGCCTTGGAGAAAGAATTCTTCAACGCCTACATCTCTGGACAGGGCCCTGCGGGTGCTCCTCCTGACGTACCGGGCAATGTACATGAGAAGAAGAATGGGTCGGAAAGTATGGATATGGAGCTGGAAGAGCCCGAGGAAGGGGAAATCGCTGCGCCGCCGCCGGTGCTACCGGTCATTGCTATGAGTGAAAGTATGACGCCCGCAGAACATATCCCTGGGGCTCCTACGGCTGCGCGTAGAGGGACCAAACGACCTCACGCCGAAGATCTTATGGACGTACGACCCCATTCTGCCCCGCCTGCCCGCCGTCCAACAGCGCCCCGTCGACTGTTTGGTCTTCCCCTCAACCCGACCCGTTTGTTGTTACATGTGGACGACGATTCTGATTCCGATTCTGACGACGAGATGGAAGAATTGCAAAAGAGGGAAGAGGAGCGGCAGAGGGAGGCGGATGAGAAGCAAAAGAGGCTCAATGAGAACATCCTGAGGCTGAAAGCAGAGATTGCGATGAAGAAGCGCCGGAAATTGGCAGGGGACACGAGCGGAGCGGCTTCTCCGACCACTGGGGACGCGACACCGACGCTAGGTGCCGGAGTTGTCCAAAACTTGACAGAGACCGCGGAGGCAAGTGGAAAACGTGTCGGTATTGACAAGCTGGCTTCAGCGGGTACGGCTGCTCTTTCAGTCCCAGAAGACACTCGGGCAAGATGTGAGTGTCATATGCGTTGATCCATATCAAACTTGTTAACAGTATATTACAGCATCAACACCAGCCGATATCAAACAGTTGACCGTAGAATTGGCCCAAGTCGAAGCTCAAAAAGAAGAGCAGGCCAAGGAAATCATGTCTGCCAACGCCCTAAAATCTGCGGAAGAGCCGATCATTGCAGACGGTATGTGACCAGGCTTTACTCAAGATGGGTCTGACGCCTTTGTAAGACGACATCCAGGTGGATGAAGAAGGTGTGTGTCCCAGCTACGGACAGTATTGACGAGACCAGACAACCATCTGTCAGTCGTGGTCGGTCAAGCAAAGGTTTGTATATCGCCTTTGGTGCGTCTCCGTTCAATTGACGATGTACAGGATGCGATTCAGCCCTCCCAACCATCTACTCAACCCGCTACTTCCCACAAATCAAAGGTGCGTCGCTCAAATCAGCTACAAAGTTGACATTCCCAGAATTTCCAGGCGTACTACCCTATTCTTACCCACTATCCCCAGCTGCCGAGTGCCATTTCTCTCCATACCTCTCCCCATACCCCTGCCCCAGATCCCTTCGCCCAGATCAACCGGGTCCTCCTCGATTCAATCATCCTCACTAACCGCTCACAGGCAGGCAGTGTCACTCTATGCCGGGCTGAAGCTGGAGGGGGCAAGTGTGCAGACCGGAGTTGTCAATCGGCACATCTCACCAAGGGATCAACAATCAGCGGCAAGTGCTCTCTGCAAATGAGCTCGGTTTCAGAATGGGTCACTGATATTTGATCAGATGACGATGTGGTCGAATATGTGTACGAGGCGTATATCATCCCTCAGGGCAAGGCAAGCGGGAGGGAAAAACAAGGGGTGGCAGATATAGTGGCTGCCGCGAGACGGCAAGTTGTCAGCGGCCAGACAATTCCAACACACACGATCAGAACCGACGACGATACGCTCAAGCAGCTCTTTGAGAAAGTTGGTCAGCTCCTCCAGAGCTGATCGGACTATTCCCTATTGACTCTTGCCTCCCTCCCTACCCCCTCCTCCCTTCCCCATCCCCCTCTTCTGATATCCTTCCTGTCTTGTTGTTATTATAACGGGTCACTGCTGTATACCCGGCAAAATCCATACCTTACGAGTACTTACTGTATCTGTACAGTCTTAGTAGACTGTAATCGAAAGCAAAGGCATTCTCGACGTTTATTGTATGCATAACACGATTTAATGACTTGCATACAGCTTTTACAAGCCTGCCGGACTGCCAAGTAAATAAATGTTAAGAGATTGGGCACACAGCAGGCGAACGCAAGACTGCTCAAGATGATCGATCCACCTACAGCAAGTGCGTATTGTGCTCTCATCAGCAAACTGTACACGTCCTGCCCGTCTGAAACCAATAGCCAAGGATGTGGTGATTGATCGAGGACGGGTGTGTTGAAGATAGCCAGCCGCCTTGGAATGACGTTACCAGCTGGCCCACGGTTCTATACATAGTGGTCCAGTTTGCCAGGTACTGCGTGGGGGGACACGGCTGGGGGGCCCGAACGGGGCCTTTTTGCCGGCTGCAGTAAAGGCGATACTCGATCGTCCGCATATCTGAGTTGAGCTGTGGGGTCTACATAATGCATAGAAATTTGCAAGCATCTGCAGACTGAATATTCTGTATGCATGCGTCTGATGCAGATGCATAGTGCAAGAAGTGGTAACTGCCACGCGGATAACGCCGCAGAAGGCCGAATAATTAAGACTCGCTCCTTTTGTCCATCCGGCATGCGGAGACTTCAAACACGAACCGACAGAGCACGGAAGCCGCCTGCCACATCTGCCTCCACCTCGTCACTCAACACGGCCATCGCCTTATACCAGGACCGACATCGCCCCCCGGTCCCCTGCCCCCCTCCCCCCGCCCCCCGCCACCCACTCCCCTATTCTCCCCGCCTCTTGTGGGACCACTGTCGACGCGACGCGTCTCCGCTAATTAGGCGTCATGCAAGATCAGAACCAAGATGCTGTCGTCAGCCAGCCACCGCAGCCTCCCAAGCCTGGCGCCATCTCTCTCGACGATGAGAGGACCCTCGAAATGTTTGAGAACATGGATGTCACCCGCTTGAACAATATTCGCAAAGTGCGTGCATCCATGCGTTTCATGATGAATGCTGATCCCCCTTGTTCAGCGTGCGACGGAGCTGCAGACAGCTGGCCAGACTAGAGAAAGTTCGTCAGAGCTGGGCAAGCTCCTCACCATCCTCGATATGTATGCTAGGGCCAAACAAATCAAGTAGGTTTTACACACATATCGTGGTCGTATACTAAGTCTCCCTAGACATGATCGCGCTCTTGCAGCTAACAAGCCCACCGAGGATGGCACGTCAGCTCCTGCTACCCCTGTCAGTGCCCCCAACTCGGCTCACATCTCCATGAACCCTTCCCAGATCGCTCAACTCCGTACACAAGCTGCCGCCTACCAAAGTCTCTCCAAGGGTCAGCCCATCCCCGACTTTCTGCTCTCTGCTGCCCAGGGCAACCCCCCTCCTGGTGTCGCGGGACAGCCTCCTGTCCCTCAAGAACAAGAAGGCGTTGCTGCCAAAGTGGTAGACAAGGTTGTCGAGACTGTGGTAGAGGACAATCTGGAGGCAAAGGAGAAGGATGGCAGGCTGGAAGAGCAGCCTTACCTCATGGAGTACGACGAGTCATCCATCATTTACCCCTACAATGCCTATGTCGACCCTTCTATCTATGCCAAGCGTAGATTCGACGACGAAGTCACCAACCCTCTCCACAAACGTCAACGTCTCATCACGCCGGCGATCATGCCTCGTGGCCTCGACCCCTATCTTCTGATGGAGGAGCGAAACAGATATATTGAGACTCGAATGGCCTGGAGGATGAAGGAGCTCGAAGATCTCGACTCTACTGCCGGATTAGGTACAGCTGGTGCTCAGGATGTCCCCAACATCGCCGAGGCCGAAAAGTCGAATTCCAATTTGGGCATACAAGCTCGTATTGAGCTTATGAGCCTTCGACTGGTTGGCAAGCAACGTCTCTTGCGAGAGGACGCAGTTCGAGCCATGCACGGTGCGACACAAGTTCCTGCCGACCGATCCCAGTTCCGTCGATTCCGCACTCACACTCTGCGAGACGCCCGGGCTACCGAGACTGCCGAAAGACGCCAGAGGACCGAACGTGAACAGAGAGGCAAGCAGCGACATATGTCGTACATTCATTCTATCTGCGATCATGGTCAGAACCTCATTGGTGCCGGTGTGGGCTCGCTTCGGGGCCAGGGTTCGGACAAGATGAAGAGGCTGGGCAGGTCGATGCTCAAATTGCATGCCGATACCGAAAGGGAAGAGCAAAAGAGAATCGAAAGGATTGCCAAGGAGCGTCTCAAGGCTCTTCGAAACGATGATGAAGAGGCCTATCTGGCGTTGCTTGGTGAAGCCAAAGACTCCCGTATCTCGCATCTCATGGACCAGACCGACCAATACCTCGAGACCCTTGCTGCTGCTGTTATCGAGCAGCAGAATGACGATGTGCATCGCGACGCCATCATTTCCGAACCGTTCGAGGTTGAAGACGGTCCTGCAAACGAGGAAATGTTTGGTGCTAGGAGGCAGGATGGAGAGGAAGCGGGCGCGGAGAGGAGGGCGGGCAAGGTGGATTACTATGCTGTCGCGCACAAGACTCAGGAGAAGGTCACCAAACAGGCTGATCTTTTGACGGGTGGTACGTTGAAGGACTACCAGGTCAAGGGTCTGCAATGGATGATCAGTTTGTATAACAATCGTCTCAACGGTATCCTGGCGGACGAAATGGTACGTCCTTCCTTCATATGATGGTCAGTGAACTGACATTGTGGTATAGGGTCTCGGTAAAACCATCCAAACCATCTCCCTCATTACTTACCTCATCGAGAAGAAGAGGCAACCTGGGCCATTCCTGGTCATTGTACCACTTTCGACTCTCACCAATTGGACGCTTGAATTCGAGCGATGGGCTCCCGCTGTTCGAACTTTGATCCTCAAGGGCTCTCCCGCTGTCCGTCGAGAAGCATATCCTCGTTTGCGAGCCATGGACTTCCAAGTCTGTTTGACTACATACGAATACATCATCAAGGAGAAGCCTTTGCTGAGTCGAATTAAATGGGTCCACATGATCATCGACGAAGGTCATCGAATGAAGAATGTCAAGAGTAAATTGAGTCAAACCTTGAATGAGCATTATAGCTCGAGGTACAGATTGATTTTGACTGGTACACCTCTCCAGGTAGGTTGACTCTGCACGAGTAGATCACAGCTGACGTCCTTCCAGAACAATCTTCCTGAACTCTGGGCTTTGCTCAACTTTGTTCTTCCCAAGATTTTCAATTCCGTCAAGTCTTTCGATGAATGGTTCAACACTCCCTTCGCCAACACGGGTGGTGAGAAGATGGAGATGAATGAAGAAGAGGCCTTGCTCGTCATCAAGCGTTTGCACAAGGTTCTGCGTCCATTCTTGCTTCGACGATTGAAGAAAGATGTCGAGAGCGAGCTACCGGACAAGGTTGAGAAGGTTCTCTACACCAAGATGAGTTCCTTGCAGTGGAAGCTCTACGAAAGTGTACAGAAATACAAGACATTGCCTACCGATATGACTGCTGCGTGAGTTCCGAATTCGGCCAGATGTCTGGCTGAGGCTGACGAGTTGCAGTAAACCTCAAAAACGACAGAATCTGCAGAACGCTCTCATGCAGCTTCGAAAGATTTGCAACCATCCCTATGTCTTCCGAGAGGTCGATGAAGACTTCAGTGTCGGCCAAAGCACGGATGAGCAAATTATCCGAGTCGCGGGCAAGTTTGAGCTGTTGGATCGAATACTGCCAAAGTTGTTTGGGACTGGCCACAAGGTGAGTCACGATTCTTGACACCGCCACCATTGCTAACTAGAAGACAGGTCCTTATCTTCTTCCAAATGACTGAAATCATGACCATTGTCTCCGACTTCTTCGAGTTCCGAGGATGGAAATACTGCCGACTTGACGGTTCCACAAAGGCCGAAGATCGTCAGGCTCTCTTGTCTACTTTCAACGACCCCAACTCTCCTTACCAAGTATTCATTCTTTCCACCCGTGCCGGTGGTTTGGGTTTGAATTTGCAATCTGCCGACACTGTCATCATCTATGACACTGATTGGAACCCTCACGCGGATCTGCAAGCTCAAGATCGAGCCCATCGTATCGGTCAGAAGAAGGAAGTCCGAGTCTTGAGGTTGATCTCCTCTGGCACCGTTGAAGAGCTTGTCCTTGCCAGAGCTCAAAGAAAATTGGAGATTGATGGCAAGGTCATCCAGGCCGGTAAATTCGACGACGTCACCACTGGTGCCGAGTACGAAGCTCTGCTCCAGAAGGCTTTTGAGGCTAGCAACGAGGAAGACCAAGATGAGACCAACGAGCTCGATGATGACGAGCTCAATGAGCTGCTTGCTCGAGGCGACCACGAGCTCGAGATATTCGCCCAAATGGACAAGGAGCGCAATGAACGCAAGCTTGCTGCCTGGCGAGCGTCTGGTCACACCGAGGATCTTCCTCCTGTCCTTATGGCCGAGTCCGAGCTGCCACCGTTCTACCGCCGGGACATCGGTCAAGAGATGGCCGCACAAGTCGCCAATGAAGACGAACAAGGCCGTGGTCGTCGTACCAAGACTGACGTCCGATACAACGACGGTCTCACAGATGACCAGTTCCTTGCGGCATTGGAAGACTCGGACGACGATGTTGAAGACGCCTCGGACAGGAAGAAGAAGAGGTCCGATAAGAAGGCGGAAAGGAAGAGGGTGAATGACATGTTGGCACGGGCAGAAGCCGATGGACGACCATTGGATGCTTCAGCTCTCAGGGGAGAAGTCGCCGAGCCTCCTCTTGCTGCTTCTTCTGGTGGGAAAAAGAAGCGGGCGAGGCCTAGTACATCGGTCACTCCTTCGGTCACCGGAGACGATGTCCCTAGCAAGAAGAGAAAGACCGACAAGATCCACAGTGCTGAGGTCCAATTGATGACCAGATTGTTGTCGGACGTCAACAATCTGAAATCAGAGTTGGGAGAGGATCTCAATCAATTCTTCCTCGTCCCTGTCAATCGAAAGGTGCGTCTCATAACATGTGTACATTACGTTTCTAACCCAAATATAGGACTATCCCGACTACTACAAAATCATCGCCCAGCCCATCGCTATGTCTCAGATCAAGGCCAAGGTTGGCAAACCATCCTACAACTTGCAGTCCCTCTACAATGATCTGCACCTCTTGTGGAACAACGCCCGTACCTACAACCAGGAGGGTTCATGGGTGTACAATGCCGCCGAGGACATGCAAGAAGGTTTCGACAGGATGTGGGAGGAGCAGGTGCCACCGTTCCTCGCTTCGCAGGGCGGCGAGAATGGAGGGTCGTCCTATGGTGACACCTCGGGTGCTCCCAGTGGAAGCAGCACTCCCATGTTCAAGTCTGTTGGTGAGAAGGCGACTGCGCCGAAGATCAGGATATCGATGGCGAAAAAGCAGGTGGAAGCTGCCATGGATGAGGACAGCGATGAAGAAGACGACGACGATGAAGATGATTACTAGTGCTTAGATCTAGAAGGTGATGTCTCTTTTTGTGGTCTATAGTTATCGTGTAAAATTAAATTGATACCTCTATCAAGATTGTTATGGATATGATGTGGAACATTTCAATGTACATATTCAGTCGTAGTCTTCTACAACAGTCCCCAGGTTCCGGCGTTCAGATTCGTCTGCTACCAATGACGTGATGGCCACATCCTGTATACCCAAGCCAACCTGTGACTTGTCAGCTCGATTATCTGCAACTCCTGCCGAGACACTCACTGATTTGAAGATGATGACATTACCCTTCTCTTCCTCACTTGGTTCGCTAACGGCTTGCCAGTCCTTCTCCTCAAGAATCTCGCCAAGCTCGATCAACCCCTTGCCCCCCGCTACTCCTTCTCCCACATCAATGAGCTCACCAGCCTCTCGTAGACAGGCCAACCTCGAGTCCACGACTACCGCCCCCGCCCTCTTCATCAGCTCACTGTCGACCTCGTGCATCTCCGGCTTGTACGAGCCAATCATGACGACTCTGGCTCCGGGCTTGGGACAGCTCGGAGACGAGGTGAAGAGGGGAGTAGTAGATGGTGTGGCGGTGACAATCACGTCTGCGGTGGATACCAGAGCGGACAGCTTTTCAGATGGTGAAGTGTGCCCGGCCAAGGACACAGTGACAGAGGGGAAAGAGGATCTGACAGCAGAGGCAACTGATTCGGCTCTGCTATTGATGGATCGGACCACGAAAGTCACCTGCGAGAAGGGACGGAGTCGGAGGAACAGTTGAGCATGGGCGAGGCATTGGGCCCCAGCACCGAATAAGAGAAGATGATCACTCTTGGGCGTCGGGTACAGAGATAAGAAGAGAGCCGAGCCTGAGCGAAAGTCAGCTGAATGTCTTGACCTACATCACATGCATGCACATACCACACGCATTCCGAAGAGCGGTAAGCTTTCTAGCATTGATGAGGGCTCTAGCCTTGCCGGTGACTTCATCCATCACAATGGTGCTGGCCGGTAAACCATCTGGACTCCCCCTCGAAGGCACAGACACAATCTTGCACGCCGTGGCTGTAGTTTCTTGCTCTGAATTGCGCACGGGTGCTCTTGCAGGCATAAAGAGCAAGGTGAAGTCGGGAGTGTTGACTGTGACTCTGTGTGGAGTCTGTATAGAGGCAGGGCCTTGGGTGGGAGCCTCATTGGCTTGTCGGGTAAAGCCGAGGAAGACCTTGGCTTGGGAGGCAAGAGCCAGTTGAGGCGAGAGTGTCTCGAGGATGGAGTCAACTTGGGGGCCAGAGACAACTCGGAGAGACATGTTGGGTATTCGATAGAAAGACACAAGGACAGCGCAAAGCAAAAAGTCACGCCGAGATGGAGTGATAAAATCTCGGAGTTGCCGACGCGCAGTCTAGTCTAGCCGCCGGGCGCTGAACGCCATGCAGAGGGTATATGTATCATGCCTATCATACAATGCAGCAGAGCTCTACTCGCCCCCCTTCTTCTTCTTCCTCCCCTCGGCATTGTCCTCGTCCGCCTTTCGCTTGGTCCCGGCCGTTTGTTCATCCTCTTCTCCCTGCTCATCGCCCTTCCTCGCCTTCCTCGCATCCCTCTTCTTCTTCTCCTGCTCCTTCCTGTGGGCCTTGAGTTCACGCGGAGTCATACCAGTCGTGTCTACCTCCTCTTCCTTGGGCTCGGGAGCGTTGTTGATCACGCGGGCCTTCTTCTGTGGCCGGGCTTGGGGTTCAGGAGAGAGAGACGGCGATGGGGAGTGGGCGGGGGCAGCCACAGGTTCGGGAAGGGCCGGAGGGTTGAAAGGATCGGACAGAAGAGAACCTGTCAAGGACAGCATCTGGTTGGTGACTTGCATACTGCGCGCCATTAGCCAAATCCATGAAGTTTACGAGTCAACTTACCCAATGACGGTAAACTTGATATCACCGCCCAACGCCTTTCCATTCGCCTTCTCTCTCCATCTGCCGACCTCCTCCACTGCGGACGCAAGGTTACCCATGCCTCCCAGATACTCAACCTCGTCTTCGCTGTCGCTGTCTTCTTCCGGGGCAGTTTCGTCTGTGTGCTCGAACTCGTACAGCTCGGCAGGGATATGTTGCAGAGGGATGGAGACGTTGAAAGTCTTGGAGAAAAGGAGAGAGAGGTGAGAGGGTGATGATAGGGAGTGCGCGCCGACTGATAATGAATGAGCATTGCTACCAGCAACTGGAGAGCCACCTACAAAGCTTCTGGCCGATTTTGGGCGCCCACAAGACGGAATGGAATTCAACCTCGACGACTCCGAAAGGACATTCGCCCACAATCTTCGCTGTCTCGTCCTCAAAGCTGTGCTCCCAATGAGCAAGGAGGACACCGCCCATCTGCGGCACATAGCTACGAGCAATCAGCTACAGGCCACAGCTTTGCAGCATAGAAAGACGTACCGCATGACCATGCCATCGAGCTGCTCCCTAACGCCCATCATGACATCGCCCGCAAATTTAGGAGGGACACTGATACGCATCCGAGAGATCCTATGCTCGAAGGGCGACTTGTCATGCTTGCCCTCCTTCTTGACCTCCTTGTGCTTGTGTTTCTTGTCCTTCTTGTCCTTGCTGTCGCGGTGCTTGTCCTTTTTGTGGGACTTGTCTTTCTTGTGCTTTGAGGAGGATGCTGTGGCGTTTGGATGGGACATTGTGGATTGATTTGTGGGAAGAGGTAGATGTAGGAGATGGGTCGTCGCGAAAAAGTTGCAGACGAAAACGGAAGCAAAATCTCACATCGGTGATCCGGTGGGTGCAATCGACATTTTCAAGAGGTGCAACTCTCGAGGGCAAGTAAGTTCCACAATCTACAGCATGGCATTCCTCCCTCGCCCCAAGTTCCCTTTCTCCTCAACAACCCCCTCCTGGTTCGCAGGCCACATGGCCCGCTCCTTGCGCGAGCTGCCACAGCTCTTGGACGACATTCATCTCGTCATAGAGGCAAGAGACGCCAGACTGCCATTGACGAGCATCAATACCGCCTTTGATGGAGTGCTGTCAAAGTGGATCAGTAGAGGAAAGTCAAAAGGGGTGGAGAGGGAGAGGCTTGTGGTGTACACCAAGAGAGATCTGGCCGAGAAGCGGTTTGAAAGTGTGAGCATTGGCATTGGCCTGTGATGAGTACACTAACAGGTCTCAGCCTTTAACGAAAGCCTTCCAAGAACATTCAAAGCAGAAAATCATGTTTGCCGATACTCGGTCAAATCCAGATGTCAAAGAAGTCTTGTATCATGCCGTCGGCAAGTCAAACCAGGTCCCTTGCGGTGCAGGACTGACCTTGTGTCGCAGACTCTGCCCGTGCCAACGCCGAGTATATCCCCATCTATAACATTCTCGTCCTTGGAATGCCCAACGTCGGGAAATCCTCCCTCCTCAACGCCCTTCGGCGTGTGGGCGTAAAGAAAGGAAAGGCGTTCAGAACAGGCGCCATGGCGGGCGTGACAAGGAAATTGACTGGGACGGTAAAGATCTTTGAGGCGCCTGATGTGTATGTGTTTGACACGCCGGGAGTTATGATGCCTTATCTTGGAAAAGGGGAGGAAGGGCAGGAGAAAGGTCTCAAGCTTGGTCTGACTGGTGAGTTCTGTGATCTGCGAGTTGAGACAAAATCTAAGACCGCGCAGCTGGTATCAAAGAAGATCTCTTTGAACTAGATGGCATGACCGACTATCTTCTCTGGAAGATGAACCGCCGCCTCGTATCGCAGCCTCGACTACCCTCCTACCTCACTCAGCTGCCCCTTCCCCCTTCAACCCAGCCCACAGACGACTTGCGTAGCTTGCTCGCTGTCCTCTCAGACAGACTAGCGATGAAGTCGAAAGGAGGCGAGCCTGATTTCGAGAGCGTGATGACTTGGATCATCAAAAGCTGGAGGGAGGGGAGGTTTGGAGAGTGGACATTGGACGAGCTGTTGCCTTACGATGCTGCTCCTTACCTGCTGGAAGGAAAGCAACCTCAGCCCTCGGTCGAGCTTCTCGAATCACAACGATCACCAGAAATCTCCCTAGACGCTCAAGTCTCTCAAACCGTCTCTTCTTACCTTGCCTCCGTCGCCCCTCGATCTTCTGTCGAACCCATGGCCGCCGTTTCATCCTCGCAACAACGCAAGATGGACAAGTCCCGGCGACTGCACGAGAAGGACGCCAAGCTGCGGGCCAAGGGTATCAATGTGAAGAAGAGGGAAGAGTGGCTACCTGGCGGTATGGTTGGGGGCAAGAAGAGGGGTGTGGGAGTGAAGAGTATGATGGGGACTGCAGGAAGGGCGTTTAGAAGGAGAGGGTAGACCTTTTCTGAGTGAATGGGTCATCGGCTCTGGGCCGGTTTACCGGGTGCGTGGCATAGGGACATCCGGGCTCCGTGAATGTCATTTTAGGCTCTCTAGGCATGTGCTCTGAGCCTCGTCAATTGCCATGACCATGATGACCATGTAGAGTCAGCAGGGAAATGTGAGCCATTCCCACAACAGGTGTCGTCACGACGGTGGAATACATACTACTCCAGATGGATGCACATAGTACCCCCGAATGAATTCGTGGACCGTAGCTCGATGTTACTGATCCATGCTTCTTATTCTTATGCTACATTTACAGGAAGGGATCCTTCAATTGGCTTCTGATCATTACTTTGCGTTCTTGACGGCATCGATTTGGTTTGCAAATCAGAAACCGATAGCCTTAGCATCCGTAGTAATACATATGCTTTGATCCTTTCAGTAAACATTCACTCCACAGGGGTAGAAGAGCTCACTTGTCATACTTCTTCAACGCCTCGGCTGCCTGTGGACCGTCATTCACCAGTCGACCGGTCCATTGTCCATGCTTCCTGGCAGCTGCCACAACCTTTTCAATCGCATCGACAAAGACTGGTTCGTCGCCCTTTGCGGGTGTGTAGCCGAGAAGCGACATGGCGAGGTCATTTGGGCCGATGAAGACGTAGTCTGAAATTGAAATGAGTATGCCACCTTGTGCAATCTGAGGATCAACTTACCAACGCCGGGGACAGCAGCAATAGCATCTACATTCTTGACACCTTCGCTCGTCTCGATTTGCACGATCGTCAAGATGGTTTCGTTGGCAGACTTCATATACTCGGGCAGGGTCAAGCCTTGTCCTCGAAGACCTTGAGGTGGGAACTTGGAGAACTTGACAACTTCGGCAGCCTCTTCGGCAGTGTTGATCATGGGTACCATCAGAGCGCTACGCCAAGGGGTCAGAGACGAAGAAGGCCGACGGAGAGCAGAACATACTGGGCACCGGTATCCAGAGCACGCTTGAGAAGATCTGGCTGAGGACCTCGCACGCGGATGATAGGGCAGCGGCCCAGGGCAGCGATGGCAGAGACCGAGTTGTGCATCTGGTCATCGCTGAAGTGCCCATGCTCGCAGTCGATGATAATGCCCTGTAGTGATATTATCAGCTCGGGCCATACAAACCGACGTGAGGAACTTACATCCAGACCAGTCAGAGCGAGAATCTGGGCTTGTCGGACGCTGGGGATGACTTGGAAAGTCACCAGAGAGGGAGATCCTGTCCGGAGAGAGTTGAGAAGCTTAAGCCGGGGGTTGCTGATGGTAGTGTTGAGGGGAGGGGATAGTTCTCGGCCGTCATTTCAAGTGTCTCGTGGTGGCCGCTGGTTGGTCAAGTGAGAGTAGGTGAAAAGTGGACATTGGGCTGGACGTATTAGGTGCTTCTAGGTATATATAAGGACCTTGGAAGGTATTCCGATCATGTGAACAGTTGGACGTCGGTGTCGAGACAAACCAGAGACAAACAATGATGCTGGGCCGCGTTGCCGAGCTTCCGTCCGTCCGGTGTAGTTGCCCGACTCTGCCGCCCCATGAGGTCCATCTACTGCTTCACCCCACGCCTACATTATAAAACTCTCGTGACCCATGGAATCGCTCTTCTATACCCGGCTGGCATGCACTGGTGCATACATAGCCACAGTGGGCAGGCAAATTGATGAGAAGCCGGCGGCGGACCGAGTAGTCCGTCAGCGATCTGAGGACCGGTCAGACTCCGCGATAAAATGCGCCGTTATGCCGCTTGTTCCTCGTCATCAGAGCTCTTTTCTTACCCTTGGGACTGGATGGAAGGTGATGGGAGTGTAGTGAATGAGATACGGCGAGAAGGCGCAGTGGAATAAGGCATGACATTGCTGTCGTCTCGCTGGCATGCCAAGTCGTCGGTCAATCTGATGGCTGATGGTCGACCTGTGTGATATCATCTTGTATACCTCAGCTATGGATACTGACAAACCTATACTGTACATACATAGACGAGGAAACAGCCACAGGAGCTACTGAACTATTATACTTTCTCAATCAGTGGGTCTTTTGTGTAGACTCTTCAATCAACTTCTGTTGCTGTCGCTGAGCAAAGAGCACCGACTCTTCTCGAGTATAGCTTCAAGGAAACGTTAGCAGTTGACATTCAATAATTCACATTGACTCACCCCCATTTGAGGCCACGGTCCTCTGGGCTCGCCTCAGCCAAAGCGAACGGGTTGAAATCCCTCTTCTGGTCGAGATTCGCCAACGAATGGTTGACAAACCTATGCGTAGCCTCATCCGCTCTGACGGCTTTGATGACATCAAGAAGCTTGGCATCACCTGGTAGCCTCCAGTAATCGATGGCGATACGAGGTGCAGGCTTGTCTTGCCACTCGGGAATGAGGCCAGACTCCATATCTTTGACGCAGTGGGTGTAGGTGCGAACAGCTTCTTCTTCCAAGGCGGCAACAAAACGGTGGGCGACTTTGGGGGAGAAGAGGTAGATGAGGAAGAATGCGTTGTAGAATACGCCCTGGGCGGCGAGGACAATGGCTCGGGTGAACCAGTTGGGCTGGGCTATAGTCATGAACGTGCTGATATGGAGTCAGTCAAGGTCGGATAGTGAAGTCTGAAACTCACAGAAGGTGCATCCTCTCGTTCTCTGCTTCTTCCAATAGAGTGTGGATCCAGCCACCGTCCCTCTTCAGAAGTCGCATACTCCTCAAGTGCCTCAACGTACCCCCAACCATCCCCGGGACACCAGCGATAGACTCGAGAAGAATGATGCGGAAGAGCCACTTGTGGTCGGAAAGCAGCTTGCCGTCCGCGCGTAGCTGCGCAATGGGGATGGGGTTCTGTTTCAGAACGGATTCTGGGACTTCGTAAGGGGTGTAGCGAGTGATGACATCAAATACTCGGCGTAGGGACTTGACGATGCCCTTGGCAACCTTATCGCCAGCGGTGATGGGTGTACGTTCGATGACTTGGACGGTATTGAGTTCCTGATGGGGCATCAGAGAGGTACATAAATGAAGAGGTTGGCGTATCTTGTCCGTGTAGATGGGGTTGAACAAAGTCCAAGGACCGGTCGCATCACTCAACGCATTGGCAGATGTTTGATCTATCGAGAATCAGCGAGGCTCAAAACGAGACTGGAAGCACTTGCCTTTGGGGTGTGGGCCTTCGACGCCTTTGCCTTCGGAGCCGACAGTAGGCTCGTGTCGTCGCTCGTCCGCTTCTCTGACTCCGGGCTGGAGTGAGAGACTGTTGTGTCTGAGCTGAGTGGCCTGCGAAAGAGTTCGGGTGGAAGTGAACGAGCGAGCACACATGATGCGGGAGGTGCTGAGCATGGGTCGAGCCATGATGGTGCGTATTGTTAAGGTAGACATGGTAGATGGTGATTGGCAGGTAGTTGGGTATGGAGGTGACATGGGAAGAGACAGCAACTTATGTACTCGCATGGCCGGCGACCGGCCAGGGTCCCTCACCGGATATCGTAAAGGAAGCTTTCAGTGATGCTGGGTGTTCAGAGGCCAGTGTGAGACCCGGGGTGCCGCTGGTGCAGATCAAGCACCTGCGATGCACTCAAGAAACCAAATACCATCCGCAACCACCAATAACGCTCGGGAGATTTCGGAACTCGGGTCGATTCGCAATTGGCGGAGGCGCGGAGAGCGGCGCGGTGTTTGGTTCCATTTACAGATTGGCGCGGACAGATCAGAGCGCGGTTGCCATTCGGAGCAGCTTGCGTAATGTAGATGAATGCATTTCTGCTGGTACCACGCTGGCGCATTGTACACATACCATTACTGGCATCAGGATCCTCACGCACGTCACTGTGTACGTCATTCAACCTCCAGTAGGCCAGTCTCACAGACGATCGTCTTCCCAATCTCTCGCTGGTATACCTGCAGGAAGTGCAGCAGGTACCAAAGCTGTCACCTCCTTCTGTGCTGATAGAACCCTCACCACTTCGGCCGCGTTCTCGACAAACGACTCGCAAAGTACCTGGCTACGGGCCTGACTCTTGTCAGATGCGTCTGGAGGGGTCAAGGTGTCGAGTGGCTGCACAGAGACGGTGGGCAGGAACAATGTACCAGAACGGAGTGGAAGAAGTATTATTTCTTGCTCTTCGTCCTTGCCAGGCTTTCAGGGGTATCAGCAAACATCCCTGGATACGTATCACCACTTACATCCGCCGTATAGCACCCCTTCTTCTTGCCCAACACCAGCCAATCATCCGCATTGACCTGCACGTCGAATACGAGCTCCTGATTCTTCTCTTCATCAGACAAAGGCGTGGGCAGGCTCATCCAAAGAGGAGAGGTCGAGAGGCTGATGACCATGGCAAGAGGCTGGCCTCGATAGATCAGACCTCGGCCGGAGGTGGAGCGGGGTGTGATTCGGATAGATGTGAGAAGCTGAAGCATCGATCAGTGAGTGCTATTATGCACCGTATGTCGCTTACTCTTCGTTGAGGCACATCCACCGGTATCTCCAGGCTTCGCCAGACAGGTTGTTCAACTGCGTCCAAAGCCTATATCAAGAGTGAGTACCGAGGCTATCATCTTTACCCAGTCAGACCTACTCTGCAGAACGATTCCACGTTCGGTATATCGTTTTCAAGAGCTGGTCGTAGAAGTTGACCCAACGGCTCACCCACAAGATACGCCTTCCAATTTGAGCTGACCGAAAGGAGTGGCCGAATCTTGCGTTCGACGGGTGCACGAGACACAGGAGGAAGAGTCCGAATGGCAGCGGCGACAGAGTGGCGTATTTCTGATAGAATCGTCTTAGTCGCTGTCTTTGACCAATTGTAAGAATGACCCACCTTGCTCTATGTTTCGATACTTGATGACCATCCTGAGAACGACTGATGGGTCGCCCGACTCTTTCCGCCGTATCTTGAATAGACAAGACAGCGGCTGTCTAGGATTGACGACCTTGGTAGGCGTCAGTCTGCGATAGACACTTTTTGTGAGTCACATACGATTGTCTCGTTCCATTCCTTCCTACATGCTTCAACTGCGTATTCACTTTCCTCAGACGCCTTCAGCTCGACAGACTGCACCCTAAGCGAATCCGTCTCTTCTGAGGAGATCGTAAAATGTGAGAGAAGGCTGTCTTGCCATCAGCACCATTTCCATGCAGACTGAACCAGAATGGGTACTTACAATTGTGGACGGAAAAAGTCTTGAACGTTGACAGTCAATGGCAAGCTCATATTGACCTTTTGGGTGTCTACCCATTCGCGCAGCTTTCCGTTGGCCTCATACTCCAAGGCGATATACGCCTGGGCAGAATCTCCTTGGGGAACACCGCTATAGGGAATGATAATCTCCACAACCTTCTCAATCGCTATCGCGCCAACAACGATCTCGCCCTGGTCGTTGAGATCTAGCCCTAAGAGTTACAAGTCAGTTCAAGACACACACGAGGGTTCCAATGGCTTACTTTTGCCCTCTCTCGTGGCAGCTCCCAACATATACCGGATTTCTCCATTCAACGATCGCAAGCTCAACAACACTTCCTGCAGATCCGACTTGCCGCTCGTTATCTCGAGTACAACCATCGAATCGCTATCCAGTTTGACTGTACACTATTGTCAGCCCCGTACTTCTGACTGGGAAATGCAGTCAACACTTACTGTCATGTGGCATCCGTAGTCTGGCTGAGACCCCCGTTTCATCCCTCCTGACTTTGAAGGTCGAGCCTTCGACAGCCTTGTTGTAGACAAAATTTACTTGGCCGAGGGTGATGGTTGCGCTCTGGAGTATGTAAATACCCTGCGTCGAGGTCTACGCGCCGTCAGCTTTGGGTTGCGAGGGAGAATACGAACTCACAGAAGAAGTGAGTCGGATATGGTTCACTCCTGGCTCAAGTACATAACTCTCCACAGAGAACGATATGCTTTCCCCTGCTGCGTTGACTAGGTCGACGGCGATCTCGGTGATCTCTATGGACTGGAGGGGTCGTCAGTGAAGACTGGACAATGGGATCCGGGACGTACCATGTCCAGTGAATTAGTCACATCCGCATCTAGGGTTATCTCGTCGCCATCCAGAGTCGTCTCATCGCCTTCGACCCGCAACGAGAACGCCTTGTGCCCCTCAACTACAGACATCAGCCATGGCCCATACAGAGTTAAATAACACCTCACCATCCCAAGACGCTTGCGATTTCTGCAGACCATCCACAACTTCCCTCAACTCTTCCGTCCCCTCCTTTTCTCCCGAACACACCCTCATATAAGCCACTGCCAAGTCACCCCAGCTCCTATCTCTCGCCTTGCCCAGATGGTCATGCGACTTGAGAGCCGACCTAAGCGCGTAGCGCAGTACCGGATCCCACACCCGCAAGTCTACACACTCCTTTGCCAGCGCCCTGGACAAGTCGTATGTCTCTTCAAAGTCTTGGTTCAGTAGTGATACAGCCACCAAGTCTGTCTTTGGCCGTATAGCCGAAGCCCGTTTATTGCACTTTTCATACGCCTCAATAGCCTGGATGGTGAGGTCGCGATAAAGCGGGATAAAGTCGGCCTGGGAAGCGATAGCGGGCAGGAGGATGGGGTTGGACAGTTCGGGGCGATTGGATTTGACAGGGGAAGGGGGCTGGGATGTTTCGGAGGGGTCTTCGAAAAGAACGTCGCCGGATCTGGATTGCTGAGGTGGGGCGGGTTGTTGGAAGGGGTATTCGTTCGGAAGATGGCCGACCGAAACGCCAAGGCGCTCGACCTATGCTTGGTAAGTCTACGTGCATGCCTAGGGATGAGACTCACTTGTATACGAGCAATGTCCAAGAGTTCCGATCTGGCCGACTCGTACGCCGTCAAACCCGAATAGTCCCCGTTGGGCCTATCTATACACGACCAATGGTCACACTTTTCAACAACGTCCATGCACGCCGTATAAGTCCATGATTCGATAAAATGATTTACCAATTCGGCCTGAGGATGTCAGCTTTACTCACTTGAAGGTTATGCGAGCTCACCTCGTTTTCCCGGAGACGCTTGGCCAGGCTGGCCACAAACCACTGACCCCGCTTGGCAACCTCTGTTATCCGTCCAAGCTTTCCTAGCAGGATCCCTTGCTTTGCAAAAAGATAGACTCTAAAGTCAAAGATGCTGATGGAGCTGCTCCGTAGCAGATCGCGGTAGGGCTTGACCTGGGTGTCTAATATAGGCAGAGAGTCGTCTTTGGAGCCAGTCGCACCTAGTCTGCCAAACCACGAGAGGTTTTGTTCTTTTACTATCTGGATGAATGCCGCTTCGAGCTCTTCGTAGATGATCAGAGAGTCCTCGTTCAGATTTACTGATTCGAACGACTGTGCCAGCGATTCCTGTGGGATGGTCAGATGCGATGCAGCGAAAACAAAAAGAGACTGACCTTAAGCAGAAACCAAGTGCAAAAGTTCCAACCAACAACTACTCGCTGAGCCTCACCTCGCTTCACTTCATCTTCACGCTCTAGAATAGCAGAGTCGAAAGCAGACACAAAGCTCTCCTTGAGCTTGTTGATGAGCTCTGGCCAGGCGGCGGGGTCGCTGGTGCCAGGAGGGGGTAGGTTGAGCTGGACACATCTGTCTCGTTTACTGATGTTGAAGTCGGCCTTGAGCTTTCCCAGCACACCCTTGTCCTTTCCCCAGACATTCTTGCCCGTCTTCTCGGCGACATTTGGCGGATTGACAAGAACGATCACAGGAGCGTGGGGTGTCCGCCGAGCAGCTAGCAACGACAGCCAGTCCCTGATAAAATTTCGAGTCTGGTTCTTGTATACGTCGGCGTCCTGTACAGAGTTAGTACTGGCAAGGGACTACCGCTGGACTCACCTCGCAGACGACCAGGCATAGGTTGACTAGAGGTGCATCGAGTACGCTCCCATTATTGTCCCGAATAGAGCTGGCCTCTCCCAGATCGATCAGGTTGATATCAACCTCCTGGATAGTCCTGAGAGATGTTCTTGAGGAAGACTTCCAGTGAAGGTTGCGAAGAGGCAAGTGGGCTCGGATGCCTTCGATGGCCGAGCGTAGAATATGGGAGGCGGGGGAGGGGGTGGTGGGAGTCGGATGGAGAGAGTAGGTGATGGTTGCTGGGGGCGCCATCGTAGAGCCTTTCTACCGGGACGGGCTGACGGGATCGCTGTCTTTCTGTCACTGACGGAATTGTCAAAACACGTCGAGCTGCTCGCTCTCCCGACAAACGCGTGTGATCCACGTGGTGTTACGTGTACGCATTTGGTTCCGGTCAGAAGATGGTGATGTCACCGGGTGCACTGCATGATGGCTCGAGTGGCAAATTCGTGGCAAATGCAGCAGTCCAGTAAGTAGTAAGTAGTATGCATGGCAGTATGGCACTCGTAAAGTATAAGGTGCCACGGTCGGAGATGCCCGCCGCTGGAAGGAGGGATTGTCTTGGCACTCCTTGGCCACTCTTCTGATTACCACTGCCGCATGCATATATAACGGCCCCCTTTCTTCCCATTCTTCTCTTCCCCCTCTCACTTTCCCACCCACTCCCACCACTACCACACACCCCATCGTTCAATGGTCCACTCTTCTGTCGTCGATCCCGAGCCTGAACCAGATATAGAGGGTCATAATCCACAGCCCACCACTACCCAGCCCGACTCCACCGCAGCAGCCCCCAACCTGGATACCAACGATGTTCAGCAACAAGAACCTGACAATGTCTCTGCGCCTACCAAGCAGCCCTATGGGTTGCGCACTATCTTGAAGCCACGCTCCCGACCTGGTCACCAGCGTAAGCCATCAATCATCATCAATGAGCCCGAGCCTATCGAGCCCCGGGACGCCACGGGTCCCATGCGATCAAACAGTGCGCCCACCATTGCAGGCCTTCGCCCCCAGGATGCTCCCGGGCCAGGCTTGACTCGCAACAGGCTTGCTCCTTTGAGAAACATTTCAATTCCACTCCCGCCCAAGATGGGCCCGCCTCAGGGGGAGCAGGAAAAGGTCAAGCGAAAGTTTATCGAGCCAACCTGGAAAGAGTGCTTTGTTGTGAGTACAATCTTCTGCGTCCAGTTCTGCTCTGACAATTTGCAGAACACTATCAAGTATCAGCCCCTTCTTGTCGCGGTCCCGATCATTCTCCCCATCAGTTGGGCTCTTCACTTTTCCCATCAAAATCCAATCGCCATCTTTGTGACTAGTTTGCTCACCATTGTGCCCCTTGCTGGTGGTTTGAGTTTCGCTACGGAGGAGCTCGCCCACCGAGTGGGTGAAGCGTGGGGTGGTCTTTTGAATGCCTCCTTTGGGTGAGTCTGCTGCAGTTGGTACAATGGTGACTGACGTTATACTAGTAATGCTGTCGAGCTCATCATTGCCATATTGGCTCTCGTCAAGGGACAGATCGATATCGTACAAGCCAGTATGATCGGCTCCATTCTCAGTAATGGTGAGTGCCGCGAATTGGAACCAGACCGACGTTAACGTGTACAGTCCTGCTGGTCCTCGGTATGAGTTACTTTGTCGGTGGTATGCGCTTCCATGAGCAGATGTACGCCATCATTGGGGCTCAGATGCACATCTCGCTTTTGGGTATCTCTGTGAGTTGGCTCGTTACTATCTGACTGTGGCTGACTATATCACAGCTCATGGCAATCGTCCTTCCCGCCGCATACCACTATGCCTACCCCTCCACCTCCAGTGTCGTCTCTGATGCCCGTTCCGGTACTCAGCCTGAAGGTGAAGAACTGGAAAACTTGCTCACGATGTCGCGAGGTTTAAGTTTCATCTTGTTGGCAGTGTATGCCATGTTCTTGGTCTTTCAACTCTACAGTATGTCTCTTCTTATACCGGTCAACGTGTATACTGACAGCACCAGCTCACGCGTACCTCTTTCGTGTTCCTGTTGAAAAGGTCCAGCACCCACTCCCCGGACCTGTCCCCCACCACGAGCGCGTCTTTCCCCGTCCCCACTGGGTCGACTCTATCGTCGACTCTTCCTCCTCCAGTTCGTCCTCCTCTTCCGGCTCGTCTATCCGCTCCGGAAGATCTCACCGCCGATTCAAAAAGTTCCGTCGCTTCTCTGTCGGCAAGAAGGAAAACAGGGAGACGTCCGGAGGAGAAGGTGACGGGCACGAGGCTGACTCTGAGCATGACGCTAGTGCTAACGCTACGGCCATCGGGGAGATGCAAGAAAAGGCCACCGTGTCTCCTGTCAGCCCGATCACCCCAGTCCGCACACCTTCCAACCATTCAGGCTCGCTCCACCCTCCTCCCAACCCCAACATCGATATCGAACGACAGTCCATGTCTTCCAACAGTTCCATCTTTGTCGATGACGACGGCACGGTACATGTCCAGCCCAAGATTAAATTCTGGTACGCCATGGGTATGCTGTTGTTTATGACGGCGTTGGCGGGTGTAACTGCCGAGTGGTTGGTGGACTCTATCGACGGTCTGACGGAGACTGGAAACGTCTCGCGTGAATTTGTCGGTCTGATCCTCTTGCCAGTCATCGGTAACTCAGTCGAACATTTCGCGGCGGTCATTGTCAGCTGGAGAGACAAGCTCAATCTCGCCCTGAGTATTGCCGTTGGCAGTAGTATCCAGGTGTCGCTTTGTTTGCTTCCTATCCTTGTACTACTGGGTTGGGCTATAGACCAGCCAATGCTCCTCTTCTTTGATCCGTTCGAGACGTAAGTTTGATACTAGACTGTCGTGGCAGTTCGCTGACTGTCTCATAGCATCACTCTCGTCATCAGTATCATCTTGGTCAACTTTGCCATCTCTGATGGTCGTACCAACTATCTCGAAGGGTTCGTCATGATGATGGCCTATATATCTATCGCTCTCGTCTGCTGGTAGGTTCTATCCCTTGACATCATAGAGAAACGAGCTGACGAGGATGAAGGTTTTACGATCCAATCATTTGATCTACATCTGCATTGGGTCTGAAAGGTTTATAGTGTATATTAGCTAGGAAATAAGCTGCTCATATGGCCGGATGGTTATGCATATTGTATACACGACACCTCTAAGGGATTTAGTTGGCTACAGTAATTGGTTGTGCTGTATATCTGCACATTGACTTCCCTGGCGACGCTTGAGCATTCGGATGAAGACCTTGTCTCTATCCTCAACTCCTGTCGCCCCCCTCTTATATCTGACCCACTAAAACTGTCTCAAGACCCATGCATGCATTATCCTGCTCCTATATTGTCTTGGCCGCAGTCCGGACGGAGACATTCCGATGTCCGCTATCGGCCGCTGTCCGGACCCTTCTCCCTTCTCTGCATGCATCCGCCCAATCACTCCCATCCAACCACCCCCAACCTCATAATTCCCCCAGCCACCCATACACCCCCAGCATGCCCCCCAAGGCCTCGGCAGCTCACCACGCCCCCTCCCCCTCTCCTCCGCCCCACATCAACCACGGCCAAGACCTGCTGGTCATCCAGGACATTGCCGACACCCTCGACCAGATCCCGCCCGAGCTCACCAGGGTCCATAGCGACCTCAACGAGCTTGGTGCTGTGTTGTACTGTGAGTGCTCATCCGCCTTGATGGGATGGAGCCGGAAAGGGGCAAAACCGACTGACCTTTCCGTTCTAGCTACCCTAGTCAGCCTGGAGAAGAAGCTGCATACCCTGATAGGATGGATACAGGACCCCACCGTGACATCCGAGAAGCGTTTCGAGCTGCTGCAGGAGATTGCAGAGGAGGCCGCGAGGTACAAGCTGGGAGGGGACGACAAGATTCGGGTCGCCGCTGGGGCTTGTGATGGTGTAAGTTTTTTTTTTTTTCCTGCCATGCCATCGTTGCATACGGTTCTGACACGGTGGGCAGATCATGAACCACCAAAAACACATTTCCACGCTGCTCAAATCTGCGACACTGCTCAACCCCTCACCGCCGTCTCCCTACTCGCAAGCGCTTACTCTCCCCTTCCCCGCACCTGCGCCCACAGGCCGGCGCGTCGCCCGTGCTGTCAATTCGCCGTTCGGCGGGAAAGGCTACAGTGGTAGTAATGCAGGGCCTTCAGAGACGCGCGTGGGTGATACCCCGACCAAGCAGAAGAAGAGGAGCCGGGTGCAGCAGCTGGGGGCGAGGGACGACGATGAGAGTAGTAGTGCGGGCGGAGGGCCCAAAAAGGTTGTCAAGAGGAGAAAGCAGTTCGTATCTCAAACCCTACTCTGAAGTCAAACTAATGTGTTTTAGAAATCGAGCAGCATCGCCTACAGAATCGGTGGTGTCTACTTCCGGCTTTGGCGGCAAGGCCGTCGAACCCCGTACAGCCCGTCAACTGGCCGCTGCCGCCAACCGTGCGCGACGCGAAGCCGAAGACGTCAACTCGGACACCGAGTCTCGTACAGGCAACGACGATGGACCCAGTACGACCAAAAAGAGCGGCCCGCCCATGCAGCCGACCTTTTCGACAGACTCCAAGGGTCTGGGGTTGGATGTAGGGAGTAGGGAGGGGAGCAGGAGCGCGAATGCGACGCCGACGTTGGCGTACGCTTCGACGCTGCCGAGTCAGACCGACGTCAAGCGCCCGTCTCGTCGAGGTGGAAAGAGGCCTAATGCTGCTGCCAATGAAAATGACGACGAGGAAGAGGAGGATGTCTATGAGGACAGGCGGGACGCGCAAGTAGCAGACATGTTTGAGGACGGCGGTGGCGCTGGAGACGAGGTCGACTCGAATGTCTACTGTACTTGTAAACAGGTCAGCTATGGTGAGATGATTGGGTGTGACGACGATGACTGTGAGATTGAATGGGTATGTCTTCCTCATTGTGATGGGATTGAGCTGATGGGAATGCAGTATCACATTGCGTGTCTCGGTCTCGACAAGACGCCAGAAGGCAACTGGATCTGTCCTACGTGTGCAGAGAGGAGGAGGAAGCAGCCCAAGGTCAAGAAGGCGACCAGGGGGAGGGCGAGAAAGTAGATCGAGGTTGTCTATCACATTTACTATCTTTTGTGTACATGTATAAATCAGGATGATTCGGATCGCCCGCTCGTGTTGATACATTTGACTTTGTTGAAAGCAAGAGAGAGCGAGTCACCCCACGGTATGGTAGGATCACTGTTTGGTTCCCTTATTTCCCTGCCGTCAAATTCCTGCGCGACAGACCGGGTCAAGCCATATTGACGCTGAGGTGATAATCAAGTTGATTATGAGTGAATATGGGCCGCACGTTTGTCCTCGAGAGAACGGCAGGTAAGGCGAGAGTACAGCAGGCAAGACTCGGTAGATCCGTCAGTAAAACCGCCCCTCCGATTCTTTTTCAAAAGCACTTTTGTTCACCCCCCCCACGTGCTCCATTCGCAGTATAAATGTTACCCTCATCCACCGTACTAGTCCATAACCGATGCATATGCCTCATGATGCTGTCTCTGCTGATGATGTCGCCGATGGTAATGATTGACCAGCGCCAGGCGGAGGGGGTGACCACATATGTTGCCACTTGTGCGGTGTTGTCAACACACCACCCTACCCACATCTGTCAGCACCTGCACTCTCTTCAAAGTATCAAACGCACCCTCTCCAAAAGCTTGACCACCGATCTCGTAGGCTCCGCCCCAACGCCCAACCACCACTTTATCCTCTCCACATTCAACTCGGCCTTCTTCTCCTTCTTGATCATCTCTTCTGTGCCCTTGGCAAAGACGTTCGCGGCAGGGGGCGGGGGGAGGGTATCGCGGATGCGGGGGATGGGGTCGTATACGCCGAGGAGCTCTAGGGGCTTGCCGTTGCGGGGGCGGCGGGAGTTGATGGCGACGAGGTGGAAGATGGGGTTTTTGCGGTGGCCATGGCGGGCGAAGCGGATCCTGACGGGCATGGTGTGGATAGGGTGTGAGTGGTGAATAGTTGAATGCAGTTGAATGTCTAAGAAGCAGGAAGAGTATTGCCACGTCAGGGGTGTGTGTTATGTAACAGGCGGCGTGCGCCGTATCCCAATATGGGTCTACGTATACTCTATTTCCGAAGAGGCTGGGCCAGGCACAGGGATGGGTGCTTATTTGGGACTGTGGGACGGAAGCAGATTGTTCTTGGGCCTTGGCATCCGTATTTGGCCCACCGCGAGCACAAAATACTCTCATCAGTGAGACGCATGCTTATATAACCGGGCACAGTACGGGCACAGCAGATGCATCCCCTGCCCCCCTCCCCCCTGCCCTCCACAACGACTTGCCGCCCCAGCAGCACTGCCGCCCCACCCCACACACTCACTTGGCTCTTCTTGCCTTCTTGGCTCGCCAAGCCGACCCCCTTCCTGCACTCCTTATAACCGCCGGCCTCCAATCCTTTCTTCCCCGCCTTCCCATCTGACACCATCTGACACCATGTCCACTGCCGGCCCTTCACGCTCGCCCCACCCGTCTTCTCGCTACCACCCATACACCCTCCAGCCCTCCAGCCCCCAGGACAACCCGCGCTCACAGCCCCAAGTGAAAGCTCGCCGCAACCACGACCCCGCTCCAACCAACGGCGAACCTCCCAGCCCGCCCCGCTCCAGACGCGATCCCAGCGAGACACCCAGTGTATCGCTCTCCATGGCATTCGGCGGCTCGGCAGGCGGAAAGTGGTGGGACGAAGAGCTCGTAAGTTGCTTTTGATCAATGTAGGCCCCGTGGCGAAACTAACGAAACGTGCAGCCGCCCCCTCCAGCATCACTGAATAGCATCCTCGACTCGTTCAGAAAGAGCGGTGAGGGCGACCGCGAGCTGCTGCTGAGCATCCTCGGCGCGAAAAAGGCAGAGGAAGAGGCAAGTCTTGGCAATGACCTATGGTAACCGTGCTGACGTAAACCAGCGACTGTCTTCTATGATCCACACCCGCTTGACGATCCTCCAAGCACGTCTGTCGCTGCACCAGGCAGCCCTCGCTATGAACGCTGCCGGCGCTCCCCCCATGCCTGCCGAGCACTATCCCCGCCCTCCTTCCGAGGCCGACCTCCGTGCCCGCTCGCCCGAACGTACACCGTCGCTCAGCACCTCTCGCGACTCGGCTTCAGCGTCCTCTGACCGGTTGGCTTCGCCAACGGGGGGTAACGAGTACATGCTGCCACCGCCTGTGCGTCATGGGTACGAGGTTTATGAAAAATCAATGGACAAGGCCGCGGATGAGGCGAGACCGAGGTACTGGCAGTTGCCGGCCATGTCTCAGGCTCCGGCGCGAAGTAGCAGACAATTGTCGCCTCTTCGTGATGTCGCAAAGGAGAGGTTGGTGAGCCCGAAAGAGACGGCAGGCAGAGATAGGTCCGGGAGTGGGATTGAGATGTTGCTGGATGCGGGTATGAGGGGGTTGGAGAGTGAGCGCACGCGTTAGGGTAATCTTTATAACGAAAGAAGGAAAGGACAGATTCATGTTGTATAATTCTGGTACTATTACGGTTGAATGAACGCTTCTCGCTATTATACACAGGCATTTTGTCATCTGCAAACCATGAGCGTCATCCAACATGACACAAGGCACACTTACCTAGTCCACCCCGACCATACTCTCCAGCACTCTCTCCACTGCCGCCTTGCCCAGCGGCACCCACAACCATCTCCCCTCTCTTCCTTCTTCCTCTCCATCCTCACCACCCCGCGCCTGCGCCGCTTCTACAACCAACCCATGATCCCTATACTCGCCCAAGAACGCCTCAAACCGCTCACCCTCCCCCGCTATCCACTTGTCTTTCGCCTGCTTTTTCAGCAGATTACCATCTACCGCAAAAGGCGGGGCTGATGACGAAGCGGGGTAGGCGACGTGCCATTTCGAGTTGGCGGGCAGGCGGGAGAGCTGCAGGGTGAAAATGAGCTTGAGCAGGCGGGCAGAGAGGTGCGGGACTGATTTCAGGATTTGGAGGGTACCTTCTTCAGAGACGCCGCCGGCGGGGCCGGAAGTGGATGGCGTGAGGGTCTGCGCAGACATGCGGAGGTAGCAGAGTTCGAGGTCGTAAGGCGCATAAGTGGTCAGACTGTGGTTGACCCAGTAAAACCCGCGGCTCGACAGAGGGGTGCCAGACCAGCTTCCGGGGGTGTAATCATGCGGCGGGGTGTTGGAGAGGGAAGACGAGAAAATAAGGGGGGTATGGACGTGGTCGTAGGACGCGATGAGGTGGATACGGGGACACGAAGCGAGGAGGGAGAGGATGGCGAGCGATTTGGGAGAACGCAGCGCTGGGGCGTCAATGTTGTGGATCACGAGATACAGCGGGGCGTTGGCGGCGGGCCACTCTGACGGGTCAGAGATGGCAGAAGGAGGCAGAAAGTGGGCGTATATGCGATGAGCAGCGCGCTCGAGTGGTGTCGAGCAGGAGGGCGGGACAGAGATGGCCTGCGGTACCCCCAGTCGATCTTCAATCTCGCTCATGATATCCCTCACGCCCAAGCCAGGGAATGTACCATTGATGACCACCACATGCCCCTTTTTGGCCAGCTCTTCTTGAGCAAACAGATTCAGCGTAGGGCGTTTAGAGCCAAAACCGTAGAAGAGCAGGTTGAAGCCCGCTTCAAGCTCTTTCGACCATGTACGGAATCGGCCTCGGTGTTTCTCTGGTGGGCTGATACGCCCACGCACCGCAGACGACTCGGCAATATACTTTTCGTACGCCCTGGTGGAGAGCGGGTCGGCGAGAAGAGAGTAGCTGTTGCCAGACGTCCGCGAAGCCTTCATCAGAGTAAAGTATGCGTCGGCCGTGCTCTTTCGAATGATCCCCTCGTCTGCCGTCTCTTCGCCATTGGCAGGTTGCTTGGGCGTTTTGCGCGGTGTAGCAGAACCGGGGGCTTTCCGTTTCTTTGGTGTACCCCTCGTCGACCGGCTGGGCGTCGCTACACCCACCAAACCCGTCTTCCTACTCGGCGTATGCACCCCGTCATCATCCGGGTCGACTTCGGCCTCTTCAAACTCTTCTTCCGGTTCCTCGTCATCGTCCGAGGCTGAAAAGTCGTCGATGGCGTCGCCATTGTTGTCGAGCAGGGGAGGCAGCTCGTCATCGACGTGGTGGTCGGCGAATCCGGTGAGGAAGGAGACAAGGTGGGATGCCCCTTGCTGGCGTTCTTCGACTTCCTCCCCCTCTTCGTCTTCAGGGGTAGCGGTGCGTGGGCGTTTCGAGCGTGGTGCCATGATTTTTGGTGGAGATGAATGAGTGAAGGACAAGTCGCGCCGCGTTCGAATTGACGCGTCGAGCTACGTACTTTCCATCTCCATCTCTCACTTTTCATCACATTCCGGCATGTCTTCCAAGCAGAGACCATCCGAGTCACCAAAGAAGAAGCCCTCCCCCAAGAAGGACGAGGCAGCGGGCAAGGATATCCGAGGTTTCGTGAGTCGATCTCCCACAATGCTCCATGACGCTTGGCTGACCCGATGGCGCGCAGTTCAACAAAGGTGTATGTGCATTGCATAGTATAGGTGACAGTACTGATCCGGACGTGGTAGGGATCTCTGAAAAGTACAACCCAGACGTCAAAGAGTGGGTCGGGCAAGATGCCTATCACGATCGACGATAGCGATGATGAGCCGGCGCCTACCCCGAAGGCTTCTTCATCCAAGCCTGCTCCAAAATCTAGCGGGGTGTCCAAGGCAACGAGCTCGGTAAGTCGAACGAGCTACCAAAGCTTCAAGCTAAGAGGTGTATCGCAGAGACCTATCGTCTTGTCAGAGTCTGAAGACGATGAACCCGCCCGAAAGCCCGTGGCGAAACCTGCCCCCGCCCCTACTGCCAAGCCGAAGCCGGCTATGAGCAGGCCATCATTATCCCGACCCGCTGTCAAGTCTGCGCCAAAACGCAAGACGCTCATGTCTGATTCCGAGTCGGAGGAAGATGTCAAGCCTGCGCCAAAGAGGCAGAGTCTGGGGAAGAAGAAGGTTGAGGAGGATTACAAGGTGAGTATGACTCTTTTGGTACTGGGGCATTGCTGATGATATCGAAGCCGATGGATGTCGATGACGATGAAGAGGAAGAGGGGGAAGAGGAAGAGGTCAAGCCTGCTCCCAAGAAGGCTCCAGCCAAGAAACCCGCCGCTAGTCCAGCCAAGAAGCCTACGCCGGCCAAGAAACTTGCTGCAAAGGCTGCGCCTAAACCCAGCGCTAAAGAAACTGAAGGAGAGAAAAAGGCCAACAAGTAAGCCACCACAGTGCCATATGGGACGCCGCTGAACGAGGATAGTTGGAAGGCCGTGGCTGCTGCTCGTGCTGCTGGACCGTCAGCCCCAGGCTCAAAAGATATCCCCGAAGGCGAGGGCGATTGTCTTTCGGGGTTGACATTTGTATTCACTGGCGAGCTGGAGAGCCTCGGGCGAGAAGAGGCACAAGAGCTGGTCAGAAGATTCTCCGGGTACGTCCATTGCCATCTACGATACAGCTCACTGACAGGCCGTCAGCAAATGTACCACCTCTCCGTCCGGCAAGACCTCTTTCGTAGTCGTCGGTGCCAATGCGGGTCCTTCCAAACTGGCCAAAATCAAGGAGAAGAACATCCCGATGCTTACTGAAGATGAATTCATCGAGCTCGTCCGCCAGCGTTCGAACGGTGTAGGAGTAGAGGTGGATCCGGCTACCCTGGAAAAGGCACAGAAGGCGAGGGAGAAGGAGGCAAAGAAGATTGAGGACCAGGCGAAGGAGATGGAGGCGAGGGAGAAGAAGGAAGAACAGGAGCGAAAGAGAAAGGAGAAGGCGCTGGGGCAGCAGGGTATGGCTGTCAAGTAAGTTACTCGATCAACCGTTGGTCTGTGCTCACCGTCAACAGAAAAATCGCTCCCCCCTCATCCCAACTCTGGACCACTAAATACGCTCCTGCTGCCCTCAAAGAGATTTGCGGTAATAAAGCCCCCGTTGAGCGTCTTGGCAAATGGCTCGAAGACTGGGACGCCAGCTACAAAGTCAATTTCAAGAAACCCGGCAAGGACGGCATGGGCACTTATCGGGCTGTACTCATCTCTGGCCCGCCGGGTATTGGCAAGACGACATCGGCCCATTTGATGGCCAAGAATGCGGGCTACACACCTCTGGAGCTCAATGCGAGTGATACGAGGAGTAAAAAGCTGATTGAGAATGAAACGAATGTGGACAATAGAAGTTTGGATGGCTTCTTCAAGGGGCAAGGCATAGGTGTACGTTCGAGTGGCCAAGAGGGGACTCTACTGATCAATAGCAGGAGGCGAATGTGGCGGGTATGAAAATCACGAGCAAGACTTGTTTGATCATGGATGAGGTGGATGGTATGTCGGCAGGTGACAGAGGAGGTGTTGGCGCTCTCAATACGCTGATCAAAAAGACCAAGGTGGGTGATGAATTGACACTTGTGGACTCTCTGACATTCTATAGATTCCCATGATCTTGATCTGCAACGACCGATCACTGCAAAAGATGAAGCCTCTCCATGTCACTACTTTCAACATGACATTCAAGAGGTGAGTATCATCCTTTTCGTCACGGCAAAAGTCTGACATTTGTAGACCGACACCTCCAGAGATCCGTTCTCGAATCATGTCTATCCTTTACAAGTAGGTTGTCTGTACTGCGCGGGATGATATACTTACATGACCGCAGGGAAAAGCTCAAGATTCCCAGCAATGTGGTCGACGAACTGATCAAAGGTGTCGGATCGGATATACGTCAGGTCTTGAATATGCTCTCGACCTTCAAGCTGAGCAAGAGCGAGATGGACTTTGACGAGTCCAAGGAATTGTACGTCTATTTGCTAGGTGAACGGCCTCGGCTCATCACTGCGACAGGATCAAGGTCAATGAGAAAAACACCATCATGACCCCTTTCACTCTTACCGACAAGCTGTGCAATCCATATGCCTTCTCCAAGACCAACAAGGATACGTTATCCGACAAAATGGAGCTCTACTTCCAAGACTTTAGCTTCATGCCGCTGTTCATACAGGTGCGTGCTAATGTCCAGTATCCCTAGCTCAGACTGATGATGATCATTAGGAACACTACCCCAAAACCAACCCTTCCAAGCTTCAAAACTTGAATGGCCGCGAAAAGGACCTGAAGAGTCTCGAGCTTCTCTCCAAAGCAGCCGACTCGGTTTCCGATGGCGACCTCGTCGACCGTATGATTCATGGATCCGAACAGCAATGGTCACTCTTACCATTCCACGCGGTGGTATCGACTGTGCTGCCAGCATCGTTGATCTATGGGGCCATGAGGCCTAGTGGAGGTGGTTATGGAAGCTGGGGACCTGCTTTCCCTCAGTAAGTGTCGTCCGCTTTTACGCCACAGCCGTTGACTAGTGAACAGATGGCTAGGCCAGAATTCGAAGCAGACCAAGCTCGGTCGTCAGCTTACTGATATCCAGATCCGCATGCGACTTCGGGCTTCGGGCAGTAGGTCGGAGATCCGTGAGCAATACATGCCTATGCTTGCCAACAAGATTGTCATGCCTATCGTCGAGAACGGGGCTGTGAGTGATTAGATCTGATCACTGTACTGTGGCTGACTGACATCAACAGGACGCTTTGGACGAGACGATCGATTACATGGACGGCTACTTCCTGGGAAAAGACGACTGGGATGCCTTTGTCGAGCTGGGAGTCGATACGATGAAGGAAGACTTGATCCTCAAGAAGATTCCTGGTGCGACCAAGTCTGCTTTCACCAAGCAGTAAGTGCCTCCCGTACGTGACTGGGTCTCAGCTGACGAGTGAAATCAGGTACAATAAGCAGGACCACCCGATCGCTTTCCACAAGTCAGACATGTTTGCTGTCAGCAAGAAAAAGATTGCCGACCAAGGACCTGCGCCGGATAATGAGGATGTCTTTGAGGTATGTCTCGTTCTGTCAAGCCGAAGTGGTGCTGATAGTCTTCCAGGGAGATCAGCCTGTACCGGATGACCCTGATGATGACAAGGACGACGATGATGCGGACGTGACCAAAGACAAGTTGGTGAAGGCGGTCAAGCCAAAGGGCAAGGGCAAGGCGGCGGCTGCGAAACCAAAAGCAAAGGCTCCAGCGAAGAGCAAGGCCAAGAAGTGATAGTGTAGATCTCCCAAACATGTATGTCGTACAATTGACTTTGCTTTGTGCATGCTCTGTCGCACATGGCGAGTCTGCTCATGATCACGTCGGCTGTGCAAGGAAGCAGAAATCAGCGGTATTCGTACCCTATGCAACGACTCTCTACACTCATACGAGTATATATATGCTACAACTTCTATCCGTCTTTCTATGACCTCAAGAACATCTTGAAAGCAGGGTTTTGCGTCTCTTCCACGAACGGATAGCCAAGATCTTGCAAAAAGTCGTCCAGAGCTTGGTAATCGGCTTCGGGCACTTGCAGACCCACAAGGACTTTACCGACGTCTACCGCAGGGAATCAGATTGGTACTGGAGAGGAAAAAAGAGGACGTACCCGCGCCGTGGTTTCGGTAGTGGAACATGGAGATGTTCCAGTCGACTTTGAGTCCCTTGAGGAAGTTTCCGAGAGCTCCAGGTCTTTCGGGGAATTCTGCTTTTCGTCAGCGCGAATACTAAAGCATGAGGGAAGACTTGCCGAATCGGAACACCCTCTCATTCTCAACCTCGCTCTGACCACCGACGAGATGCCTCACATGGCTCTTTGCAAACTCATTATCACTCAGATCAAGCACCTCCATCCCAGCCTCTCTCAGCACCTTGGTCACCTCTTGGATCTCTTCATCCCGTGCTTGTGGGGTGGGTCCAGCAGATGAAGGGGAGGAGGAAGATGCAGAGAGGAGGAAGGAGCAGATGATGTGGCCCTTGTGGGCGTTGGAGTAGCGGTATGAGAATTCAGTGACGGCTCGACCGCCGAGGAGCGAGTGGAATTTGAGGAAAGCACCGGGCTTTTCAGGGCATTTGACGCTGATGAGCACTTCACGGCGCTCACCCACGTCCGCCCGTTCAGCCACAAACCTCAGCCTGCCAAAGTTCATGTTGCCCCCAGAGACGACAGCGACGAAGCGCTTACCCGCGTTCAGCAGGTTGTTTCGGATAATGTGGGCTTTGAGACCGGCGAGCGAGAGGGCACCGGACGGTTCGGGGATGGAACGGGTCTCTTCAAAGACGTCCTTGATGGCGGCGCAGATCTCGTCATTGTTGACGAGGACAATGTCGTCCAGGAATTCTTTGCAGACGCGGAAAGGCTCTTCGCCGACCAGGCGGACGGCAGTACCATCGGCAAAAGGTCCCACTTCGTCAAGCGTTACTCGCTTGCCAGCTTTGAGGGAGCGGTCCATGGCGTCACCGTCCACAGTCTCGACACCGTAAATCCCCACCGTGGGCTTGGCGACGCGCTTCATGTAGGCCGCGATACCCGCCGAAAGCCCTCCACCACCGATAGCAGAAAAGATGCCATCAATCTCGTCCGCATCCTTGACCTGCCTGCAGATCTCCATCGCCACTGTGCCTTGTCCCGCCACGACGTAGGGGTTGTCGTACGGTGGTACAAACGTCAGACCTTTTTCCTTTTCGAGGCGGAGGCACTCGGCTTTGGCTTCGTCAAAATCTTTGCCGTGGAGGACGACGGTGGCACCGAGGCGTTGGACGTTGCGCCATTTGATGGAGGGGGTGGAGACGGGCATGACGACGATGGCGGGGATGTTGAGAGCGTGGCCCGAGAGGGCGACGCCTTGGGCGTGGTTTCCTGTAGACTGTCAGGGCTAGTTCAACGTGTGATGGGTACGTACCAGCAGAGCAAGTGACAACGCCCTTCTTCTTTTCAGCCTCTGGAAGGGAAGCCATCATGTTGTAGGCACCTCGAATCTTGAAGGAAAAGACGGGCTGGAGGTCTTCACGTTTGAGCCAGATCTATATGCGGTCAGCGAGTCCCTGGTAGCAGATTCAGAACGCACTTCATTACCGAGACGGGCCGAGAGGTTGACAGCAAGTGTCAGAGGGGTCTCTTTCAAGTTTAATGGTGAAGCGTAGACCTTGGCTAGAGTATGTCTTAGCTACGGATCACTTTGAGTCGAATTCACGCACACATCAGGATCATTCGCAAGTAGTCTGGGATCCTTTCCCCGTGGGCATTCTCAGTCATGAAATGATCTGGAAGGCCTTCGTAGAGATGGCTGGGGACGCCTTCATCTTTGTGTTGTGTCGGGAGAGTGGGCTGGGGGGCGGTGGAGGTGTACTCGTTGAGGGTGGTGGGGGACTTGGAAAGGTGTGAGACGGAGGGGGAGCGGGCTGATTTGATGGGGATGCTGGAATGTCAGCGGTGTCTAGGGGGGGATGCTCACCTCATCGTTTCTGATTCTTGTCGCAGAGTTCACAACGAACGAAGTCAGTTACAGAGTCGAAATAATCTGGGCCACGGTCCCAGTTCCCAATCCCAGCTCCCAATCCCAAACTCAAACCCAATTCCCAATCCCAATCCCATCTTACCATAGTATCTTTCTCGTCATCTCTACAGTGAGCCCCCGCGATGTCCTCTCCCAAGGCAGCCCACTACAACGCCGCACTCAACACAGCCCTCACAGCGGGCAACTGGCCAGCCTCAGCCCCCGCCACAGCCCCCCGCGGCGCACAGCTCGAGTGGGGCGAGCTCGTCCGCAAGTGGGGCAAGCACACCGGCGGTAACGTCCAGCTCGTGCATCATCTCCGCGACATCTCCCTCGCCTACCTCTCCACAAGCGGGCACAGCATCTCCAGCTCGGGGTTTCTGGCCCTGCCGAATAACGACGCCTCCCAGTCGATCGAATCGTCGCCATCTGCGACCACTTCCGCAGACAGTGGCTCTCAGACCACGTCCTCGTTCGTCCACATTCCCCATCCCCATCTCCACAGGCGGCATAGGAACCAGGGGTCGGTGGATGAAAGCGTGGCAGAGTCTGGCAACACCGTGAAACCTCAGGCCGAGGGGACGCCCCGCGCAGCATACTTGTCTGAAGGCGATCTTGATGGAGATGACTATGATGACCAGCGGGCTTGGGCGATTGATAGAGTATGGTGGATGGGAGTAGCGTCTCACAACGCCGAAGAGGTGCAAGAGGGAGTCAGAGCGCTGGAGAGCAGTTTCGACAGCGGCAAGCTGTCTCCGGCCGATGGGCAGTCTGCCAAGCTTACCCTGGCATACCATCAACACGCGTTAGGAAACCACAACGCCGCCTTGAGGGTATACGAGACCGTGGACTGGAGTACGGAGAGCAGATTCGGAGTGGTGGAGGGAGATGCGGCCGTCGTAGAGAGAATACGAGGAAGGTGCTTACAAGGTGCGCAGAACGTTCGTCTTTGGTGCTATAGCTGACGCTTTATAGGTATCTCATACGAGCTCTCTTCTCCTTCAAATGCCTCTCTCGCCATACAATCATACCTGTCCACCATTCCTCTATTACAATCCCTCCAATCCTTCACTCAGCCCATACCCTCCTACCTCGGCAAGTCGCCAGCCAAAGTAGCTTCATTCGAGGCCCATCGCGAAGTCTTCCGCTTCATCTCCACTGCCCTCGCCCGAGCGGCTGTCCTCTCTTCTCACGAATCTGGTCAAGAGGCTCGGCAACAGGGTCTGCAGATCCTTCGCACGTTCCATGCCCTGAGCTCAAATTGGCCATCTGGCTTCCGACCCGTTCAGCGTCAAAAGTTGCTCATCCTCTACCTCCGTGCTCTCCATTCTTCCCCCTTCACATCAGGGCCCTTGCTGTATGCTTCTCCAGCCCCAACTGTCCCCCCTGCACAATTGTGGCATTCTGAAGTGGTACATGCCCTGACGCAGGGAAAGAACCTGTTGAATCACACCACCTCCTTCCCCCGCGCCGGGGCGGTCAATCACCCCGTCCTGCTCTTCGCAACCCTCTCCACCCACCTCTACTCCCTTTCCCCTCATTCCTCGCTCTCAGAGACCACCCTCGACCTGCTCTGGTGGGCCATGACCCTTACATTCCAGTCCCAGTCGATCTTGAGAAACCTCTTAAGAGTGATGGTGGATAGGAAAGACTGGGTGGATGCGAAAAGGATCTTTGGGCTGTATGTGGACCTGGTATTGAAGGCTAGACAAACAATGTCACCTGAAGTAAACCTTCAGCTTCAAAAACGCCCTTCCGACGAAGACCCTCATCTCGAACCCACCCGCCACGAGACGGCCTCAGGCGCCGTACCCTCCCCGCGCCCCGCAGCAGACTCTCCAGCTTCTCCGCACGGGGCAGAGGCGGACGACGATTATGATTTTGTGAGGACGCTTTTGATGGGTGCGAGGTTGTTGAGCGAGCATACGAATGAGCCGGAAGAGGCTTGGCGATATGTGACGCTTGCGGGGGATGTCGTGTCTGTCTCGCAGACCTTGGGACAGAAGAGTAAGGCCAGAAAAGTGTTGGAAGGGCGAGTTGAAGAGGCCAAAGGTGTTGTGAGGATCGTCATGTCGAGGAGTAAGCCTTTTCCACTGCGATATAGCAACGAGCTGATAAGAGTAGCCACGGATCCTCTCCAGAGGGCGACTTTCCAGTCCCAAGCTCTCAACCATCTTCTCAGCTCCACCATCCTCCTTCCCACATCTCCCTCTGCATTCTACCACCTCGCGCACGCTTACGCCGCCGCCCGCCAAGTCCCCGAAGCCACCGAGGCTGTCCGCCGGGCCCTCGAACTCGAAGGCGATGAAGAAGCCGAGCTGGGAGAGCATGATGAGAAGGAGAGGCCGGTGGGCGTGGAAGGGTGGTTGCTGTTGGGGATCTTGTTGACTGCTCAAGGGGAATGGAATGCGGCTAGAAAGGCGTTGGAAGCTGGTATCAATATCTGGGAAGACGCCGATGCTTTGCCCCTCTCGGTCGAGACGGTACCGTCGATTGCCCCGCTTCTACAACCGTCCGGTCTTCCAACGACTTTACCGACTCTACCACTCTGCCCGCCACCGCCAGACACCAAGCTATCTCAGGTCATTCGTCTGAGGACGACCCTCAACGGGGTGGTCGAAAAGATGAGGGGGTGTGAAGAGGCAATGGTCAATCAGCAGGAGCTGTTTGCATTCTTCTCGGGCAGGTGTAGGTTGGTGTCGGAGAGGAAGAGGAGTAGTACTGTTGGTGCTGGGGCTAGTGTTGAATTGACTGGGTTCAGAGAGGGTGGTTTGGATGGAAGTTATATCAGTGTGAGGGACGATTGTGAGTTGTTCAAAACTAGATACGAAGGTCTACTGACGCAGCATAGTACCTCAAATACATACACCAAGCCAACAATCATCCGCTGGATCCATTCAAGGTCCCACCCTCGCCCAGCCTATCCCGCGTACATCCTCCCCGCCTGCGGGAGACGCTCTCGATGTCCCCCAACGTCGGTCCGTCTCTCTCAGGGGAAGAGACCGAGCTGGAAGCTTGCGAAGGGGATTGGGCAAGCATTTGAACGTCTCCAGGGCTTCTGCCGTTGCCGGGGGTGAGGCGGAGGGGTCAGATGCGGATGTTTCTACCAGGTTGCGATCGCCGTCAACTGCACATTCAATCGCCCCTACTGCCATCCACTCCACCTACCGCTCTTCCCGTACTCCTGCTCCTCCACCTCCATCCCAGCCTTCTTCTGCGCCGGATCTGCATACAAAGGAAGAGAAGCGGATTCTGAGTGATTTGTGGTTGAGCAGCGCGGCGACTTTTAGGAGGTGGGGCAAGACGGAGCAATGTCTTGTGGCGGTGATGGAGGCTGAGACTTTGGACCCCGGAAACCCGGACGTATGGGTGCAGTTGGGCCTGTACCATATCGCCACCAGCCCCAAGGAGGGCGAGCCGGCATATGAAGGGAAGAAGAGGCAGCAAGAGGTAGTCTGGAAAAAGGCAGAAGCGGCGTTTGTCAAGGCATTGTTGATGAAGCCCGACTATCCTCAAGCGATAATCGGGCTTTCAAAGCTGTATCTCGCATCGCCATTCACACCCCCGCCCCGCCCTACCCCACCGCTTCCCTCGCCCGCCCAGTCGCAGAATGGAAAGGCCACAGCGCCTGAGCTAGTACCTTCTTTACAAGGACCCGACCTCGCCGAGTCTTTGCTCAACCAGCTGACGCAGGCTCATGGGTGGGATGATCCCATGGCGTGGTTCTTGCTGGGCAAAGTGGCAGAAAGGCAGGGGAGGGGAGATAGGGCTAGGGAGTGCTGGGAGTTTGCTTTGGGTTTGGAGAAGGGGAGAGGTATCACGGGATGGGATGTGGCGAAGGAATGGTTGTAGCGATTGGAAAGGAAGATCTTTGCGCTGATATGATACACTTCGCTTTGCATACAGTGCGATCGTTGAGATATAATCGGGTTCTTCAGCGATACATGTGGTTCAACATGAATGGATTGCATATGCCTGAATGTCTGTAACTCTATACAACGGTCGTCTCTCGTGGAACGTCTGTCGTCTCTACTGTCTTCCCAATACGCACTTCTCGACCCAATACTCGTGCACTCTCACGTCTCCGCTCAGCTCTGGATGGAAACTGGTGATCATCTTCTTTCCTTGCCTCACCATGACCTTTCCCAAATCTTCGATCCTCGGTTCTCCCAAAGGAGAGTCGGACGGTGGAGGGGAAGGCAAGTATTCGTCTGGTAAAGCAGCCAGAACCTCAGTGGTAGCGTCAAGCGCGGGAGGCGGGGTGAGCGAATGAATGGCCGGAGCACGAATGAAGATTGCGTTGAAAGGCTTGGCAGGGGAGGACAGAGCTGGGATCGGCAGAGGGGCTTCAAACGATTCCAATTGAGCTGTCGATTGCGTTCATCAGCGCCCCACCTGGTGCACACGATGTCCAAAGGAGACCACTCACTCCCATACAAGTTGCGCCACACCTTGAGCCCCTTGAACCCAGCCCAGCCCTTGACACCCTTCTTTTTGCCCCCACCCACACCGTCTTCCTCGCTCATAAGGATCATGCCGGCGCATGTCCCCCAGACGGCTTTGGCGGGGTCTTGGGCAAAGGCAAGGAGTGAGGGCAGGAGGTTGGGGGTCAGGGAGGCCAGATGTGAGATGACTGTGGATTCGCCCCCTGGAATGACAAGGGCGTGACATCGCTGAAAGGTGGTCAGTACACAAGCATAGGAGAGGAGTCTCATGCAGATCTCGAAACGCACCGAGAGCTCATCGGCTGTACGAACAGGGATGGCCTCCAGAGTATGACCAGCTGGCCGAAGTCTGCACACTATCAGCGATATTCTAGCTTGAGTAAGGGTCCACGACTGACCTCTGTAGATAGTGGATATGTTCAATGAATGCCCCTTGAAGAGCTGCATCTGCGTCAGCTCAAGCCCAGTATCTTTGGTGTAATACATACCGAGTACGCCAATGACGACCTTGTCAGGGAAATCTGGTGGCTGCATAGTCATGGTGCATGCTTTCAACGTCCAGTTGAAGGCCTCGATTGGATTAGATAGAGCAGTAGAGAGATGGCGAAAAAGGAGAAAGAGAAGACTTGCCTGCCAATGCATTCCGACGCGACTCAGATCCCTGGCACACCCGAGGACGAAACCGACGCGACTCAACAGCTGCACTTAGCACTACGGACTACCAGATGCGGACGTCACGGGTGCATAGAAATTACAGCAATATACGGACATATAATAATGTAATGAGACAGTCAGACCTATAAGTACAAAGAACTATGAAAGAAACACATGCAAGGCCAACAGCCGGAACGCCCAAAAAGTACTCGGAACACATCGTCCACTACCATCTACTCAACGTTTCCTCTACAAAGCTCCCGGCAAGCGGTAATTTGTGATAATCACACACTGTCATAGACGTCATTTTCTTGTGTACTTCTCCTATCGAATTGTGCTCACCACTCTTGATCATCTTCAGCTTGTTCCTCGCCTCCGCCTTGTTCACCGTCGGCTTGAATGACCCGCCACACCTGCACGTAGCCGCCAAATTGTCCGATCTCATTTGTGAGCATTTGACGCAGGCCACATCTTGCGTCTGATAGGCGGTGGCCATCTTGTTGATGGTTTCGATGAGAGGCTGCTCAATTTGGAACCGGTCATAATCACTGTCACATTTCTGTGTGTTCTTGTCAGCGGAAGATCAGACAGAAGCCGCAGGATACTCACATGACAAGTCCAACTCTTCCTCGGAGGCTCTCTGACTTCTCCAGTCGCCGAGTCCACGACAGGAAGCCTGTCTGGGTCTCTACACAAGTCCACATCCCTGATAGCATTACACCTCTTGCAGATAACCATCGGCACCTCTATGCTCTCACAGGGCGCCTTCCACGCCGCGTCGCCTGAGAATTCCTTGACCCCGACCAGGTCCAACAGGTTCCTCTTCAGCACCTGAACTTCAATTGAGTGCTCCGACGCGAGGGAGAACACTTCGGTGATGGCCTTGATGAGCTCAAGAGTAGGGTTGGTACGGTCGGTACGAGCACCTGGAAGTTGAGGGAAGTCGAGGTTGTCATCAAGGTCGGGGTCAAGATGCAAGGCAGCCTGTCTGCGCTTGGCACCAGCGATGTCTGTGAGGAGGTTGCGCGTGAGAGTCTGCGAAATAGCTTTGGCCCCAGATGCTCTTTCCTTGTCCTTGGCCGGGTTGACTGTAGACGCAATCTCGCCAGGGGCATCGATGTTCAAGCTGTGGATGACTCGCAATGGCTCGCGCGAATCATGAGCTTTACGCTTGGCAGTGTACAGCTCGTAGATGAACTTGGCCACATGCCTCTCGAAAAGAGGTTGCAATGCGCTAGGCAAGAAGGACTGGATGTTCCAGTCCATACTCATCTCAAACTTGTAGCTAGGCAGGTCTCGGCTGGCGGCAGCTTCGACCGAGACCTTGACACCACCATAGTTGGCGACATCCATCCAAGCCAGATAGTTCCAGAACTGTGTAACCTCAATGCCGAGGTGTCGGAACAATTCTTGCGAGTTGGCTGCAGCCACCAAGTACTTTGAAAACGCATACGCGCTGCCAGCGTCCGGCTTGGAAGTAAGGAGGAAGATGCGGTTGAAGTCCGCATGCACTACTTGGGTACCAAGACGCTTGAATTCGGCAAGCAGCTGCAAGAAAGTCTTTCGCATGAGACCATGCAGGAACCGATGCAGAGCAGGTTCGAACATGTTACTCGTTGAAGAGCTGACCCATCGCCAGAATTGGTCAACCACCAGTTCGGCAGGTGAAGAATGGTCACCCTTGACCGTGGCGCGAGCCTTGTCAACGAACCAGGCTCGTAGCATCGACTTGAGGACCCCGAACGTCTGTGTTGAGAGGACAGCATCGCCGAGCATGACTGAACTATTGACAGCGCCCTTGGCATACTCGTCAAGGTTGTGAGAAGCAGTGTCAAACGCCATAGAGCCAGTACCGGACCCCTCCATCTCGTTGACCAGGGCAGATTGGAGAACCGCATTTATCGCAAGCTCAGTGATATCCAGTTCCAAAACTGTAGAGGAATAACAGCCTCGGTTGGAAATGTGTGGAGACACCAAGTCCTCGCTCATGTTTGCGTCCTCCTCGTTGCCGCCCAGATCAGGTCGAGAGTTGGAGGACCACCATATGAGCATGTCCTGCTGCTTTAGACGACGAGCAAATTCGATATCCGCCAAGAAGACAGCGGTGTCCGCAGCCAAATTCTACTCAGAGTTAGTCAATGTTCCGACGCCATAATCATGACACTCACTCCGATAGGCACGTCGAAATGAGCCGCAATCTCAATCTGCTCTTTCAACCACCCGGATAGTCGCAGATACAGCCCCACCATTCTCTTCACCGTATTGAGCTGCCACATAATTCCGGGCTCCTCGTCTTTGCCCAGTCTGTACGTTATGAAAGGGAAGTCTGAGAATACGGAGGACTTTGCCTGGTAGTAGTCGTGGCTGAAAGGCGAGTAGAGAGCAACCACATTCAAGCCACGCTTGAGAGCTCCCAGGTCTTTTGCGAGGGCTTTGAATGCACTAGTCTCCGTAGTGTGCTGTGTCGTTTCAATCTCGATCTCTTCAGGGTAGGGGAACACCCCCTTCTCGGTACGCCCGAGTCGCTCGAGTCGCTCGGCGTAAAAGCTGGCCATGCTGGGGATGTTTTGTCGAGTTCTAGAGCGGTCCACGACGTAGACGCGAGGAGCTGCGCCAGGCGAAAAGAGACCGATGACATGTCGAGTGTCCACATTGGCATGGAAGAGGAAATGATATTGAATCTCTCGACCTTCGTTGAGGTACTTGTGTCGAGAGGTCATCATCGGTCTCTCCAGGTCAGAAAGCTCGAAGCCTTTGTCGAGACCTCGGTTCAGGCCGCCTGTAATGCCAGATCGGAGGGTACACGACGTACCAAAGCTGAGGAGTGCTCTGACAACTAAGGGCACTTGAAGCTCAAAGGCCCCTTCGACCTTGGGACTATTGATAAGACTGGAGAAATGGGACTCTCCTTCCATAAACAAGATCTCGTCCACGAGCAACTTGAAAAGATGTCTTGTCGCCTGTCCTCTGGGAAGTGTTCGCACGACCTCGGACACCTCGTACCTGTCCGCAAACAGAACGTCTTGCTGGGGTGTTTCTTTGAAGTTCAGGTAGAATTCTCTTGGTACCCGTAGTTTCACACTTTGGAATGTGCCGTCAATTGACAGCCAAAGCTTGAATTCGCCAGGGCGATTGGTGACGGCAATTTGTACAACGTCCCACTGCTTAGAGCTGAGACTGGTGGTCTGAGCCCGAAGCATTGACGAAACAGTGCCATCCTGACGAGGTCCAGATTTCCGGGCCCTGGCCCTTTCCTGCCTCTGCTGGCGCCACTTCTTCTTCATGACCCTGATGTAGCCCGAGTAGTCGTCTTCAGGCTTGGGTGGTAGCTCCTCGATCTCTGGAGACTTTTCCTGCTCCCTCTGCTTTCTGCGCTTGACGACGGCGAGTTTGCGGCCGCTTTGCTTTCCGCCCTCTCCAAAGTCCTCCATATCCTTTGACTTCATTTTGGCAAACATGTCGGTCAACTTGTGTTGTTGGAACTTGTCCTCTTTCATAGCAATGCGCTTGTAGAGCCAGTCGGGGTGCCGGATGCGGGGGACAGGATTCTGGACTTTTTGAAGGGCGGCAGGAATGGTGATGAGTTTCTGGATCACAGAACCAAGTCGCTCAGTGTAGTACTCCCAGTCAAGGATTGTACGCAAGTCAAAGTCTGTAAGACTGTTATCCTTGAGCCACTTGCGGAGATAGTGCCGCTTGACGGACTCTTCAGCCGTAAAGATGGCGACTGGTACAGCGCGCTCGGTGACAGGGGCGCCCTGAGGTTTGGCAGAAATAATGAAACGACAGGCAAGACCCTTGTCCTTGACCATCTGCTCGCCCAAGAATTCGGCAAGTCGCTTGGCAGTGCTGATAGAAGTAGACTTTTGGCCGGCGTATTCGGCTAGCGTCTTGGACATACTTCGATTCTCGGCAATAAGGTCGACCAGCTCGTCATCGTGAAGACTTGATGCCTTGCTCTGTAGAATATCAAGCCATTGATCGGCAACAGTGGCGACTTGCGCATAGCACTCCTCGGTGGTGGTACCGAGCAAGAACTTGTCGAAGATTTGACTCTGGAAGATCTTGATCATTTGAAGTTCACCACGACGCTTGACCTCGAACCCCTTGAGTTCGGCAAGAGAGCCGTCGGGATTGAAGACAGCATACCTCTTCTTCAACAGCTTGTCTTCTTCTTTGGACGAAGGAAGAATCATGGCTTTGTAAGGTCCATCAAGTTCAAAGAAGATTGAGTTTTCCTTCTTGACCATGTACTGGCCGGACTCTTTGTCGACAAGCTCGTGGTACTGATCGTTGGTGAACTGGGCGTGGACGAGATGGTTGAGCATGGTGCAGGGGTACGACACGCCAAACTTTTTGCCTCCTTTGATCTTGAAGTTGAAGTCTTCAGGGAAAACACCGGGAAGCATACACCAGATACCATCTGTATCCAGCTCTAGAGGTCGACCAATCTGCTCAACAAGTTGACGGGCCATCTGAATGATAGTGGCGCCAGTCAGACAAGTGATGCCGGCCATTTCCATTGAGTACCATCGGGCGCCCTTGCGCATGACGTATCCGTAGAAAGAATTGAGGATACACTTGTGCGCAAGCTGCAGAGAGTCATATAGGACAATCATCTGTTTGGCCTCATCAACCTCGGCCACTGCGCCGCCTTCGCTAATTGCCTTGTCGAGATTCTTCTTCCAGGTCTTGTGAAGACCTTTGTACTCGTATCGACGGTCACGGAAAGCCCGGACAGTGTCGATATAGAAAGAGTTCTCTCGTTGACAGATGATAGCCGTTTGCGTGACGATCTTCGTCTCGTGAGTCTTTTTGTAGACTTTGCGAGAGTAGTCACCAAGACGCTTGTGCAGAAGAGCAGACTGCTCCGCAGGTGATAGATCCACAAATCGCCGCTTCGGGTCGAAAGACCGCTTGCCAGGGAACATCTCCTGCTCCAAGGCATAGCGCACCATGTTCACCTCGTCTCGCTTGGCCGGGAAATATTCTCCTCTCCACGCCCACTCCAATCGTCTGTCGCACTGTTTATCGGGGCGATTGTAATCACACACCGCACAGTCGGATTCTTTCTTGACCGAGTCTGGTTGAAGCCGATTTGACAACATGATGTTGGGGTACATGGCGGCGACATCCAGGTGATAGATGAGGGGCTTGTCGAAACGGCTGGGGTCGTCGCGCATGAGCTCGAGGGCTTGTTGAATCTGACCCTTGACTTCGTCATAGTTTTCGACATCTTCGAGTCTGTGGTTGCCTTCTTCGACTATTGAGAATTGAAGAGCGGCGTCGAGGTCATCAATGAGCTATACCTCATGAGCTTTGTTCTTTGTGACTGGGGCACACTCACTCCTTGTATGGCACCCGGCACGACTTTGAAGTGGGTGGGTATATCGCTTCTAAACACACCAGCTTCCAACGCTTCGACGTGACCGCCTACATAGGTCTCAGAAGCCAACAGATGTCCTTCATAGGTCACTCCGTGAGGATCCTCGTGTCGATTGGGCATGATGATATGAGCATCGAAAGCTTCAACCTGATATACCGTCAGATCAGATCCGAGGGTGCACGAAGGAGACTCACCATCAACAAGGTCTCACATAGTGTACCCGTTCCTTTTCTCAAAACTTCATCCGGGTTGAGAGGAATGATATTACAGAGTGAGAAGATGAAGGGGTGGACATATTTCATGTAGAGGTAGTAGGTGGCGACAGCATCGGAGACCGAGTACTGGGCGAGGATTTGCGGTTGCTCAATGGCATAAGGAGTCATGAGTTCGGGGTCGAGTTCGATGGGGTTGTAGCCGAGTTTGGCAGTCGTCACAGCCTTCAGACCTTGACTTCCTTGAGGGAGGTACGAGTCTCGCTTTACCCATCTGGATACCGTCAGCTCGCATACTAACACTTCCATCGACGATCTCACCTAAAACAGTCCATGTGCATCGTAGCACGACACTTGTACTCTTCTTCGTTATCTGGCTTGAAGCCGATCTCCTCATACATGCTAATGCCGTGGATCTTGGCGCGCGCATCCACAAAGGGGAAATCGAAGCTGTCACCGTTATAAGTAGCGATAACGTTTGGCTTTGAGTCCCGAATGTGCTCAAACCATCTCCTGATGACAGCCGCCTTGTAAAAGTGGTGAGCTTTGCAGTGTCTCGTCTGTCAATTACTCACCTCATCTGGCTCATTGAAGACAGTGAATTCTCCCGGATACTCGTCCTTGGGAGTATACTCAAAATCATCAATATCTTCGGCCACGATCTCTCTGTTGGTGATCAAGTATCCCATCCCGTCAATCATATATGAAATCATCATGATTTGATCTGTTTGCTGATCGGGAAATTTGAGGGGCTGTTTAGAAGTTTCGATATCGTACGCCATGATCACGGGGTCGGCACGCTTGACACGCTCGGGGATTCGAAGGAGCGTGGTAATACCGGTTTTGGAGACCACGCTGTACCACAGACCGACTCGGATATCTATCAAATGTCAGTGAGGGCGATACAACAGTCAAGCAACTCACCAAGGTCGATAGCCACTCGCAGGTGGAACGCTATGTCGTGTTCTCGTACATCGATTATACACTCCGACGGCTCCTTGTCTTTCCGTTTCCGGCTATCATCCTCGGCTCCCCATGCTTTCTCCTCGTCATCATGCCCGTTGGCAGCGGCCTCTGCACTGACCACATCGGCGTACGCATCGACCGCCGTAAACTTTTCAGAGTTGCTCTTGGCGAGTGGGTTCAAGTCACGCCTGACGGTGTAAAGGTCGGCAGTGTTGTGAAAGAAGAGTTTGAGGAATACTGGAGGCGCGGAGAGAAGGTGATTCGGCTGAATCCTGTTAGCTGCAGTTTTGTTTACAAGTAGTACCACGCACCAAATCCAGATCCCACTTCTTCTCCCGCTCTATCCGCACGATCGTTCCCTCATACTGCTTCAGCAGCCATTCTTCTACCAGGGTTTCAGTCCCTCCCTGTACCTGCTGTCAGCTCCGGGTGCCCGATGTTGGACGTTCCGTGACTCACTCGACACGTCACATAGAAGTATGGTTCAAACGGTATGGTCACCTTGAACGATCCACCATCGTCCTGGATAAAATAGTAGTCTACTGCAGCGAGCCCATTTGGGCTGACGTCGCTCTGCATGAGAGTCTGAAAACGCGTGAGCAGCTAATCTTTTCCGCGACGCGCCAAACTTACCATGTGCATGTTTACCAGCCACCCTACCTTCTCTTCTCCCTCCGACCTCACACTCTCAAACCTCCAAAAACCAAGCTTTTCATCAATTTCGTCATATGCCTTGACTTCTTCAAACCGCTCAGCAGCTGCTGTGCCGTCTTCGCGCGTCAGCTGAGCAGCCGGACGGTCAATACCGTATGCGACGCCACCACCGCGTCCTCCGCGTCCGCCCCCGCGTCGTTTGCCCGTAAAACGGGTGTTGCTGCCAGAGCCCCGTCCCCTGAACGATCCGCGAGACATGGTTGATTGAGGAGAAGTGGAAAGGGGAGGGAAGGGGAAAAGGGAGTTGAGAGAGCGGACGAATGAGAGAATTCAGAAACAAGACGCGTCGCGAAAAGCTCATGTCGAGAATTGGTTCCGCTAGGCACCGAGGGACGCGTTCACGCGTTTGTGTTTTGCCCGCGTATTGGAATCTGTGTGATTATATGCGCCGCACACTTTTGTAATTGGTACACATATTTAATGTATCTTGGGCGGACCATCATGTGGCCGGATCAAGTTGGCTCTGTAGGTACATCTCTACATCCAACCGCCCAACACCATCTACCCTTCACTGGGCTCCAGAGACACCGTACAAACCACTCCGACACCACCACATTCCAACAGATTAAGAGTCGTGCGCTATCCGCATCACTCGCGCGTTCGCCACCGAGACTCCACAACGGTTCCGCCTTTCCGTTTGATCAAATATTCACCAGAAACAAAAACCAAAAACAACAAAAACAAGAACAAAACAAAAACAACAAAAAAATCAGCATGAACAATAACAACATAAGGAGCCGGCCTTGTGTCCCTATACAAATGGTCTACAATCGCCAAATTGTGGAACTTCGCAATTTTGGCCACCAAAGGTCATCAAAGCCAACAAGACCCAAGTAACCTTTCCAATCCTGGGCTGGTCAACAACGTGTTTAGAAACAATCGAGGCGAGCGCGGTAGTTTCCATGGTGGTAGAGGTGGTGGCCGAGGCTGAGGAGGAAGCTATAGGGACACAAGGCCGGCTCCTTATCATCACGAGGACAGAAAGTGTTACAATTACCAAGGATCTTGCCAGAGACTGTTTCACGCGCCAGCGAGATGAGGGATCTTCTGAAAGCGCGAATCGAGGAGGGAACCAGTTCAGAGGCAACCAACGAGGAAATGTCTCAGTATCGACTCTGGGTGCTCTGATCATCTTGTCAGCAACCCTGAATTCCTCGAAAATATCTGTCCTGCAACTTCGAAGATGACTTTCTGTATGCCAAACGGGACATTATCTCAGTCGACTTGCCATATATGTATGCACGATGTTTAATTGTGCTAAGCGTGGGTTCTGAACTGACAGCCGCGAAAGCATTTACATGACCCTATACGAGTATAACACGTTGCCTTTGATAACATCATATGCAGAAACTTACTATGTCCCAAGGCATTTTGAGATTATACAGAGCTTGCACGTTTTTCCTTCCTCAGTGAAACTGGACTCGAAGCGGATTGCTCCGGCCTGTCATCATTACAGTACTCGTACTCGTATCGTCACTCGCTTGATCGTCACTACTTCAACGGAGTTCAACCTGGCCTGACGGTGGCCGCCGCACTTCCACCTCTTTCTTCCACGTCATGACTCCGATTATCTCCTCTTTCTTCTGCGACGACGCGCGTCTTGGTAGTTGGTACATGCTCTGCTCGCCTGCTGTATCTTTGAAATACTCTTAAACACACTACAAGCTTCAATCGCAATTCTCCTGTATTTTCAATGACTGTGTTCCATCCGTCCACAGGCTTTAACCCCAAGAGTTTCAGCTCTGCCACTCTCATCATCGTAAGTATATATACCAGTACTTGTCGGATTACCACTCACAAGGCTGACACAAACAGCCCGCTGTATCACTGGGAAATGTGCCTCAACTCACTGCCGACTTACTGATTTCTACTCTGGGTCTTAAGCGAGTGGGCTTCCTTGGTAACGGTGACACTGTCGCCCCATTTGCTGGCGTAGGAGAGAACGGGGAGGTTGCCACAGGAGGACTGGAAGGTAAGCGCCTTGCCCACATGATCAACAAGCATCCGGACTGACCAACGATGTCTCAGTTTATGGCCAAGAAGGAAGCGAGCTCTATGTCGTGCAGCAAAGGTCACCTACTCTCAAGGTGTGCAGACTCTCAAAAGACATGAAATTTACTGACACGTAATGACAGACCAAGAAAGATGAGCATGTCTCCGTCATCAGCGAATTTGCGCAGGGGAACGAGTTTGGTTTCGTCCTCGTCCTCACCAGCTTGGACTCGGCCCACCAAGACGATGTTCAGCTCTTGTAAGTCACGTTACTATATGGCGTATAGCTGTAATAACGTCATAATAGGACCCCCTACCAGCACATATTACCACCCGCTATTGTCTCCCCAGTTCCACCTATAATCCAGCGTATCAAGAACCTCCCGCCTCTCTCCCTTGCCATTTCCCAACCTTCTTACGGTCCTCAACCAACTTCTCGCTACCCTCCATTCCTTCCAGCTGCCGGTCTCACACGCCGTCTGCTCTCTGCATTCTCCGAGGATCAAAAGAAGATTTCACATGGCGCCGTGACCGCCTGGTGCGTGGAAGGCGACAACAGAGGAGATGCCCGGGGACTTGCGGGGATCGTGCTCGGCGTGCTCGGCATATGTGAGTCGGGCTTCTCAAGGCTTGCGCAGAACGGTTGTCTGACCAAATGCGCAGCGGACGATGTGGACATTCGGGGACCCGCTTCGTGGGAAGGACTGTTCGGGACTACCGATGGGTGGAGTGGTGGGTTCGGGGCGGACGCAGAACTCTACGGATAGAGGACTGAATGGAGCTGGTACGACGAGACACTGCTTCTATGAACGTCCATCCGCTTCTCAGAGATCTCCTTCATCAGTGCTCTCCTTCGCCGTGCGGGGCGTCACAGCTTGATCTATAGCAGCGAAGCCCTCCGACCAGCCGCATAAGCCCCACGCCAGAATTGTCCTTTCTCGAGACTGCTCCTTTGAAGCAAAGCTCCGCAAGAATGGATTCTGGCTCCACTTTGCTCGGGCTTCCTCTCACTGCAGCTATACAGGACATATCGACAAAGGGCATCATGCGGACAAGGCCCGAGTGGCAATGGGATACCCAAGTGTCTTCGATGGAACAAGAGATCTTCGGCGGAGTGGCGCATTGCCGAGTAACTGTCACTGTGTAATGTGGGATCTCTGACAGATGAGCTTGAAGGAAACAACGTTTCTGCTTTGCCACTATCGTTTCTGCAAAGCTACCGTCACCCTCATCGTTCAGCCCAGAAAGCACTGGAAATACGTACACATATGGCAAATCTCACCCGATCTACCGAGGACTCGACCCCATCAGCACTCTCGATCCTACTTCATACTCCGATGATTCGCCCCCGAAACCGCATGTACTCTATTCCTCCCCAATCCTGCCCTCAAACCATATCACCTGCGCCCTCCCTCTTCCCTCGGCCTCGCCTCTTACCCCCATCTGTTCCATCCTTCCAGGGTCCTGGGTCCCACAGCACCATCCCTCTCCCGCGGCTGGCTCCTTCCCCACAAAGCGAATGTTCTTTCCTCCCCTGGCCCGGAAACCAGCGGTTCATCCACGACGGAGGAGAGTGGAAGAAGAGTGAAGATAGCTGTCTGGCTGACATATGGCGAGGCGAAGTCACGCCGTTGCTCGTCTTCGACGAAGACCGGGACGAGTACTTTCCGGCGTGGGAAGATTATAGCCTGTCGGAAGATGGGGACCGAGAGACAAGATATAGGTATGGCTGGTCTTGGGAAGGTGAGGAGAGGAGCCGTGCGTGGACGGATGGAGGGTTCGTAAGAGGGCGATGGATGGGTGCTGTGCGTCTGACAGTCTAGGTTACTTTTCGCTGAAAGGTTTTGGGCACTACAGACATTACAATCGTGATCTACATATGCCAGAGTATAGAGAAGCAAGGATAGTCCGTTGACGTATCACTCTGCACTTCGTAAGATCATTCATCAAGCCATTACCGCCTGTGCTTTATAAGCCCTTCTTCTTCCTCTCTATCCGTTACAGGCCCCAGCACCGGACTAGCGGATGGGCTTGGTTCTGGCGTGTTGTAGACATAGCTATGTATGCTCTGAACCTCGATGGAAGTTGGGAAATGACCTCTTGCTTCAGATATGTCAATCTCAGATGAGGGAGAAGAGGAGGTTGAGAGAAGGCGCATGGTCGGGCGCGACGTGACAGGTGGTGAAGGCGGGTATGCTAGATTCGGATCAGCCTTCGTGATACTATTCTCTCTGATTGATGATTGCTCACCTTCGTATACACTGCCTTGCGGCTCGTGCCCCTCCTCACCCGTAATTCTCGCATCATCTAGAGTGATCCTATGCTTCTTCCTTCTCGTGGCTTCGAGGTCCTCATCATCCACCACGATCCCCATCCCTGTCTCCGGATCCCATATCCTCTCCCCCTTCTTTACTTCGCCCCACATAAGCCTTCTCTCTTTCCAGTTCTTCTCCAACTCCTCATCTTCGTCGTCTCCAAAACGCGATTTGAACCTCGACTGCCTCCTCTTTTTGTTAAAGAGCCAAGAGACAAGACAAACGACAATCACGAGCCCTAGGATGGAACCGCCGATAGCGAGGTAGGTGGGGAGTAATTTGGCGAGAGAAGAGAGGGAGGAAGGGGATAGAAGGGAGGTGTCGGTAGAGGAGGCGGTGGAAGATGCGTCACTGGTGGTAGCCGTGGAGGTCAATGAACCAGTGCTCGAAACCAAAGAGGAGAATTCTGTAGAGGAAGATGTATGGGAGGAGGCCAGGGAAGTGCTGGCGCTCGCCCTCACCGAGGCAGTGGAAGTCGCAGACTCCATGTTTGTAGTCGTCAAAGTCGTTAAGAGGCGAATCGTATCGGAAAATTGAGTAGATGGGCAGGCTGGCGGATGAGAGCCAGCTCAAGCCTGTATAAAGACGTTTGCGAGATGCTGTGAAGAAGAGAAAATCATTATCTCCTGTAACGTAAGTTGCGGAAAATCAATCACGTTTCGCGGTCAACAAGACACACCGATGCACCAGCACTGTCCATGTCGCAGAGCAGCGCGGCAACTTTCGCTCAACCTGGAAACATTAGTCCACGCTCACGCTTGTCTGTCGGCGTTTGCTTAGCGAGAACGCGTCATGTGCATGGGCGACGCAGAGCGGGGCAGGTGGGGATCAGAGGCCCCAGGCCCCCCAGGCCAGAGACCGAGGTGGCGTTGATCCCTGCCCCTGGGTCCGGCGGCCGCAGAGGGGGTCGTACGGGATATACGAGAACTGTGAAGGGGGGTGCAAGGGGAGGCTGGGGGTAGTTGACGATGCGGCGTCAGGGATGGAAAAGATCAAGGTCGTCGAGCGCGATCGGTGTGGTAAGACGCGCACTAAAACCGAGAGTATAAAGCCGCTCGTGGCTCGTGGCTTGTGCTTCAACGTGGCTTATCGTGCACTATGACTCAAACCCAAGCACTGCCCATACCACAGCAGGAACTCATGCCACACGCCAAAATAATAGTACTGTACTCGAGTACATGAATGAAACTAACAACATACAGTCAAAGTGCCTAGCCTACTTGCCAACAGAGAGAGCAAGCTTTACTGAATCCACGAGGCCTGGCTGACGCTTCTTCCACCCCAAGGCCGCGGCCTTCTCGCTGACTGACATAAAGGAGTTGCCTCCAAACATGTACATATCGCCTTCACCCTCCCCAATGCTGATGGCGCCAGGGTTGGGAATATCGCCACGGGCATGGAGGAGGTCGCCAATGAGCTCGATGATGGGCCTCCAGGCGTGGGTGTCAACACCAGCGTAGATGAGGTTGGACCAGCCGTGTGACCCGGGGAGGGCGGCGGTAGCGGCAGGGTTTGAAAGCGCGTGAGTGAGGAGAAGGATAAAGAGATCGCTGAGGTCTTGCACATGTACCTGGTTGATGTGTCAGCTGGCTAGAACAAGAATTCAAGGGGATGGCTTACATTGCCCCACACGTTGTCGCCTTTGCCAATGTACGCAGCTTGGCCTGTACGCTTGGCGTATCGAACGTACGCTGGGATCTGAAGAGAAAGCTCTTACGACCTAGTGTCAGCCTTCAAACCACATTCTTGGATATGTTGAGACATACTGTTGCCAGGACCAGTACCTTGTCCGTAAACAGTGGGGGCCATGACGATATAAGCAGAGATGACACCCCTTTCAACAGCTCTGGCAACACTACAAACTGGTCAGGGACTATCAACGAGAGAGGCCAACACTCACATGGTATCGCCGCTGTGGAAGAAGGCTGTCTGAGGAAGAGCTTTCCAGCGCTTGTAGTCAGTGTCCTATGTCACATATCAGCTACGGCCATGGACCAGCGTGGAACCACTCACCTTCCAGACGTCAGTTCCTTTCTCACCATTGGCGCCGTACATGATAGTGCCGGTGCCCGAAATCTGCAACAAGACAGGCTTCACAGCCCCTTTGTTCGCCCTTGCCTCAAGGCCATCAACAAGAGCCTGAATACTGGCATCACCGCCACCAAAGGGCACAGCGCAGTTGATGATCACATCGTTGGCTTCAGCCAGGGATTGGATGAGAGCAACGTCATCGACTGAGCCGACGACTATGTTGACGGTCAAAGGCTTGAGAAGTGCTTCTTTGGTGGTGTCTCGCACGAGGACGGTGATGTTGGCGGGGTTGTGGGTCTTCAGAAGGTCAACGACGATGGTACCTGTGAAACAGTGAGTATCGGCCTCTTCATCATATTGTGTGAGTCACATACCACCGATGTAGCCAGAAGCACCGAGGATGAGGATCTTGGGCTGTGTGGACATTATTGTTCTGCTGTTCGTAGCTATTAGCTGTCTTGGTGGTTCCGAGTAGTGTTCCACAATGGGGCAGGGCAGGCTGCCTTATATAGCCTTGAGGGTCGGCGGAGAGTCAGACAAGCAACACCGCCGGAAGTCCGAGATGGAATCTCCGTGCTCTTGGAAGCGGATGTTCCACAGGCAGTGGCAGCAGGAGATGGGTAGGCAGGCATTCACGTGAGAGTTTGTGGTATTGCCTCCGATGCCGAGCTGACTTTCTGGGTGAGAGATAACTGGCAGACAGGATATTCGCGAATAGAGCGCAGTTGAAGATGGAAAGTCGATATGGCAGGGTCGGCTTGTCCGTCCGCCGGTCCAGGCCGAAAGTGACGGCAGCAGACGGCAGAGTGGAGGGTTGCCGTTGCTAGCCGTGGAACTATTCCATTAGCTGCATCTTTCTCTCTTTCCTCTTTCTTCTTTCTTCTATCTCTACATCCACAATGTCTCTCTACAAAATCCTCGTCGGTGGCTACCGCTCCGTGTACGAGATCTTCTCTTTCGAGCCGTCCACTTCCAAGGTCAAGCTCGCGGGATCCTCCCCGGCCCTCATCAAACCCACCTGGATAGAGCTTCCCGGTCCTCCGATTAACAAGGGCAACAGCGAGGAGAGGTACCTGTATACTGTATCCGATGTGGACGGAGGTTCTGCTGTCAGCTTGAAACTCAATGGCGATGATATCGAGATCACGGGTCAGAGACAGTGCTATGGCGGGGCCGTCCACAGTATGTACTTATTTACGCAACCAGCCAGTAGCTCATTTTCGCTCAGTACATGTCATGAAGGATGGTTCCGGTATCATCTTGAGCAACTTTTCAGGTGGCTCTGCCATCTTCTTCCCCATCGACTCCAACGGCGCCTTGTCAAAGACTTCCGAGTCGCCTCTTCTCAAGTTACCCTTCGTGTACGAAGGCCAGACAGCGCCCAACTCCAAGCGACAGGAGGCGTGTCATGCGCACAATGTGGTGGAAGGTCTGGATGGGAAGCTCTATCTCTCTGATCTTGGTACGGACAGGATCTGGATCATCAAGAGAGAGGGTGAGAGCGGACTTTCCATCGATGGGTGGTTGCAGGCGCCTCCCGGCTCCGGTCCGAGACACTCTTTAATCTCTGAGGATGGTGAGTGGAACATTTGGCTGTCAACAATCTCCATCTGACTCGATTCTCACAGGAAAGTTCCTCTACAACCTCACCGAGGTATCCAACGACATCCTCATCTTCCCCCTCGACTCCACTGCCGAACACCCCGAACCTCTTCCCAGCAAAGTTAGCGTCATCCCCCCCTCCGTTCCCTCGGACCCTGCCGCTCAAGCCCACATGAACGCGGCTCAACTCTTCTTCAACCCCGCCCACCCCGGCCTCTTGTACGCGTCCAATCGCCTTGAGCTCACTCTCCCTTCCGAGTTTGCTACGGGCGAGCAGGGTGATGCTGTGGCTATCGTCAAGCTCAACGCCGCCGGAGATGAGCTCGGAGAGGTGAAATGGGTCAGGACGGGATGTAACAATCTCAGAGGGATGAGGGTGAGCCCCGACGGTAAATACGTTGTTGTAGCGGGCAGGGTCGGTGGTGGGTTGGAGATTTGGAGTACGGGACAAGATGGGACCGATTGGAAGCTGGCGGGGAAGGATGAGACCATTGACTTGGTGACGGATATGACCTGGCTTTGAGGTCGTTCGCGGTTAATAATATCGAAGAGAATGTATCACAAGGTCATAGGCTGGTTTGACGTGGCTGGGACCATTTATCTTACATCCAAGGCCGAGAGCTAGAGAATTGCTTCCGGAGCGTCCAATGCACTTAGCAACTGATAGTTCAGAAGGTGTGACAATACTGATGAAGCCAACTACTGCGCCACGTGTGCTGATCTGATTGCCGTGCGTCGCCGCCGAGATAAGCGGAATCCTTATCAGTCGAGGACCAAAGAAGTCATTCAAGCTTTCCTATGAGTCTCGACTTGTCCTTGCAACCTCATTCATCATCAGAACAGACAAACGGGACACAATGTCAGGCTTGGCAAAGCTGTCCGAGACCCTATCAAATGCCGACTTCAAATCTATTCCCATCATGTCTGTACCTTCTTACCAGCTCCCTCAATTCCTGGGAACGTTCTATCGTCGTTTTATTGACATATGACGCCAGAGACCTCACGGACGCCAGGTCTGCTGATGGAGAGAAGAGAAAAGTCGTTGCAATGAACATCCGCGAAGCTTGTCTCAACGCCGGATTCTTTTACAGTGAGTTGCAAGAGAGAATGGTTGTTGGTATAATCTTTGACATCTCAAGACCAGTCAAGAACCACGGTGTGCCTGAGGACATTGTCAATACAACGTTCAGCCAGTCCAAGATGTTCTTTGATGCACCTGAGAAGATAAAAAAGTCTGTGAGTGAAAGAGTCCAAGAGTCCCTCGACGTGATTCATGTCAGACCCATATTCTATAGGTCGACATTACCAAGTCTGGAAACTTTCGTGGGTATATGGGCCTACTTGTGTCCAACAATGATCCGTCAGTGTGAAGACGCCAAGAAGAAAGAGCCCGAGACAGCTGAGCGTATGACTTAGCTCGACCAAAGGAGACATGCACGAAGCATTCAATCTAGGACTTGACCCTTCTCTCGACCCCTCTTTCTTCGATCAGACGGTCAAAGAAGGTGAATTGAAGCATTCAGAAAACCTGTGGCCGAGTACGGAAGTCTGGGATGGTGCTGGCGAATTCGTAAGCCACATGTCTATCATCAGAATCAGTACTAATCAGACCCTGCCAATCGCAGAAATCTGCCAGCTTGGCGTATTAGTGAGTGTCCAGAGACATATTAGGTACTGTAGCAGACGTGCCCGATAGCCAAGCGATCCTCCAGCTTGGTCAATCGCTTTTCCCTCTATTCGCTTTCGCGTTGGGCTTGCCGGAGGATTTCTTCACCGACAAGGCAGGTGCTTCGATTGATCGCGAAGCATAGACTGACAAATGATTAGACCAAGCACCCGGCCGCAATCATGAGACTCCTCTTCTACCCTGCACTGGGAGAGAGAGAAGTCGACGAATTGATGCCGGGGATTGGTGTGAGTCGAGTCCAAGGGGTACTGCACAAACGATTTAGACGAGCTGACGCTTGAGATAGAGCCACACCGATTTCGAGTGTTTCACTATCCTCCGCCAGAGTTTCTGCGACGTGCCGTCTGCTCTTCAGGTCCAGAATCGACAAGGCGAATGTGATAATATACCCTCGCCGTTCAGAGAACTTGCTTGCTGATCATAAGCAGGGATCGATGCGCCGTATATTCCTGAAACCTTTGTGGTCAATATCGGTGACCAATTTGCACGATGGACGAGTGAGCATTCCACACGTCGCAGTCGTACTCGGTTGATGCCAGGTAGACGATATCTTCGTGTCCACAAGACATCGCGTCCTTCCAGCTTTGGCCAAAGACCGATATTCCATCCCATTCTTCTTTGGATGCGATCACGACGTGCCTCTCCTCCCTCCTGATACGTGTGTAACTGTGGAAAGGCCGGCGAGATATCCAGTGGTTACAGCAGGAGCGTATGTCTTTGATCGACTTTCAAAGGCCTACAAAGTCGAAAGGTCGAGTGTATGATTGTCGATGTGTACATGCTATGTCATTACCTAGTGTACAGGTACTCAAAGGCCAATGGTGTCCACTTTCCAAAGATCGTCTCTGTAGATTATCAATACCCATTCACGTTCGCAACATGATCACTCACCCAATCCAACAAATAGTCTCCACGGCGACATTCTTCCCCACCTTCTTGATCTCATCACTGGAAGCGACGAGCTTTCCGATTCCACACGCATGCTGCTTGCCCTCAGCAAAGATAGCTACGATAGTATCCTTCTCAAGTCCGTCAGGAAGCTGACCGCCAGCCGACAAAAGACCGGGGGCCATCATGTTGGCGCCCTATCAACGCGGATAAGCAGAAATTTGACGTTGGTAGATATGAACGTACAGCAAGAAGGAACTTGATGGCACCTCGGTCAATCTGGACACGAGGAAGCATCTCGGGGTCTATAGGGTCGTCAGCAAAGCATCATTGGCTGATAGCCAGTACTCACATCGATGTAAGAGCTTCAAGGTCGGAACCAGAGGACCATCAAAGTGCTGGAAGAAGATAGGGACCGATTGGATAGTGTAGATCGATATCCGGTCGTGACTACACTCCCAGTCAGAATGCTGTGTAGCCAAGGCTCTTGCCGGACATACCACTTGGTCAGACCCAAAGCATCCTTCTTTGGCCAGAACTCTTCGAGGACCGTCTCGGCACCGGCCTCCTCCTCCTCCTTTTCCTCCTTCTCCTCCTTGTCTTTTCCCTTTCCTTTGCCACCCTTTCCCTTACCGCCCTTCTTTCCACTTTTCCCTTTTCCACCTCCTGAAGTCTCCTCCTTCTTCTCTTCCTCAAGGGGCGCCGCTTCACCTTCGGCCGATGCTTCAGCGGCAGCAGCTGTAGACGGATCCTTGTAAACGGGAAGCGAGAGGAATGGTATTTGAGACAGGGCTTGAGACCTGATATTCCTTTGGACAGATGATTTGAGAGATGTCGAACTCGACACGTCCTCTTTGGGGTTGAATCTGAAAGACAGGTTATCAGCTTGGTCTCAGCTTGTGACAAGCTTGCAGGCGTACTTTTTGAACATTTTGCGAACTTGCAGGTGTACGGGGTCACTTCACTCGACAAAGAGGGGATATGAAGATGGCGAGAACAACGACCAGACAGAGACGATCAAGGTAAAAGTCGGCGGGCTCCTTCGTTCTTCGTCGCTCGTCGTCGCGAATGACGATTTGAAGGTTTACGTAACTGGCTGATCAACTTCTGTTACTCAATGCAATTGTGCAACAACAAAGGTACAGTCTTCACGGATGAGCCATTCGTGCAGAACACAGTGCAAATGAACGGAGTTGATAGGTGACATAGGTCAAACGATGTGCGACACGATACAGCCAGCCGGGTCATGGGCGCCGCATGGGGCTGATGACTATGGAAGATGGGTGCATGTACAAGGCGGCAAATGCTCTATGCTTTTGATCATTTACACCAAAACTACTGTTACACATCACTCCTAAGGCCTCTCCCCACGAGGTTGTGACCAAGCGACCTCGAGAATCAAAGAGTCGTAACCTAAGCATGTCATGAGCTCGTGTTCTATCGGGGGCCGACATCCTGGACTCACCGAAACCGTGCATCTTGGCCATGGCAGTCTCCGCATCCTTCTTGCTCTCGAAGCTGACAAATGCCAAACCCTTGCTCTCCTTGGTGATACGATCCCTGACGATGTTGACACGCCCCAAGGTACCGAAGCGCTGGAAAAGAGCCCTGACGTCGTCTTCGGAGGCTTCCTGTGAAAGAGAGGTGATACGGAGGGTGGGGAGGTCGTCTCGAGATCGGAACATGGTTTCGCCGGTACCAGTAGCGCCAGCTCGCTGGGATCTGACAAGGGTGCTCAGTAAAGATACAGAATTGACGGGAAAAAGCGTACGGGGGCACGTATTTGCTGCCAGTAAGACCCGCACCCCTAGCAGCCAAAGCACCACTGGGCTCGGGCTCCGCCTCCTCTCCATCCTGAGCGTTGAGACTGTCGATAGCAGCAAGCTCTTCCCTGAACGGACAACGGGCGGTGTAATGCTGACCGCTACAAAGTCGACACACGACAACCTTTCCGGTAGGCGCCTTGGTGGTTTCGGGCTCGGGCTCAGCCTGGGCCTGGATCTGCGTGGATTTAGAATGATACGCAAGCAGATATATGGGAGACGCACCTTGCCGATGGGGGCAATCTTGAAATGGAGGTTCTCGCCAATGATTGTCGTCTTCCTGTCGGGACCGGAGGGCTTTCCCTTTTCGAGACCAAACCTGCGCAACGTCTTAGTATCATGTCTTATTGCAGAGCTCTGATCCAACACACTTGGGCAACTGCTTCCTCTGCGCGACCGTCTCCGACACGGTCGAGACCTGCAACCGTCTTCTGACTCTCCTGGTCACCTTGACCTTCTTGTCGTCCTCATTGAGTTTCCAGCTGATGATAGTGGTGATACCGTCGGCATCAACGGTTTCGGTGGTGGGGGGGAGCTCATCGGCTAGAGAGATGTTAGGTGATAAGTCTGATTTCAACGAGGATACTTGCCATCCAAGTCTTCGGCGGCCCAGTCGGGTCTACAGCGGCCAAATCGTGTCAGTTTTTCTCTCAAAGAGCGCCCTGTGAACAGCAGGGACCTGTACGCACTGCTTTGTGTCGGCCATTTTGTCGCAGGGGATGGGTTTTACTACTTGTAGCTTGCTCACACCTTGCTCGTTGAACTTGTTCAAAATGGGCATTGTCTGCGACGTTACGTAAGTCGGCAAATTGCGGAACTTTCAAATGTGGCTTCTTTTCGCGTCTCTTCTGTACTGTTTGTCTTCTCGTCAATCTAATTATATCTCTATAAACATCTCCATCGCGCCCTTCTGAACCTCCTTCACAGCCATCATCGCACGGTCAACCCGAAGTCTTTGCGTCACCATACAGACGTTCTCACCGCGCTCACCGGCATTACTACCTCGAATACAATCCACAGCTATCATTGACCTTCCGCTGCTGGTGGCTTTCGGCCCCCAACTTCTGCTGTGGAGAGTGGCTTCCACATGCACAGCGTCTTGTCCATCGAAATTGTTGCCGTCATGGTCAAGCAAGGGTATCGAAACGGACGCGGTGATAACGTCGAGGTGTCAGTGCCGCTCTGTGTGTCCAGGATGAAACGAAGAGCGATGGCTCAGCTGAGCGGACCCGTGTGATTTCATTCCTGGCTAGACCCATACCCTGAGGCGACCTCAACGATTGAGTGCTCGACTGCCAGCACTGAGCCCATAGTCCAGACAGCTAGCCCTCATCAAAGTGTCGTCCGCATTCCTGACTGATTATGTCTGTCCACGCGAGCTCGTTCAGTCTCACTTCAGTCTGTCTGCGGTCTCAGTAGTATGTAAGAAAATCACAACATGTAACGACTGATTCATGCGTCATCCTTCATCTAGTCTCCCCGTACACTGCTCATGCCTTGCCCGCCTTGCTGCAGCCTCCGCGGCCTGCGCTCATACAGACTTGCGCTCATACAGACTTGCGCTCATACAGACTTGCGCTCATACAGACTTGCGCTCATACAGACTTTTAGGCCCCATAGGGTCTAGGTTTTATCTAGTACGTTTTGAATGGCCGCACTATCCACAGTCATCACCTTGACATGGCAAGACGGCCTCCCTCCGCCCCCGCCTTCTCGGTTTACGCATGTACGCATTCAGAAGTATGAAGATACGTACACAAATAATCGCAGGTTAGTCACCACAGGCCTTAGGCGCCCGCCAAACGCCACAAACCCGGTATGGATCTCCCTCCTCCACTTATAACGCTTGCAACTTATTGGCTTTTAGCTCAACGCCTGCGACTAGAAAAGCCAGAGTCCTTAGCAGAGGCTACGTACTAGAGTACTGTACCCAAGGAGAGATTATACGTTCAAACCGTGGTGGGATGCGAGGAGCGACCGTTGAGCGCCGTCTGTTCTCATCCCGTCTCTCATTGAGATCCTCGGTCAGCCCTGACTTTTGTATCCTGTGCATGCTAAGCGGAAGTATAGGCAGATACACGAGGGCGCATGTGTACGCATTTGTGTTCCTGTATATGGGCGGCGGAACAGTAACACGGGCGGGGTCGGTCGACCCAAAAAAGTATAGCCACAGTGTGTGCTACAGCCTACGGCAACTGTGATCTGTGATCTGTAATCCCTGTGACCGTCGACCGACCTGCAACTGCTGGCGGCACCACATGCATCGGTCACGCCCTGGCCCTTTCTCGGCTCCGCGTATGTATTGCAAAAGTATCTACGTACGAGGGAGAGGGAGAAGCGATCAAGATGGTTTCATCAAAATGTTCATCAGTCAAACTAAAGTACATATCGTCAAAGACAGGTTGCCGCTGCGCACTACCGAGGCCCCGAGGAGCATGGAGCAGGCCGAGCAGGGTTATGCGCGGCAAGGGCAGGGGGCGGCAAGGGCAAGGGCCATGAATCTTTGACCCATCATGAGAAGCTAGAGAAGAAGGGGTCGTTCCTGTGGATCGCGTCCCAGCCGAAACAAGAGAACAATCGACACCATTAACCGCGGCGGATAGATGAAAATCTCAGGGATCCTGTGAATTCTCTCGTCATGCCTCCACTTCCGCTCGCCCCCTTGGTTCCCTTTCCCCTTTACTTCCTCTTCCCTTCAAGCTTTTTTTGATGGGTTTTTGGCTTGTTTGCTGTGCCTACCACCTACAACAGGGAATTGGGAACAGCTCGGTGCCGTTCTGAAACTATGCCAGTATCTAGAGTATCTAGAGTATCAAGGGTCCCGTCATGCTCACAGCAGTACCTCGGCCAAGGCAGCCAAGCCAGACAGACATCATGCATGCGCAAAAGCGTGAACCCAGAAGTCAAGCTGAGCACTACAAAATTACAAATCAGCCGCAGCCTGGCCTGTACATACGTGCATGACTTGCGTAGTTAGCCTGCAATTGGGGCGGCAGGCAGGCTCAAGCTCAGCCGGCATCATGCTTTCGTTCGACCCGCGAAGCAGTCAAAAGCAGCTCGGCCACCCGCACATCTCGAACTGCACTGTACTGGTCCCGAGAATTGTTCCGCAATAGTTATTTTATTTCTCCTTTCGCTCAATTAGTACAGTACATGGGGCGGCATTGTCGACGACCGCTTACTTGTTTGCCCCACCTCTGGCCAGCCCATAGTAGTGAATCTAGTGATAAGTCTGAAGAACGCACGGGAAGGACGTCAGTCAACATCGAAAGATAGCGCTATTTGATGATAACGTTAGGAAAACGGCATTTTTGGGAAGGCTGTCTACAGCATCATATCCACCAACACAGCGGCGAAGGCAAGAATATCTTCAAAGGCGTCGACGTCTATGCAGCCTTGCGGGAGGCGTATATATCTGTAGAAAGTCGCAGGGGTGGTAGAGTAGTGAAGAAGGGGGTAGACTACGCTGGGGAGAGGAGCGGAGTCACATTATACATGACATCTCGAATGCCGTGAACAAGAAGAATGATCCAGGATGGCCACGATGATGATAAGCCAATGCGCTGCAACGCGGGTGGTGATGACTGGCGACGCCTCTTGTTACGTTGAGTTGAATGACGATGATGACTCTGGGTACGCTCCGCAACTGCGGCCCTCTCCCGAACTCTGGGATTACCTTTGAGTGGCGTCAAGTCAAGAGCATGAAAGAGGGGCACTCTACTTCGATTCGCAAATTCTAATGTCATGCATGCATAGGGCTATATACCGAGTTGGAAGTCCGCGAGCATCATCACGTGAACAAAATCTTGGTCTGAATGGACTGGTCTGTTCTGTCTGCCGCTGTGCCCGCTGCTCAACTCTTGAACACTTGCCACGATGCACGATGCAGGCTTAAACTGTACAAGTACATTTGTACGTGATGTTGCAGAATCATCTCCTAAGCGTCGAAGACACTCGTCATGACCCTCGATGATGGACATAAGTTGCATCGAACGTCTGTTGTTGTGGCTTGCGGTTGGGCCTCGCGGGCTCGCGGGCATCATTTCAGAGATCAGAGATCCCTGCCCTAACCCCTCCAGGCCCTCGAATCTTGCTACCAGCCATTGCAGTCATATCCATGGGGCGCAAGGGGCGTTCCTCACGTCGTGCGAGGCCGGGGTGTGTCAGTGTGGCTGCGGTTCGATGTCGGATCTGTTGGCGGGTGTTAAGAAACGTCAAGGTTTGCCCTGGTTCCACGTATGTAACTTTCGACTCTCGGCGCCCCCGACCGATTACATGCTGTGATCTGTGATCTGTGGCATGGTCTACGCCTAGCTCGCGTCTTGTAGGCGGTAAGGTTGGTGTTGCAGGTTCTCGACTACTCCACAAGCACAGCCTTACGACATGCTCAAAGACTTGTACTGGCACATAGAGTGGGAGGCAAGACGGAAGTTGGAAGCCGGCGCCATGCCGCAGACGGCAGACCGCAGTCCCGTTTTTTATCCTTTGTCCCTCATAGATCTCGAACCCTTGCGTCTTCAGCTTGGGTGCATTGAGTGCCAACATTTATGTCATGCAAGCCACGCATACCCTTGCCGCGCGGGGCAAAGTATTACAGGAGATGGAGATGTGCGCATGCCGGGGATACATAGAGCGTTACGCCCAAAAGCAAGCTCCAACACCGCCGCCCTCCCAGAGCAGTCGCCGCCCCGGCGGTCATTGCCGTACCCTGGAAAGGCTGAGTGGAAACACGGTAAGCATTTTATTTGTCCCTTGTTCCTGGTTATTTCATTTCGGACCGCCCAAAGATAAAGACCCTTGACGTGACTAACACCATCCACAACTTTTTTTTGAAGTTTGTCCGCGAAGTTCACGGGTGCATGGTGGATGTGAGCTAGGCCCAAAAGCGATGCGGGTTTGCATGGACCGTTTATGACTCTTGCAACGCATCTCTTCTCGTTGTTCAACATTCTCCCACCCCTGCCCCCACTTGAGGTTCACCCACCCTTGACCCTTCCAAAGCCTGGTTGAGTTGGCAATCCGCGATTCTCGCTCTACACAGGGGAGAAGAGGTGACTCGCCCACACGTCAGCCAGCGCCCGACGATCCCTACGACCTTTTCGGAACAAAATTCTTTGCAGTGGGCTATAGCAAGGCTAGCAAAAGCGCCTCTGCATCTTCAGCCCCCTTCCCATGTGCGTATCGTTTCCTCCATCAGGGCGTGAGGCGCGCGAGCGTCATTCCTCAAGTGTTGGTTGTTCGGGGATGGCTCGCTCTGCCCTACCCTGGGCCCCTCCCTGGGCAGTGGAGTTCTCGCGGTGTTCCTCTGCATGCACCGAGATCATAGGCTAATTTCAACTGGGCTTATTACAGAAGGCCTGCCCCACGCGACTCCCAGCCTAGGAGAACAATAGAAATTTCGTTGCCACTTGACGGTATCCCGCCGCATTGTCACCGGCCAGGCGGAATCGCAGAGGACCATCAAGTGCAGAGCAGAGGCCTGTGCTTATCAGGACCAAAGTAACGCCCAATCTTTCAGGATAGCAGCATACGCATAGTCTAGGAGGCGAGAAAGGACAAAGAGTAAGTTTCCGCCTGAACCCCTTTTGTTCTCCTTCCTCGGATACCCATCGAAGGAGCATTGTCCCCGTGTGCTATATCACACGAGTCACTCTGTTGTCAAACCCGTTTTATGATATCGAGAGCTGATCTTGATTCCTTCCCTCCTCATAACAGTCCTTTAAAGACTCACACTACACCGACATTCCCCACGTTGGCCGAGATTGTCCCCTCCCTTGACTCTCTCCAACGCCAAACATTGCTACCGCCTTTCGACATCCCTTGTTTCTCATCGCCTGCCAGCTCCCTCGCTTCCCCCCCATCATCCTTCACCCCTGACCCCGGGCGCTCGTGTAACATTCCGCTACGCAGTCCCGCGACACCCACATCCATATAAAGGGCCACGACGCCAGTCAATTTGGATCACTGTCCTGGTGCCGCAAGATCATCGACAAGGACGACAGCAATCCGGCGGATAATTGATTGTTGTCAGGAGAACGCCAGCACTGGAAACGCGTGGACAGAGTCAGAGTGGAGGTACACAACGCTGTACAGCACCAACACGGACGCAGTCCCCTCGTTGGCCTTGCTACGTTGAAAGGGTTGTATTCAGGGGACAGCCGGTGCAGACAATCGAGTTTCGGGTTTGAGTGCACCGTGAGTCTGTGGCCGATCCGCAGAGCAGCGTGCTGATGATGCAGCGATCAATCAACAGGAAGGAGCGCCCCGTGCAACATTCCAGTCGTCTTCTGCGTGCGCATCTTTTCTGTCTCACATTTCCGCCGGTTGACTCAACCGCACAGTATATATACCACACCCCCCCGCCTTCTATTTCTCTTCTGCCTCTCCATCTTTCCGCCACCCGCACACGTCCACCCCGCCCTCAGCCCGCCCTTTCCCTCAGCCCCCACCCGCGCCCATGTCCACCGACTGTCTCCCCTCCGCCACCCCATCCGCCACATTCCCTACCCTCACCACCCCTCCTTCCCTCCAGAGCGACCTCCTGTCTGTCATCCGTCGCTCCTCAGGCATCGAACCCGACCACCTCGACCCGCTCATGGCGGAAGGATCGCACCCGAGCCTTCCTTTGCCGAGCTCGCACAATTTCCTACCATACCTTCCGTCATCCACACTCGACCAGTATCATTTCCCTGCCAAGCGGCCTCTATCACCACGTACATCCCGCCGCGCAGTCTCTCCTCTCAAACAGTCCCTGCCCGCCCTTTCCGTCTCGCCTGAAATCGGAAGACCGAGAAAGAAGAGCAAGATTATGGACATGAACATGGCCAGAAGTGGGTCTCTGGCGGCGCTGCCTGGTATCCAAACACCCTTGGCGACTTATGCTGGTGAGTAGTACGAGACGTTCACGGGCGATGCTTATGCGAGTCTAGCTCAAATGGTCGTATGGCTTTGGTACGGCCAGTTTCAAACTCAGCCGCCCTCCCCTATATCTCCCTCCACTCCGAGCTCCATCCCTATCGATCCATTCGACCCAAACATCCAGCCCCAACGTATATCCCAGCTCATGGTCCAACCTTCTCCCGAGTTTCACAAATTCGCTGCGAGGTTACTCCAAGTCACTATGGTGTCGCACAGCGTGACGCTGGTGTCCTTGCTGTATGTTTACCGACTGAAGACGAGAAACACGTTCTTCTCGACGCCTGGAAGTGAGCACCGACCGTTCGTGGCGGCCTTGATGCTGGCAAACAAGTACCTGGATGACAACACGTACACCAATGCTACCTGGTCCGAGCTTGCCGGTATCACCCTCCCCGAAATCAATGTGAGCACATCGTCATCCAACTCTTACGCTGCTAACATGTTGCTAGCAAATGGAGACCGAGTTCCTCGCTGGTCTTGGGTATGAGCTGGGAGTTGAGCTTGACGAGTATGAGCGCTGGAAGATGCTCTTGGACGAATTCATGAAGTCTCGAGGTCCTGGGGGTTCCATGTCTCTCAGTCGACGACAAGCCTCGCCTCTCGGCGCTCACACCATCTCCACGCCATCCTTCTCTTCCCGCGCACGCTCTGCCTCGCCCATCAGGCTGCCTCAGCCGTACGAGCCTAGCGGCAGGAAGAGGTCAGCTGCAGACGCCTTCCAGGTCGATACCGTCCCACCTCCTTCGAGTGGGCATCGTATGCTGCGCGTTCCCAGCAACAACTCTCAGGCTCCGGTCGTTTCGAGATCGCGCCCAGTATTGTCCAGGGAAAGCTCGAGTTCGTCACTCGCCAGGTCTGCTTCTTGGAACCGCCAGCTCGCACGCCTACCTTCGCATTATGCCCGTCGAGGCTCTGCTGGGCATGTGTATCCTACTCCGAGCGAGCCGATGCAGTATCAACAGCCGTCCTGCTACGGCCAGCCGGTGCCTGCTAGCATGCAGCATGACTGGGACGGTGGACGAGCTTTGCTTGCGCCTTACGATGAAAACTTGCCTCAGCCTCAGCTTGTGCCTCAAGAGGTAAGTCGCGTCAGCGTATGCAGGATTCAACTGACATCTAGGACAGCATCTTATGTTCTACTCTCTGGCCGCTGAAGCTCGCCCCGGCGTTGATGGTCAACCTCGCAAAGCCATCCTCCGCTACCAAGCGCCCACTCCCCAGCACCACTACGGTTATCCGCAGTCTTATCACGGCTACCAAGCCCCTCCACCCCCTTCTGATGTCTCCATGGCAGGCAGCGTTTCGCCCATGTACCCATTCCCCGCCCACACCCAAAGCTACACCCCCAATCCTTACGCCACCTCTCACTGGTCCTCGCCCATGGACATGCCCCCTCAACCCGAACCCGCGCAGTTCGCAAACGCAGGCCCGCCTGGCTATGCGTACAACCCATACGCACCAAGCCCTGACGCGTGGAACGGGGGTGGTGGGGGCATGGCGGCAGGGTGGGCAAGGGCCTCGGATGGGATGGTGTACTATCATCAAGGGCAACCTGCCGGGTACCCACCCATGACTTCCCGAAGCCAGTGGTCCAGCCCGATTCCTCGCTACCAGTAGAGGGTCGGTATCTCATTCGTTTCGGCCTTACAAAGTTTACCATCTCGTTGTTTGTAACATTATCACCACGATTTCCATCTGTCTGTCCCCCATGATTTCAAAAGCATTTCCATACACAATAGTAATCAGCATTTTTCACACGCAAATCCACGTAGTGTAGGCATTTTCATCATTTCAAGTATTTACAACAAAGTATAAATTCTGTAACATATCCCTGGCTTTCTATGCTCTCCTAGATCAGAGAGTACGGTGATCATGAATCCCAATGAACAACATGTATGAATATGCACTGCATCTGTGGCGTTCAAAGCCCCTCTGCCCGGCCTCTCGTCATCATGCGCCACCCAGCATATAGCGTTTAGCGCCACCGCAGTGCCCTGTTTCATGCTGCAGGGGTTTCCGTATGCGGCTTTGATCCTGCATAGACGGTACCCTTCCCAAAGGACCTGCGTACGTATAACGATGATTGAAAGGAAAGACGGTCAAGTCCCCCAAGTCCGAACCCGAGCAGCGAAGCCAGCGCCAAAGCGAGAAGAAAGCGCGTGTTGAAGCAGAAGAATGGATTTCCTTGTACAGCGCTCCTTTCTTCCCTCGAGTGCCATGCAAGGATGTACATAGTCCGAAGGTGCCGGGGAAGCGGGTGGCGCATACTCTGATCCTTCTGTCAACCCAGTCTTACACCTCTCTTCCATCGTAAAGAGGCCTTCACACAGCACTACACAGCTCAGCGCGACGGCTGGTCACCAACACAATAACGCATCTTTACAGCCAACAACACAGATCACCTGAGAGCTCTGAACCACCGAGACCGTATATTCCCTGTACGCCTTGGAACTCGCACTTTCGACTTCTTCTTCTTTCACCTGCAGCCCCTTCCCTCCGCTTCCTTACACGACCACGCTTGACAACCCGCCAACACTCCGCACCTACGCTTCCGGTACACCAAGAAGACTAGACGCTAGACTCGCCCCAAGCACCAAGAAACACCAGAGACACGAGCCAGTATGGACCCCATGAGTAGCATGATGATGATGGTGCGTGTCCTTCCCCAGTAGGCTGTTGCTGAGGTGCTGGGTGGCACACCCAGCCCCTGTGATTGGTCACGGTGGTCCGAAATGTCCGTGCTCGAGAAGACATGGGCGGCGCGCGTCCAAGTGATTGCCTGGCCACTTTTGTCATTGTTCTCTCTCCTTTGGTCACACTTCGACCACCCGTCTTGATCACACCCAGCACCATGTCCAGCGTACCCTACTCTCGTCCCAGAACCGGCGCTGATATTGCTCGCGAATCGATGTCTCACCCGGCCAACGCCTCTCTTGGCTACAACAACCTCTCCTTTCCCACACCTGCAAACTCCTCCCTCGCCTACATGTCTGCTCACAAACCGCACGATGTTTACGACTTCCAGGGGCAAGGTGGGATGGGCATGAACCCTATGATGGGTATGAATCCCATGATGTCGGTAAGTCGGTTGTGAACTTGGTTGGGATCGTCCCTGGTGACATGTGCGTTGCTGCCAGATGTACAACCCGATGATGATGGTGCGTCCATGGAGGGGCCGAGGGGTACAATGGATAGATGCTAACTTTGCGCTTAGGGTGGCATGGGCGGTATGGGTGGTATGGGTTACGGGATGGGGGGGATGATGAACCCCATGGTCTGAATTGAATTCCTTCTGCGGTGGTTTCAGGTAATGCCTGACAAAGAGCTGACTTTATATTTAGATGATGGGCGGACCCATGGGAATGGGAATGGGCGGGATGGGTATGGGTGGTATGATGGGAATGGGTGGTTATGTGAGTGCTTTTTGCTCGCCCTCGCTTTCTTTCGGTACATCAGTCGTGTCAAAGCGCGTTACTGCTCTTCCTATCACAATCCCCTTACTTCACCTTGATCTTCCTTACCGCCTGCTGCCTGCATCGAGTCACCACGCTGACACTCTTCTCCAGGGAATGATGGGCGGCGGCCTCGGATCTGGTGCTTACGGGGTTTGTGGCTCTCCTTATTACAGTACAATGTACGAGCCTTGGGTCCAGCAGCTGATGTATCACACGCCTTGGTATACGTGATTACCGCAGATGCCAAGGTATCCCGCTGGCGGGTAAGTCGCTCCATGGTGAGGTCCCTATGATCTGGCTGACCGATCTTTCTTTAGTATGTTCGGAGACTATGGCATGGGTGAGTGCTTTACTCTTCTGATTGCAAACCTTGCTCAAATCGGCCCTCAGGAATGGGAGCGATGCCGGGAGGGATGATGGGTGGCATGGGGGCTGGTATGGGCGGATATGGAATGAACATGGGAATGCCATTTGGATATTAAAGATGGAGGATAGAAACGAGAGAACCTGTATAGTAGGAGTGAGCGACATGTACATTATTGTCCAAGTACAAGCATTCGAGGCAAGACCAGCCTGAGCGCGTCGCGTCGAGATTGACGCCTGAGTGATTAATGACAACTAAGATTACACTAATTACACCGGCGATGGCCGAAGAACGGCAGATCGCCGCGCTCGGAAATTCTGGACGGTCATCGATTTTGATTATTATCCTGGTGTTGTCATCTCTCTTTCACCAGATCATTCAACATGCCCCCAGAAGATATATATTCAGGCAGTCCCTACCGCTGCCACTCTTCCGCCTCCTCCTCCTCCTCGTCTTCCAGGTGCTCAGCCGGCTCCAGCAGCAACACCGACGAGCACATGCCGCACATCAACGCTATCCGGCCGACCTACGACTATGGCTGTGGAGCGGTATCGGATGAGGCGGATGATGACCAGGGAGTCACAGAGGTCTATTGTAACTTGGTCATTACTGAGCCTATGCGGCCACCGCCAAGAGAAAAGACGGCGGAGAAGAAGAAGCAGGTTGAGAGTGTGAAAGAGGTTGAAGTGGCGAGGAGGTTCCCGGAAGAGGAAGAGGAAGAGATATTGAAAGAGTCCAACTCTCGATTTGTTCTGTTCCCCATACGGTACAATGAAGTGAGCCCCCCCTCCGTTTTTACAGATTGGAGCTGACGGTGCATAGATATGGCACGCCTACAAATCAGCGCAAGCTAGCTTCTGGACAGCTGAAGAGCTCGACCTGGGACATGACCTCCACGACTGGCATGGCAAGATGACAGAGAATGAGAGGTTCTTCATCCTCCGGATACTGGCCTTCTTTGCTGCCTCTGATGGGATCGTCTCAGGTAAGTAGCTCTTTGATCGCGCGGCTTCAGCAGCTCGTCAGGACTGACCCTCGCTTGCCAGAAAACATCATTTCCCAATTTGCCATGGACGTGCAGATCGCCGAAGCGAGGGCATTCTATGCTTTTCAAGCGATGATTGAGCAGGTGCATTCAGAGACGTATAGTCTGCTTATCGAGACGTATGTGCGGGACGCGGAGGAGAAGGACTTTTTGTTCAGGGGCATGGAGAACAGTAAGCACTCTTGCGTTCGGTCCAAGGTCCATGCTAATATCCATCACCAGTCCCATGTATAAAAAAAAAGGCGGACTGGGCTCTGAGATATATTACAGAAGAGCTGGTATGTCGATGGTCATTTTTGGTGGCGAGTTGACGGTGGTTGACGTCAACTTTTTAGCCATTCCGGACGCGGCTTGTGGCCTTTGCCTGCGTCGAAGGCATCTTCTTCTCTGGTTCCTTTGCTGCCATCTTTTGGCTCAAGAAGCGGGGGCTGATGCCAGGGTTGACGTTCTCGAACGAGTTGATCAGTCGGGATGAGGGGATGCATACAGTGAGTGTACCGAGTTACCATTGCTTGGGATATAACTGATGACATGTAGGACTTTGCGTGTCTGCTATACAACCACCTCACCCACCGCTGCGGTCAGGACGAAGTGCACCGTATCGTCCAAGAAGCAGTCGCCATCGAGAAAGAGTTCCTCACCGACTCTCTCCCCTGCGCCCTCATCGGTATCAACTCAGGTTTGATGTGCCAGTATATGGAGTTTGTCGCCGACAGGCTGGTGGTTGATTTGGGGTATCCCAAGATATATAATGCTACCAATCCGTTCGATTGGATGGAGCTGATATCGTTGCAAGGCAAAGCCAGTACGTCCCTCTCATACATCACCGGCCTTCCGAGCTAACTCGGCTGGACAGACTTTTTCGAGTCTCGCGTATCGGCATACCAGAAAGCCAACGTCTCACGATCTGCTACACCTTCAGGACAGAAGGGCAAGGGTGGAGAATCAGTCTCGAGAAGAGTGTTCAACACCGAAGCCGACTTTTAGAATAACATATCTTTGCACCGCATACTTTCATCACCTCCTCGCTCATGCTGTATTTGTATATCATACAGACCGCATAACCACACAATACTCGTACTGTATATAGTAGAGATTACAATACTCCCCATTCGCATCATCAAGAAACTCCCAATTCACCCGTTCACCCATGCATTTTGTTGATATAGTATATCTGTCTATCGTATGCATAATCACAGTCAAATAAGCGGATGACCCTGAGATGCTTCAGCTGCACAAGAACAGCATGGTATATATATCCCCGTGCGATTGCCACTTGCCCACCCAGCTCAACATCCCACGCATATTTGTACAGATACATAAGGGGAACCCCGAACAACGAACTCGTGAGTCCTGCGTTTCGTCTCTCTCTCCTTTGTCAATCACCACCGCTACCTATAGCGACTTGCCGAGGTATCCTCTCTGCCTCTTTTGTTTCACGCCAGCCGTCTATGCTGCCATGAAACGGCGGCCAGCCGGAAAATCGACGGATGAGCTGTTGAAGGGGGTCTGTGTGCCGAGTGCCTGCAGTGTTTGCGTATAAAAGAGCACAAAGATGCCCTTCTCCCTTTCATCCGCCGACGAATAATGTCCAACACCTTCCACTCCATCCGCTTCGCCCTCAAGGCCACCACCATCTCCTCCCTCCTCATTCTCGGCCACGTCCTCCTCACCACCGCCGCCCTTGCTCGTGAGCACTTCTTGAGCAGGCCGTAGACAACGCGCTGACAACATGTAGCATACGGACATCATCACCACGAGCACCACGGACACCACGACCGCCACAGCCATGATCATATCCACCTGCACCATGCTCACCATTCTTCCCGGGAGACGCACTCGACCCAGCTGGCGTACCACAGAGCCCTCTGCATTCTCTCCGCCCTGATCTTCCTCACTCTACTTTGGTTCACATTCGCCCTGCTCGAAGGGTGCGACCTCAACACGACTCGATCCCCACCTCCTCCCCTTCTGCCGCAAGCCATAAAGGCGAGGGAGGATGAGACCCCTATGGTGTTCATGTTGACCGCGGTGGAGGTGATCTGTGGGGCTGTTACCGGAGGTGCTTGGCTGGGTAAGTATTCTTCTCGTGCTTGCAGAGCCACGCTGATCTGTATGGCAGTGTTCACGACAGAAGCGGGCACAGTCATTTCCTTCCTCACTTCTCACTATTCCAGGGATCTTTGCAAGTCGCCATCACTCTCCGAGAAATCAGGCCTGACGACGAGATTTTAGATATCATCCCGATCACTTACAACATTGCCTTCAACGCTATCCTTCTTCTCAACTTCCACACCTTTTGGTCAATCTGTGCCCACGCCAGGAATGTGGGCGTCAGAGAGGTCTGCAGGAGGAGCTTTTGGCTGGGAAGGATCGGCTGGTGGGAAGAGAGGGTTGAGCTTGATTGAGGTGGGTGGGGGACGAGTATGCTGAAAAGGTATAGCCTTTCAATTCAACGTGGCCTGCTTTCTATATCCAGCTTTTATATTTGACATTCCATGTAAGACCTGTATGATACATATACCAGAACACGTATTGACCCCCTCCATTACCTATGAACCAACCTCTCGTCCATTCTGTATCCCGTTACGTCTCTGAAAACAACGTGGCTATTGTATCACAATCCAAATAAACAATCCGTAATATGCAGTCGTGAATGAAAAAGGAGAAAGAAGAAAAAAGTCACTACCTTTAGGTACATCTTACAACAAATTATCGCCGTTCGGCGCTTCCTGTCCGCCTCGGATAGGCTCCACCCAGCTCTCCATCCTGTTTCTCATCGTTGGCAGCTCTGTCCCACGGGTCGCTTTCGAGTCAACTTCTTCTTCTTCTTGCCCACTCTCCGCTCCCTGCCGGACATGCCGGGGAATATCCTCTGGCGAGGAAGACACGGGCCGGGCGGTATCCTGCCTGTCTGCCACTGGTCGTACACGATTGGGCGTACTGTGGACAGAGGGCGGTTCCACCATGACTCCGCCACTTGAAGGTGTACCTCCCACCAACTCGCCATCCTCCTCTTCCCCATCATTGTTGGCGATATCAACCCGCTGGAGGTGTTTGGCGATATCAACAGCGCCCACAGTAGTCTCCATCGAGCCATCTAGCAGACTCCCATCGCCATCATCTTCATCCAGCGTCGTCGGCGCTGATGTCGAGCTGGAAGCGGTAGGTCCCGTGCCCGATCCGGAAGCAGATGTCGAGCCAGACATGCCAACGTAATCTTCCGGCGCCACCTGCGGGGTCGCAGTCGCACTGGGAATGTCGGGGATCTTGTCCATATCCAGCTCGCTCGCCGCTAGCACACTGGGTCCAGACATCATATCGCTGTCAATTGGCGAGCCGGCTTCAAAACGGGGTTTGGCAGTGCCGGGGGCGTCAAAGTCGTCCTCCGATTCGAGCTCGGGTTCAGAGACGGATTCGAGGCCGACATCGTCTTCTTCTTCCCATTGAGGCTGTTCGTTCTGGATAGTAAAGATCTTTTTGGGGAGCTACATCCTCGTCAGTCTATCAGAGTAATGGTCAGAATGTCGCTTACTTTGTTGACGCGGTCAACGAAATCCTCAAAGTCCTTTTCGTCCCGCACGACAAAGCCCAGCAGCATACTCGGATCCAGCCCCGAAATCGGCAGCTTCTTGACCTTTTCACATTGGAAAGTCCGCATCAAGTGTTCAGGGTATGCTTCGATATACCACTCGGCATGAGGGTCAAGTTTGGGCCTCGCTGTCATTTCAGGCACCTCGCGAGCTGGGGTGGACGATCTAGAAGCCGGCTGGGAGCTATTCGCAGAGAGCGGATAAGAATAGTTGATAGACCCTTTCGTAGGCGACGCCGACGGCGTCCTCTTGTGCGGCGAACCCACATCGTCCTTCATCCCCTTTACCCCATTCTTACTCGGCGTCCCAGTCGGACTCATGACGCCTCTCCTGATCGCTTCCTTCTTTGGCGACCTCACCCTCTCGCCTTCGCCCCCGCTGTCCGACTCGCTCACGTCATCGACATTGACGACGTCGAGCTTGTACTTGGCCACCTCTGGGTTGATGTCGAGGCTGTTCCGGAGGGGCGATGCTTTGGTGGGCGATTCTTGGGGGCGAGAGCGGGATCGGGAGGGTGTATAGGGTTGCCGTTGTGGAGAGGGGATGCCGACGACTTCTTCCTCTGTGGGGAGGGTTGGAAGAGGGGGTACTTGGAGTGGTACGGCGGGTCTGGTGAGGTGCGGGTCGAGGTAGAAGAGCGAGTTGGCTTGGGTGCCGATAAAGTAGTAGGACGAAGAAGGACGACCACCGGCTATACCTACAGACTGAGGGAAGGTGAATAGTGTCTAGCCAGAGTCAGCACAAGCCCGTGATGCATTGGAGAACCCACCTTGATACTGTCATGATAGATGGGATTCACTCCATCTAATCCCAGTCTGACTCCCACAAGGACCAAAACCGCCTTGTGACCCCACTTTTGACCCGAACCAGACTTATTCCCCCTGTCAGTCTGATTAGGACGCCCGATGCTGAAAGCAGGAATGAGCTGGTCCCAAGCATCAGAAGACAAGTTGGAAGCGGCATAGACATCAGACTTGTAGATGATAGAGTCTGTCGCCGTAGCGACCGACACTCCACACGGCGCGAAAGAGTTTGCCAACGTCTTGAGCGCCCCAGCAGCCGTACTCGGGCCAAACCACTCGCCCACCTCTTTCCCCAGCTCTTTCCCTATCAACGCCATCCGATGCACGCTGAATGGGCACAGCGGGGACGGGTCATCCAAGAACCACGAGATGATCTGGATATACTTTGCGTACTGCTCCAACGCTTCTGCTTCTGCCGCGCTGGTAGGCGGCGTAGGCGGTCTGATGGCGCGCCAATCGCGGCCGAGGTGGATATGCACTATAGCATTGACGAGCAGACTTTGGCCTGTACGGAGCATACAGCCCCAGCCCGCATCGCTTGTCAAGCCTCGTTCTTCCTTGCCCCACCATCCTCCTGGAGCTTGCTGTGCTTGGAAAGAAGAGTTTTGGGTGGGTGTTTGTTGGGGGGATGGTGACGCGGGAGGTGGGGAGGCGACGTCGAGGGGAGATGAGAATGAGGCGTAGTATGCTTCGGGCGAGGGGATGAGGAGGTTGGGGGATAGTGCTAGGATGGGAGAGTATTGGTTGCGGTAGGTGCACCAGACTGTACCCCTGAAATCATCATAGACTGCAAAGAATAAGCAAATATCCAGACCGACAACGCACACGTACACTGCTCTGGCCACTGCAACACCTCCTTTCCAGGCTTCTTCTTATTCGGGCTATCCGGCCCCTCCTTCTCCTTGCTAGGCGAGGATCCTATAGGCATGGCCAAAGACAATGACGAGCTATTGAAGAGATTTGTGAAACCTTTATTCGGTGGCGTAGACTGATTCGCCTGAGTGGGTATACCCTGGGAAATAGATGCGTTCCTCCTCCAAGAAGAGGGCCGAAGTCCCGTGGGCGAAGGCCTGTTCATCGAGAGGGACGACCGCCTTCCCTCTTCCTGCACTCCTTCCACGCTGGGCAGAGGACTCGAGGTGGTATCGGGTGTCTTTGGACGGTACCCCGGGTGGCCCACACCACGCATCCAGATGGTGTCCATGCACTTGTCTGGCTGTGCTTCTGAATCCAGCAGGTGCCGTACACCGTCGACGGCTTTCTGTCTTGCGACGTTGAATAGGGAAGCGGCGACGGAAGGTTGTTTACGGATAGGAGAGGTGGCTTCGGCGCCTGGGGACGAGCCCAGAGATGCGGGCTGGTTCTCGGCTGTAGGCAAAAGATGAGAGAACCAAGAAGACATGCGCCCAGGTATCGTCTCTGGACTTCGAGAATTCACGTTGATAGGTTGTGGCAGGGACTGCCGTGACAAGGAAGGAATGGACGCGCCTTGCCGTTGAGGGATGGGCAGACCGCGCGGGGCAGATGGTTCAGTGTCGGTGGATGCAAACGACCGGATCGATCTCGGCGCTTGCCATGACGACTGCGAGTCTTGGGACGCGCGGCGGGAATGCGTTGGCTGGCCAAAGCTAGTCCGCGGAGACCTGCTCTTGGACTGCATGGAAGAGTGGCGTTGTATAAAGGCAGAGGGACGTGTCCGGGAGGCCGAGCCGGTGGGTTGCGAGTCGGCAGAGCTGGCGGATGTCTGCCGGGAGGCTACGAGGGAAGAAGAGCTGCTGGGTGCCAAGGAAGAGTCTCCTTCTCTGTCCTTGTCCCGACTGAACAGGCGTGAGGTCTTTTTGACCAGCTGCCGGCCCTTGCTGGGAGGTTTCTTGGCCTCTTCGCGTACCGGGATCTCTGGGACTATGGGTTCTGGCTCTGGCGCCGGTTGTGGGTCGTCGAGAAGCTCGTTGTGCTGGACAGGATGCGGCGACATGCCTTCTATGGTCCAGTCATCCTCGAGATCGGTGGGGAGTCGCTTCTGCCTGTCCCTGCCCTTTCTGAGGAGTGTGAACTGGTGGGTGCGTCCTTTGGGGGGCGGTGCGCGGTCTGCTGGAGGCGGGGCGGGGAGGTTCGAGGACGGGGAGGGGCGAGGGGAGGGCGTCGGAGAGGGCATCGGGGTCGCAGGGGGACAAGGGCCATCTGCTCGTGGTAGAGCAAGGAGGAGCAGCGGGAGCAGAGGGGCCTTACGTAACAGTGTCTCCCCTTCCATCCCGGCGGCCGGCCTCGCGTCGCGCCAAGATTCCGTTCACTCAACTACCCCAGCCTATAAACCCATGTGCATTCCATCTCATCCTCAAATTGCATCTCTACAATCCATCATCCACAATGTTTGCCATCTTCAGAGACGACAAGGGCAAGGTGCGCCCACATCTCCTCCATCCTCATCTGCCACTCACACTCCCCACTCCAGGCTGGTATCAGCTGGCCCGCCCAGGAGCGTACTTCTGACCCCGTCGCAAAGTTCTTCCAGGACGGATCCGCAAGTACCCCTTCATCCCCATTTGTTGCTGTGCTGACCCATTCCACAGAAGCTCTCTTGGCACTGGAACTGGACCAAGCAATGGAAGGGCGACCTCGTGCCCGAGACCTCTGAGGACCTCGAAATCGACGCAGAGTTCCTTCCGATGATGTGCGTGCACCGCATCCCTTTCCAATCTACACGGACTAACCCTGAGATAGCTGGTCTCCCGACAACATTGACGATGGCATCGAGCCTCAGGAAGGCTGGCGCCTTCTCCTTGGTTTCAACGAGCCTGGTGAGTCGACTCCCTTCACCCTTCCACGTGTACTGACTTTGTGGAGACCACAACAACGGTGACGTGGCAGACCCCCGCTCCCCTCAGGAGGCTGCCGATGCGTAAGCTCCCTTACCCCATGACCCACTTGAGCTAACGTTTCTCAGCTGGGTCCGCCTCGCCGAGCTTCGTACCGACCCTGACAACCAGCACCTCGTCTCTCCCGCCGTCGCCGGCAGCGTCGACTGGCTCCACGAGTTTTTCTCTCTCATCCCCGAGGAGACCAAGCCCGAGTACCTCGCCGTGCACGTTTACACGACTAGCATGGACGACTTGATCAGCAAGTTGCAGTGGTACTATCAAGAGTTCAACTTGCCCATCATCTTGACCGAGTTTTGCATGACTGCAAGTGGCTACTCTGTTGATGGAATGCATGTTGACGCTTGGGTAGAGCTTTGATGAGAATGTGCCCAACCCTGAGGACCAGCAGCAGGTCCACGACTTTATGGGCCAGGCTACCAAGTGGCTCGATGAGTGCGACTTTATCGTGTACGTGTCCACCACCCCCACCCTGTGGCTTGAGCTCATAGTCCTACAGAAGGTACTGCTGGTTCGGGGCCGTCCGAGACGCCAACAACCTCCACGGTGTTCACCCCTTCAACCGTCTCATGGATGAGGACGGTGAGGTCACCCCCTTGTAAGTCTACTCTTCTTTGCAGGTGTGCAAGGCTGACGGGATGGTAGGGGTTGGCAGTATATCAACGGTGGCCACGAGGACTGAGTAAAGCTTTACTGTAAGAGCATGAGAAACCAAGCAAAGTAGTGTTGTACATATTCAAACAAAGAACAGGAGAAAGCACAAGTCATCGCATGCATATACAATACGTCATCTCCCCACTATGTACAGGTCTTACTCGCCCGAAGCTCACAAAGGATATGCGACCAATCTCTCCTGCCTTGGCCATAATGGTGCTGCGAGTGACAAGAAAAGAAAGGAGGCTCTGCACCAAAGCTATCCCGTCAGTGAACGCTTGCTGTTTTATTCTTCAAGGCGGCTGGCTTTAAGATACTTTCCTCACCAGAACTCCTACCCTATCTCATCATACTTTCCCCAGTGCAGGCCACCGGGACGTCTCCAACTTTTACGCTCTTTTCAACCGTCCTCGACCCTCAACCCTCAAGCTGTGCACCATGCGCCACCATCTCGCCCTCCAGGCCCTCCTCCCTCTGCTCTCCTCCCTCGCTCTCACCAAAGCTGCCCCAGCATGCTCCAAATCCCAATCTACTGCTACTTCCCCGGCAGCTTCAGGGGCTGTAGCAGTCCAAGAAGACCCAAGCGGTAACGTCTATCTCGCTACTGGCAATGTCCAGAGTACGGCTGGTCAGGCGTCTTCTGTGAATGCAGAGGCGGCAGCTGCTTCGGTCCCCGTTTCATCTTTGGGCCTGCCAGCTTGGTCATCATCTGCTTTGCCTGCGACTTATACGCTGCAGAGTGGTACCGAAGCAATGGGTGCGAGTAGTGCTGCTGGGCCTGCGACTGCTGCTTCGAGCAAGACTTTTGTCGTCTCAAAGTCGGCGGCTTCGAGTGCGGCTGCTACCACCCCTTTGAGCTCTGCCGCTACCTCTGCAAAGTCTTCTGCTGCCAAGACTTCCTCTACGTCTGTAAAGACTTCTGCAGCTGCATCTGCGAGCGCTTCGTCCAGTACCGGCAATGCCACGACTCCATCCTCCAAGATGGGCGTTAGCTGGCCGATGCAAGAGATCCAAGCTGCGCCCGTCGCCAACTTCTTTACCGATTCTTCTGTAAGCATTCCCAGGTTCTTGAAAGAGTGTTGGCTGATCATGGTTGGGAGACTGTATCGTGGTGGTTTGATTGGAACAAGAATTGGGATCAAGGTATTTTGACGGTAGATGGGACCTCCATCTCTGGTCAATTCATCCCCATGTTGTCAGTCTTCACCCCCTCTCATTCCCATGAAGAAGCATACTGACTGCGAGATTAAAGGTTTGATACGACATTCCTTGACGATTCGTCCACGTTGCAAGACGGTTTCACCGAGCTGATGGGGTATAATGAACCGGATCTCAAGTCGGATACGGGTGTATCCAACTATATCGACGCTGCAGTCGCTGCAGGCCTGTAAGTCGTACCCACCCTCACCAAGGGGCTGTACTAACTCGAAGGGTTAGGTGGAAGACCCAAGTCGCAACCCTCCGCGCCAAATACCCCGACATCAAAATTCACTCCCCCGTCATGGCCTCCTCCCAAGACTGGCTCTCCACCTTCTTCTCCACCATCTGCCCTTTCGCCTCCGCCTCCAACGCCTGGGAAGGGTGCGATGCCAAGCCGGACTACGTGTCGATGCATCTGTATACGACGGATGTGGATGATTTCAAGACGCAGGTGAAAGAGTTTCATGAGACGTATGGGTTGCCGTTGGTTTTGAGTGAATTTGCTTGTTATGTGAGTTGTTCCGTCAAAAGTAGGGTAAGAAGAGGGCTGATGAGGGTGCTAGAGTTTTGGGGGTGATAGTACTTGCTCGGCATCGGAGGCGAGCACGTTTATGGCAGAGACGACCAAGTGGCTAGACCAACAGGACTGGGTCATGTAAGCTGCCTCCCTGTCTGATTCGATGGGGCTGATACTCTTACAGAAAGTATGCCTGGTTTGGTGCGGTGAGGGACGCAGAGTATCTCTATGGCGTTTCCGAATCGAACAGGTTGATGGATACTTCTGGCGCGTTGACAGCACTGTAAGTCAAACATAAGAGGGTATTTCGGCGCTGACGATATATTGCAGTGGAAAGCAATATACCAACGGTGGCCAGACAGCTTGAGCCATTTCAACGATGCATACATCTTGATACAATTTGTGATACTATACAACGATGTAGTTTATACCCTGTCAGCATCACCCATCTGTCGCAAAGCATGTATCGTACCTAGCTTATACGATCACATCCTCTTCCCACATGATACTCTCATCTCTACTGCCGAATTTCGGCACCCTGTTCTTCCTAGCCCCATCGACTCCATCCTTGAACGCCTTTGATCGATCTTTCGGCATACTCGCTGGATGGAGCTTGCAAGCCTTCCAGATATGGCACCGGTATATCCTCCCACGCAGAAACTTCCAAGTTTAAAGGCTCAAAGTCTTTGTCTTCCGGTAGTATACTCCAGTGCCAGCCTATCGGTCTCGTCACCGGTCCGCGTTTGTACCGCAAGACGACATGCTCGGCAGCATGCACCTTGTCCGCTTTAGCAGCAATGATAAACACGTCCAGCGGCTTGATCTCCCTATGCGAATGCTTGAAGCGGGCCAGCTCCATCAACCACATATCCATCATGTTGGAGGCCAACATGCAGTCCCACTTTTTGACAAACAGCAGGACTGCGTGAAAGGTCAAGACCATCTTGAGCGGGAACATGGGGAGAATATCGTTGAGCTGTTTGCCAGAGATAAGGGAGAGAAAGAAAAGGACGGAGGAAGAGTTTTCGGCGATGGGGTGATCTTGATGGGTTCGGCCTGGGAGTCGGGGCAGGAGAGGGTATGGACCTGCCCGTCGATTCGGGTCCGGAGGGTGGACGTGATAGGTCGTACATGCCTCTGAACACCTCACTGCGTATAATTAGCGAGGCAGGCTATAGTAGGGGTGTCGCAGGATAGGTCGCTCCAGTTGGGTGAGATTGTGATTGATGCCCGTTGGCTGTTAAAAACAATGATTACCGGAGTAAAAACAGTGGTCAAGAGTACCGCGTATGCATGCATACCTGCAAGCCACTTTCTCTGCGTCTGGTATGGCCCTTACAAGCCAGATCAGATCACAGACAGGATTAGAAGTGGTCGCTTGCCGAGATGGGCCGAGGTGATCACCCTGGGGCAAAAAGAGCTTGCAGGCGGAACCTTGGGGAGCTATGGCTGGCATCCCTTCGAGAAGGGGTTACGCGCGAATTGGCGGCCAGTGAACATGCACAAGGGCTGAGGAGAGAGCAAGAGAATCGCCCGGGATCACCCAACAAGTCAACCCTAAGCGGGAGTGGGTACAAACACCCAGCAAATTATGGGAACTGGGGTTTAAATGCATGACTTGATCTTTCGTCGTGAAATCACCATTTCTCTATCGTCCACCTGCAAAACGCCTCTCTAGCCACCATGGCCTCCCCTCGCGCCCTCTCCCGCTTGGCCAGTCGTGCTCTCGCCCGCCGACCAGCCCTCCATCAGACCACTCGGCTTTCCGCCCCCACAATCGCACCCACCTACACCCCGGTCCGTCTAGGATCCACCCTCCCCCCTCGCTCGGCCGCCTTCACCAAGCCCACCGAGGACCACATCAAGGCCATCCGCGCCCTCTTGTCGTCCGACTCTTCCCTCATCTCTACCATCGACGGCACTGCCACCGCCGAGGATCTGCAAAGCTACAACGATGACTGGATGAACAAGTACCACGGCAAGGGCCCTATCGTGGTCAAGCCCAAATCGACAGAAGAGGTCAGCAAGGTCATGAAATACTGCTACGAGAGTAACCTCGCGATTGTGCCTCAGGGTGGTAACACTGGTCTTGTTGGTGAGCCTACTTTTTTTTTACCGCGCAATCATGACTGCCGGGACTCGGCTAACCAAGTCACAGGTGGTTCCAACCCGGTCCACGACGAGATCATCTTGAACCTTTCCAACCTCAGCCAAATTCGATCCTTCGACCCCGTCTCTGGTATTCTCGTCGCCGACGCCGGTGTCATCCTCGAGGCTGCCGACAACCACCTCGCCGAGCAAGGCTTCATCTTCCCCCTCGACTTGGGCGCCAAGGGCTCGTGTCATATCGGCGGCAACGTCGCCACCAACGCCGGTGGCCTGAGGCTGCTGAGATACGGAAGTTTGCACGGGACTGTGCTTGGTTTGGAGGCGGTCTTGCCGGATGGTACGATCTGGAACGGTTTGAGCAAGCTGAGAAAGGACAACACTGGTTTCGACATCAAGCAGCTCTTCATCGGGTCTGAGGGTACCATCGGTATCATTACTGCCGTATCGATTCTCTGTCCTCGTCGACCGTCAGCGATGAACGTCGCCGTCTTCTCCTTGCCCTCGTACGAGGCGGTCCAGACCGTTTTCGGTGAAGCCAAGGCGTATCTCGGTGAAATACTCTCTGCCTTTGAATTCTTTGACAAGCAAAGTGTAAGTCTCTGCCTTTGTCTGAGTTGCACTGTCTGACTTGCCCGCAGTATGCTCTCGTCAAGAAGCACCAGGAGGAGAATGGCGGTCACCGAAGTGTATTCGAGCAGGAGGGTGACTTTTACTGTCTGATCGAGACTGGTGGTTCCAACGCCGAGCACGATGAGGCTGTACGTATCCACAGCCAATCAAGGTAACCCCACTGACATACCACAGAAACTTACCGAGCTCCTCGAACACCTCCTCTCCAACGACCTCGTCATGGACGGCGTCCTCGCCCAAGATACCACCCAATTCCACTCCATCTGGGCTCTCCGTGAGCTTGTCCCCGAATCCGCCGGTAAGGCCGGGTCCGTCTACAAGTACGACGTGTCGGTCCCCGTGGGCAAGATGTATGGGTTGGTGGAGAAGATGAGGACTAGGCTGAGAGAGAATGGTGTTTTGGATGGGGATGGAAATCCCGAGGGCCCCATCAGGGCTGTGGCTGGTTACGGGCACATGGGTGATGGCAACCTGCACATCAACATTGTTGCCAACAAGTATACCGATGAGGTGGAGAAGATCATTGAGCCTTATATCTACGAGATTGTTTGTGCGTACCATTTCCATCTCTTTCGAATAGTCGCCGTTGACTGACTCACGTGTAGCCGAGTTTGACGGATCCATCTCTGCTGAGCACGGTCTCGGTGTGATGAAGGCTCCTTACGTCCACTACTCCAAGAACGAGACTTCGATCGCGATCATGAAGCAGATCAAGCAGCTTTTCGACCCCAAGGGTTTGCTCAACCCTTACAAGTACATCGTCTAGTTTTTCGCGTTGTTCTTGTTATAGACTTTGCTTATAGATTTGCTCCGTCTCGTCATCTTGGGCTCATTAATGCGACTGTCTTTGTACTTGACATCATTCTTTTCTGAGAGCATGGAGATTATTGGACCTAGACCGCTGTGAGCAACGAGAAACGTCGTCATCCACATGACATTTCGGGTCGAACCAAACAACAGGCTGCAGTTTAGAGCCGTGTAATAAAGGTGGCCCAGAGGCAGTTGACCCCGGGCTAGATTCCGACAACGCTAACGCTGGTGGCGGTCCTCATTGGCCCGTGGGAACAGCAGGGCATTTGCACCGCTCTGATTTCGGTATGCTGCCGTCGCCTTCAACAACATACTACAAAAGGATGGTGTCAGCCAACAGTTTCATCCGTCATCCATCCACCCACCACATCTCGCCACACATGACACTCAGCCAGACCCCTCAAGTAGTGACTATCGACGCTTCCGAGCCAGTCGAAAAGATCCACGAGATCATCGCACGAGACGGTGGTGTCATTGTCTCCAACCTCTTCTCCCCCGAGCTGCTCAAAGAGACCGAGGACGCCCTCAAGCCCTGGTTCGACAAGCGGGGTGTCTACAAGTCCGAGGCATCTCATGGCGAGCTCAGGAAAGGTTTTTTTTTTTTTTTCAGAGGGTTCTTCTCGGATCTACGGTCTCTTGGGTAAAGTCCCAGAGCCCACCATCAAGGCTCTGCGATTGCCCATTTGGCAGAGTGTGATGGCAATGCTTCTCAAGTAGGTCGTCGGCTTTCTCCGATGATCACCATGCTGATACCATGGCAGCGACGAGTACTTTTCCTATGTTGGCGACAAACACCTTCCCCAGAAGAGTTGATACATGGTTGCTGCAACGGCAGCTCTGAAACTTGTCCCTGGGGTCCAGCGCCAGCCCCTCCACAAGGTGCGTCACATGATGAGCGAATGACAAGCCTGGGCTGACTCGTGCTGCAGGACCACATCCCCTACCAGACCCGACCGGACCCCAATAACCCTCTCTTCACCCCCATGGTCGGCTGTCTCGTCGCGGGTTTCAAATGTACCATCACAAACGGCGCTACCACCGTCACACCAGGGCGCCCAAGGTTGAAGAGTGTGCCTATGCCGAGGGCTGGTTCTGCTCTCTTTATCCTTGGCTCTACTTATCACGGGGCTGGTGAGAACAAATGTACCCAGGATGATCCTGAAGCGATCAGAACCCTATACGCCTTTGCGGGTCAGCGCGACTATTTAGGCAAGATCAGGAGGAGGTACTGTCTACGCCTGTAGGAGCTTCCCGGAAGACATTCTCAGGCTGACTGGTTATTGTGAGTTTTCTCTGATTGCTGGCAGTGCTTGTGGCTGACAAGATGCGCAGACAAGTCCGTAGGCGGTGTTGGATATGTCGAGGACCACCAGGACGCTGCCGAGTACATGTTCAAGAAGTAGACTCTGGTTGGCCACAGAAATTGAGACGTCAAAGGGATCCCGTTGTATTGATGAAGAAGTGAAGCTATCCTGTTGTTAGTACATCGTGTGCGTCACTGCCAGAGACGCCAATGGATTCGGGGCTTCTTCGGCCCGTTCGAATGAGGCAGCAGCACTGAAACCAAGTCATCAGATGTCATCATGTCATTATCAAGTCATTATCAAGTCATTATCATAGATCACCTCCCGCGCAGTATACGCATTGCGATGGCCCCCACGCCAACACCCGCACCAAGACCAATCAAGAACACGTATCCGAGGGTCCCATCTCCGCCGCCAAGTCCTAACCGAGTGAGGAAAGTCTGCGGCTCGACTGGTGCGGGAATAGTCACCGGCAAAGGGTCAACCGAGGCTGGGGGCGCTGGGGTCGATGTAGACATCACCTCCAACCTCGCCTCTAGTTCCTTGATCTTTTCAACCAGCTTGCCCACCTGTATCGCAACTTCTCCTTTCACCGCAACTTCTTTCTCTGCGTCCCTCACTTCCTCGTTGGCCTCCGACTCCACCGCCTCGACCGAAGGGATCACGGGAAGAGCAGAGATACTCTTTGTCATAGCCCTCGTCGGCCTCAGCGTCACCCTCCTCGCACTCTCCCACCGTCCCGTCTCCGCCTCTCCCTCTTCGGGATCATCTGAATCTGCCGCATCATCTTGAGAATGTTCTCGTGGATGTCTTCGATCAGAGCGACCGAGGGAGGCATACCGGCTGGAACCATCAGAGGTTTGCCGGGGTTGGGAAGTTTGGGATTTGGAGGGTGTCGCTTCTGGGGTATCGTCATTCTCCCCGTCCGCCTCTACGAGGCTGGACAGACCAGGAGGGCGGTCAGGTGTGGGAGTTACGGATTTGGTGTCTGCCGGTGCTGAGGATGTGTCGGCCATGGGCGTGGTATATGGCGAAGACGGCGTTATGACAGAACCTGTCGTCAACGGCGCACTGGTCGCAGAAGCTGTCGGAGGAACAGCCTTGATCGTAGCTCCTCCCATACCATCATCTCCCACCTCCAGAGTATCGTCTCCTCTCGCCTTCAGTAGCTCCTCCATAGTCGGACTGCTATGCTTGGTCTCGCTTCCCCTCCTCGCCGGTGTCACATTGACCGAGCCAGCAGACGGCGCCGAGACGTTGGACACATTCCTCTTCCTCCCACCATCCCCTCTTCCATAGCCCTGGATATACTCTTCATGCTCGGGCGGCCTCATCTCTCCACCCGTTTCTTCCCATTTTCTCCACCTCTCTATCACACTCTCTCCAGTGTGTTGGGCTACGAGCCGAGGGGCGTCGTGGTGGTCGCTTTCGTCGCCAGAGGTTTCCGAGGCCGACGAACGAGCATCATAGTCGATGACCATACGTTTGACGCCAAAGACGCCCTCGTCTTCGTCTTCAAACAGTTCATCCTCTTCGAAGAGTGTGGGAGAGCGAGGGTTGGAAGGGTGGACTTGGGGTGGGCGGGAAAAGGACTGACGGCGAAGTCGGCGAGCAATGTCTTGTAAAAGTGGCAGGAAAGGTGGTGGTTTGGAAGTACTGCTCCTACACCAAAAGTCAGCCTTGTGCTAGATAGTCCAGGCCGTACGTACCCCCATCCATCCGAACTGCCGCTCAGAAACACCTTTCCCGAGACTCTTTGCCTGAACACCCAAGACTCGATGTCTCGTATCAGGGGTGCTGGTAATGTCTTGCCCATATGGTCGACCCCGCCTGTCCGTAGTTCACACGCAAGATATTGTGAAAGATCAGAAGCTGCAATCATCATGAGCATATCATCTCGAGGAGGACTGGGTCGACGTACGAGTCCATTCTCTAGGATTGGCCTGCGAGGTCCGTGCGTCAGCTGAGAAACGACATGTGAAGGCCGCACAGCTGCAGTATCCCACTCACAGGAAAATCCAGTCGCTTCACCCTCCCCTCCTCCCTGCCCCCATTTAACCAGTCCGGCAGCCCCTCACTGCGCCTCTTTCTATGCACGCTTGGACTGTCCACACTACGGCGTCTATCCTCCGCCTCTTTCAGCCCTCCCAGCCGTCCACTAGAGCCTGAGCCTGAAGCAGAACCCTCGGCCTGGGAAAAGACGTGACTGAGAGAGCTCATACTCTTGCTGGACCGGTGCGCAAGGCCGGGATGTTGTGGCGACGCATTGGGGTCGTCTGGGGTATCCGAGGTTGTGGGGATGTAGGGGCGGCGGTATGAGCTGGGTGTCTGTGGAGAGAGGGGGTATGATGGCCTGGAAGGCGTTGAAGGCATACTACAATGAGTATAACCCAATTGAAACGAAAAGATGGTGATAGAAGAGAGTGAGGCGACGCGAAATTCAAGAAGTCGCGTCGAACAGGAGCTTGTTTTGGATGTGCCACCGGCCTCATTCAACATGGCAACAGTGGGCCACAAAGATTCTTCATACTACAATCTACAAGTGTATACATATCTAACATCTAACACAGCTTCCTGGCAATCTCCTCTCCGAGCTTCTTAACTTCCTTCTTCTTCCAAACTCGACACTTCTTTTCAATCTTGTCGCTGGCCTCGAGCACTTGAAGCATGGGCTGCACATTATCTTTGAATCCCGGGGAAAGGTAGATGACCAGGCCGAGAGCTGCAAGAAGACGATGGGCTGCTCATATATCAGTATGCAATCGGAAAGGCGAGAGAAGGATGAACGTACCGACATCCTCGTCTTCTTCGTTCGAGATGGCTTCTACAAGTCCACTGACCATTTCAACCTCCCACTCCACATTGGCGGTCTCTTCCTTTCCACTCTTCTGCCTCCATACCCCTACATTGACAGCTGCACCAGCGGCTGCCGTCCTCACTCCTACATCTGGGTAAAGCAGACTCTCCACCAAAAGGCTGATGACCTGTTCTCCAGCTGCAGCGTTTCCACCAGAAGACAGAAGCAGATTGGCGAGTTGTGAGGAGGAAAGAATGTTGGTCAGGAAGCGAAGAACAGTGAGGATGAATGGTTTGGGAGTTGTACTCGGGGCAGAGGTAAAGGTCTTATGGGCGAGGGAGAGGATGAGAGTGATTGGCTCTGGGCGAGTAGAAGCCGTAGAAAGACCCAAGGAGAGGAGTGAATCCAGAGGCTGGCGGAGAATCGCGACACGCCAGACATCTATGACTGGAAACGTCTCTTCAGGCTTGAGGATGGTAAACATTTCTTCAGTGGCGGTGTGCCATCGGGACAAGGCTGAGGCAGCCTCAGTCCCAGACAACTGCTTCTTGCCTTCCAGCCACGGCACAAACTCATCTTTAAACACTTTGAGGCTGCCTGCAGCTTTACCAGCGAGCAGACTATCAAGCTTGTTGAGCAGAGCCGTATAGTTGGGCTGGTTGCTGGCCAAGATGGCCGACTTTGGCAGCCCCTCAACAGCAGGGAGGTACAGCTTTCTGTGAAGATGTGTCGGGTAACACTCTTCTAAGAACGATTCCACCTTTGCCTCCAGCTCCTTCTTGGCAGCTCCCTTGAGCTCATCCGCCTTTTTTCCATCCCTGAAAAACATGAACGTCGGGGTCGCCTGGACACCATACTGCCCCGCGATCTCCCGGCCCTGCCCGATCCCGAGCTCCACCTCTACGAACCTCGCGCCCTTGGCCCCGTATGTAGGAGCATGTAACCCAGCGATAGACTCGTAGATGGGCTTGATGACTCTGCAAGGCGGGCATGAGGGGGTGTTTGTAAAGTTGACGATGACGGCAGAGTGCTGGGATAGGATGGAATTGAAGTTGGCGGTGGAAGAGACCAAGGTCAATGGGGAGGTCTCGGGGTTGGGAGGGGAGGGGGCAGAGCGAGAACCTCCGTTTTGAGCAGCTTGGGCAGCGACTGACTGTAACAACGCCGAAGCCAAATTTCCCGCCTGACCACTCTGCCCCTGCCCACTAACTCCAGCGGTGGCGTTGGCGGCGCTTGGAGCAGCAGGAGCAGCCCCTTGATCCGAGGGCCTGTCGGGAATAGGCCTCTCGGAAGCCGGGCCACGGAACATGGCATCGATCTGGGGCTTCATCATTTGACCGAACGAAGTCGAGAGGAACTCTGACGGAAGGCCTGCGGGCAATACATCAGTCTTTGCCTCTCGCATAGTTCCACACTTGACGTACTGGAAATCCAAGCAGGGATCTCTCCTCCAGTCAAAAATCCAACAACATCCGCCGAGAAATGGTTGCAGTTAAAATCGATCAGGTGATACTTGTCCGGTTGGTACATTTCCCCCAGACTCGCAATGTACTCAAAGTACGTCTCCTCGTCGATGTGGGTTTCGCCGAGGTCGATGACTTCTTGAGGGGGTCCGTGGTGGGTGGTTCCGGGGGTGGACTGGAGGATACCTTGACCGTAATAAACTTCACGGCCGAAAGCTACTACTGAAGTATGCCTATACCGGTGCTGTCAGCGCATGCAGGATGGCGGGTGGCCACGCCACGTACCAGATACCGTCGATCTGTTTACCAGTGAGCATCATGCTCATGGACTTGGCGAGTCCCTTGGAGAGGTCGTATACGTAGAGCTGCACTTTCGACATGGCGCTGAGGTGTGGTGGGATGGGGGAAAGAGTTGAGAGAAGAAAAGGAAAGAGAAAGAGAGATGGCCGTCGGTCGCGAGACGCGTTGGCGTTCTTGAACCTTCCACAGAACTTAAAAGTCATCCGCCACTGCTAGCAAGATTCTGCCGAGGCAATATGTACGCCATAATGCTGTGTTGCATGTGTAGCTACCAACTGTTGTCTCGTACTGGCCTACCGAAGCAATGCAATGTGTGTACGTGGATATGTAAAAAAGTGAAAAAAGTGAAAAGTGTCTCATCTATGGATGACATGGCCACATGTGGACCGTCATTGAGACAGGGGACATGTATAATAGATCGAGAGTACAGATCTACTTATATGTAAATCCCAAGTGGTAAAACTAGACAGGCGGCTCGCTCCTGCCCAAGACGACCTGGGGATCTTCGGGTGGTTCTGTACGGACGGTGGTTGTCCGGGGCACTGGGGGACGGGAACCACTTGGGCCGACCTCGGAGCTCGGTGTGGCGAGTGGTCGACGGGCAGATGGGGGACCCGGGTGGGTGGATCGCAGGGGAGAAGTTGGGTAGTCTACAGGGCCATTAACATTGAGGCCAGCCAGGGTAGATATCAACTCACCATCCATAGGTCTTGAATTTCTCTTCACCCTGCCCATCTCATCCAGCCCCAGACCCGACGAGCTCTCCGGCATTCTTCCTACCGAAGAAAAGAAATCACCGCTCCCATCCGGCCTCGCGCCCAACCTCTTTGGCATCTCGAGCACCACTGGCCTCTGATGGGGCGCACCGCCTGACGGACCGACGTGCAGATAGCTCCGGGAAGAGAGCGAGTTCATCGACATGGGTCGCTGGCTGTGGGATCTCGCAAACCCGCGATTGGGCGAGGGAAAACCGTTGAGAGATGTACGGGGAGAGTTGGAGGGGGAGCCACCGGGGGTGTTGAATTGCGAGCCACTTCTGGATGGACCGGCAACGGCATTTTCGCCACCAACATGAGTGTTGATCGGGGCAAGTGGAGGTCGGTCTCCTTCGGTTATATGACCCGATGCAGATCCGGGCGTCTGAGGGGTCATGGAGGGAGAATTGGAAGACTGAGAAGAGCCAGATGGTCCCATGGGGGGTGATCCGTCATGGACAGGCATGGAGTTGGGTGTCATCATGGGAGAGTGGTATGATGGCTGACGGGAATGCGGGGCAGAGTGGTGATATGTCGAAGAGGCTCGAGGGGGCGCGAGCATTGCTGCTTGAGCAGGGTCAGTCATAGCACGTTGCCAAACATGGAGACATACAAGAAGAATAGGTGCTGGTCGTACGGTGGTGACCTCCAAGAGATGCGAGGCCCGACATGGAAGACGTCTGTCTCTGGCGCATGTCTGGCGGGACATAGGACACATCTCTCGGCGCACTGCATCCAATCAGCTCGGGTCTCGTCCCGTAAACATCCAAACTCACGGCAGCGCTGCCTTTTCCCCTCTGATTTTTCGATTTCTTTGCCATGCAAACAGAAGACCAATAATCACAAAGCCTCCGATAATTCCAATCACTATACCAGCGATCGCCCCGCCGCTGATGCCTGACGAGCTTGTTTGTGACGTTTGGTTGACGATGGAATCGGTCACCGTGCTTGTAGAGGCCGTTTCAGAAGCTGTAGTAGAGCCGCTAGCGCTGGAAGCCACAGAGGAAGTAGCAGAGGAGGGAGTAGCAGAGGCGGATGAAGCTGCAGAGGAAGCAGCGGTAGTTGAAGACATGTTTGCGTTATGCGATTTTGGGGGCTACAGGCCGAGTCGGGCAATCATACAGATATCGATTATAGGTGTCTGCGTCTATAGGCAGGGTGGATTAAAGTACAGGCGCCTCGTTATGGCTATAATAACAGTGGGGGTATATCGGTGGTTGCTGTGTCTATCCGCAGTAGGCCTGCTGAGCGTGCGTGGGCGGGGTTGCGGGGGAGGGGCAGCGGGTGAGGGGTAGGCCGGGCAAGGGAAGGAGAAGAAGGGGAAAGATGGTCAGCGAGGTGACTAGGGAAATGTACCAGGGCGGAAGGACACGGGAGAGGATGTCACTGGGGACGGCGGGCAGTGTGCATGTTTTTGCTCGGCTCCTTTGCGCAAAATGATGCGCATCTCATGCTCGCACAGCGGGGGGGCAGCCCACATGCAGCGCAGGGATCCTGCGAACAAGACCGAGGTAGGCCACCAAGGGGTCTGTTTCCATAATCCCATGATCCCCAAGATCCGCCGTACGAGCACAGCACCGTCGTATGCCCCGTCCTCGGTCACACCAAGGCAGGCAGCGAGAAACTCACCTCAGAGTGATGCGATGCCAGGCGGGGGCTATAGGTATATCGAGTCGGGCACACGGACCACTGCCAGCGGAGGGGGGGGGGGGGGGGGGGGGCAATAGGCGAGAGGGGGGGAGTTGCAAGAGGAAAATGAAAAAGCAGCGATATTTTCGCCAGAGGGCCCGGAGATGAATCTTCTCTCGGCAATCCCAGTTTAATTCCTCCCTCGTCTTTGGTTGCAAGCCTGGATGCATGCACTAGCCCGGTATGCCCCCACTATACTGTACCCTCGCGCAGGCCACCGTCTCTGTCATCCTGTGCCATGATGCATCAGGAGCAGGAGCACCGCAGCCTCTTTATTCGCCCGCCCCCTTGGGTCCCCCTCTACTCTAGGGCCGCTAGCGGCTAGCGCCTCTGACGTCGTTCTCAGTCTTTCACCGCGGATCGGAGGATGCGGGATTTACACTCTCCCTAGCGCTCCCGTCAGCCGTACCACAGCAGGTTCAACCAGACACGGAATGTGGAAGAACGAGAGGGGTCCCGCAAACAAGCCACCTTATGAATGCAGTCTCTCCCGATACATGGCCTTGGCGATCAAGCGATCAAGCCCCTTTCAAAATTGGGACAACGACTGTCTACTCTGCAAGCATCCCACAGCAATCCATGAACCAAACCAAACAACGACTCTTTACTTCCTGTGGCCTATTCATATGGATGTGTATTGCAAGCTCGGCTACGACCGTTTGATGAAGAAGGAAGTGCTTCTGTGAGTTTTGTCAGTCTGCTGCTGATCGATCAAGGCAGGGATCAAGGCACCCAGGATTTCAGTCTGGTTCGGTATATATGTCGATCATCAATTCATCCATGTACAAACAAATATACTCCCAGAACCTATACCACCATGGCACCACCAGTCAACCTATCTTGTCGCGCAAAGTAGGGCATCGCCATCAACCAGGCGTGGTGTTCGGAACCACTGTTGTCAAAGGTAAACTATCCCCGACATCAGCTTTGACTCTAAGACACATGAAACGAGAACTGACCTGCACTTCCTGCTGCCCAACCCTCACGAAGTCTCCTCCCCTGCCCCTCAAGGCGGCCTCTGCCAACAATTGGATCTGACACAAACTCTCCATCCTGATATAGTAACTGATCGGGCATTCAATGGTAGCGCCGACGAGAAGGATACCGCGGTTCTCCATGACGAAACCCTTGCCGTCTTTCAAAGCGTTGGACACGCCTTGCGGCTCAGAGAGGGCACGCTGGCCGGCAGAGAAGGGGAGACGGTTGAAGCGCTTGTAGAATGTGCACGAGTCTGGGATGATAGTGAGCAAGCGGTAGCGTCAGAACAGAGGGACAGACGCACCTTGCACAATCATCTCTAAAGGCTTGTCCTGCATGGAAAAGGCCCTGGCGTGTGGTGTACTTCCATGGATGATGGCTCCCACATCAGGCCTCGCGGCGTAGATTGCCCGGTGTATCGACACGGCGTTGAGGTCGTAGCCGAAATCAGCATCATTATAGATGGCTTCGCCAGTGGTGATGCTGACTTGAATCAAGTCTGAGGACTTGACAGCGGCGAGGGCTTTGCCCGCTGGGACGACCCAGATAGTGTCGGTGTCGACCGGATCACGCGACTGCAATGATAAGCCCTGCGTCTCAGCAGCAAATATGTAGACCTACAGTAAGCTGCATGCCACAGCCAATTCCCCATCCCTGCCCTGCTACCACTCGGCAAGCCATTGCCAGTCTGCCCTTCCTGTAGATCTTTTCTTGCTGGACATCCGTGAAGGTCGGCGGCGCGGCTCGCCTAAACTTGCGGACCTTTGGCTGTTCTCCTGGAGCGTAGTCGGGGTTCTCTTCAACTTCAATGCCCATGGTGTATATTTATACTTGGGAGAAAAGGAAATGATGCAAGGAGGATATATAGCGGCGCTGCCATTCGAGCGTTCTGCACGCCGATATACCGCGGCGGCAGGACGGTATCTCGGAATTCGAATTTGCGCGTGCTCGGAGTTCATCTCGGCCCACCGGTCCTGCTCAGTTGTCCAAAAGGCGATTCGTCGGAAACGCGATCGTGGCCGTCCACTCCATTTGTATACCACAAGCCAACTAGGTTTCCCCGCTTAGCATCCGTTTTGCAGCATGTCTACACAAACCAGCACCCAAACAGCAACCGCTACCAGCCCCATCCTCCGTCTTCGCGGAGGTCCCCCAGCCGCCAGGTCAAAGCCTTACCGCCCACCAGTATTCGCTACCAAGGAAGAAGAGGTCAGCTAGCTCAATACTTGGGGGGCAAAGCGACTGATGATCAAACAGAGGAAGCACTTGAAAGAAAGACTCGCGGCGTCGTTCAGGATCTTTTCCAAGCTTGGGTATGACGAGGGTGTTGCGGGGCACATCACTGTTCGGGATCCGATCAACCCAGAGTATGTTCTCGAGTCCAAGGTGTAGTCCATGCTGATCAGAGTAGATCGTTCTGGGTAAACCCATACGGCGTGGCGTTTGATCTCCTGACAGTATCGGACCTGCTGCTGATCGACCATAATGGAAACATCCTTGAGGGGACTGGAAAGCCTGGAGATGGCCAAATATGTGCGCAACTTGAGACTTGACCTGATCAGTGCTGATGGCATTGCAGACAACGCTGCTGGGTTTGCTATCCACGGAGCTGTTCACAAGCTGCGTCCAGACATTCACGCCGCTGCGCACAGTCACACCACCTACGGCCGTGCTTTCTCTGTGCTTGGCCGTAACCTCGATATCGTCTCTCAAGGTACGTATCTTCTCTCTTCTACCAACGAATCTAGTCCAACTATTATACAGACGCCGCTGCCTTTGCCGACACTGTCCGCCTATACGACTCTTTCGGTGGTATCGTCCTCGACGACGAAGAAGGCCGCAACATCTGCGCTGCTCTCGGCCCCAACGGCAAGGGCGTCATCCTCCAGAACCACGGTATCCTCTCTGCCGCCCAGACTGTCGACGCTGCCGTCGCCTTCTTCGTGCGATTGGAACAGTTGTGCGAGAGTCAGCTGAAGAGCGACTCGATCGGGGCGCCGAAGGCGGTCGAGCAGGAGGATATTGCGGCGGTGTTTGCGGCGCATGGAGGAGAGGAGGAAGCGTTCTTCCAGGCGCAGGAGATGTTTGAGTGGATCGAGCATGAGACGGGGGGTGACTACAAGGTCTAGGGGGCTGGACTGAGGTTTTTTCATCAGCAGCACCATATGTATATTATGCTCTTCATTGTCTGGTTCTGGGGTTACACTGAGGTCCCCAAGGGCTGTAGCCATTATAGCTCCATCGCATGAGCTCTGCTTCTATCTGAGATGTGTAGCAATATTATACCAAGAAAACACAACCCTAGCCGGCATATACCAATCCCGATATTCAGTCGCACATACCCGACGCTTCCACGGCTCTTATCTGCTTATCACTCCCGTGCATGTCACCCATCGGATTTTCTTCTTCCATGAGACAGTCCGGATTTTGCATATCCTATTGCACTTCGTAGTCGGTGATTATACTTCTCTAGGCAGTGATCCGACTGCTCGACAGCATCATGTGTCTGCGATAAGCTAAGAACAACCACTTATACCAGCCTCGTCGCCCTCCCACCTTCCTCAAACTTCTCAAGATGCCCTCAGAGCTCGACTATACTGACGAGAAGAATGTCGAGTCCCAAGACCCCAAAGTAGTCGCTGTTCAAGTCGACTATACCCTCCAAGATGCTGATATCGACGACCCCAACCTGGACGATGCCGGTCGTTTTCTAGCTGCTATGGCCCTGAGGCCAGACAGCGCTGAGCTCTTTGCAGACTATACCCCAGAGGAAGAGAGGGCAGTGGTGAGGAAGGCAGACTGGATCATTCTGCCGATACTGCTTGTTGCGATCATGTGAATATATCTTATTCCTGCACCTACCCTAGCGCATCGTTAGGCTGACACGTGATAGGATGGGGGCAGTCGACAAAGTTGCCTTGGGTACAGCAGCAGTTCTTGGCCTGAGAGCAGACCTCGGACTCGTCGGGCAGCAATACTCTTGGTCCTCTTCGCTCATCTTTTTTGGCTCCCTCGTGTCGGTCTTTCCGGCCTTGTTCTTCATGCAGAGGTACAAGTCGGGCAAGTTGATGGGTGCAAATGTCTTTATCTGGGGTAAGTCTCTGGCATATTGATATCACAAGCTGATACGGGGCATAGGTATCTTGTCTCTGTGCCATGTTGCCTGCCGCAATTTCGCCGGGCTCGCCGTGTGCCGTTTCATTCTCGGCCTGTTTGAAGCTCTGACCTTGCCTGTACGTAGCATACATGGCTGTCTTGCACGGAGACTAGAACATAGCTGATGAGGTTTAGGGGGCCACACTGGTGATCACTTCTTGGTATAGCCGAGAAGAGGCCGTCTTCAGGACTGCGATAGTGTTCAGCACCCTTTCTTCCGTCACCAATGGCCTTTTGTCCTGTGAGTGCTTTGACTGATGCAAGACAGGTCATATACTGACAGAGAACTAGATGCCAGCTCGTTCCTGGAGAGCTCCAAATTGAAACAGTGGCAGGTGAGCCAACTTCTTGCCCATGCAGTATATGCCGAAGACTCATCAACACAACAAGCTCCTCTACATCCTCATAGGTGTTATCACTCTCGCGATCGGTGTCGTGATGATTGTCTTCCTCCCCGACGCACCATATTCGGCTTGGTGGTTGACCCCGAGGCAGAGGGTCATCACCGTGAGACGTTTGCAGAATAACAAGATTGGTATCATGGTGCGTTGTACTATTACTACATCTGGCCTTCTGTTCTGGAGGCTTTTTCGAGAAAGATGCTGATGGAGAGAACAGAACAAGACGTTCAAGATCGCACAAGCCAAGGAGGCTGTACTCGACCCGAACAGTTGGTTTTATTTCTTCATCAACATCTGTCTCAACGTACCCAGTGAGTAGACATTCGCCATACCCCTTCTGAAGCTTCTGGGGCTGACTTTTGACCAGATAGCGGTGTTCTGAGCAAGTCCCTATCCTCAAGTCACCCATGACTGAATGACTAACAACCTCACAGGCTTCTACTCTATCATCGTCGCTTCCCTTGGATACTCCACTCGGAACACCACGTTACTGGCAATTCCCACTGGCCTTATTTCCTACGCAGCTGCTTTGATCTTCTCCTACATCGCGACCAAGAGTCAGTACGGGGTGTGTGTAACAAGAATGCTTAAACTGATCTCGAGATATTTGTAGCAAAACAGAGGTGCTTTACAGCTATCGCGTCATGTTTCGTCCCTCTGCTTGCTACCATCCTTTTGCATGTCATCCCTCGAAGCAATAGTGCGTTGCCCTCTTCCAGCTCGTCTCCGATCGGTCTAACCAGCATCTGCAGTTGGGGGCTCGTTGGCGTCTCTCATGCTCATCTACACATACTGGGCCCCATATGTCGTCATGAACACTCTTGTCGCCGGAAACACGGGAGGGTTCACAAAGAAGACCGTCGTATACGGCTTTGCGTACCTCGGGTATCTCGTTGGAAACATCATGTGAGTTTGTATTTCGATACGCGGCAGCAGATGGCTGACGAGATGCAATGCAGTGGGCCACAGACGTTCAAAGCCGAGCAAGCGCCTACTTATACGGGCGGAGTGATTGGTATGCTCGTCTGCTACTGCATTGGCATCCTTGTACGCCCACTTCTCCTGATGTACTTTGAGTCTTTCAAGCTCACTTCGGCACGCAGCTCATCCTCGCATACTATCTCTACATTCGACGCCTTCAGAGTCGTGTCGACAAGGACGCGCGAAACAACACAGATGACCCCGCTGAAGTTGCCGAAGGTGCCGAAGTCTGGATGGATGAGACAGATAAGGAGAACAAGTCGTTCGCGTTCATTCAATAGAGGGTTGTTTTTGGCTTGGGTGCGATTGGGACAGAAGGGATCAAGATGTGTTCAAGTATCTTAGGAAAAAGTAAGCGTTGCACATCGGTTTACAGAAGAAAGGCTCGTTATGAATTGATGCTCAACTGTACATTGAAGGGTTACACTGGTATTCGAAGCACCAAAAGGCTACTGATACAATGTTGCACACATCATAAGAGACTGCTACTCCCGAAAGACATTTCCCGATCTCCGTGCAAGATATCGTAAAAGTTTGTCCCAAGAAGCCATTCATGGAGCTCTTTCGGTAGCTCTTCCGACTCGAAGTGCGGGATGGCCTGATTATGAGGCAGCTGTGAAACGTCGATTGAGGCAGTTTGCTCTGGAAGCCATTCGGCGCGTAGGGCGTTGATCACTTCCAGACCCCGGCTTGCTTCAATCCAGGAAGGTTCTATCCATACATCAGCATCTCGTGCGTGGGGCCTAGACGGGACTTACTGAGCTGGGTCATAAACCATGCCGCCTCGTCAAGAGCTTCTACGTTACTTGTGATATCTGCATGATTCGAGACGAGGGCTAAAAGATGAATGGTGGCGGTGGCGAACACGATGGGTACTGCAGTATGATCAGCGACACGCACTCAGACGAGGTAAGAATTGCTCACTCAACGTCGCCACTGCGTTCCGGAGTCCGTGCTCATAGTCATACGCCTGTGATCGGTCAGTATGTCATATGCCCCTTACATGAGTGTGACTCACTCTCAAAAGTTCCGTTATTGCCTTGGCGGCATTATCGCATCTTGCGGCTGGTGAAGGTACTATGTCCAGCTGAGAGCGATAGTATGGCCGGAAGAGGTAGATGGATGTCAGATGGTACATCATATGCGATACCAGAAGGTGTGGGACAGGATGGGAGAGGGGTTGTTGGAAGGGCTGATCTATGTGCCAATTGTCGAGCTCGTGTGCTATAGCGAGGATACGAGAGTCGCCGCCTTGAGGTTCACTCTTCCCAGAATAGCTGGGCATCCATGTCAGATATTACGTCGTTGTGCGATTAGAGTCAAAGCCATACAGGTGCGTGTCCATCACTTTCCGCAATATACAAGACAGCCTCGCTGACCAATGGAATATGGTTGACGCCATACTTGGAAGTCCGTCGGCCAGGCCAGGTTGGTCTTGAGGCTTCTTTTTGTGCCAGATGGTGGAGTCCGTGGAGGTGTTTACGGTGGGGAAAGCGATCTCGGGCTGGCCGGCAAGCATTGGAGGGCGACCGGAGGCAATAGCTCGTAGCTATGGTAATGGTCAGCGAAGAGCATCAGGTGGCGAAACGAGGCTGATCTTACCAAGTCTTGCTGATAGACAGTCCAGTAGGTGTTGTTACGCAGCTCCCATTCATCGTATGTGATCTGTCCCGAGCGAACAAGGTGGTCACACTGCAATGTATTAGCATTCTATTGCGTTTGTTGTGGAGTCGACTTGCGTTGAGGTTGATTCCAAGCTATGCAACAATCAGAAATGCTCGAGCGCGGAAAGACGTGACTCACAGCCTGCCCAGCGGCGAAAGCCATACCGAAGTAGATGTAACCCGAGTTGCGAGCAGAATTGTCCTTGCGCACATTGAGACACCTGGTGTATCGTACGTCAGCCATGAGTCAGATCCCAGATATTCAACTTACGTTGCGAATAGATTCAAAGCTCTCAGCGTGCTGGTGCTTGGATCTTCAGCTTCTCCCATGATCAGAGCAGCACAATTCTTGTCGAATACACCATCCATTGCTTGTACTAGATCGGGCCATTCATCCTGCCCCAAGTGCAGGCCGATGTACAGGACACAGTTGTGAAGAAGGGGGGAGTATGAAGCGGTTCGCGTCGGCGGAGTGCTTTCTTGTGGAATCCTTGTGACGAGAGAACACAGCTCCATGTCTCTTAGGAAGGCCGGCATGTCGACTACCATACACCAAGAAGCATAGTATGTCTCAAAGAGAGATATCGCCCTGTCATGGTTGTGTTTCGATATTGGAAGATCTTGAGGCAATGCGCGTGCCCAGTCTATCCAGTCACCGGGCTTCAGGTCCACAGAGGGATGTTGATAAGGAGTGAGATTGGTTGGGCGCTGATTGGAGTCTTGAGCATATGACCACAGTGATGTGGGACCGAATTGCATGAGGGAACCCCCTTCGGGGCGCTGTGATCAAAGTCAATGATTGCGCATAGGAATGCCGGACATCAAGTGGGGTACCTTGAGACGGTCCGAAGTGTGCGATCTTCTATCCTCTGGTCCAAAACCATCGTCCGCTTGAGGGCGCTCGTCTCGGATTGCACTAATCCCTGCCATATCACGGGATTTTGACAAGTATAACGACGCTACAAAGCTTGTCAATATAATCCCAAAGAGCAGCCAATCATCAAAGCCCCACCTGGCGTCAACAGGTCTTGGGACTGGTTTGGCCCATGTGAGGTGGACAGAGCACGGCCAGGTGGTGACTTTGACGTCGAAGAAGATGGTGATCCCTCTTCTGGATGAGGCTCGCATGTCTGTAGTAGGTCGACTAGACAGTTGATCTTTCCTTGAAGATCCACGACTGAGGGACGGTTTCTGAGAATTCATAGTGGTCAGTCAGGACCACGTACAGTAGACGCCATTACTCACTTACGGCCATCTGACTTTTCCCAAGTACATGAGATGCCCTTGAGGTCACAGTAGCCACAAGACGGACGGACTCCATCGCAGCGACTCTTTCTGTAGAAGAGTCAGGACGGATCTAACAGAGACGAGTCTCTCACACCTGGCTTTGCAGATATCACAGGCTTTCGAGGCATGTTTTATGCCTTTCCTTTTCGGGCGCTTAGTCTCGTGCTCCAGGTCGGATTCATCTCCTGTCGAGAGCTTTCTCTGGCTCGTTGATCCTTCGAGGCGAGATCTGTCGGAAGGGGCGCGGTCGTACGGCGAGGTTGGTACGCGATGGCCATTGTCATCAGTGGCGGGCGGCATAGCTGGATAGCGCGACGTTGGGTGATCCCTCGAGGTGATTACAGCTCTGGGTGCTCTCACTGACATCCATCGCTGCCCATTCGCCCATCTCGTCGCAGTTCATTCCATCGCGATAAGCTTAATAAGGCCCTGCCGGTCATGTGGCAGCCCTCCTTACGTAAACACTATCCCGGCAAAACAGCGGCGGCGGCCGAGCACCGGAGATGAGCGTCGGAGTTTGCATTTCCATCAAATCCGGCAGAGATATCCAGATGGCCAGATGCGTGCTATACTAAAGATGGGGCAGTCAAGGTCAGCAGGCTCGTATCGCCTACCTTCTTCTCCAACTTCCATTACTTCTACATTCTCACCCATTATCCTCCCCAGCAATGCCTATCAAGACCGACATAGAGCCCGTGGAGAAGGTCCAGATATGTGTCGACCGGGGAGGCACTTTCTGTGTAAGTACTTTGCTATTCCAACAATATCGGGCTGACGGCGGTCACGAGGATGTCATCGCTCGAAGTGCTTCCAAGGGCGATCATCTTGTCAAGCTGCTCTCAGTCGACCCTGCCAAGTAAGTTCGATCCTGTCAATCACGAGGATACCACTCACGCAATTATTAGCTATCCTGATGCTCCTAGAGAAGGAGTCCGAAGGGTGCTCGAATGGTTCACTGGTGAGACAGTTCCCCGCGACCAGCCTCTCGACACTTCAAGAATCGAGTATCTCCGCATGGGTACAACTGTCGCGTGAGTGTTATCAGCCATGTGAGATGTACTGGAGCTGATTTGAGCCCTAGTACCAACGCGCTTCTCGAGAGGAAGGGAGAGAAGTGCGCCTTGGTCATCACGAAAGGCTTCAAGGACGCTCTGGAGATCGGTACGCAGACTCGTCCTCACCTCTTCCAGCTTGCTATCAAGAAGGTAAGTCACTAACGCCATGCCTTCCTTACTTCTCTGACAATGGAACAGCCCGACGTCCTCTACTCCAAGGTCGTTGAGATCTCTGAACGAGTGGCACCTGTTTGGGAAGACTTCGGAGAAGGTGAAAGCACCCCCGAGACGTATCTCCAGGCTGGAAGTGTTGTGACTGGTGTCAATGGGGCTAAACTTCAACTTCTTGAGGCATTGGGTGAGCACTTTTCGAAAACGTCTTGGCCCATACTGACTTCTAACAGATGAGGATAAAGCTGTAACCGACCTTCAATCTCTGTACGACGAAGGGTACCGATCTATCGCCATCGCACTTGTTCACTCTTACATCTATCCCGAGCACGAACTCAAAATCGAAAACATCGCTCGAAGCATTGGGTTCGAGCAGATCTCGGTCTCCTCCAGCCTCCAAGCAATGGTCAACCTCGTGTCCCGAGGAGGGTCTGCCACTGCTGATGCCTACCTCACTCCAGAGGTACGCCGATATGCCGATGGGTTTTCCAAAGGCTTCGTCGGGGATCTTGACGGAAGCAATGGGTGTCGCGTGTCTTTCATGCAGAGTGACGGCGCCTTGTGTGACCATAGAGCCTTCACGGGACTCAGGGCTATCCTTTGTAAGTACTGATGACTCTCATATGTTCAGTCGCTGACGATCGCGTAGCTGGCCCTGCAGGTGGCGTTGTTGGTTTCGCAAAGACTACGTATGACCCCTTGGACGGCTCTCCTATTGTCGGATTTGACATGGGTGGCACTGTAAGTAGCTGCGAGAGCCAGAACTTGGTCATCACTGACCTTATCGCAGTCGACCGATGTATCGCGATTTGGAGGCTCTTACGAGCATGTGTTCGAGACCACCACCGCTGGCGTGACTATCCAGACTCCACAGTTGGACATCAACACCGTCGCCGCTGGCGGTGGCTCCATCCTCTCCTACAGCAACGGTCTACTTGCTGCTGGACCTGAAAGTGCTGGCGCCCATCCTGGACCTGCTTGCTACAGGAAGGGCGGACCATTGACCGTCACCGACGCCAACGTCTTCTTGGGTCGTATCCACATCGACTCATTCCCCAAGAGTAGGTCATTCAGCTTCCATTGGTATTCTATACTGACACCCACAACAGTCTTTGGGCCAACGGAGGACATGCCTCTCGACTACAACATTGTCAAGCAAAAGTTCGAGGAGCTCGCCGCGACCATCAACAAGGAGAACAACAGTCAGTTGACTGCTGCGCAAGTGGCTTCCGGCTTCATCAACGTCGCCAACAACTCCATGGCTCGACCCATCCGGGCTCTTACAGATCAGCGTGGCTTTGGCGCTAGTACACATATCTTGGCTTCCTTTGGAGGTGCTGGCGGTCAATCTGCGACGGCTCTTGCTCGGGTGCTCGGTATCCCTCGAGTCATTGTTCACAAGTAAGCGTAAATTGGACCTGTGTCTAATATCCACTCTGACGTCCTCTATAGGTACTCTTCACTCTTGTCTGCTTACGGAATGGCTCTCGCCGACGTAGCAGTCGACAACTCTGAGCCTCTAAACGCGGTTTATGGTCCCGAAATCAGAGACACCGTCGAGCAGCGTTTCGCAGCTCTCAAACAGACTGGCTTGGAGCAGCTCCTCGCTCAAGGCATTCCAGAGTCTTCTATCAACTTTGAGAAGTACCTCAACTTGCGCTACCAAGGCTCCGACACCCGCATCATGATCCAAGAGCCCAAAGATCGGGACTTCGCCAGCGCGTTCAAGGTCGAACACAAGCGAGAATTCGCATTCAATTTGGACTCTCCTCTGCTCATCGAGAACGTTCGCGTGCGAGCTGTTGGAAAGAATGAGCAGGAAGAGCAGTCATCACCATTCGTGAAGGACCTCGAGACCTTGCCAGAGGTTGCTGTGGCTCAAGGCGCTCACTTTGCCACGAATGAGATCTACTTTGAGACAGAGGACAAGTTTGTCACTTCGCCTCTGTACCAGCTTGGCTCATTGTCTCTGGGCACGGTCATCAAGGGGCCTGCTGTCTTACTCGACAAGACGCAGACTATCCTTCTTCACCCTGGGAACACCGCTAGGATCTTGACCAACTGTGTCTAGTACGTTCATCGTTTTTGTCAAGTAGACTCACGCTGAACTTTTCCAGTGTTGACGTCGGTCTCGGAGCCCGAAAGGAGCTTGATCCTACTACTGTCGACCCCGTACAGCTTTCCATCTTCGCTCACCGCTTTATGGGTATCGCCGAGCAGATGGGCCGCGCCCTCCAAAAGACAGCCATCTCTCTTATGATCAAAGAGCGTCTCGACTTTAGCTGTGCTATCTTTGGCCCTGATGGACAGCTTGTTGCGAATGCGCCCAATGTGCCTGTGCATCTTGGAAGTATGCAGTATGCTGTCCAGTATCAGGCGGAGGTGAGGAAGGGGCAGTTGAAACCAGGAGATATCTTGATCTCAAACAACCCTCGAGCTGGAGGTACCCATCTTCCCGACATTACTGTGAGTAATCTAGAATTTCAAAAAAAGCGAAGTTGACGCCTCCTAGGTCATCCAACCCGTCTTTGAGAAGGGATCCACCACCGACATCGTCTTTTGGGTTGCCGCCCGTGGTCATCACACCGACATCGGGGGTCTTCAAGGTCAGAGCATGCACCCCGAATCCGTCGAGTCCTGGCAAGAAGGAGCCAGTATCATGTCGACCTTCCTGGTCCGAGATGGCGAATTCAACATTGCCGAGATCACAAAGATCTTTGAGGCTGCTGGGGAGTATCCCAACTGCCTGTCGGCGAGGCAGTTGCATATCAACATTTCGGATCTGAAGGCGCAGTGTTCGGCTTGTGCGGTCGGGTCGGCGCAAATTATTGGCTTGTTCGATGAGTGAGTTTGATAATGGGGTATCAGGAGGCAGAGGCTGATATCTCGCAGGTTTGGCAAAGACGTTGTCATTCAATACATGGGAGCTATCAGAACTACTTCTGAGCTCGCCGTGAGAGCCTTTTTCAAGGAACATGGTCGCAAAACAATCAGTGCCGAAGACTACCTTGGCAGGTCCTTTCGTATCGTGCAATAACCGTACTGATACTGCTGCAGATGACGGCTCCATCATCCGCCTCAAAATCGACATCTTTGACGATGGAACCGCACACTTTGATTACACTGGTACGACGGAAGAGACCTATTCCAACCTCAACGCCCCTCCTGCCGTCTGCCGCTCCGCCATCATCTACTCTCTCCGTTGCCTTATCGGCACCGACATGCCCCTCAACGCTGGCGTCCTCGCACCTATCAAGATCACCATCCCTGATCTGTCTGTCCTCTCTCCGAGTCACGATGCTGCGGTGTGCAATGGCAATACAGAGACTGGACAGCGGGTGGTGGATGTCATCTTCAAGGCCTTCGAAGCTTGCGCGGCGTCGCAGGGTACGATGAATGTGTCTGGATTTGATTACAAACAGTATGGTTATGGAGAGACCATTTGTGGTGGTGCTGGTGCAGGACATAGCTGGAAGGGCCAGTCTGCTGTGCATATCAACGTGAGCGCCTTTTCGAGCATTTCAACTTCCTCATGCTGATTCTGTACAGATGACCAACACTCGTATTGGTGATGTCGAGGTGATCGAGAAAGGGTTCCCGGTTCTTGTCAAGGAGTTCTCCATCCGCAGAGGTACGGGTGGAAAGGGGCGAAACAACGGAGGTGATGGTGTGCAGCGTATCTACCAAGCGAGAGTTGACATGAGAGTAAGTTGCACTTCAAGCTCTGTGGTTTATCTGACTGATACTGCTTAGGCTTCTCTCGGTGGTGAACGGCGACTTACTCAGCCGTATGGCATGCACGGAGGTCAGCCTGGAACAAGAGGAGCAAACTACTGGCTGCGACAAACTGCGACTCCCGGGGCCCCTAGGCGAAGGATCAAGCTCAAGCCCGCTGCTGCTTTCGAGTAAGTGCTCTGCGAGACTGTTGAGCGGGCAATGCTGAGTTTCATTCAGTATCAAGGCTGGTGATAGCGTCGTGATCAATACTCCCGGTGGAGGTGGCTATGGAGCACCTGAAACGGACACCAGCAAGGTGTGGAAGCCACATGTGGAAAGTACCAATGTCATCCACACCCGAGCGAATGGGAGTCTTGCCGAGTACCAGAACCTGCAGAATGAAGCTTGAGATTGAGCGAGGATGATGGACAACACATATCGTAGAGAAGTAGTGACATGAATGTACTGCAGACTAACCTTCTGATTATGAACGTCAAGAAGACAAAGAACCGAATTTGCCCTCCCTGAACCAAATAGATCATTGCTTGGAGTCGTGACATCATCAGTTGCGATATGTTCGTTGCTCTGCTGGCAGCTGTGCTAAGTGGCCACGTATCGAGTCCCGCTGCATACGCCCATCCCCCTTCATCTGGCCAGCCACGCCCAGCGTATGGTTCCCGCGATAAAGCATGGAAAGAGACACGGGCACCATCCTCCGGCCGCCGGCCATCTAGGGCGAAAAGATGTTTCCAGCTTTCGCCGTTTGTCTCCTCGCCCACTCACGATGTCCCTCAACTCCCCTCAAGACCTTGTATGATCAGTAGGATATGGATTAGGGGTATAGGTCAGGATGGATAGATCAACAAACCCGCGGATATTCGTGACCAGGCTGAGCATGCAAAGCTCGGCCAGCTACTGACTTCTACTACGCCGCTTGGCGGGAGCTGGTGCGAGTCCCTTCGCACCGGTGTATATAGCTTTCACTTTCCCATCTTTTCGCCTTTCTCTCTCTGACTTCATCTTCCATCTATCCCCCCCGCCCTCCTCACACGGTCACCCTTGCTGTCGCTCTCCCTCCCCGCTGGTCCCCTGCCCTCTCACCCACTTCCCAGCTCTTACAGCCCGACACTCTTTTGCCCCCACTGCCACACCCCTCTACCGATCTTCCTCCCGTTTATGCTCTCTTTCAAGAGGCTCATATCTAGCACTCGCCGTATCTTAATCCGCACCCGACAAGCCTCTTCTGCCACCGCCACTGCCACACCCTTTGCCATTCACACCAACACCGTCACTTTGTACAACATCGCCATGTCCGACGTCTCTTCCGACACCTCCTCCATTACCAGCGCGAGTGAGACTTGGGAGCTGATCACCCGGTGAGCCGTGCGCAGTGTCGTCAAAAATATGGCTGATCGACCAACTCTGCAGCTCTCCTTCGCTCCTCCACGATGACTTTGCCTCTTTCCAGTCCAATACATCCTCCTTTGACTGGTCGCCTTTGCATTCTATGGGACTCAAGTCTAGCTCCTCGATCAACACCTTTGGGAAAGAGAAGAAGGGTCCGGGAAAGAAGAGGTGATACTAGCTGGCTGAAACCTATGTCCCGCGCTGACCTCGCCTGTAGCTCTTTCAAGATTCTGCAGCGTCTCAGCCACGAGAAGGAAGACAGCTCGAAATCAGAGTATGATCGGGTCTCATTACAGCTGTACTGCGTGCTCATGGTGTGACGCAGATCTTCTTTCGTGCAACCGCCCAGCAAGAAAGGCTTCTTGAAGAGCATCAAGAAGATCAATCGCAAGAAGGGCAAAGATAACAAGCAATCGTATGATGAGTAAGCCATCACCGCGGTGTACTCTGTTCCCAGCTGACTTGACACTAGCGATTCTATGCCGGCTTCGACCCCCGCATCTTCCAGTCCTCCCAGGCCGCACATACAACCTAGGCGCGTATCAGAGGACAGTTTCTCGGGCTTTGAGTGAGTCAAACTGTGCTATTCAAATTACGTTGGTTGACCTATTTGACAGGCTCTGCTCAATACCTCGCACTTCCTTTGACGTAATGAGTCGGTTTGACGACGCCGAGGACGACTCTTCCTTCTTGGATACCATCCCCAAGTGAGTAGGTCTGGGTATCGTTACGCCCAGTGCTAACTCGCCCTAGGCTATATTTGAGCTCTCCTTCTACTGCCTCCCAGCCCTCTCCAGTGCAGCATACGACTCCCAACAGCCCGGGGGATGAGGAACCTCAGCAGAGGCCGGAGATAGTCCCAATGTCAGTCAGAATGCACACGAGGAGAGCGAGCTGACGCCGAATCAACAGGATTAATTGCGTCCGCCTGGAGACCATTATGGAAGTGTCCGAGGATACTTCGGAGTCCGACGACGCCCCAGTCCCACCCGACCCTCAAACCCCTGATACTTCTAGCGCCTACTCACTCGATGCTGCTACCTATACCGACGGTGCCGACGGTGTCCAGTCCGAACCCATCTTCTTTGGCAGCCGACACGCGCCGCTCCCTGCCGGGCATCTCGCTTCTCTGGCGTTCACCCACATCCTTCCTCAAGGCTTGATCCCTCTGTATGAGCTTCAGATTACTTGGGTGCCGAATAACGTCCGATTGCCGGCTTCTCGGCTCAACGTCACCCGCGGGTACGGATCTCTCAGCAAGCTCGCCGATGCTTTGTTCAAAGAGTACCACGAAGGGTCAACACCATATCTCAAGTCCCTCCTTGCCGACTTCCCCAAAGCCTACGACGGTCCCACTCTGCCGCAAAAGACAGAGTATCGGGCAGAACGGATGCAGCACTACTTTGATCTTCTCTTTGGTATCCGGACTCGAGGCGAAAGATATGTGCTCGACAATGTGTACATTGTGCCCGAGTTCTTCGCTATCCTGCACGGAGATGTGGCAGAGAGGATAACCAGGGATGAAGCCTGGGGAGAATGGGAGTATACCTTGGAGAGAAGGATAGATATCGAGCGGTGGGAGCGTGAGAACAATGGTCAGGACACTGTTCAACGTGCTCCGGCATCTCTCAGCAACTCTGTTCCCCGTGAAAGCGCCCAGACTTTGAGGACGTCTTCTAGTTGTGAGAGCAGTCGATACCCCAACAACTCTGCTCCCGGCGAGGATGTCCAGTCTCCTACCCGATCAAAATTGGTCGAGTCTGGATACTGGGAGAACGAACCTCTTACCGACACGCCCCCATCGCGCGAGATCCTCAACAGTGGAGAATTCACAGATCTCATCGAGTCCTTCCCCTTGCCCAAGCAGCACAAGCCTGTCGGGGTCCGGGTCATTGCGACTTCAGTACACGCGCCATCATCGGAAACCCCTATTCGATGCAGCTCCAGCGCTACTGCCCTTTCTATCGACCCTTCGGCCAGTCTGGATGTCTCTTCAGACTTTCACTCTCCCTCCTGCTCCTCCGACAAGTCTGGTCTTTACGAAACACCCAACAGTTCGGTGACAGACCTGGGAGAGTTTGCGGGTACGGGCAAGACGGACGAGCATGTGCGCCATGTCGTGGTGGCTTCCAAAGCTCTGGCGACTTTCATGTCTAGCCAGCCGACTCCCGAAAAGCTTGTTCTGGGCGAAAAAGGTGTCATCTCTATCGACCTCACCACCCGATTCTTCTTCAACACTGTCCCTGTGCTTATCAGCACCAAAGAATCATGGCGAGAGTCGCTCGTCCGTGTCTACTCGGCTCTTCGGTTGCCTTTCAATAGTATGAGTCTGAAAGGGGACGTGGAAGTGCTGGGTGCGATTCACCTGGGGGTGCCACATGATGAAGAGGTGGAGCTGAAGAGCAAGGCGGATCTGGAGAGGTGGCTGGAGATTGCTACGGAGAAGAGGATATGGGTTGAGGACTGGTGACTTCTTTATCACAAGTGTTGTTGGATTACGGCCTTCTCGAGGTAGCATATTGTAGCTTGTTGTGTCAATTTCAATTTCTTCATTGGATAATTCTTCGTTTCTTCATTACATTTTGGTCATTCTAATAATCGTTTTGGCCCACAGATAGTACACAGAGTATATAGGCAAAGGTGCGATTTGAACGCCATTACTCTATGGACGCTTGAGCACAATCGTTGGCCAGGTCACAATCTGGTCCCGCGATTATAGGTCCACACCGCCACTGCATATATCTTGAAGCACGCAGCCATGCAGCGATCACGCACGCCAAAAGGTCACGTTGAGTGACGCTAAAGTGGAGGGCGCAACGGCGTTTTGCCACTGGGATCGCGGCCTCCACCGCCTGATAAAGATTTCAAGCGTCGATGGTTTCGAAACCATTATAGGCAGCAGCGGGCAGGACGTTCTTCTTTCCTACAACAAAACAAGCCATATCCCAAGATGGTGCAGCTAGAGTATCAACCCGATGCGGCGGGACAGGAAAGCTACATTCTCTGTGCCGACTGTGGTACCGTCATCTCCAGTGCCAACGGCGCCGGTCTTTGTAAGTCTTAACGCTTGCTCATGGTGACTTGGCTAATGCAGATGTATTGCAGGTGTCGGATGTCTGAGAAATACTGTGGATATTACGGAAGGTATTCCTAAAGAGTCTTCCTTGAACTTCTGTCGAGGGTGTGAGCGATTCTTGTCGCCTCCCAACTCTTGGGTCACCGTCCAGCCCGAGTCTCGAGAGTTGCTTGGTAAGCAGAAATAGATTTCTGGATGTGATCAAACACTTACATGAAGCTCAGCCATCTGTCTCAAAAAGATTGCTCGACCCTTGATGAAAGTCCGTCTCATCGACGCCTCCTTCATCTGGACCGAACCCCACTCCCGACGTATCAAGATCAAAATCACCATCCAGAAAGAAGTCCTCGCCCACACTGTTCTTCAGCAGACTTTTGAGCTTACGCTCGTGGTGCAAACGGGACAGTGCCCTGCGTGTACGAGACTGGCGGCGAAGAATACGTGGAAGGCGAGTGTGCAGGTTAGGCAGAAGGTTACGCACAAGAGGACTTTCTTGTGGTTGGAGCAATTGATCTTGAAGCACAATGCGCACAAGTGAGTGCTTTGAGATAGTATTCTGGAGGAATACTGACGAGTCTCAGGGACACTGTCAACATTGCGGAGAAGAGAGATGGTCTGGACTTCTTCTACACTGAACGAAACAATGCCATCAGGATGTGCGATTTCCTCGCCAGCGTCGTTCCTATCAGGTAAGCTTCCCCTATATCTTCTGGACTCAAGCTCACAATGTCCCAGGATCAAGGCTTCCGAGCAATTGATCTCTTCCGACACCCACTCCAACACTTCCAACTACAAGTTCACCTACTCTGTTGAAATTGTTTCAGTGTGTAAAGACGACCTGGTCTGCATTCCTCGCAACCTCGCCCGATCATGGGGTAACATCTCGTACGTTTCTTGCGATGCCATTCGAGCCCGGCTGACACTGGTTTCAGCCCCCTGACGCTCTGTTCCCGTATCGGCAACACCATCCACCTTCTCGACCCCATGACTCTCCAACAAACCGACGTCACCGCCCCCGTCTACTGGCGCCAGCCCTTCGACTCTCTCTGTACCGTCACCGACCTCGTCGAATTCATCGTCCTCGACGTCGAGCCCTCTGGTCCTGTCCGGGGCAAGTACGTCCTCGCCGACGCGCAGGTGACTCGGTCGAGCTACAAGGGTGCGGGCGACGATGCCAACGACGACGGGATCTACCACACCCGAACCCACCTCGGCGCCATCATCCAGCCCGGAGACACGGTGCTCGGCTTCCACCTGACACACACCAACTTTAATTCCGAGTCTTTCGAGTCGCTCGAGCAGGGCCGGATCCCCGATGTCATACTCGTCAAAAAGACGTACCCCAACCGAAGAAAGAAGTCCAAGGCGAGGAACTGGAAATTGCGCTCGATCGCCAAGGAGGCGGAGGATGTGGCGGAGGGTACGGTTGGACGTGGTGCGTTGGGTAGGAAGGGTGGTGTGGACGCGAGGAATGTGGAGAGGGATTACGAGCTGTTCTTGCGGGATCTTGAAGAAGACAGGGAGATGCGTAGTGCGATCAACCTGTACAAGGCTGAGGCGCAGGAGCAGGCGCAAGCGCAGGAGGGTGAGCAGGGTGAGCAGGATGAGGACGAGGCGATGGCCGGCGACAAGAAGTCTGGCTCTGGCATGAGGGGAGGCAAGAGAAGACAGGGCCTGGCCAAGCAAGCCGCCGAGAGTGCCATGGATATGGACGGCGATGAGCAGATGGGCGGTGAAGGTGAAGAAGATGAAGAGGAGGAGGAAGACTTCCCCGAGATCGACATGGACGAGCTGCTTGAGCAATTCGAAGAGATGGGCGTGGCAGAAAATGAGGAGCCTCAGTTCGGATGGGATTAATCTGTCATTTAGATCATGTAACTTTTGCTATATCCACAGGTGCATTTTCCTATTCGCTACAAGTATGCTCTATAAAATTGCTTCAATGATTCCTTTTATCTAAGCAGAGGCCTTGACGACCTTGCCCAACCTCTGCACCTCTTCATCGATGTCCTGGTAGAACTGCGCCTGGTCCACATACTTGGGGGTCCACCCGATGCTCTTACTCCTGTCGGCAGCGCCTCGAGAGTTGGTACCAGAGTAGTAGCTTCCCTTAAAGTACTGCTGGATCTCTTCTTCAGTGAATGATGAAGGGGTGGTTTCGGCGTTTTCAGGGAGAGCCTTGTGGCTGCGAAGGGATTGCCCGATGGCAGAGGCGGCACCAAAGAGAGTGTAGTCGCCGGCGACACCAAAGTAGTAACCAGAGGTACCATGGCCGATGGTAGGCCTCTCAACGGTAGCCTTTTCCCAGATGAGACCGTATAGACGGCCAAGGTCCTGGATGTTGACGTGGTTCCAGATGTTGGCACCTGGTAATGGTCAGCGCCGTACTTCGAATCGGTGGCATGTGCTTACCCTTGCCAACAACACCGACTCGTCCACGCTTGATAGCAATCTCAATCAACTGAGGAAGCTGGATAGATGTGGGGTGGGCGATACCCTTGTCAAATACCTGTGATTCTGTCAGCACTAATCTCAATGACCAAGTTGATGACACACCTCTCCAGTACCGTAACCCCAGACAGTACTTGGGAGCACGATATACGACTTGATGATACCAGCGGCATCAGCCTTGACAATCTCAAGGTCGACATTACGGTGAATGGCGGTCTCGGGGATCTTGGCAATAGAGTGAAGCTCGGGACCAAGTCGAGTAGCAGGAGAAGGGTTGAGGTCGGTGTAGATCTGTCCCACGCCATCAGCATGCGCATAAACACGTGGAAAAGATGTGACTCACCTTGTCAGTAGGGTACTCGCCTCGAGCGTCGTCAGACAAGACGCCAGTGCCACTAGTGTGGATCAAGAGGGGCCTGTGGCCAGTCTTGTCCCTTCGGATCTTCAAACCCTCCAAGATAGCCTTGGTAGCGTCGTGGTCGTCGGCGTCGGCAGACTGGATGACGACGTCGGCATCGGCCGCGGCATCCCGAATCTTGTCGTGCTCTTCAAGAGAGCCGATAAGGGGGACGACGGTGACGCCCTTTTGCTTGGCAATGTTGAGCGAGGTCAAGGTATTGACCTTGGCGGGGTCTCGGATGAGGGCGGTGACCTTGGAAGGGGGGTTGGGGGAGTCGAGGATGGACTGGAAGACGGTACCACCGATGTAACTGCAGAGGTGTCAGGGTGGGGAAGGGTGGGGGAGGGTGGGGAGGGAGAGCGTACCCGGTGACTGCGGTGAGGAATACTGATTTGCCCATGTTGAGTGATAGAAGATGATGAAAGATGGAAAGAGAAAAGAGATGCAATTCCCCTTTAAAGAGCAGTGACGCTGTCCATGATGCAATCCACGGAAGCAAATCCGGGGTACGGCGGAGTGGGGACCCCGTCGGCCCGCTCCGCCTCCACCGCTCCAACTGCTTCCGTCAAGTCACCAAGTGCATATATAAACTCGGTGCAGCCATTCAATTGTCTGTATTGTGCATATCCCTCTCGAGTTCAACGCCACCCGCCATGTCTGCACCCCACATCAACCTCCGCCCCCTCAACCGCTGGAGCACCTTTGGCCAACAGACAGAAGCCATGGCCCGCTTCTCCTCCAACCTCTCAGACCTCCTCAAACCCCGCCCCGCCTCCCCCTCCATCCCCAAACAGCGCCTCCCCATATTCGACCTCCCGCCTCTGCCGCCCATCCACGACCCGCTAGTGTTGAAAACTGTCTTTACCGACCGGAGCGCGCTGCCGAGGGTGGGGGATGTGTTTGATGTGGAGAGGAAGGAGATGAGGAGGGGGTTTGAGGATTTGGAGCATATTGGGGCGAGCGTCTTGGTCATGTTTCTTGCGGGGTGGTTGTGTGACGCGAAACCGCGCCTCGACTTCAAGCTGGCCACTGTACGCTCAAATCGCACAGCACGTGCACTGAAGCTCACTGCCATGGCAGAAACTCAAAGAGAACATTATATCCAACGTGACCCTCTCCCACTTGTCTTCAATCTACGGTCTGCCCGAACGTCTCGATGCCGACCCCACGCTACTTCCAAGTCTTCAATCCCGATGCGACATTCGCTCCGCCCTCTTTGAAGCCTATATCGCCGGCGTCTATCTCTCTGCAAGCTCTACGGATGGGACGGGATCAAAGGGCCCTGCGCTAGTGTGTGAGTGGCTGAAGGGGCTGTTTGGAGTTGTGGCAGATTGGTATGAGGAGAGTATAAAAAGTGGGGAGAAGGTGTATGTGGATATGGCTGAAAAGTGAGAAACGAGTCTTGTGTTGTTTGAGTATCTTGTACGGCACTATAGTGTTGTAATGCATCTACGTTGCATCATGTGCCCGTCCGAGTGTCACACAACTCAATCCTCCGCATTCCGCTATACAAGGGCGCCTCGCACAATACAAGCGTCATCAAAGTCGTCAAAGTCGTAATATCATTATACTCTCTCATCCCAGCCGATTCATCTCCCGCTTCGCCTTTCCAACCTTCTTTCCCGTCCTATCCACCCCTTGCTCAATCCCTTCCAAAAGCTCATTTTGACTCTCAATCTCCACATGTATCTCCTCCCCCATCCTTCTCTGCGTCTGCAACAGCCGGCTCAAACCGCGCAGCTGCTCGTCCTGCTGTTCCATGTTGGAATTCTGGTATTGGAGGAGCTGACGGTCGTCGAGCGGGCGGGTTTGTTCCGTCTCTTGCGGTGGAGCTTTGGAGCCAAACACACGGCCTGAGGGAAGAGCTCCGGGTATGGTCTGGCCTGCCGGTGCCCAGGGGTTGGAAGACCCATCCCTCGCCCCTCCCAAGCTCGCCCCACCCGGCGGCGCCGCCGTCCTCACCCCCGCCTCTGCCATCCTCCCCAAAGTCTGTCTCTCCACCTTTAACCCCTCCACCATCTCTTCCCTCCTCCTCGCCTCGCCTTCTCCTAATCCTTGCAGGCTTTTGAGACCCTTTTCGAGTACGTCCAGTTTAGCGTCGACTTCTTTAAGATGGCGTTTGGCTTCCACAGCAGCAGAGCGCGAGCCAGAAGCGTTCGACATGCTTGCCAAAGCATCGCGTTTGAGTAAAGATGAGCGGGATGTACGGAGAAGAGTTTGGATAGCGCCGTGCTCGAGCATCCATGATTGTGGAGTGAATTTCAGTCCGCCGGATTGGCCGGGGGCGGAGGCAGTAGTGGAGTGAGAGGGGACGGAGAGAAAGTCTGAGAATGTGTAGGCTGTACGCCAGAGGGGGTTCTTAGTATTCAGGATAGTACGAAGGTAGAGCTCTAGAAGGGGTTTGCGCTGCCGGACCTACCGCTTGGTCAGCTCATTGCTCAGACACGCGCACAAGGGCCGCACGCACCTTTTCCTCGTTGCTCTTGCCAAACGCCAACCCCCATGTTTTGGGCGGCAAACCAGCAGGCGGTTCGCTCCCCGTAGACGACTTGAGCTCGGTATGGAGGTCGACGAAATCGTTATACCGGCGCGTCACTGTCCAGCTCCGGGTAGGTGTTGTGACTGATAAACGTCAGTGTCAGTGTGGTGGGGGGGGGACTGACTCTGGATGATGTAGACGGTGTGGGGTTTGGGCGAGTCGAGCTGTTTGGTGGAGATGACGGAGATGTCTCTGATGTCCGACATGGTGCAGATGTGTTGATAGTGGTAACAGAAGAACCAAAGAAGGCCCGTTACATGCGAACGATCGACTGACAATGCGGTCATCTCCGCCGTCACATGGCATGTTATGATGGCTAGCTGTGTTCCGTTCATCTCATCACGGATGATGCGAGAATACTTGCATCAGCATGTTGGCGGATGATAAAGATACAGTAATCATCATGGACACCCCGGATCCGACCATGGCAACGCTGACCAACAAGTACTGCGAAAGCTTAGCAACAACAATTACGCAATCAGCCCGCCGGACATCCGAGCAGGCCCTATTTATACTTCTGTCGCATCTCATATCGCTTCCCTTCTCCCATCCCCAAATAGTATCCACAATAATGTCCAAGTCTGCCGCCTTCTTTGACGCCGTCGCTACCCGCCGTAGCTTCTACAACCTCACCAAGAAGACCACCCTCTCCCCCGCCCAGCTCAAGGACATTGTCGAGAAGGCCGTCAAGCACGCGCCTACCAGTTTCAATGGCCAGCAGAGCAGGGCCGTGCTCGTCGCTGGCAAGAAGCACGATGAGCTTTGGGACCTCGTCAAGAAGGGATTCTTGAACACCTTGGGCGGTGACAGTATGTGCCTCTTCCCTTTGTTAGACGCGCGCTCACCGAGGAAACAGAGGAGCAAGAAAAGACCTGGGACCAAAAGTTTGACAATGTCTACAAGGCCGGCTACGGTACCGTCATCTTTTTCGAAGACCAAGAGGTCATAAACGGCTTTGCCGCCAAGCTCCCCGCTTATGCCCAGGCTTTCCCCGTGTGGTCTGACAACTCTGCGGGTATTGTGCAGCATATTGTTTGGACAGCGTTGGTCGCTGAGGGTCATGGTGCCAACTTGCAGGTGAGTCGTTGGTGGAGTGGTACTTGTGGCAAAGCTGACGGTCCGGGTAGCACTTTGCTCAAGTCTCTCCCGAGATCCAGGCGGACATTACCAAGTTTGTCGACGTTCCTCCCACTTGGAAGGTAAGCCTTCTTCTCCTTACATGTGTGACATACTAACTCTCATACCAGGTCTCTGCCCTCCTTCCCTTCGGTGTCTCCACCGGCCCCGCCGCGGAGAAGACATTTGCCCCCATCGAAGACCGTACCAAGTTCTTCTTTGACGAAGAGTAAAGACGTCATTTGCGCCTCGCCAGGGACGATTCATGATTCCATACAGTGCAGTGGGGTAGAGATCGTCAGATCTAGAATCTATGTTGTAGATATTTGTAGAGAACAGAAGATGAAGGTGGACATGCAGATGCTGGTAAGGGAATCTAGTGGGGTATACAGTACGAGTACCGAGGTTCGTCGTTGGCTCGTGATCAATTCGTCAAGCCGTCTGCCACCGCATCACACCTTCCCATACCGCCAAAGCCGCAGCATTCGTAGGGAATGCTCTCAACACGACTGGCGTGAAGCCCTGCAACAGACGTAAGCACACACGTAGATGGAGAAGAGGGGAGGGAGGCGTACTTTGTAAAAGTTTCGTACTCTTGCGGCTGAATTCCAACCAAACGACTTGGAGGGGTCAAACGTCTCTCGCCAGACTTGTTTGTAAGCGTCAAAGACGCCCTTGTAGCGCGGTCTCTTTATATCATCGGCTATACGACAGTAAGCGCTTGGTGAAAGGGGGACGACAGGGGCCTTACTCATTATACGGTTCTTGATATTGTCCATCGCTAACACACATCAGCTCTTGAGTGTCAACGCCAGAGAGGTAGACTCACGTAGAGCAGCAAGCCAGTAGACGTTCGACCCCATACCACCTGCCATAAAGTTTGCCATCCCGCTCGACATCTCCCAGCTCGTCCCATCCCAGCTCTTGAACAGTCTATTGAACGCTTCGAAACCTTGCCCCATTGTCAGTACTCTTCCTCGTGGCAATAGGAAGAGTGAGACTCACTTCCAAACATGGCGAGGAAACAACTCCTATACAAGAAACTTGATCCCAGTCCACGCCACATTCCGGTGATACCTTGCTCGGCGACAGTCTTGCGGACGACATCGATGGGACCGGAAAATTCTTTGGGGGTGTTTTCGGGCTGGATCATTTGGAGTTGCAGTTTGCCTTTGATCAATTCCGTGGCATGGGCTGGTATCGCACTGTCGAATCGTCAGTCACAGTGTAACAAAAGGCGAAAGGGACGTACTTGGTCCAACCTGCAAAGAGTCCAGCGGTGGTATGACCCAGAATCGAAAGCCTCTGCTCCTCCGACCCGGGATTCCGTTCACCAAACCCATGGGTCAAGAGGAAAGCTCGATAGTTGTGTAAACTACCCATGAGGATAGAGTCGGTGATACCCCAAGAGATGGCCGGGATACTCGCGCCTTTGTAGAGCGCTCTCGGGCCCTGTTGCTGTTAGTGCTAGAGCGATTTGGAGAGGAAGAGCGTACTTCTTTGGTGACTGTCGAGGACAAGACGTCCCATACGCCTTTGTATGTCCCTGGAGGGGCACATTGAAGTCGGATCTTGCAGGTGTCGAAGGGGTGGCCGACGATGAGCTAGCGAGGTTGTTAGCTGGAAGATAACGACGCGACGACTAAGTCGAAACGGCTATACAAAGCTCGCACATGGCTTTGAGCTACTCACTTTTGTCCATCTATACCCAGGTCAGCTTTCATCCCATCTCACCAGTCAAGAAAACTCACCCCGAGCAAATGCCCGCCGCAAAGCCGATATATGGCGAGTGCTCTTTGACCTCCGGCGTAGCTTGCTCGACCTCCTGCGGCCCATCACCATAGATGTCTGGGTCTGAGATCTCCTCTGGGACTCTGTGGTCGCTGTGGGATCCCATGGCGGGTGGATTGAAGAGATGGGAGATGAGATGGGGGAGTTGTGAATGGCTGATTTTTGCAAGCCGAAAGCGATGGCCGGACCGAGTGAATGCGGGGACCCCGGGGTAGTGATCTCCATCTTGATCTTGTCCGTCATGAATCCAACAAAACTATTCAGAGCCACCAGACCGCTATTCTCGTCACCATCGCACTCCAGAGGGCTAGCCACCATGTCCAAGCCCAGAGGTCCGTCTCCTCCATACCTCACACTATCTCGCTCACATCCACCAGATATTCAGCAATTTCTCGACTCTTATCCACACAGCAGCTCAAATCCCGACCTGACAAGCAATATCAAGTTTTACAGAAATGAAATCCCATGTCGACCAGGAACGAAGCGTTATGAAGAATGGGTGCAGGCGCATGGAAGGGATTGGAGGCATCTAGAGTGGGATCAGTGAGTTCTTGCTCCTGTCGCCGGGTGATCGTGGCTGATCATATTGGGCTAGTGGGTATATTCAATGTATGTTGACTAGAGTCTGATACTGTACAAAAGCTGATGATAGTAGGGTTCTTCCCCATCCGGGAGCATGGTGTTAATCCGAGAGCTCAGCCGCTCGAGTTGCATGAGATCGAGGTTATGAAAGATGACCCAGAGGTCTTGGAACGACTTCTGAGGTCATACAAAATGGTACGCCTCCTTCTGCACCGACGTAAACCCGCTTACAAGACAGATCCTCGCTTTCTACGGTATCGATTTCAACGGCGGTCACCTCAAACTGGCCGAGAATCACAAAGAACGCCGTAAGCTCCTAACCCCCTCCTTATCGATCAACATACTGACCCATACAGTCTCCAACCTCCGCTCAGCAAACCACAACCTCCTCCGCCTGACCCGTATTCTCAAACACCTCTCCGAATTCCCTGCTCTCCAACCGCACGCCGCACCCCTCGTCCTCTTCTTCACCGCCCTCCACTCTGAAGGTCTCTTGGACTTTTCAAACAGCACGATGAGGGGTGGAAGCTTGGAAGGGTGGTGGAGCAATTGTTTTCGGGATGTGGAGGAGAGGAAAGAGGTTAGGAAGGTTGTGCTGAATAGGGGAGAATATGAGGACGGGGTTTGGGGGTGGAAGGCGTTTGAGGCGTGGTATGAGGAGAGGGTGAAGGGTGGTAAGGTTGGATTCCTCGGGAAGGATGCGACGCAACCTGTGGATAGCACAGATTGAGATACACCTCCCATATCCCCACCGACACCACTCAGAGTCTTCTCACTAGTAGTCACGACACGCTCTTTGCATTGATTCCACGCCCGGGCTCGCCCAATACTGAAAATTCGGCCTCTTAGGTCAATCGCATTTCTGGTAGTCATAAGGTGGAGGACGCTTAGACGTATCCGAGGTATAACATATGCATCACATGTTCATACCTCAGTCCGTTGCAACACCGCCAACCTCCGACCACTGACGATCCCACCTCTCCCCACTCCAGCAAACCCCTCAATCTCCCCAACGACCTCCCACCCCCCAGACCTCTCAAACTCCTTCCACTCATCCCCTACCACCCACATATACCCCCCATCCCATAGTTCCTGTGGACCATTACCCCAGGGCGAGGAGCAGCGCTCATAAGCCGATTCTGGATGGTCTAGCTGTAAGCCCAGGGAGGTGGATACGGAAGAGGAGGGGAGGGTGAGTAGGGTGGCGCCAGAGTGGAGGGCTGAAGCTGAGAGATAGACTTTGTGTACCTCGGTTGGGGAATGGTTTTGATGAGCGAGCTCGACGAGTATCTTGCCGACTGTGGCACCAGGGTAGTTTAGTCGGCTGATGGATGTGAATATGATTGTCAGAAAGACATTTGCGAGGATTGTGAGGATGATGATGGTCTTGCATAGGTGGGCTTGTATCTTTTGTGACTTGAGCTTGAGATATCTACTGGGGATGTAGGCGTGCCAAAGGAATGCAGCGGCTCGAGCTGCTAGTATATTGAGAAGGGGTATGGAATAGATTATGAAACGCCATTCCTGGACCACGATCAGCTTTAGTGTTGATTATGAGGAATGGCGACTCACTTTGTGTCCGACAAGGCTCAAACACCCAACAAACGCAATCGTACACCCCAAAACCAACTGAACCATTCTCCGTTCCACCCTTTCTCCTCTCAACCCCATGTAGACACCACACCCCCAGAATGGTCCCGCCCCCATCCCAAGCTTGACCAGCGCAGCAAGATAATACCATCCCGGCATGACGCCCCAATCAGCAGATTTGCCCTGGACAATGTTGAACACTGCCGCGGAGAGTTCGGGCCATTGGTAGTATGGGTATAGGTGAGAGATTGGGGCGAAGAAGTAGGTGTCGACAGAATTTGTCAAGGCTAAATAAGGTCAGCGCTCAGTCTTTGGTCTTTGGACAGATTCAAGAGGGTGTAGTAAGCTTACCGAGACCGAGGAAGCCTCCTGCTGCCCCGCTGAGTAGAGCTCGTGTAAACGAGACTCGGCCTTGTAAAACGCTGATACCTGCAAGGGCGATGGCAAGAGGAGCGAGTTCTAGTCTAGAGATTGTTGCTGTAAGAGTTGCAAGACAGATCCCCTGCATCACCCCGCGAGCAGACTGCTGCGGCCGTATGACATAGGAACAACCCCACAGAACTGTCAACCTCGTCAGCATATTTTCTCCATCAAATGCGACCAGTCTCACCGAAAGGCAAAGCCATAAAGTTGGGCAACGTCCGTCCAGCATAGAAAGGCACATGGAATTGTGTCATTGAGAAGAGCAAGAAGAGACGCGAGGTCAAAGGCGACTTGTAATACATCCCAATGGATCTTGACAGATGAACGACGGCGGCGGAGAACATGGCCGATTGGACCAAGCGGACTATATCGACTAGATCAGTCAAAGTCTCAGAAATAAGTCGGATATACTCACTCAGAATCTGTAAATGGGGTCCTTCATCAATCCCTGTTAGAAGTGACAAAGGATAAGTGGCTGCTAAAAGTATGATACTTGGGATCATCGACTTTGCTACAGGTCCTGGGTACGTGACGTGATCATACTGCACAGGACTCGTTAGACATCTCTACTAAGTTTACAAGGGAAGACTCACCTTGTCGATCTGTGTTACGCCATATTTCAACAGGTCGTGCACGGCATGTAGACCATGTGTTTCTTCCACCTTCGTATGCGGCACCAGTAACACATGTAGAGCCGTCACGAGGAATGGTAAAAGGCACCATAGTGTACCGATAGATATCGGGACAGGAGAGCGAGGAGAGGGTTTTGGAGACTTTACAGGGGTTTTGAAGACGAATGGGGAGGGCAGAGGCGATTTCGAAGGAAAGAAATGGGGGGAACGGGGACTGAGAGGGGCCAGGGGAGAGTCGGGGATGTATATGGGAGACACCATGGTACTTGTGATGTATTATTACGAACGTTGAAGACTGGTATGTCTAGAGATGTCGGCTTGAAAGCGGGAAAGGACTTGTTCACTTACAGATGGGAGATGTCTCCTTTGTGTTGCTCACATCATAAAAGGTCTTGAAGGACTTTGAGCTCTGTACAATACGGCCCGCACCTCCGCAGGGCGAGACTTTTGCCGATTCCATGACCATTGACCAGCGACGCAGCATGTTACCTCACTGCCCACCCATCCATTTCCAAGCCTCCTTCTCTATCTCCACCTTGACCACGTCCTCCTTCTTCAAACACACCATGGCAAGTCCCCTGCCGCCCCATCCAGTCCCATAGCCCCCGAAAGGCTCGCTCTTGGGCCAGTACCGCTCTCTGTTCCTCCATACTTTCTCTTCTTTTGTCTCTTCGGCGAGTTCGCCTACCATTGGCAGTCCTTCCGCGGCGGCAAGCTCTTTAGCTTGAAGAGAGGCTGGTGCTGGGCGAAACTCCTCAGCATTGGACAGAATGATGTTGCACTGCTTGTCGACACAGGTAAAATAGCCGATCAGAATCCGGCCGTCTGTCAGGGTTATTGTGAGGGGCTGTCCGATCAAGGAGCGCAACGAGGGGCCGGGCTTGTTTCGAAAGATATCTAGTGGCGTCGGAGTTGGCGCTCTGAAGGGGTCGAAAGACATCTTGCGGGTTTGGAATGGGTAGAAAGCGTGACTGCTGTTGTACAGAAGTTCAGAAGAGAAGACAACAAAAGTGGTGACATGGAACCTCTACTCGTCCATGTTTGTGCCTTCCATTGACCCTCTTCTTGACCCGCTGCGAGTCGTCTGCATTGCAACCACTGGGATGCTATAGTACTTTACCCTGCACAGTGGACAAGCGATAACGATGGCCACTCCGACCGCTACAACGCCCCTCCTCTCCTCCCGCGCCAGCTCCCAGAGCCTTCATCGTCTCCTCAACCGCCGTCGCCGGGCCCGCCAGAATCCCATCCTCCACTTCACCTCCATCATATTTCCCGTTCTCCTCTTTGCTGTTGTTGCCTTCTTGACCTGGGACGTCTCCTCGTTCGGCAATTGCTACTTTCAACCTCTATGCCGGTTGCTAGGGGATGGTAGGGGCGTGGAAGAGGGGTGGTGGAGAAACCAGGGGCCCTATGCGCCGTATAAGCGGATGGGGAAGGGAGGGGCAGTGGTGGGCCTTCCAAGGGGGTGCGAAGTGGATCAGGTCACCTTGGTGAGGCTCGAGCGCGGTGTGACGAGCGCAGAACGCTGATGAAGATGGATAGCTGCATAGACATACAGCGAGATACCCGACCACGAGTGCTGGGAAGTGTATGCTCAGCGGTCTGGGCAAGATCAAGAATAGAGAAGTGAGAGTACCGAGACACCATCCAGAGCTATCGTTCTTGAACAAAGCGGACTTGGACTTGGAGAACTGGCATTTCGATGGCTTGATGGACCAGGGGCGGAAAGCGTCAGTCCAAAGCCATTGCATGATAGTGAGACTGACATTCAATCAAGTGCGTGGGACTCTGGATACCAAATCGCTGGCGCCTACCTCAAATTCCTGGAACAGGCCGAGGGTGTCTTCACTCGGTCTGCTGGTGGAGAAAGGGTCGTAGAAACCTCAGGATATTGGCTAGAAGTATGTCAACTTCAGCCAATCCTGGCGTCATACTGACCACCAAACAGGGATTCCGGAGACATCGCTTCAGCCGTAAAGAGCTATCCAAGCTTCCAGAGGTCGATTTGATAATCCCCGAAGGCTCATCCTACAACAACACCCTCTCAGTCCACTCCTGTCCCGCTTTCGAATCCCTCTCTCCATCTCCAGGCGAAGAAGCTCAAGCAGGATTGTATCCTCTCCTCCAACCCACCCTAGACCGGCTGAACTCCCTCCTCCGACCCTTCCCCAGACTAGAAATGGAAGAGCTTGTATGTCTCGCTGATATGTGTGGGTACGATAGCCAAGTGAGGGGATTGAGCTGGGGTGGGTGGTCCAAGTGGTGTGCGGTCTTTGATGAGGATGAGTGGGAGGTGATGGGATATATGAAAGATGTGAAGCGGTTCTACGAGGTTGGACAGGGGAGCGATCTGGGAGCTACGATGGGTGTAAGTGGAGTTCTGGGACAGCAGGATGGGGCTGATGTTGAGTACAGGCGGGATATGTCAACGAGGTTATCGCTCGGCTGACCGACTCTGTGCCGGTGGACCGTACGATCACTAATCGCACTTTGAATGAAGATGAAGTCACATTCCCTCGTGGCGGTCAGCGATTCTTCGTGGTGAGTGATAATGCAATACATGATGATACGGATTCTGAGATGCATTTTAGGATTTCGGACACGACAATGAGATGCTTGAAACCCTAGCAGCTTTGGGTGTGCTCAAGGTAGGTTTCACTGCTGAATCGCGAAGTGTTTTACTGACGGATTCCCAGCAACACCGTTCCCTGACTACTTCAGAAGTCCCTCTCAAGCGCACCTTCATACTCTCCCATATTGTGCCCTTTGGAGCGCGCCTCGCATTCGAACGGGTATCATGTGATACGGGCAACTGGGGAATCGATCCACCCGACGAGGAGCCCGAGACGGGGAAGGAAGGGACGAAGAGTTTTGTGAGGATTTTGGTCAAGTGAGTTTCTGTCTCTGTGCATGGCGCTGTACTGATGAGTTGGACAGCGATAAGATCCAGCCGGTCATTCATTCTGCTTGTGAACAGTCTGTGCTCGCAGAACACGGTCTTTGCGAGCTTGACGCGTTCATCGAAAGCCAGTACTTTGCTCGCGAGGGCGTTGACTGGGGAGTATGTTACGCCGACGATAGAAAGTGAAATGGCTTGGAATCCCGCTTCCAACGGTCAAAATATAGAATCACGATAAGAAAGTACTGTATAACGAAATGATGCCAAACGCCATGCAAGGTTGATGAATTATGATTGTCGTGAAAAAATTCGTTTGAGTCTCGTTAGATTGACGGGGTGCGACTCTACTTTGAAGAAGATTTTTCGATGCTTTTGAGGGTGTCTTCGGCTACTTGGAGGAAGGATTCTGGCATGCCTGCTAGACTTGCAGCTTTCTACAGGGCCGTTAGTGGTGAAACCATATTGCATGAAAACACTCACGATGGCATGTGAATCATAGTTGATGCCAGGACGCAGTTTGTAAGAGTATGAGAAAGCACCATCCTTTGACGGTTCAGCTCTTGACCAATCTGACAGACAAGAGGACACTCACAAGCTCATCAACATCAGTGCACCAGAATGCTATCCCTTCTTGCCCCAAAGACTCTTTCTGTTCTTTCTCATCTCTCCGGTATCCCAGCATTTTGCCCAGCTCGTGATAATGTGTAGCGAAGAGGGTGCGACACTTGATGTTTTGCAGTATATAGTCCAGAGTAGCGTATGCTATCGAGATGCCCGCTTGCAGGGTCGTTCCTCGTCCAATTTCGTCCATGATGACCAGGGACCTGTCCGTGGCATGCTTGAGGATAGCAGCCGTCCTGATACTTATCAGCTACGTTCAGGCGTCTGTCAAGGTACTAACTCAACCATCTCCAACATGAACGTACTCCTGTCCCTCCACAGATCATCCCTCGCCCCGACTCTACTAAACACTTTATCCACCACTCCCATCTCCACTTTATCTGCGGGGACAAAGCTCCCGCTTTGGGCTAGGATGGCGATGACAGCAGTCTGACGCAGGAGGGTAGATTTGCCGCCTTGGTTTGGGCCAGTTATGACGTGGAGATGGGTGAGGGGGCACATGGAGGTGGAGTTGGGGGTGAAGAGGCGAGAAGAGGAGAGGAGAGCCGACTCGACAGAGGGGTGGCGGCCATTCTCGATGTGAAGGCCGGTCCTGCGTCCGTGTCAGGCTTGACTTCTATACAGATGATAGCACGTACCCTTCATCGAGAACGGGTTTGACCCAGCCCATCTGGACCGCGCTTTCCGCAAAGCCCATACTGAGATCCATCTCGTCCACTAGACTCGCATTGCGCTGTATGTCGTCGGCATACTCAACGACCATGTTCTGCAAGTCACGAGCCGCTCGACGTTGGGCGTTGGCCAAATTCTCGGTGGTGAGGTCTAGTCTATGTCCCAGAGCAGTCACTTGCTAAAGTATCATCAGTACCAATTGAAAGATGAGAATGCAGGACATACTCCGTGTGCAAAGAAGGCCGTCTTGCCTGTAGTGCTCCCCATGCGCTCCAGAGATCTCGCCTTGGCCACCTTGTTGGCATCGTCTTTGGACATCTGGAGGTGGTATCTGAACTTGACGCCCCTCTCAACAGTCAGAGTTGGAGTACCTGGACGCCTGGTCAGTTGGAGCATACAAGGCCAACGGTCACTCACCATGCTTCTTGGCAAGATTCTTTTGCAGTTTCAGCATTTCCGACTTCAGCGATGCGAGCTCCTTATGCCACGTCTTCAGCTCATTATTGAACCTACATCGAGCTCAGTACCAGACAGTACACGCCGACAAGCTCACTTACTGAGGCTGTATCCACCACTCTGCCCTCTCTTTCTCTTCCCTTTCTCGCTTGATCCTCTCTTTCTTTTCCGCGTCCGTCTCAGTGACTTTGCTCCCTTCCATCAGCCCGTCCCCTAAGCCTTCCGACTCCTCATTGATCTCTAAGTTGGTGTTGGCGTATTTGGACATGACAGCCCATTCATCAATAGCCGATTCGATTTTGGCGGCTATGTCCTCGATGGCGCTGAAAGATTGCACAAAATCTTTCAGACGTTGGACTCCTCCAGACACTGTCTCTCCCTCTCGAGTAATGTTTGTCTCGATTGAGGTCTCCATCTTGATAACGTCTGTCATCTTCTGTACGTCCCTGATCCACTTTCCGACATCCCAAATATCCCTCCCCGTCCCCCGCTGTCCCCGAAATCGCTGGATGATCCGCATGATATCTCCGACCCCTTTCAGCTGATCACGCAAATCGGCACGGAGGTCATCGCGGTCGACGAAGGATTCAACCAGGGCGAGACGAGAATTGATAGCTGGGAGGGAGGTGGAGGGGGCGGTGAGGGTTCGGATGAGGCGCCGATGGCCAGAGGGCGTTATCGTCTTGGAAACGGTGGACAAGAGTGTACCTCTCGAAGACAAAGGTGACGAGGAAGGTCGCGATTCACCTGTAGACTGTAGACCCCCCGGTCTGAGAGCATGCCTGATCTCAAGTGCTTGTAAAGTAGCAGCGTCAATCTGCATGGACGCCGAATTGACCTGCTTGTCCGGGGCACTCAGGGCGGGCATGGTGTCCCGAAGTGCATACTGGAGGTGATGGCGGAGGAGGGCAATAGAAAAGTCTTCTGTGGAAGAAATGGGGAATGCTTCGGGGGAGGCAGAAGTCCAGAGAGGTGGGGGGTTGTGGGGGTCGGCAAACGATACGTGTACACCCAACAACTGAAGAAGCGTCAAAAGCTCGTCAGAGACAGTGACTTTGTCTGATTGAACTGAACTCGTCAACTCCTGCCACCGGGGCTTGAGCGAAGCGTCCAAGACCACCTCCCGCGGGGCGATACGAGTCAGCTCGTCCTCCATCTGCGACAAGGTGGTGTCCTTTGTAAAGAACTCTCCCGTCGAAGCGTCCGTGTACGCTAGAGAGATTTCGCAGCCGCCTTCATTTGCGTTGTCCCCAATGGCCACAGCAAGAAGGTACCGACTCTCATTACTGTCAAGCCACCCTTCATCCACCATCGTACCCGGCGTGACGACTCGGTAGACCCTGCGCTCTTTGGGCCCGGCACCGGCGGTAAGCTTTTTCCCAGTATGGGCTACCGCGCCCTCACTGTCAAACTCTTCTACAAGCACGACAGTGTGTCCGAGATCTTGAACGAGAATCTTGAGATATTTGTCCAGTCCAACGACCGGAAACCCGGCAAAAGGGAATGAGCGCTTGGTGGATTTAGACGTGCTGCCGTATGACTTTTCGGCGAGAGTGAGAGATAGTATGGAGGCCAGTTTGCGTGCGGGCTCAAAGTACGACTGTTCTTTCGATCAGCTAAAGTTCACACGTTACACAAAGAGACTCGCCTCGTAAAATTTGCCCACTCTAGTGAGCAATATACAGTCTGGAAATCGTTTCCAGTTCAAGAAGATTTCATGGGCAAGAGCCGTATCCGGAATAATACCAGACTGTATCGCATTGTGAATCTCATCTTGCTCGGTCACTTGCCAGGTAGACTTGGCTATTTGTTGACCATCTTCTAGCGGGTCGGCATGCGCTACCTTTTTTGCTCGTCGGGAAGGTGATACTGTAGAGGTATCGGACCAAGAGGCCAAGGGTTCCGATTTGAAACCGGATATGGTCGACTGAATATCTGACAGATCAAAGCTAGGCGTGGCCGACTTTGAAGCCTTTCGAGGGGTTTTTGGTGCGAGACGAATGGGTGAAGTCGCGAAAGATCTCGAGCCCGCTCTGAATATCGCACGGCAGCGTCTGAGGAGCATGCCGGAGAGACTATCGGTTCTCTGGGGCCACCAGGTTGGATTGGCCGATTTTGACGAGAGGTTTGGAGGCGATTGAGCGTTACTGAGGTACTGTCGTCTACATCCATCTCGCTCCTCGAAATGTCAACGAAAGGGAGACCTCCACCTCCACCCCACGCGACGCGCAGAATAGATGACCATGCCGTCCAGGGTCCAGAATCCAGATCATTTGGCTATCATTCTCGCTGAGTGTGCAAGATAACATACGGCCAGGTTTCGGGTGCATATGACCTTGCTCGATCAGATGGCCATCGGAGATGCTTGAAGCATGCGCCAGCAGGGGTGGCTTGCTGGCACATAGGCGCTCGGCACTTGTCGGCTACGGAACTTGCAATTCCGCCCAATCTTCAAGGCCGAAGCACATCTTTATCAGTACTCCGGCCCGACAGCGTGGCCACTCTACATAACAGCACATGAGCTGTCAGACAATCGGTTTTCGCGTTCTCTCTTGTACATCCAAACACCCAACACTATGCCTACCAAACCCTCGGTACTCGTCGTCGGCGCTGGAGAGCTCGGTGCTGCCACAGCGGTCTCCCTGCTCCGGGCAGGAAAGTTTGGCGAGGTCACAGTTATAGACAGGGCGGCGGAGCTTCCTGCCCTCGACGCGGCGTCTTGTGATATCAACAAGGTGGTTCGATTCGACTATGTCGATGCCGACTATTCAGCACTGGCCAAGAAAGCTATAGACGAGTGGAACAAGCCAGAGTGGAAGGGGATCTATCACCAGTCCGTTCCCGGCTGACTGAGAGGCCAATGTCTGACTCTGGTGCAGGGCTGGTGTGGTTGTTCGCGGTCTGCATCTTCAAGACCATCATGGTGAAGGCATGCGCAAGACACTCAAGAATGTCCAGTCTCAAGAGCCCCGCGTCAGAGTTCTGAACAGCCCTGAAGACTTTGTCCAGCTATTGGGTCCCGACCCCGGCATCAAAGTCAATCCTCCCTCTCCGGAGGTCCGAGGCTACCACAATCCATCGGGCGGATGGGCCAACGCATCTGCCGCTGTCCTCAAGCTCTACTCTTTTCTGTCAGAGCTCGGAGGTAAGCTCGTGCCTTCTGCCGACCTGGTTGAGCTTTTATACGACGAGAACAAAAAGGATGTCAGGGGTGTTCGGTGTGCCGATGGCCGACAGTTCTTTGCTGACAAGGTCGTCATTGCCTTGGGCTCTTGGTCGGGAAGTCATCCGGCACTGACGGGAATGATGCCTGAAGGCTTGATCACCGCTACGGGACAGACTATAGCCACTGTGCAGCTTTCGCCTGAACAGGCAAAGCGCTATGCCAACATTCCTGTTAGTATGCACCATGATGGAAGTGGATACTACTCTTTTCCGGTGAGTTGTCCATTGTCTGCGCTAGGCTCCTGAACTGATGTTTCGTCAGCCAAATGAGGATGGTATACTCAAATTCGCCTTGCATCGGGCTGGCTACACATCCGAGACTGGCATTCCGAGGACGGCTGCCGATCCCAAAGCAGTCGCTTACCACAAAGACAACGAAGTTGGTGAGTCAAAACTCCTATATGCTCAAACTGCTACCATGCATTGACTGCGTTCTCAGGATGGATACCCCAAGAATCATTTGACTCTTTGAAGAATCAGCTCGCTATCGTCTATCCTGAGATTGCCAGCCGTATGTCCCTCTCTCTGCCGACAAGTTCTGGACTGACCAGATATGATAGTCCCCATAGCCTACACTCGCATGTGCTGGTACTCTGATGTCGTAGACGGGGACTGGGTGATTGACTACTCCCCTGATTACCCTTCTCTGATCTTCGCTACGGGCGGTGCTGGACATGCTTTCAAGGTGAGTCTATTCTGCAGCTATCCTGTCCGCGAAGTGGTATAGTCTAACATTACCTGTAGTTCCTCCCGATCATTGGCGACCTCATTAGGAATCGCATTGAAGGTACCCTTGACCCCCATCTTGCGCACAAATGGCGAGTGACCCGTGCGCCCAAGCTCGAAGACCCTGCGAGGGTCGGTATGTTGAGAAAGCCCCTTGATTTGTCGTCTTTGATTAAGAAGGATGAGCTCCTGGGGAGCACGTCTGTCGCAAAACCCTAAGTATTCTCGCGAACTTTCTGTTGTGCTATCATAGGCTGGAGGTTGTAATTCAGATTGTGATGTAAGGCTTGACTTTGAAAGCGGCACGATGCGTAACAATATGACAACAGTGCATCTCGTGGTTTCAAAGATATCGACTTTTAGCGTCTTCTCATGCTTCTCCCCCGTCCATGGCAACATCTCCTTCCACCTCCCCTCCTTGGGCTTCGAGCTCCGCCTGGGCAGCAAGAACGATCTTGTCTTCTTCGAGCTAAAAGTCCAGATCAGTAAGACAATCTAGTATGGACGTATGGTGACACGTACCTGTTCAATAGAAGCGAGCGCCGCCCGTCTTCTGTCGTTCAACTCTGCATATCTCGCTTGCAGATCCCTCTCTCTCCTCTCCATCACGCCAACTTCCTCCCTCGCCTTCTCCAGCCTCGCCGGCGCCGCAGACTCCTCGATCCCCTTGAGCATCAAGAACGTCTCCAACTCTCTCTTTGTCTGTTGAATCTCCTCCAACACATCGCTGATCCCTCTCTTCGCCTTGCCGTTGATCGCCTGATAACCACCAAGCTGCTTGCCGAGCTTCTTTTCGGCCTTAGCGGCTTTGGTAGCTTCGGCGATGACGCGGTCGCGGGAGGCAGAGATGGCGTGGGTGTACGCGGCGGAGAGCTGTTCGGGGGAGAGGGAGGCCTTTTCGACCCATTTGCGGGTAGAAGGCGAGTAGATGAGCTCTTCGCGCTGCTTGGCCCAAGCATCGGCAAAGGCAGCATCATCCTCTTCGGCAGAGGACCCGATAGCAAGCCTCAATTGTTCTTCACTCGCTCCCGGCAGACCCATAGTACCAGCCAACTCTGCATGCACCGCCTTCTTCGCCTCTGCCACAAACTCATCCTCGGGCATGTCGTAATCTGATGGGGTACCGCCAGGGATGGATGTGCCGGGGAGAGGGTGGGCGATAGAGTCGTGCTGCATGAGCAAGGCGACCTCGAGATTGACGAGTTGGAAAGCGTCGGTGAGTTCAGCGTCGATGGCTTCTTCGACAGAGTTGAGCTCGCGCAAGACGTTTTGAAGGTTGATATTTATTGGTCGGGGCAGGCCGAGCTTGACGACTGAACTTCTCCTTTCCAGTTCTCTTCGCTCCTCCTCTTCCCTCGCCGCCCTCATCTTGGCGTCCCGCTCGGCAGCGTCCTCTTCCGTCAAGAGCTCGACCTCCTCTTCACCTTCTTCTTCCTCCTCATCCTCGGCCAGCTCAAAGTTGTTCTCTGGCTTGGGAAGCGACGCAAAGCCCGCCTTCAAAGCCCTCCTCGACGCAGCCAGACGTTGCTTTTCGCTGATGGGTGTCTCGCCGTACATGGAAGCATCTTCGTTGATACTGAGGTTGTCACGGGGAGTTCGCATGGGAGTGGACCCAGTGACGGTTCGAGAGGGACCGAGGACGTTGCCGTGAGCAGGGGTAACGAGAGGGTTGGGAGTCGCCTCGGCAGAGTGACGAGGGGTAGCACCGTCGAAACCGGTACCTGCACGCCCGCCCTGGAAGGGAGTCGAGTCCTCGCCGAGAAGAGGGGTTTGGGCAGATGTCAATTGTCGAAGATGTCTCGCTTCGTCCATAATGTTGTCTCCTGAAGCGATATTAGTGCTGATCGAATATCTGAAAGCATACTCACTCTGAGGAGCGGTTCGTGGCGTCCTAGCAGTCTTGGCAGCACCCAAAGCCTCGTACTCTCCCAACAATCCCTCCGTGGCCGCATTGCCATCCCCAACAAGCTCCCTCGTCATCTCTCCAACCTGCCCGATCTTGACAATGTCTTCCAGCTCTCTTTCACCGACCTGAGGCACAGGAAGATTCAGCTTTCGCCGTCTGATGACTTGCTCTTGCTCCTTGAGCTTTTTTATCTGAGCTTCTCGGGCGGCGACGAATTGCTGAGTTTGGTTGCCCTTTCCGTCATCCTTCTTCTGCTTCTTCTTCCTCTCGTCAATCTCGTCCAGTTCCTGCTTACGCTTCCCTTCAAGAGCTCGGAGGGAAGATCCAACAGGGGCAGAGTAAACTTTGGCGTTTTCTTCCGTGACGTCGTAGAATCCAGGAGCGGGCTGCTTCTCAAAGGGGATATCGGCATTGTAGTCCATTCCCTTCTTCTTGGGCTTTGCTCTCAAGTTGATACCCGCCGCCTTCAATTCTCTCTTCTTTTGCAAGAACGCTAATCGTCGCGCCTCCTCCAGCTGCCTTTCACGCGCCTTTCTCTTTGCCTTCTTTCCCTGCGTGTTTGCCAGTCTCGCACGCGCCTCAGACAGCATCTCCTTTTCGTCGTCGTCCATGTCGATAGGGTCCGGTCGTGCGGGTCTCGTCTCGGGGTCGGTATCGATTTCACCCGCTTTCAGTCCTCGTGCATCGGCAGCAGGCTTGGACGCCTCGTCCTCTCCGGCGCCCATACCAAACTCCTCGCTGTCCTTGGCCTCGGCATCGTCTAGGAGCTTTTGGTAGCGCTCAAGACATTGGGTGGCGGTTCGACCAACAATGGGGGCAATGGTACGCCATTGAGTGGGCATGAGTTTGGCGAGATGCAAGAGCTTCTCGTCCTCGGTCTTGGACCATTCGACCTTCTTGATAGAGGGATCGAGCCATTCGTACCATCGCGCCTTGCACTGCTTGGGGGTTTTGCGGACTAGAAGGGAGGAGATACGGGCCCATTGCTATACAGAAAGTCAGTTCGCCTCCTCAGCTATCCGGCAGGCCACTTACGTTCTTTCCGTACTTGGAGATGGCCGCTTTCAGGATCTCATCTTCCGTATTTCTCCAGACACCACCTTTGACGATGACTCTCTGTAGTTCTGATCAGTGGCTGCGCACCACACCTGACGCTGTGCTCACCATTGTGAATGCTCACTCGACTTGTGCTGATGCTACTTCGACACCACCATATGGCTGTTAAAGACCCCGCGTTGCTCTAACGGAGTTTCGGCGATTTTGAGATGTGGCAGATATCACACCTTTTACTCTGACAATGCTATGCATTCACTTGCCATTATCCAGCGTGACAGTCAGAATGCGGAATGCGGGGAGCTCATATTAGACATGTTACGTGTGGCTTGCAAAAGAGTGCTGTGGCTAGAGTCGGGATGCCCTTCAAGCCGTGGATCCGAATACGTAGCCCTTTCTCAGGCCCTTGGGCTATGCAACCAACTCGCTGAAGGGATCCTATATAGTGCGTAAAGGATACCTGTGAATACTAGCTGCCGTCCCCTCATTGAAAGCCGAGAGATGGATATGATGTCGTGATGGCTTGAAGGACTCGGAGACGCGTCCCGTTACCCCACCCACAAGTAACCGACCACCGGCCACACCCCACAGGCTGCCTTCAACAGTTCATCTGCTTCTTTTGGCAGTGAAGGACCTCAGCGGTGGGGGCATGCATGCATACCATTACGTACACGCTAGTGGGAACCAAAGTACGACCGAAAGAGGCAACAACAAAGAGTTGCGGGATCTGCGGACATCGCCGCAGTCGCGCGGACAAAACAATCTCGACAATCGCGCTCTTTTTCTCGTTGTTTTGGCTCATTTCTCGCTGTCCTCTGTATCCATCTCGCCCATCTGTCTTCCCCTATCCGCCCCATCCACCCCCCGCAATGAAGTCCCTCAGGCGGTCTCTCAACCACGAAAAAAGCAACGGCTCGCCTCAACCATCCCCGCCTCTTCCCACGTCCCAATCTGCAACTCCCCATGTCCTCGGAAGACCGTCCGAGAAAGTCGCCCCTCCGCAAAAGGTCATTAAAGCCCTCGCATCTCACCAGAGCACCAACCCCTCGGAGCTGAGCTATAACAAGGGCGACTTTTGGTATGTGACGGGCGAGAGGGGAAGCTGGTATGAGGCTCTAAGTGAGTAGTAATGTTCTCGCGATGAACGCGTCCAACGCGAATGGGTGGCTGACCCGGGTGTAGATCCTCTGACTGGATCGAGAGGCGCTGTTCCCAAGCAAGATTTTGAAGAGTTTGTCAAAGGAGGAAAGCATCCCGCGGGGGCCAAGTCAATCGACGTAGGAAGGTGAGTTACCGCGACCGTCGCGTGCTTCCTTTGGAGGACAGGTGTACATCTCTTCTTGGCTGTCGCGAGAGGGATATTCAAGCTCCTGGTGGGTGCAGGACACTGCGGGAAAGACAAAGAGATCCGACGGAAGGCTGCATGGGAATTGCGGGCCTCGCGGGACGATAGGCGCTGGGCGCGTCGTTGCGCCATCTTTATTGGTCTCTGTCCCCCCCCATCCTTGGACGCTATTCCTGTTCGAAGAACTCGCTACCTGGGGCGTACAAAACGCGTCAGATATAGCTCTCTTTGGATCATCGCGTTCTCGCCCGGTCGTTCGCTTGGCTTATACTGACACTATCTTAGCTCCAGACCAAACACCCCTTCGCATCTACAAAACTCTCTCCAGAACAACCCAAGATCTCCCGGTCCCGGCATGGTGTCTCCTCCAATGTCTGCCGACAGTGCTCGCTCTTCCAAAAGCCCGTACGTCCGACGCGTTTTGGTACTACTCCTTCTCTAATTCAGTCACAGGGTGTATGCCATCGTCCAGTACGACTTCCAAGCCGAAAGGCCCGACGAGCTCGAAGCAAAGAAAGGAGAGCCAATTGTCATCATGGCTCAATCAAATCATGAGTGGTATGTCGCTTTCACTATTTTACCTTGGGCAGCAGACTGATATGCGTCAAGGTTTGTTGCCAAACCCATAGGCAGACTCGGTGGTCCTGGTCTCATTCCTGTCGCCTTTGTCGAGGTCAGAGATCCCAAGACTGGCCAGCCTGTCAGCATAGAGCCCAATTCCATCCCCATGGTTGAAGAATGGAAGAAGAAAACGGCGGACTACAAGGCGGCTGCTATTCCTCTGGGCAAGTTTGACATTGGTCCCGGTGTCACCAATTCACCGTATGCCCCCAATCCTGGCAGCGCCAATGAGTCTCAAACCTCCCTCTCGCGCACAGGATCTACCTCTGCTACTCTTGTCAACCCGGTGACTGGTAGCGCTTCCACCTCTACCACCCCTGCCCCTACCGAGCGCTCGTCAAGACGCGCCTCGTACGTGCCGGTAAAAAATGAAATGCTCCCTCCTGGCAATTTGACATCCATGTCGGTCCTCTCGTTCCATCAGGAAAACGGAGTCTACTGGTTCCGGCTCAATGTCAATTTCGTGCCCGACGACCCTACGGCATCTGCTTACTCTTTCGGGCTTTACCGCTCGTACGAGGACTTTTACGACTTTCAAATCGCCCTCCTCGATACTTTCCCCTATGAGGCCGGTAGGCCTGGTTCCGGGAACGGCCGAGAAACACCCGAGCGTATTTTGCCGTATATGCCCGGGCCTGTCGATTATGAGATTGACGACGAGTTGACCGAGTACCGCCGAGAAGAGCTGGACGTATACGTCAAGGAGCTTCTGGATCTCAAGTCAAAGGGTGCCGGACCTGTTGTGCGGCATGAGCTTTTCAGGACGTTCTTTGCCACGCGACATGGTGATCACTACGAAAAGATCTCTCGGGAAGACGCGGTGGAGGAGCTGCAAGAGCAGCTGGCAGATGTCCAGCTCGACCCAAGGCTGAGCGGAGGTTACTCCCCTAGTGCTATCCGCTCCCAATCAGCTGCCTCTCGCCATTCCCAAACATACAACCAATACCGCCACTCTCCCCAAGCCTACCAAGGCCACGCCGCGTCAAGAAGTGTCTCTTCCCGTGGTGCTTCGCCTCTACCGCAAGTGGAGACGCATGAGCGATCAGACTCTTATGGCCGTCCGACCTCGGGCCGGCAATCTGGCGCGGCGCACTACGTGTCGGGTGGGCCGTCTACTGGCGGTACCGCTTCGTCTTGGGGTATCAACAACGGTCCTCTATCAGCATCTACTGTCCCCACGGCACCCGGCACTGCGCCACAGCAAGCTGGCCCGCCGCCTTATATCAAGATCAAAATATACGACAGGGCGACGGATGACCTGATTGCTATCAGAGTGCACTCGGCGGTTACCTACGCAGACTTGTTTGAAAAGGTGCGGGCGAGGCTGGGGCCGGGGGTGTCGGTGTTGAGGTACCGGGTGTCGATGAATGGGCAAGAGGGATATAGAGAATTGAGGGATGATGCGGAGCTGAGTGGATGGCTAAGAACGGAAGGGCAGAAATTGGTGTTGTATGCGGAGCAATGATGAGAATCTGCACTCTCGGTGCTATAGACAAGCACGACAGATTGTCGGAAGGGGGCGATAGTAGAATCCACATCTTGCCATTCAGCATTTGATCTCTTTTCTTTTTCACGACATGTTTGGGTTTAGGTTCCATTTACCGATATAGAGTAGTAAGTAATCTAGTATTGCAACGTAGCATGTATCTAGTGTATGTTTTCGTACCATCCATAGCTGACTAGTGGTTACCCGGCCTCCAAACCTCGCATAGAGCACGTTCATAGATAGTGCATGTACGAGTACGGTACGAGTAATAGGGCACAACCACAACACCAGACAGCGAGAGAACAAAAACAACAGCTAAACCTCGGCAGAAACCATACATATGAAGCAAGCCTGACATACAAAGACCTGAGCCACCAACAATCCAATAGACATGAGCATCCGATCCCAAACAGGGGATGTAGCGTCTAGAAACTCTCGTATCGCCATTCCATGGCCACTTGCTCCCGAGTGACACCTCTCTTCATGGCCTTTTGGACCTGCTCTGGTGTTCCATCGAGCATCTTGTTTTCGTGTTTGACGTAAAACTTGTAGCCAGTGATGGTAAGGAAGAACAAGCAAGCAGCGCCAATGACTTGGGGATGGTCAGATGCGGAACTTCTCCATATCTACAGGAGCGAGACTTACAAGCACCGAAAGCGGCAAAGTAGCGGGGGCCAGAGAACCAAAGGTATGATGCACCGATGTTTGCAGTACCGCCAATACTGTTCATCAGAGCAATGGCGGCAGCTCGCTTGGCGACAGGTCTGGGCATGTGGTGGTTGATGGTCTTGTAGAGCAGAAGCTGAGGGCCGACTTGAAGAATGACAACTTCAGCAATCGGTCTGTTTGTCGACACTGATGAGAACTTACCACTGGTGCAAGGCATAAGCATCATGGCGGCATAGCGTCCTCCGATATTGAGTGTGGCCATCGGGACGATATAAGTGCAGGTGGCGAGGAAGATGTTCCCAACGATGAAAGGATAAATGAGGTTTGTTTTCTGAGCGATCATCTATCAGCTTTGGAAAGTTGGCCCATGCACATGGTGCTTACGTCACTCCACCAGGTCAGTCCCATGTAATAGAATGCTGCAAAGATGTAGGGAGGTGCAGTCAATAGCAAGGTGATGTTTGAGCTGTACCCAAGAGTATTGACTTGGTAGGCGCTGTCAGCTGACCCGTCGTTTAGAGATAGGAGTCGATAAAAGACACACCGATAGTGGGGAAGAAGTTGGCGATTGATCCCTGCATCTGAGACATCAAGTTGCAGAATATAAGCATGTAAAGCTAGGAAGAAGGTCAGCGGTGCTGGGGCAGCTGATTTGAGAGACGAGACATACCTTGGGGTCTTCGAAACTGCGCAAGAATCCGGCCCAGGTGCCAGTGGTCTCGTTACCCTCGGCGGCACCAGCTTCCTTCTCAAGACGCCAGACGGCGACTTCGCGCTCGAGAGGCTTCAGGATACGTGCATTGTGAGGGTACTCGGGCTGGAAGAAAGGCCAGTCAATTTTGGAGTCATACTTGGCTCGATGGAGAGAGACATACCAAGATCAAAGCTGAGATCAAAGCAATTCCCACAGTAGCGGCACCTTCGCTGTCATTTTCGTCAGTCGAAGTAGAGAACCACGTGGAAGAGATATTACACAATGAATAGCCACCTCCACCCAGCGATGTTCCGGGTACCATCGAGCTTGAGGCATCCTGCTGCTATGAGACCTAGCAGTACAACAGTCATTAGCAACGGGTGCAACAGGTAAGAGGGAAATATAATCACCTCCAAAGGCATTACCGATTTGTTGCCCAATATAAAGACCGCCGATACGCTTGCCCAATTCATTTTTTGTGTACCTGAGAGGGGTCAGTAACTCAGCAGGATGAATCAGACGATGAAACTCAAAGACTCACCAAGCACTCATGAGATAGATAGCACCGGGGAAGAAGACGGCTTCCACGACACCAAGGATGGCTCGAACGGCGAGAAGCTGGCCATATGTCTGTACAGCAGCGGTACAAGCACTTAGAACACCCCAGATGGCACAGGAGCAGCAGATATCTAGCAGCAAAAGTCAGCAAGGACATCAGTCGGAGGTTCAGGCACATTATATCACTTACACATGCCGGGTCGAGAGAGACGAGATATGAGAAGATTAGAAGGAATTTGGAAAGGCAGGTAGCCAACAAACAAGATGGATACAGCTGTGGCGAACTGCTGAGTGTCCATGTTGAGGTCGGTCATGATGCCTTGTAGCTTGGCAGCGGAAAGATTCTGCCGGTCCACGTCTGGGGAAAGACTCAGTCGAGATAAGGAGAAGGCCGTCAGTGGAACTTACAGTTGAGGATGTAAAGAAGTCCCATGACAGGCCTATCAATCGTGGGTCAGCTTGGAATAGAATGGTCTCGATGAACACTTACATGATGATCAGATCGGCTTTACGAACAATCCTCTTCTCGATAGCTTTAAGCTCGTCGGCGGTGAGACCACGAACGTCTTCGGGTACACTGGGAGCAGCATCTTCGTCGACTGCTTGAATCTCAACGCTCGCGGCGATCTTGTCGTCCTCATCGAAGCTGGGTTTGTAAGACGTTTGTTGATTGAGTGTGGTCATCATGAAAGAGCACCAACGGTCGTTGATCGGGGCGTTTGTGGCTGCTTTTGGTAGCCGAAAGCTTTATATGAGATCTCAGAGGAATGAGATGATAAGATCAGATGACTCAGGACGGGCCACATGTGTCTGGTGAAAGATAAGGGGCGGGTACAAGAGGAGTCGAGACATATATCGTGGACCAATGTTGAGCTTCGGAAATGGAATGCTGCAGGCCTACAGGCGAGTCCGGGGTCACATGGCAAGGACAGATAAGATACCCCTCATCCCGCGGCTAAGGCATGGGGTGCGAAGGAGTGAGTGAGCTGCAGGAACGTTGTAGTGCTGTAGCCAAGTAGGATAAGAGACTGAGCAATAGCAACGTATCCCGAAAGAACATCCGGTCGAGAGCTCTGAAGAGTAACGATTTTTAGAGTTTAAGCCCTCCCGCCGCTGTTCACTCCTCCTCAGGGTCTTCACTCATTCAGTCCTCACTCCTCCGTCTGCAACTAATAACCAACGTTCCTCGCAATCACTTCGACAGCTGACCTCCGCCATCTCCTCCATCCATCCTTCGCTGTCGAAAATGATATGAGCACACCACCGTCACAATGCCCCACCATCATCTCCTGCGTCTCATCGACATATTGACATAACATCACCTTCAACAAAACTCTCATCCCAGTCTGATAGCACAAGTTTACGTCACTATCATTATGATCGCCATCACTTACCCCACCGCCCACACCATCACCGTCCAGAACCCACGCCTTCAACTACTCAACAACCTGAGGAATAAGGTCCCTGCCTTGATGACCTTCATCGCCATCCCCAGTGTCAGGCATGCGCAGATCATGGCTCTAACTGGACTGGATGTGAGTGTACTTCTCGTGGGAAAGATAAATTTCAGCTAATGGATATACAGGGCGTGATTATTGACTGCGAGCATGGTCACATCGGTGACGACCAGATGCACAATTCGGTCTCTGCCATCTCTGCTCTGGGCGTAAGCCCTATCATCCCAGTACGAGGTTCTCAACCAGACCTCCTCAAGCGAGCTTTGGATACTGGTGTCCAGTACGTGCTCACATCTTCCTACCGTACTTCTGCTAACCGTCCTCTTTAGTGGTTTTATGGTCCCCATGATCAACACCGCCGAGGAGGCTGCCAGTGTCGTCAAGTACTCCAAGCTGCCGCCTCAGGGTCTCCGAGGCCAAGGTTCTGCTCTCCCTGCTATCGGTCACTTCCTCACCACGCCGGAATACATATCCTGACCATAGTCCAAATCGAGACCAGGGAGGGTGTCGAGAATGTGGATGCTATCGCCGCTGTTCCCGGTGTCGGTGAGTATCTTCCTCTGCGTGTCTATGTATTGCGTTTTGCCGGAGCTGAATTTGGCTACAGACTATCTCTTTGTTGGCCCCAACGACCTCGCTCAATCACTTCTCGGGTACACCCCAGCAAAAGGCGACGAACCCGTCTTTGTCGAGGCTATCGCCAAGATTGTTGCCGCCGCGAGGAAGCACGGCAAATGGGTGGGTCGATTGGTCAACGATGGCCCTCTGGCTGTTCAGGCATTGGAGACTTTTGACAGGTAAGTCTTATCATTCGTCTGTGCACTGTACGACATGGCTGACACACCTGTAGCGTGGCGATTACCGGCGACACCAAGGCGATCACAAACTGATACACTCAGCAGATCGCATGTGTCCGGGAATAGATCGCTTTATCTTGATATCATCAACACGGAACGGTTGCTCAGTAGCATTGGTTCAATTCTGTATAGTGTCACATCAGGATTTTGGAGATGCAAGATGCATGCGCATGGATACCTAGATCTTTGAGATACTTCTGTCGCGACTTCCCTCCTTCTATCGCAGTGGTAGATTCTTTGTCTCTTTGATGGGAGCGAGACGTAAACTGACTCATTCATAAAAAGATCTCAATAATGATTAAATTATCGTCATTCTTCTCGGATCGGGCATGTCTTCTTCATTATCACCATTGGACAACACACCTAATAGATGCCGAGCTGACGAAATATTACTTTGTTAACTAGAACTCAATCATTGTAATTAGAGCAGAAGATAACCATTTTAGGCGGACGTTTTTAAGGAGCTGGAGCAGGCGCAAGGCTCGCGCACCCGGCCCGTCATCCCATAATTCCAAAATCTACAGTTACTTATCTACTTACTCCATTTGATTTTCGCAATTCGCATGACAACAGCGACAACAGGCGTATTAGTACTCTCAAGTGTAATGCAGGTGCTGGGATTCTTACTGACATATGTACGTTGCAACAAGGAGGCTATTGTATGATTCTATGCATGGACTGATAATGGCGTTGAGCTATATGACTTCTCTCAATTATCCCCCTCACACCTGGGCGATACACTCGATCTCGATGATAGTCCCCTCTCCAGGGAGGTCACCAGCCTGAATACAGGTCCTTGAAGGCATGGCCTTGGGGAGGAACTAAAGCATTCGGTCAGCGTATTAGCACCCAGAGCGGTAAGAAAGACAAACGCACATCAATGTACACTTCGTTCATAGCGGCAAAGTCCTTCATATCTTTGAGATAGACATTGTACTTGACGACCTGATCCAGAGAACTGCCGGAAAGCTCGAGGAGCTTTTTCAGGTTAGTGAGGACTTTGAGCTGAGGTACTAGAGTCAGTGGACTATCTCCTTCCAACAGAGAGACGTGGACTTACAGTCGCTTGCTTGATCTCTCCAGTAGCAGTCTGGCCAGCACAGAAGACGAGCCCGGGGACCTTGACAGCAGGGCCTATAGTATGAGTTAGTCGGACAGTCACTTATCATGCAAGATGGCAAGAACGACGACACACAGTTGTGGGGCTTGGTGGGGAATTCTTCGTTGCTAATGAGTTCTCGAGACATGATATAAGATAGCTTGCTTGATGTTTGAGATGTGAAGTCGGTGATGATGCCTCAGGGGATCAATCACGTATCACAAGGGTGCGAGCTTTGTATAGGATCAAAGGGAGCCGTTCATGGGGCACATCACGATTTCAGCCTGTGACGGTATGGTGGAGGCACTAGAGGAGGAGGAGGTGCAGGATGCCCCAAGGAGGAGCGCGCATCGGAGACATATCTTGTCAGGAGCCACCGCAGATGTTTGGCTCAAGGAGCGCCTAAATTCTCTAATATTCGTCGGCGATCGCTATTCGATATCTGTTGATTCGTTCAGCGGTTCAGGATATGCCCAGAATCCAGATCGGTCAAAAGAGCCGAGTTCGGTGTATTATTGATAAAAGACGGGTTTACGGGAAAGCCGATCCCGTAATCCCGGCGCGCGAGAAAGAGCTCCTCATGCAGCTCATTAAGCTATCGGGTCCTGCGCCCAACTGTTGCGGCTCCCCGGATGCCTGTCTAAGCAGCTCCTACGAATGATCACAGGAAGAGGGTGGGAAGTCGTCACTGCATATGTGTATTTGAGGAGGCTTTGAGCGTTGAAACCCTTGTTCTCCTTGCGACACCGTAGCTGTCAGGGAGCTCACCCAAGTACCCAAGAAGTTTATGGAGTAGCTGGGAACTCGGTACATCATACCGGGACGTATATCACAGAACGACAGCTTATCTCTTTATTCTCTATTGTATCCTTCGTTCCACGCTTGAAACACCTTGTCATACATTATCAGTATCAACCAACATGCCCATGACTCCCAAATTCAACCCTCCGCCTACGGACCTCCCCGGCAAGCCTCCTGTGAAGACTTGGGTTCCTCCTCCTATCACTCAAGAGACTAAGGGTTTTGCCGCCCTCACCAGTATCGACTTGTCCCTTCTTGACTCTGACGATCCTGTCGTCGTCGACAACTTGGTCCAAGAGGTGAAGAGAGCCATTCGTGAGGACGGTTTCCTTTTCCTCGAAAACTACGGTATCTCCCTTGAGCAGGTAAGATTGATGGCCTTCGAAATTGTCCGCGTCGATGCTGATACACATACGTAGCTCCACAGGCAGTTCTCTTTGGCCCAATACCTGTATGACAACATCACGGATGATGACAAGAAACGTCTTCTCTTCTATCCCGAGACTGGCTTATGGGCAGGGTACAAGCATCCTTATGGTTTCAAAGTGAGTTCTGACCAGACAAGATTGAGCGACTGTGGCTGACGCAATTCCCAGCGCCACCAAGGTCCCAAGGACGGCATCGAGCAATTTAATTGGTACACAAACGAATGGAACGACTACAGTCGAGTGCCCACATGTCTTCACCCGTTCATGGATGAAATTCGAGCATTCTGCGAGGCAAGTACTACCACCACTATGAATATGCCGAGAGCTGACATCGACCGTAGTATTTGACCGGCTCCGTTAACCGCCGCCTTCTCACCCTCTTTTCTCGCGTTCTCGAGCTCGACGATGACTACCTTTGGGACAACGTCCAATCCCAAGGTTCACCTACCGGCGAAGGCTACTTCCGGCACGCCCTTTTCCGTCCTGTCGAGAAGACCACCGAAGAGGCTTCCAAAGGACTCCGAATGCACGGGCACACCGACTTTGGCCTCACCACCCTGCTCTTTTCCTTGCCGGTGTCTTGTCTCCAGATTTGGGGCAAAGACGAGCAATGGTACTATGTTCCTTACAAGCCTGGAGCTCTTGTCATCAACATTGGCGAAACACTGGAGATTGTTTCTGGTGGCCACTTCAAAGCGACCAGGCATAGGGTGTACAAGCCCCCTGCGGTGAGTCTCGTTCTGATCGTCCTCGATGGGCGTCATGCTGATTGGCATGTAGGATCAACTCAAGACTGAACGACTTTCTTTGGTCCAATTCAACTCTAGTGTTGGCGACCTTCGTATGACGCCGGCTGCCAAATCTCCTCTCATCCAGCGCGAGGGCTGTGTCGAGGAACAAGGTGTCTACAAAGAGTTCAAACGTGTAATGGATCTTGGTGTGTCTGTGCGTATCATCCATCCTTGGTCACGAGTTCCTATATCTGACGATTTGTGTCATGTTAGGTACCAACCAATCAACAGTGGCGAGAGATTCAGATCGCTGAAGCCACTGATCCCACCGATACTGAGCGCAACAGGGTTGGATCTGACCAGGTGGTGGTCAACGGCAAGCTTATGCAGACGAGGGAGTACTATGGCGTCAAGGTTCTGCTTCCTGTTTGAGCTTCCTCCTATTTGACATTGTGAGATTTTGAGGGTGTACAACTAGTTTTGTGGGATAATGTCAACGTTATTGGGTATTATTTTTGATCTTCTACTTTGTTCCGTGGTCTTTCTATTTGCTTGGATGGATGTATACCGAGAGCGTATACAACAATTATCCATACAGTTCAGCAGTCGCGTGAGACGGCAATTATTCGCTCTGGCTCTGCAACTCCGCAAGTGTTTTTGATACAATCTTCCCGATACCCCACCTTACTCTTCTCTCAAACATCGCCCTGATCCATCCGAGCAAGCTGTCGATATCGCTCACTCCGACAGTCTCCAACGGGCCCGAGCCGCCCGACCTCACTATCTGCCATGCAATGACTGCAGCTTTGAAGAGGTAGAAGCTGAGGAAGGGGGTCTCATATCGGGTATCCGGACCGGTGCGGTGGAGGTAGAGGAGAAACCAATTGACGTGATGTTCGACAGACTGGATAATTTCTGGGTTGATGTCGAGCATGGGATTGGAGCCGAGCATCGCACTATGCGAAGATGAGTACAAGGGAACGAGAGCAAAAGAGGTACTGACATCGCGGCCATCGCCCCATCAATCGAATCCTCCACTAACCCTCCGGTATGCGATTGTGACCACAACAGCAGCTCTATCATGCTCATCCGCCAGGTCGCCTCAGCAGCTGCTGTCGTCGGCGACTTTTGAGCGTGGTTAGGAACGCTCACGAGAGGCTCAAGCTTGACCATAGAAGTATGCAAAGACTCAAACCTCTCAAAGCAGGACCGGCCTGTCATGGTAGACCAACCAGTCATCTCCCTCACGCTTGACAGGACAAAGTGAGTCATGAGTGAAGCACCATAGGAGTCGACTTGTAGAGAGGCATCGAGGTTGGAGGAGAAGGCGCGACGGATAGTGTCGAGAAAGCGTGGGCAGGCTGTGTCGGTTGAGGCTACCAGAGACCGATGAGCCCAGTCGGTTGCCGAAACGGCATCCCACAGCGACGAGCGGCAGGGAAGCTCGTGCTTGATCTCCAGGTGGGAGAGACTGCGGGGGCGTGATAGGAAGTGGTACCAGGTCGAGTCGTTGATATAGAGGGCATAGAGGGTACGCTTGTGACTCTCCCCTTTGATAAACTGCCTCCAGAGCATGTCTAAATCTTGGGTCGAGGATGGCTGGGTGGGGTATGGCTCCATGAGACCAGCTTTGCGTGCAATCTACAGAACTTTTCATTAGCACATGGCCATGGACACCCTCTCCAAGAGTCGCGCGTACCTGGATAGCCTGATGATGAAGGTTCAAGCCTCGTGATGTGTGCTCCCCACACAAAGCCAAGATAGCGTATATCTCTAAAAGGATATGCGCTTGGATGATGGGAAGAACTTCTGAAGGTTTGAGGTTACCAGCCTTCTCCAGAGTTCCATCCAACCCACTGAGTCCAGCTCGGTAACAACTCATTGCCTTTTCATGGTCCGTCAAGCTATCCGCCGCCGTGTGCAACCCGAGACACATGATTGCAAAGAGCAAACTCGGGTTGCATGATTCGCTGACGAAGGTAGGCTGATGTAGGAAGGGGAACATATGAGGAGCATATGCGAAGAAAGACTGCACAGCTGGCCCGATCGACATTGGGTGGAGCGTGTCGTCTTCGACTGATATAGGTATTGCCGACGATGGTGGCTGGGATAGTCGTAAGCGTTGGAGGAGAGAGGTGGTACTGGAGGATGTCGAAGGCAAACTCTGCCTGCGGAAGTCGATAGGGGCGGGGTTGGTGTCCTGGTATTGGACAGACGCAGGGCCGCCGAGGTCTGCGAATGGAAATCGGTCGATTATTGATCTTTCCTGCTGGTATAAAGCAGTGGCAAGAGCATCTGGTAATTGTTCGGGGATGATGCTGACCGCTTTATAGCTAGAGTCTACAGACGAGGCGATTTAGTCAACGAATTGGGAAGCTACAGGCAGCACGTACCCTTGGGACTGGTCGATTTGCCTCTCGAAGATTCATCTCCGTGCTTGCTGGTGACGTGCCGTCTTCTGAGATCTGCCCTTGAGAACGTCGACTTGCACTCGCTGCAGGGGAAAACGGGGCGCTCTGTTGTCTTGTCGTGAAGCTTTGCATGTCTTTTGAGGTTTTCCTGAGAAGCATCAGCGTTTGAGCGGACCTTGAGGGCGCGACCTTACCATTCGGGTGAAGCGACGCTGACAAACAGCACACTGGAAAGGCTGGGCCTTTTCGAGATCGGCTTGGTTGGGTGCCGGCGGTGAAGGGAGACTCATGATGATGAGTTATTAGATTGGCGGTGGTACAGGAGAAGATGATCAATATCGGCGATGTTGTTGTCGTTCACATTTGACACCAATTTGACACCAAACGGGGAACATGCATCCTGGTCTCATTTGTGTCGGCATACGTTGCTACGGCACAATTGACCTGATAAGGCCTGATAAGGCCCGGCCCGATAAGGCAGCGGTCATCCGATTCGTTTGATTCGCGGTTTGATTTCGCGCTGGGCCGCTCAGGTACAGCCTTACGCGCCGAGTTCGGTCCGAAATACTTAACCTCAAAGCCGAGGGTGTCTTTCTTTCAGCATGTTTGGGTCACGCCTTACCGGAAGCAGACTGTATACTACAACTGCATAGTGGTGGTGAGCATGATATCTCAGTAGCAGGCTCTCCGCATCAAGCCTTGTCCTTTCGGATCTTCTTCTTCCCTTCTCCGGCAGGCATATCACTTCCAGACCTCTTCAACTCCGTTTTGCCTTTTGAGGGACCCGATTTCCGAGGAAGTGACTTTGATACTACCGCCGGTCTGCACATCTCGCTCTGCTCGAGCTTTTTTGCGGTCTCGTCGTCGTCTACGATGCCCAACTCTTCCTCAAATACGGGGACATTGGAGACCTGGCCGTTTTCTGCCAGAAAATCGAGGAAGCTATGTCACATGGTTGAGCAACGCCAGTGACTTAACAGGTGCCCCTCACTTTTTGTATACTTTTCTTCGATCTACCCATTCTTTTCTCCATTTCGCGAAATCTTGATCGATCTTCTTGATCTCTTCTGCGGACATGGGGGTGATAGCGGGTTTGCCTCCAGAGGTGTTTAGGAAGGGTTCGAGGGCCTGATTGGCGGATTGTACCTGTGTCAAAGTAATCAGCACTCTTGTTGCATTTGGCGATGAATTGGCTGACCTCGGATTGAACTCGTTCGATGTCTTTTCCGAGCTCAGAGGTCTTTGGGAGAGATGCCTTGGTCGACAGTTCTTTGTATACAGTCAGCGCTATTATCATCTAGAGGGGCGCAGTCAATACCCGACTGCTGCTGCTTCAAGATCTTCCTGACCTCTTCCAGGTCCTTCTGCACCGCTTTGATGTTCTCGTCGAGTGATGTCAGCTCAGATTTGTCGAGGACGCTGAGGAGTGACTGGGGTGCTATCGTCAGCCGAAGCTACATTCACCGCAAAAAGGCTTACTTGGTTGTAGAGGTACAGCAGCTGCTTCCCGTAAGTCTTGACGGTCAACTGACCCTTCTCTACCATCCATGAGCACCGTTGAGGGGCTTGATGTGGTCAGCCACTCACCTGCAAGAGTGGCGAGGATCTTGACAGCAAGTGTCTTGGGCACCCTATTCTTGAGGTTGGCGACGACATCGGCTGAAGTGCAGCCAGATCAGATGCGAGCGATAGGCGTTGTGGGGAGGAGGCGACCCGGGCGCTTACCAGAGGCGAATGGTCTGTTGATCTACAGTGGTGACGGTCAGTATGCAGACCACCCGAGGCTGCAGGACTATGGCCTTACGTCACGCATGTAGTTGAGTACCATCTTGCCGCCTCTGAGTGAGCATATGCACGCTGCACAGCTTCTCGAGACCTACTTCTTCGGCTAAAGGACCCCTGGTGTCAGCTTTGGTAGGAAGCGGCAGTGCATAGGCTCACCCTCGTCACCCTTGACCTGCTTTTCCTTGGCTTCCTTCTTTGGCGGCATTATCTTTGCTGAGCTGTTGGACAGGAGAGCCTGTCAAGCGGGGAAGGGGTCGAAGAAGAGATGAGGATGGAACACAGTCGCGTCAACCGGCGTACATAATGTCAAACAAGAGACCCGTGCCTGCGGTCCTCGCCGCTGACTGCTTGTTGTTGCCGTCGCCGCAGTGGATGTTGTATTTCTGCCAGGTACTCAAGGAATGGCTGACAGAAAGTCAAAGCGCGTGGAATAATGGGGAACATAGCATCGATGGCCAGAGCGTGAGCCATTCCAGACACAGTCCGCAGCCAGCTCACCCGGTCCAGGTCCACCGCGCTCGATTCTTACGTCGCAGAGCTCGGAAACGACATCTCATATGACAAGAGGTAAGGATACTTGCCGTACGTGTCAGAGCTGACTTAGTCTTCAGTCTATCATCTTCGCGATTCCTCAAGACAATCCTAGCAAGACACAAGTATGGTCCTATCGTCCTCAAGATATTCATCAAGCCAGATTCTGCAATGTCTTTGCGGGTCATTCAACGGCGGCTTAAGAGTAGGTGCTTTATGCTATTAGACAGGACTATAGCTCAAGCTACTTCCAGCCGAACGGGATGCCTTGACAAGTCTTCCAAACGTCAACACGTACCAGACATTCGTCGAGACAGAGAAAGCCGGTTATCTGATACGCCAATGGATCGGCTCCAACCTCTATGACAGAGTCAGGTGTGTCGATCACGGATACTAGCCGAGGTCTGAGACTGATATATGCTCAGCCAGCAACCGTATCTCGCCGGTATAGAAAAGAAGTGGATAGCATTTCAGCTGCTTACTGCTCTGAGAGATGCTCGTAATCGCAAGGCAAGTGCATTGCGTCCTAGCGTCGGAATGTGCTGACAGATATTCTAGGTCGCCCATGGTGACGTGAAATCAGAAAACATACTCCTTACTACCTCCCTCACTGTCCTCTTGACCGACTTCTCTGCTTCTTTCAAACCCACCTTCCTGCCCCTCGACGACCCTTCCGACTTTTCCTTCTTCTTCGACACATCAGGCCGGCGAACGTGCTATATCGCCCCGGAGCGATTTTATACTTCAACCTCTCGAGTCGCAGATAAGAAGAGAGCGAGCGAAGCGGACGCTAAAGGCGATGTGTTTGGGAAGAGAGATGGAAGGGTCACGGAAGAGATGGATGTCTTCAGCGCTGGATGTGTATTGGCGGAGATGTGGACAGACGGACGCACCGTTTTCAATCTAAGCGAGCTGTATGCGTACAAGGACGGGAGCCTTGGGCTTGAGGGAATTCTGGATCACATCGAAGATGGACCTGTTAGGGTGAGCAGTCCACGATTCTTCTGAAGTGACCCAAGCTCACAACCTCGAAGGACATGATCTCCCAAATGCTGGCAAGAGATCCACCAAAACGACCATCATTCGATCTCATACTATCGACATTCCGCGAGATCATATTTCCCGAATACTTTTACACCTTCTTGGAAGATTACTTCAACACACTCAATGAGGTAGCAGAAGCGAGCAGTGTTGGAGCGCATGCCGATGTCGGATTCCCGCAGCGATCGGCAGGGCAGAGTGGAACCAAGGTAGATAAGATTTGGGATGAGTGGGAGAGTATCTCTACATACCTGGGCGCAGGCCCTTCAGACAGTGAGTGCTACTGAAAGTGTACAAGCAGAAAGCTCAAAATCTGTAGATGGCCCTGCCCTTCTCATTCTGAACATGATAACTTCTTCCGTCCGCCATTGCCTCTTTCCGTCGTCGCGCCTCCACGCCCTCAAGCTATTCGTCAACCTTCTCCCATTCCTCCTTGACGAAGACAAAGTCGACCGAGTCATCCCTTACATCGTCGAGCTGCTTTCAGATGACATTGCGGTTGTACGCGCTGAAGCGTGTCAAACACTTGTCGAGGTTGTGGATAACGTCGAGACCATCACCCCACAAAATGCCACTTTTATCCCAGAGTATTTGCTGCCGCAGATGCGACATCTGGCGACCGACAATGACACATTCGTGCGTGCCAGCTATGCCACTGGTTTGGTCAAGCTTGCAAATGCTGCGGTCAACATGTTGGAGATGAGCCAGGCAGCCAAAGGAAGTGTTTCGGCTCATGGTACAGAAGCTTCGGTTATCGTCGAGGCAAGTCGGCTTTTTTGTTATTGTTCTCGGGAGCTGACACACAATCCAGCCTGACTATGACTCGATGCTTCTAGAAATACAATCAGTGGTAGAAGAGCAAGCCACAACTCTCCTAGTGGACCCCAGCCCCTACGTCAAGCGAGCGATGCTCTCTTCGATATCGGACTTGTGTCTGTTCTTTGGACGGCAAAAGTCGAACGAAACAGTGCTCAGCCACATCATGACATATCTCAACGACAAGGACTGGATGCTGAGGCTGGCATTTTTCGACGGGATCGTAGGTGTTGGGGCGTTCATCGGGCTGAGGGCGGTTGAGGAGTATGTCCTGCCTTTGATGTTCCAGGCTCTTGCAGGTGAGTGTGTTTTGTAATTATTGGTTTACCATGCTGATGGCATGGAAGACCCGGAAGAGGCAGTGGTAGCCAGGGTTTTATACTCTATGGCGAGCCTCGCCTCGTTGGGATTGCTGGCTCGGATGAGACTGTGGGATGTCTTCTTCGCCGTGAAGGGGTTCCTCTTCCACCCAAACACCTGGATACGGCAAGGTGTGTACTCATACCAGCACTAGAGCCCTTCTGATAAATCAAATCACAGGCGCAGTCGATTTCATAGCTACAGCGTCCCGAAACCTTCCCATTTCGGACGTCTGGTGTGTGCTATATCCCAATGTTCGCCCGATGCTTCACTCAGACATATCGGATATGACTGAAGCTTCCATCGTTTCTGCTCTGTTGCCTCCGGTGAGTCTCAGTGATACCGGGTGGTCCGTCGGAGTCTGATTATCATCTAGCTACCACGCGGAACTTTGACGGCAGCAAAGGCAGCGGCACTTCAAAACACGCCGGCGGGCTTCTGGCAGGTGACACCGGTGACCTTGTCAACCAAAGTCGACTTGATGAAGTCTGCGCAGAAGCCCAGTCAGAAGCAGTAAGCACGGATCGACTTATTCCGAGTGATGATGGCTCATGGTAGTAATGCAGGGGTAAGCTCCAGGACAGAGGCATTTCTGCTACAGACGAGGTCAAGATTGAGGCTATGAAGGAGTTTATCGTCAAGCAAGCGTACGCGGCGAGAGCGTGAGTTGACGACAGGACTCTGCTTTGATCAGCGCTGATTTACCATTACTTTAGTCGCGAGGGAGCAGATCGACCCACAGTCCCCGAGGTTGACCTGGCTTCAGCGAAATCCGTCTCGTTGACCGATCTCGGTGTCACTCCTCAGACAGTGTTCATTAGCCCCCGTACAGTCGGAGTTGACTCTAGGGATGATCTTAGACGACTGCCTTCACAGACGGGTATTGCTGGAAGCCGCCGCACCTCATTTGCCAGTAAAAGCAATCGGGGACCCGTCGAGAATCCTCTCGAGGAAATCAGAAAGAAGTTGGCGGCTTTGGAACCGATATCTCGTCCAGAGACTCCTCAGCCCCCCGGAGAGCCTCCTCATTCGTATGTCGACTCCAACGCGAGCCCTTCTGAATCCGGACTATCCTCAACGCTAGATATTGCTGGGATGACACGCAACAGCAAGCGGAAGGTAGACTCAAAAGCGGCCCCAGCTATCGGCGCCTCACGCACCAATGCGGTTGGTATGACTACCATACATGATGATCCCATGTCGGGCCGGACAACGCCCAATGCTGCTGCCATGCCGCAGCTGGGTACTGGCGGAGCTAGTACCCCCAAAGCGACCGCCCCTTACGCGAGCTCGTACGAAGGGCATGATCCTGGAGTACGGGCATTCCTCGAGCAGATTGATCTCGACAATTATCGGGAACCGCTACTCGACTTTGGTCCCAAAGTCACTGCCAGCCACAAGAAGCGCAGTGCTCGGGTAAAGTCGAGCTCTTCCTCGCCGCAAGGTGTCACCATGATTGCTCACTTGACGCATCACGAGCAAGCCATCACCTCCATTGTCACTTCGCCCGATAGTGTATTCTTTGCTACTTCCTCTGAGGACTGCCAGATCCTGATATGGGATACAGCTCGGCTGGAGAGAAGCGTTACCACCAAGCCCCGACAAGTCTACAGAATGGATGCCCCTATCTCGACGATGTGCAGAATCGAAAACACCCACTGTCTGGCGGCGGCCAGTGAAGACGGCCAGCTACATGTACTCCGAGTACATGTCTCGGGAGGTAGCGGGGGAGCCAATGCGAGGTACGAGAAAGTGGAGCGCATCAGGTCTTGGAGAGCGCAAGAAAGTCAGGGGCATGTCAAACACGTATCCTATCTCAGCGGTGAGCTGCATTTGCTTTTCGACTCGATAATAACTGACGCAACTACAGACTCTTCACTGCTCCTGATCACCTCAACCTTCCTGATTGCCATCTTGGACATCAGGAGCATGTCTATCAGCAAAAGCTATCAACACCCTCTTGATCTGGGCATCATAACCGCCGTCTGTCCCGCTACTCACTGGCTGGTCCTCGGTACCTCGACTGGCGTTCTTAGTCTCTGGGATCTGCGTTTCGGTTTGCTCATCAAGTCCTGGGCCGCCGGAGGTGCGGTGACGGCCTGTAAGATCCACCCAGCCAGAGGCCGTGATCGGTGGATCATGGTCTCTGTTGCCCCATCGACTTCGTTCATGCCGTCACCGTCCGCAGACGCAGACAGGCCCGATGAAGCTGTCTCTAGGCCACTAGTAGAGGTCTACGATCTTGAAACGTCTCGCCTGGTCGAAGTTTACGAAGTTCGAAGTCGCCGCCCTGGCAAAAATTTTGATCCTGCCCCGGATCCTCAAGAGGTGACACCCGATAGGGCATCCCTCATCGCCGAGCTCGCCAAATCTCCACCCTCCTTACCCTCACCCAAGACAGTCGACGACTTTGACGCTTCGACGCCTCTTCCCGCCTCTCCTCGCACCATCTCAGACCTCATTGTTGGGCAGAGCTGGGCCAGCCTGCCCAAAGCAGAAGATAACATGTTGATGTCTGTGCCCGAGATTGGTGCTGCGGGCAAGGAGAGAGACTTGTCCGGGAGACAGGGATGGATGATCAGTGCAGGAGAGGATAGGGCGGTGAGGTATTGGGATTTGGTAAAGGTGCAAGGTGGCTTTGTTGTCTGTGGGTCACAGAAAGAGAAGGATGTGACATTCAGGTGAGACTTTCATATCTCTTTCGGTTGCTGTTGTACTGATCTCGCGGTAGACAAACAGCGGACGCTGCACGGCCGACCATGTTCTACACTCTGCCCAACGTCCACCGCCAAGGACAGCCCATCCCGCGGGATAAGGAGAAGCAAGTGCTCAGACCCCATTACGATGCTATCGCCAAGCTGGGCACTCTAGAGACGCCGTTCTCCAGCTGTGTGATTAGCGGGGACAGGAGCGGAGTGGTCAAGGTGTGGCGGATGGAAGGGGCGCCTACAGGATTGCGATAAAGGGCAATCAATACCTTGCATGATATATACCCTTGTATAGCTAATACTGCTCTGTACTTTTAGCATGTAGTTCCGTCGCCTTGATATGTATTTCGAAATTACAGAAGATTCAATGTGTAGCATAGATGGAATGGTGATGCGCTTGGTCTATGAGATGAACACGGAAACGATACAAATGCTACAGGACAACACGGATATATCTGAAGATGTAGGGACGAGAATTATACGACAACCAAAAGCCCAGAATCGATTATGATTCGTCATATGCTTGCCATCTGCGCATGCAGAGGGTCTACCACTCCTCGCAGGATATCCACCAACGCTTCCGCTCCTCGTTGGATACCCCATACGCTGACTTGACGCAGACGTTTCGAGTTGGCAGCCTCGGAGGAGACGTGGTGTGCCAGGGCGTCGTAGACTTGATCAGATATGGAGGTCATGAGACCCGCTGTAGAGGGCTGTGAGTAATTGCGAGTCACAAGGATGGTGAAAGGACGTACTCTCAAACAGGGTCCATGAACCATCAAAGTCGTTCAAATCTGCCCCAACTTGGCAGTGAATAGGCACCAGTGTCTTGTTGGCGCTATACGGGGTCAACTGTCATCCACCAAAAGTATAATCAACCCACTTGATGAAGGCGACGATAGGCCTGAACAATGCGTTATTGGTGACACTCAGATCGGTAGTATACAACGGCACCGCCGCCTTGAGGTCACGGAACCTCAGATCAATATCCACCACCAACCTCCTTTCCTCCTCTTCCTTCTTCGCTCGCGCCAGTGCCCTTGCGGGAGCCCTCAAGGCCGGCCTTGCAAGCCTATGCTGCCCTGGGATGACCCCCACCAACAAGGAACTTTCCGCAGCTTCGATGGCCTTTTTGAGCTTTTCGTCATCCGGGTCATCAGGGTGCACTCCGTGGCTGATGGTAGCGACGTTGCGACCAATCTCGGCAAATAGGGCGTGCAGGTCGACTTGGTCGTCGGGGTGATGAGGGAACTTGATATCGAGCACAGCGTCGAGTTTTCCGGAGGTGAGCCAGGACATGGGAGGGACGTAGCCAGAGGCGTATTGGGCATGCTCTATAGGAAGGCCATCGATTCGGAAACGAGCCTTCAGCCACGTCAGCACAATGATTGGGCTATTGGAGTATGGCTCACCATTCTCTTGACTTTGCTCCCCTCTTTCTCGGCAACCTTTCCCAGCTTCTGCGGCATATGCAAGCTGAATAAACAGTTGTCAAATTGCCCCGTGATGCCCTCGGCACTCATCATATCATAAAAGAACCATCGTTTGCGCAGCGATCCAAGGACAGCGTTGAATATCGAAACGTTGAACGGCCTCTGCCCGCCGGGCTGGTAAATCGTGACAAGAGCATCTTCCATTGTGAAAGATTCAAACTCAAAGTCGCCTGGCTGGGTAGCATGCCTAAAGTCGACAGGGTCGAGCGGTTTCGACAAGTCCCACCATACTGATCTTCTGTCCACCACCCCTCTCAACCCCTTGATATTCACATCCTTGACCAAACCCTTGCCGTCCAGCCATCGCATAAGACTGAGGGACACTTCGACCTGGTCGATATTGATGTCGTACATTGTGTAATTGTCTTCGGGTGGTGCGGGTGGAGCAGCGAGGTATGCTTCTGGTGCAAGGGCGGAAGAGAGAAAGGGGATGGGCGCAGGAGGCTTGGCAGTTGCAGCCTTGATCTTCTTCTTGGTACTCGGAGAGGCGGGCTCGCTCTGGGATGAGCGCTGGGAGACGTAGACGTTTCTAAATGTGATGAGGGAGGATCCCCATTTGGGTACGATGGCCGATTCAAAGATGACAGTGACGCCGGTATTGGCAGTCATGTAGTCTGAGAGCCAGCGGGCTAGGTATTCGGCGAGGGAGAGGGAGTTTGCGAGGGCAAAGATGACCGAGACAAAGGTTGTGCTATGGCAAAGTTAGGTATGTTGCGAGCGGACTTCTCGTCACTCACGTTCCCACCAGAATCCATACAGCTAGCAATCGTCAGCATCCTAGTCCACGTCATAACGTGCAATGGCTCACTGTTCCCGACCAAGAACCAACTTGCGAAAGCACTCATGTCATCCGTATTGAACCGTCTCCATCCTCTAATGGTGAACCATTTGAGCCGTATCCGCATCCTCTGCCACCACCCATTTGCAGCATCTAACAGCTGCTCCTTGCTCGGTCTATGCGGCGAATTCGGGGTTATCGCTTTCGACTGCTGTATGAGTCTCTGGATGAACGGCGCATAGTCCTGCGCGTGGCCTGGCTGTGAAGGCGAGGGGTTGTCGGGATTCGGTGGCGGTGCTCGAGTACAGTCGTCGCATCTTGAGCTGGAAGATCCAGGTTTGGATGATTGCCACCGCCTGGAGATGCTTTGGAGCGTGGGCTGTGGAGTGGGACGAATGGCGTTCTGGGTAAAGAAGTGGTGTATGGCGAGGTAGCGGTCTGCCGAGGGGGATGTCCTCGGGACGGCCCTGCGAGCGCCGTGGGCGAGGAGGCGGAGGGCAGAGATGCGTGTCGGGGCCATGTTGGATGATGATGGGTGGCAATGCACCCTCTTACTCTTCAAGGCTGTCAATTGCCCCCAGCCTCATGCACCACTCCCGAAATTCTACCAAAAAAGTATGACGCCAAAGTATTTCGCATTACATAAGCTTACGTATGCTTGTCACTTTTGAAGCTCAGCCACTTTACCGCATCCCGAGCGAGAGGATACAGAATCTCTGACCTTCTTCGCCTGCCAGAATAGCCCCAGCTACAGCCAGACGGCAGTCGTACACTCGCAAAACCTACCACTCTCGAACGCCCAACTAAACTAGAGCACATTTGCCCATCATGCCGCCCAAAGCCAAGAAGGAAGACAAGGCAAGTATCCTCCTGTTCATCAAAGACTGCCTTGCTAACCTCTTGCCTGATATAGACCTTTGGTATGAAAAACAAAAACAAGTCTGCCAAGGTCCAAAACTATGTCAACACTGTCAACAAGCAGCAAGAAAATGCCGGAAAGAACAAGGCCGATGTACGTCAAAATGAAAGGTCGTCATTGACACTTTACTGATGGATGATATAGAGACAAAAGGAGAAGGAGAGGGAAAAGGCTGCCGAGGCCAAGGCCGCTGTTGCCGCCAGGAAGAAGATGGAGGCAGCTCTTGCCGGACCTGCCCAAGTCCAAAAGATCCCCTTCGGTACCGACCCCAAGACCATTCTTTGTGCCTACTTTAAGGCGGGTCACTGTGAGAAGGGAACCAAGTGCAAGTTTTCGCACGACAGGAATGTGGAGCGAAAGGTTGAAAAGATCAACCTGTACGCCGACACGCGAGGAGAAAAGGACAAGGGTGAGTTGAGCGGGATTGCTTGGTGGTGGCTTTTGCTGATGAATGTAGCGGACACTATGGACACTTGGGACGAGGCCAAGCTCCGTGACGTTGTCCACCAGGGTGAGGGCAGACAGAAGAATGCTACGGATATCGTCTGCAAGTACTTTATCCAGGCTATTGAGGACAAGAAGTATGGTTGGTTGTAAGTGTACCTTTGTCTTTCTATGACGATTGAGCTGACGACATCCATAGCTGGGACTGTGTAAGCCGAAATGATGATACAAATGAACCCAACTAATCCTCCCGTAGCCCAACGGCGGAGACAAGTGCATGTACCGACACGCCCTTCCTCCCGGTTTCGTCCTGAAAGCCGACAAGAAGAAGCAAGACGAAGCCAACAAGAAGGAAACGATATCCCTCTCCGACTTTATCGAAGTCGAGCGACACAAGCTCAAGCTCCCCCTCACCCCCGTCACGCCCGAATCGTTCGCCAAATGGAAGACGAACCGTGTCGAGAAGAAGAAGGCTGAGGGCGAGGCGATGGAGAAGGCCAAGGTCGCCCAGCGAGCTGCGGGCAAGATGACGGGTATGACGGGTAAAGACATGTTTGACTTTGGAGGAGAGCTTTACGCCGACTTTGAGGAGGCTGATGAAGAGGAGGATGATTGGGATATCTCGCGAATGTTGGCTCGTTACGTGAGTCTTTTTCATACCGTCGAGGTTTCAGGGCTGACGCAAAGCAGCGTGAGGACGAGAATGCATACGCCTTCGACCCCACCAAGGGACAGTTTGTCAATGAGCGGACTGGTGAGGTGGTGGACGATGAGACTGTGAAAGAAGCGACTAGGTTGCTAGAAGAGGCCAAGATCCAGCAGGCCGACAACGAGGCAAACGCGGCGCTTGAGGCTGCAGACGCTTAGAATGTATGAAGGGGCGTTTTTGCATGATATCATCTGTCTAGTCTTCCGCATGAGTCAGCGATGTATCTCTAATTCATTTATCTTGTTCTGAAAACCGGGAGCAAGTGGGGTTTCGCGCACAGATCGCTTTGAAAGAAGGGACGTCCTTTGGCTTGAAGAATCCAATTGCATGATAGGAAATTGCAAGCTCATGATGTGCTATGCTATACGTATATACAGATATCCGAGTGACAAAGGTGCTTCTACCTGTACTGCCTGTCAAATTCCTTTGCAATGTCGCTCTTCCACCCGGGCGCCCGCTCGAACCCGTTGGAGCCCGTTTGGAAATCAAAGATGGCCTGACGAGCTTCTTGTTGCGTATTGACTACAAAGGGACCGTACTAGGTGATCGTTAGCCACCATGGCGCGAAATCACAGAAAGTACTTACCTGGACGATAGGCTGGTCGAGGGGTTTGCCAGCGACGAGCACGGCGTGGACATCTTCGTCTCCAGCGTCGGCAGGCCGAGTGAGGCGGACACCGGATTGACCATCTTCGGTTGATAGCACGAGGAGGTTGAACTTGTCGTATTGCTCCTTGTCTTCGCCGATCTGGAGCTTGCCCTTGACCACTGCACGGGAATCGTCAGTCAGTGATGCAGAGATGGTGCGTGAGGGATACGTACAGTAGATGAATGCCTGGTAACCTTCGGGGAGAGGCTGGAATACGGAAACACCGGGTCTCTCGAGCTTAAAGTCGATATACCAAGCGCCGCCGGCGGGAGTGACTGTTCCCTTGGTACCGTGAGACTCGCCAGAAAGAACGGTCGCCTTGACACCCTCAACAGGGGTTGCCACGGGGATGCTAGTAACGTGTCAGCTATGAACGCTCATACTGTGAGGTAGACTACTCACTCTGCCGATTTTCGGTCATAGTACTCTGGCTTGATGTACTTTAGTTTCGAGGGGAGATCGATCCAGAGCTGTAAGCCCTCGACAGGCTCTCTCTTCTTGGGGTCGGGGTCGAACCAGGGGATTTCAGAGTGGACGATACCTTCACCAGCAGTCATCCATTGAACATCACCAGCTCGCAGTCTGACCTATCGTCAGCATACAATTCGCCTTGAAAGTGGAAGTCACTTACTCGCCCTTGTTGCCGAGAAAGTCCTCATGGTTAAAGATACCCCTAAAGAGCCATGTCAAAGTCTGCATCCCTCGGTGAGGGTGGTCGGGGAATCCGGCTCCAGGATGGATCGTAAAGTGGTCGAGCCTGCCAAGAGTCAGCCAGTACAAGTCGGATGGGGCAAGGCACTTACATCAAGAACGGAGTGAGGTTCCGGAGCTCCTTCGTACCGATTGATCGTCTTACGCGGGCACCAGCCCCTTCAGAGACTTCGTGGGCAAAGACGGTCTTGGCGACTTGACGACTGATAGACATGTTTGATGTGTTGTTGTTGTTGCTTAGGCTGTGGTAGTTGTCGGGGAGGAAAGGGTAGACAAATGCGATAGTGGCGAAGAAGATGGCAAAGACGAGTCCCTTTTGTACTCCGAGTCGTGAGATGGCCGGCTTTGATAGAGTAATCGCTCCCATGAGAGAGGCGAGAGAGAAGATGCTCGAAGGATCCGGGATAGCATAATACATTCTCCTGCTTCTAGATGACACCCAGACTGAGAAGGATTGGGTAAGTGGGATGATTTCGCCCAATGCGGCAACTAATTTTGTTGGGCGAGGGGAGTCACTCTTTACGTAAAGGGTAATAACAAATAGCGGCGTGCCCCGCTGTCGAGTCGAAGAAGCCGAAGTCCGAGGTCGATGGTGCAATGGGCCTCTTTGTAATTTTGGTTGAATTTTGGAAGGCCGACCTGTTGATAAGTAGAGAACACTGGGCCAACTTTTTCTATCCCAGCATGGCGACCCCCTCCACCCCCGGCGAGAGCTCCCTCGCCACCTCCATCTACTCGGCAAAGTCCCCCGCAGACCAGCCCCAGCACAACTGGCACTTCTCCACCCTCTGCGCAAACGTAGACAGCAAGGACCAGTATGGCGCAAGTTCGACCCCCATCTACCAGACTGCCACCTTCAAGGGCATGGACGGTTCTTACGACTACACTAGATCTGGCAACCCCACCAGGAGTGCATTGGGTGAGCTTGACGCCTTGGAGCTGCTGCAGATAAGCTGACTGTCGGCAGAGAACCACCTTGCCAGGCTGTACGGTGCGACCCAAGCGTTCGCCTTGTCAACCGGTATGACCTGTCTCGACACTATCCTCCGACTCGTCAAGCCAGGAGAGACTGTCATCGCGGGTGACGACATCTATGGCGGTACAAATCGTCTTTTGACATATCTTGGAACCCACGGCGGAGTCGACGTCCGTCATGTGGATACCACCAAGGTCCAGAAGCTCCTGCCTCACCTTGGGGCTGGCAATAAGTGAGTCACACGCCCTGGTACAAGTACGTAGCTGACACATTGCAGAGTCAAGATGGTGCTTTTGGAATCTCCCACCAACCCGCTGCTCCGAATTGCCGACCTTCGTGAGATTGCGGACGCTGTCCACGCTGCATCTCCCGGGGCTCTCGTAGTAGTGGACAACACCATGATGTCCCCCTACCTTCAACGACCTCTCGAGCTGGGTGCCGATATCGTCTACGACTCTGGTACAAAGTACCTCTCTGGTCACCACGACCTCATGGCCGGTATCGTTGCTGCCTCCCGAACCGACGTCTGCAAGGACATTGCCTTCTTGATCAACTCTGTTGGCTCTGGACTTGCTCCCTTTGACTCCTTCCTCCTCCTCCGAGGTGTCAAGACCATGTCACTCCGAATGGACAGGCAGATGGCTACTGCCCAACTGGTTGCGCTCTATCTCGACTCTTTCGGCTTCGAAGTCAACTATCCCGGTCTCAAATCTCACCCCATGAGAGACGTTCACTACAAGCAAGCGACTGGTGCTGGTGCTGTTCTGAGTTTCAAGACAGGAGACAAGGAGCTGAGTGAGAGAATTGTGGGCGGAACCCGTATCTGGGGTATCAGTGTGTCATTCGGTGCTGTCAACAGCTTGATCAGTATGCCTTGTCTGATGAGCCACGCCTCTATCTCTCCGGCCGTCCGGGCCGAACGAGGCCTTCCCGAAAACTTGATCCGTCTTTGTGTCGGTATCGAAGACCCTCGAGACCTGATCACCGATCTCGAGCACTCTCTCCTCCAGTCCGGCGCCATCGTCCCCAATGCGTCCTACATTCCCGTCACCCACTCCAAGGCAGCTGAGCTGTACGCTAAAGACACCGAGGCATGGATTCTCGAGCGTGCCAAGGGGTTCAAGCGTCCGTCGGATGCCACTGTCGTTGACAAACTTGTGACTGGTGTCAAGCAGAGCCTCGGTCTTGGAGAGCCCTCCAAGGAGTACCAGTCCATCAAGGACGATATCGTCCTCTCTGCCCCGGGCAAAGTGATCTTGTTTGGCGAGCACGCCGTTGTGCACGGTGTTACCGCCATCGCCACCAGTGTCGACCTCCGATGCTTCGCTGTCCTTTCTCCTCGCAGCGACGGCAAGGTGGCTCTGGATGTGCCCAACATCGGTGTCGAACTCGAGTGGGATATTCACAGCTTGCCTTGGGGTCTGCTGCCGGTCCATCCCAGGAGCGACAAGCGCGTCGCCGACAAGGATCTCGACGCTGCTCTCTTGCAGGCTGTGGAAGGCGCGGTCAACCAGCATGTCGAAGTTGGCAAGACTGGTATCGGTGCTGCTGTTGCTTTCCTGTACTTATACATGGTGATCTCTGGTGGCGAAAGCAATGCGTGAGTGTCAATTATCTTCATTGAGCTCTACTGACCAAGTACAGTATCGCTGCCACCTTTACCGCTTCTTCCAATCTCCCCATCTCTGCGGGTCTGGGCTCATCAGCTGCCTACTCCACTTGCATCGCCTCTTCCCTCCTTATCGCCCGTCAATACATTTCCGCTACTGTTCGCTCCCCCGAGGAAACCGACCTCGTTGACAGCTGGGCGTTCCTCGCCGAAAAGGTGCTTCACGGCAACCCCAGTGGCATCGACAATGCCGTCGCTGTCAGGGGTGGTGCTGTGGCCTTTACCAGATCTGTCGGTGGGCGCCAAGGTGGTCTGGACGGTCTTCACCAATTCTCCTCTGTCCGACTGCTCCTCACCAACACCCTCGTCCCCAGAGACACCAAATCCCTCGTCGCGGGCGTCACCAACAAACGCCTCGCCGAGCCCCATGTCGTCGACCCCATCCTCGACTCTATCCAGTCCATCTCTGACGAAGCGCGCGCCCTCCTCGGCGGTGCCCAGCCTGTGCCCAGGCAGGAGCTCGTCAAGCGTTTGGAAGGTCTGATCAAGGAGAACCATGGTCACTTGGTGCAGCTCGGTGTGTCGCATCCTGCATTGGAGATGATTGTGGCGTCGACGGGACAAGAGCCGTTTGGCTTGGCTACCAAGTTGACCGGGGCTGGTGGTGGTGGTTGTGCCTTGACATTGATCCCTGACAGTGAGTACTTAGACTCTTCAAATGGACTACACTGACAAGATACAGACTATCCCGAAGAGACTCTCACACAGCTCATCCAAACGCTCGAAGGCCACGGATTCCAACCCCACCTCACCACCCTCGGTGGACCCGGTTTCGGTGTTCTCGTCAGCTCAGAATCATCTGATGCCGTCAAGACACCCGGATCGGGCGAGGGGATGGTTGTGCCCAAGAGGGCGGCTTTGAGAGAGACTTCGAAGGAGGGTTTGGCGGCTTGGGCGGAGAACTTGGGCGCTTGGGTTCATGCTTAGATTGGCGGCGGATGATACTCACGTTATTTAGTTTCGCGGTCTTTTTTCCTCTTCATTTCAACTGTACGATAGTAAAACCAATGCAGATATGATACATACACCAGGTCACATTTTGGTATCGAACATGGGGGGGACTGATGACAGGCCTCCTGGACAATGAATTAGCTATCAAAGAGCCGTTCAGATATGAATTAGTACAGCGCCACATCTCCCTCATCCATCCGCAATCAATCGGTGTCATTTGACGAATCATTCACACACTCTTTAATATACTCAATGACTGCAGCAGGCACCATCTCGGTCATGATGTGCTCGGGACCCATAATGAAATAGGATGGACGTTATTTCTGTAAGAATAGTGGACCATCCTTGTCATGAGATGGGAGTGCGAAGCCAGGTTGGAGGCGGTAGACGAACATTTGTCTGAGAAAAACGTTGGGGGAAAGATCGGAGCCGGGGTCTTTGAAATCATTTGTAAATAAGGCTGGATCGACGTAGACTCTGACGTTCCTTCGTTGGCACTGTTAGATCATGCAGCTGGGAAGACAACAAGACTCACCAATTTCGATTTTGTCTCTCGTGTTTCATGTACTCAGCGCCCATGAGTACCTCTTTCACAGTGACAGGTCACTTGAAGTAATCAGAATTGGTATCAGTCTTGCAAATGGGAGCTCGAGCGACCAAGGCCAGATAGACACCAATGTCTGTAGGGCTACCGAGCATCAATTATCTCTCTTGTTGATGGCATGCGATGGTGCCGCGGTAGTAACATACAGGGCCTGCACGGATGTCCTGTCTATAGCATGGAATTCAATGAAAGGCCAGCCTGTCCTTGTGTCGGAGCCTACAAAGACATCAGCGTCATCAGATGGTGTGGCAAAGGTGTTGATGGGTGTAGAAGGTTCCATTGCTTGCAAAATTTGAGGAGAGCTACTCTTGTAGTAGCGCTCGGATCAAGGATTGCGATATCGCCAGCTGTCGTTTGTTTCGAGTCCAACTGATCGAGGACGGTAGAGCGATATACAGGGGACGATGACACGCTTGGCTGCGCTGGGGCCGGGTGTAAGAGAAGCCAACAACAACGGTAAAACACTCACCTGCTGTGGCAAATCTGGGATTGCGGATGAGCCTCAGAGCTGTGCACAGTGATTTTGGATTGTGTCAAGCCCGAGGATACTGAAGAAAGTGCGGTATATGGGTAGATTTTGATTTGTGTGTCGAAGAGACAAAGCCTAGGCGGAACGCATTTGGAGATGCAGTTTCCGCTGTTTGGTCGATGCAACCTTGATCCCTTTCCTCCTCCATTTGGAATCGAATTGGAAACCGATCTGACTTGAGGGCATATGCGATACATTTCAATATCTTTCTACGACCTATTCCGACCAGTAGGCCCAATCGAGATCATGCTTCCTCATGAGGATTTTGTCGGCGGTGGATACTCTATGGGACCCATGGGGTGAAAGACGCTTAGAGCTGCCTGTTGGAATTCAGCTAGAACTATGGTAAGCTCTGCTTTGTATGATGAGGAATGAGACACAAGGACTCACGCCAGGTGTCCTTCTCGCCTTCGTACGAGATCACCTCATATTGCACCGGACTCAAATCTCCGCTTTTTATCATACAGAAGAGGGAAACCAGCGCCAGACCACTGAACTCGAGGTGTTCTCTCAGATCCAGGGAGGCAGAGATTTCTGAGGGCAGCGTTGTAACTCTTCGTCGATATCATCCAACGCTCCGAGAACATTGTATTCCGGTCGCGCCGGAGCAATGGGCACTCTGGTCTTAGGCTGGGTCACAGCTGAGTAGAGTCTCAATGATGCTGGGGCATGGTTGTCGACGACACTACGGTGATGTCGGGGAAGTGGACAGAAGCTGCGGAAGGGAGCACAGTGCTTCATCAAGATGAGAGTGGAGAGACGCAAGGTCATGTGATGGATTGTTCTATCAGAGAATTATCCTGGCGATGTGGTTTCAGAGCCATTGAAGTAGCGTTGAGGCGCTGAGACAGCCGACTGTAGAGAGGAAGAAAAGAACGACATCAAATGTTACTTTTGTATGAGACAGCCTGGAGTCAGCGGTCAACTTCCACGTCATGAAACGCTCCCACGGATCCATATACATATGTTTGACAAGTGATTGGCATGAGATTTGGATTGTATGTACTACCTATTGCCGAACTGTGGAACTGTGCACATCAGAGTACAAGAGACGTCTACATGTGCGAGTACTCCAGTACAGTACAATTGGTGTTCTATCTAACTACAACTAACCTATTGCTTCTTTACTACTGACGAACAGTCGCTCCAAGACCTCTCCTCGTCTTCATCCGGCTCCGCCTCTTCCCCACTCTCTCTTCTGATCCTAACCTCCTCCCAGATCTCATCCCTCTTTTCTTCCATCTTCCTGATCTCCGCCTCAACCTTCTTCACCATCTCCTTTCTCGCCTTTCTCACTTCCGGCTGTCCTTCCGAGATGACTGTGTCAGCATGGAGCAGAAGCTGGAGGAGAGCGTTGGTTTGTGCATGGTAGGGGGCGTTGGTGCGGTTGAATAACAGGGGAGGGGTTTGGCCGTTTGGGGTGGAGTGGGCGAAGGAGAGGTGGGAGGGGAAGGTGAAAGAGGATTTGAGTTGGGAGAGTTGGGTGTCCATGTCGCGAAGGATGGTGAATGCAGGGGACAGGGTCTCGGAAGGCTCGGGAGCAGCTGTGGAGGCTGTTGCCTCGGGTTGAGGGGCGGCAGGAGCTTTGGGCGCAGGGGCGTTTGTGGACTTTACAGGAGCGGCCCGGCGCTGGGGACGAGGAGCCTCAGACGCTTCAAATTCGACATCCGATTGCTCAGAGTCATCGGAGGTGGGAGGGTTGACACCGAAGAATGCTTTCAGTAGGTTTTGGAGGTCTTCATTGTGTGCGGGTTGCCTGAGGGAAAGAGTCAGTGATGATTCGGACGTATGGAAAGAAGGTAAACTAACCTGTTCTTGGCCTGAGCTCGAGCCAATCGCTCCTTCTCTCTCTGGGCCTTCTTCTCCATAGCCTGGGACGATGCTCGTCGCCTCACATCATCCTGTTGTTTCCTCTCCTCTTCCTGCTTCTCTTCGTCTTGCTTTCTCTTTCTCTCCTGCTCTTGCTCGATCTCTTCTTTCCTGGCGATAGCCTGAGCGAGTTGAGACTTGACAACAGCCTCGTTGTCGGTGTTAGTGGGTTTCTCTGACTTGCAGCAGGCAGCAGAGGTACACTGAGGGCTGAGGATGGGTACTGAAACCTCCGCATCCTCGTGCTCGGACTCTCCCTCCTCCTCTTCGTCAGAGGGAGCCAGGTTGATACCGAAGAGGGCACTTAGTATGTTGTTGATGTCGGCGTGGCTTGGGGAATCAGACTTGATAGCCCCGTTCTGTTGCCTGTTGATAGCTTGTCAGTGACTGATTGGATATGGCAAAGAATGAATCTCACCTCTTGCGACCCTCGGCCTGCACGAGTCCCTCTTTCTCTCGCTGCACGTTTGCCAGCTCCATAGCACGGGAAAAAATAGCTCGCCTCTCCTTCTCCTCCTCCCGCTTCCTATCTTCCTCTTGCTTCCTCTTCTTCTCTTGCTCCCTCACAAGCGCCTGGGCAAGTTCAGCCTTGATCATCGCCTCGCGCTGAGCTTTGGCCTTAGCAGCACGAGCGGCTTCGCGAGCTTGAGTGGCTTTGAGCTGCTCGCGCTTCTGGCGGATGGCGGCGAGCTGGGCGAGGACGGCTTGTTCTTCATCGTCGAGTCCAGAGTCGGACTCGTAAACGGGCTGTCGGGTAGGGGTGGGGGTGCGAGTGTGGAAGGGGTAGTGGTGGGTGGGCTCCGCGTAGAAGGGAGAGTAGGTGTAGCGGGGCTGGGCGGGGAAGGCGTAGTCGAAGCTAGGCTCGAAGGTAGTGTAGAAGGGCATTGTGCTGACGTGGCTTGTGGTGGTTGTGGTTGTTGCTTGTTGAATAGCTTTGTGGTTGTAATCGTTGATGGGGAGATAGTCAGAATGAGTACGGTCAGTGTCTTATATATCCTGGTCGGGCTGCGTCAGTGAATCCATGGTGTTCTCCCGCGATGACTCCAGAAACAAGTCGAATGTTGACGAACAGCGAAAGCAATTTCCAGAAACGCAAGGAAAGATCTCGGGTCAGTTTGGTTCCGTTCTTTACACGTGGCTTCCACGTGATACTGGCCCGAGTCACCGAGTGGTTGTTCGGGTTGAGCGCTTGTCCGAGTGCATGTCACTTTTTTGTGCATGCCGTCCATCTTGCTCCGATTGTCCAGCATGCATGGTGAAATATTCCGCGCTCCCTGCTCCTGCAAATCGTGTCCTGTGGATCCACTACTACTGTAATCTCGAACAAAACGCGTCGCGTATCTCCTGTCCAGCGAGGGCCCGACAACAGCTATCGCCTCGTTGCCAGGATATCCCATTGTACGCAGTCGCAGGGCACTAGCCGCCACCAGCAACGCATTGCCCTCCATGGCCAGGTGTCAGGACAGTGGCGCAAGGAGGTATCCAGGCCTGTGCCTCGCTCAACGATTGCGCTGAAACAAATGACCCTGGCCCCCATTATTATTTTACCCAGTTCGAAAGGAGGACAAACACAGCCAGCGACGGATGCTGATGATGCATTGTTTCCCTGCCATTAACACTCCTGGAGTCCTGCTTATCTAAACCATCACCACCAAAAAGAGAGCCCTCTCGCCACCGGCCGCTGGCACTGCTTTAGCCCCGAGATAGTCGCATCGCAAAGGGTAAACAAATACGCGACAATATTCAGCGCCACTCATCTCGGTTTTTTTTCGCATCTCACTCTCTCAGCCCATATACCTCGTTGTTTATCTCTGGATCAGCTTGGCCGACACTACTGCAAGACCTCTAGACAACAAGACAGAGCATCATGTCGAGCATCGCCCAGTCACGCCTGCCGTCCCAAGCGCCAGAGTCGTTCCACCCTCGGCAACCAAGTCTCCGAAGGATGCCGTCGGCGAGAGACGCTGTCAGCAACTTTAAGAGTCCTCTGGCAAGACTGGAGCAGGAGAGTAGGAGTGCCAAGAGCCATGTACGTGAGATCAGCATAGTCCAGAAGGGAAGGCGTATACGCTGGCGCTAACGTTAATGTCAAAGGCTGGCTCCAGTCGGAATGCTTCTATATCGTCCGCCGAGTCGGAAGCCATCGCCCCTCCCGTCCCTGCCCTCCAGTTCAACCTCTTTCGACACAATTCAATCATGTCCATCGACTCTCTAGCGAGCGACTATACCATCACTCAATCAGACGAAGGGGGCGAGCCAGAGGCCGACGAGGAAGAGGAAGAGGCCCCTGCGACGCCTAAAGCGTCTACGTCGGGTCAGCAGGGGTATTTTGAAGGTGGAAGAGCGACACCGACGAACTCGAATGCGACGAGTGCATCAAAAACGCCTTCGTCATGGAGCAACAATACCATTGCGAGCACCGCCACTACGGTGCCTACCAAACCCCCATTGGCTCCCAAGCGGAGCTTTACTGTCCCTTCCCGCCCTTCATCCCCTCCTATCGAACCAACACAAAAGGCGGCACCATTCGTCCTCGGCCCTGTCCCTCCCAGACGCACACAATCACAAGTCCGGGCAGATGCGCTTGCGAAAGACGCCCCCGCGCCACATCGTCCTGAAGAGACAGAGGTCGGAGAAGATTGGGCGAGTATACATGGTGAACAGGGGAGTGATTGGGGAGACGACGAGAGTCAATTTGAATGGCTAGACACGGACGGAGCGCCACAGGCTACGAATGGGATCGACGGGCGGGGCGGCGTGCGTGGCCTGAGTCCAAGTAAGAGATTGTCAAAGTTGAAGACGGCAATGTCGAAGAGCGAATATAGCGAGAGTGGGAAAAGTGGAAAGCCGAAGAAGTCGAAGCCGCTGGTACTGCCAAAGAGAGCACCGCCGCCACCACCGCCCACTGCCCCGGCGCCTCTGATTCGTGAACCACTCAGCGCGAGATTACCCCCGTCGCCGACAAAGGGCGGGTGGAAGATGACCAAGCAAAATTCGCAGCCGTCCATGCCTGGGAGGCAGGTGGAAGGGCTGCCAAAGCGGTCGGATACGCTTCGAGGTGAGGCGAGACCGGGTGTCAACGCCAGATGGGCAGAGCGGCCGGGGACCTCGGGGTCGCCGCAGACCTCCAACTTTTCCGCCCAGCAACATCCCATGCGCCCTCTGATGCCCCCCTTGAAAGTACCTCTGAAAGACGACGGGCCTTCCACCTCGCTCGGTACATCTTCAGGGCGCCAGTCGCATCTCTCGTACCAATCCGGCTACTCTTTCTACGACCTCGACGGCGGTGAGACAGAGTCATCGCCCTCAACGCCCAAAGCGGGATGTGATAGCGACTTGGTGTTCCCCAAGGGAAAGTATGTCAAGGTACCGACGTCGGCATTGGAAGTGCGCGAGAGGACAGTGTCGAAGCCTGCTACGCGTACGCCGACGACGCCGACAGCTTCCATCACCGGCCGGTCGGCGGACGAGCTGGTACATATGGGGATCGAAGCGCGAGGGAAAGGCGAACTGCCAAAGAGTGCTTATTACTTTATGAAAGCTGCTGAAGCAGGCAGTCCGACAGGAAGAATGTACTGGGGTGAGTCGTTTTCTGTTCACTTGACGTGCTGTGCTGACTTTAGGCAGGACTGGCACTGAGACATGGGTGGGGAGTGAGTATAGATGATAGGAGGGCGTTTGTGGAAATTCGGCAGGCGTGTGATCAGTCGTTAGCTGAGGGCGGGCTTGCGTTCCACAATTCGCCGGGTCAGATGGGCCTGACAGCACAGCAGAAGAAGCACATGGCTGTGAGTCTACATCCCCGACGGGGAAACGTATGACTGATAAGGGCAACAGCGAGATCTCGCGATGGGCATGTTTGAAACAGGCAACTGCTTCTTGGGCGGCGTGGGTGTAAAGAAGGCTCCGGATGTGGCATTGCAGTATCTGCGGTTTGCGGCCAATCTAGGTGATATAGCGGCGCAAGAACGTGAGTGTGTAGACCTGCATGGGGATGGCGCTGATGTACAACAGAGCTCGGATATCTGCTATCAAAGGGGTCAAACGGGGTCAAGAAGAATATGAAGGAGGCTGCCAAGTGGTACAGGATGGCTGTGAGTTTGTAAGAGTTCATGAATAGATGTTCGAGCTGACAATGATGGCAGGTGGCGCAGGGGTCCAAAAGCACGGTAGGACTGTCGTGGATCTGGAAGGTATGTCGACCCTGGTCACAATCAACAACTTTGCTCACTCGACGCTCGTAGGATAAATACATGGTTTGAGATCAATGGGTCATCGTCTGACCCACGTTCGCCGATCCTTGACTTTCACCAGTCCCCCGACAAGAGTTTTCTCACTCTGCAATCTGGCACCCAGCGATCTACCAGGCCAAGCTACTGGCTACATGCTGCTCATGGAGACTTTCGATGTGTATATAAAATGGACTTTGACAGGGATTGCTTTTGCTCTTTGCACTTATGATTTCTACTTGCTTACGTTGTACGACATTTATGAATACACCTGACTATGTTACATTGGATGGTCGATGTGCGCGCTGTGGAGATACAAGATTCAACACCTGCGCGCCCTTGCCCAAGCCACCCCGCACAACAACAAGAGCCAAATGAGTCCACGATCACATGCCGATGCAATCGACAAGCTCTAGTATGTACAAAACAAAGCAAACCCAAAGCTGGATCCATGACGACAAAAGTCAGACGCGCACCAGGACGGAGATAAACAAACCAACTCAGGGATGAGCCGGACGCCCTGAACCACCAGCCGTGGCATGTCGCATTCCTCCCTGAATATGCCAGGGAATGCACGTGTTTTGGGGGCGAAAAGTGGGCGGGTGCGTCTGGAACGCGCGGCTGACTTTTGGGCTCTGCTGCTGGCGGGGATTCGAAATCCCGCACAGAAACAGCTGGCTCACGTAACTAACCCTTGTTGACTCTCTCCTCATCTCTCTCAGTCTCGTCTCTTGGTGCCCGCCCTCACTCCAGTCACTCGTTCACCCCACTGACTCGACACACCGAGACACCCCGCCACCGCCCACCCCCGCCTCTCCTCATTCCCCACCGCGTTGCTTCCAGCGCAAACACAGCACACCGCAGCCCACCACCGCCCAATCGCCATCCATCCACCCTCAGTCTCTTGTCAATACACATATCACTACCACCACCATGTCATCCGCCCAGGACGCGACGGCCTCGACATCACGCCAGGCGACGGTGCAGAGAAAGCGGACGAATGGGTCGACTAACAGGGATGAAAAGCAGTTCATCGGCCAGTGGAGAATAGGCCGGACGATTGGAAAGGGCAGCTCAGGTATGCCACATCTCATCTCATACCCCACATACAAACAGACGGGCGATCCCGTCCGTGCACGATATACACGGTGACTGACTGTGTGCAGGCCGGGTGAAAATCGCCAAACACGCCGTGACTGGCAAATATGCTGCCATCAAAATCGTCCCCAAGGGCCTCATCCTCAACTCGCGCATGTCCATGTCAGAGGCAGGCGCAAAGGCAGACAAGGTGCTCCTCGGTATCGAGAGGGAAATTGTCATCATGAAGCTCATCGACCACCCCAACGTCCTCAACCTCTACGACGTGTGGGAGACCAGCTCAGAGCTGTACCTCATCATGGAGTATGTTCCTGGAGGAGAGCTGTTCGACTATCTCGTCAAGCGCGGTCGACTTCCCGTATCAGAAGCGCTTCATTATTTCCAACAAATCATCCATGCCGTCGACTACTGCCATCGCTTCAATGTCTGCCACCGAGATCTGAAACCCGAAAACCTTTTGCTCGACAAGGACAAGAACATCAAGGTGGCCGATTTCGGCATGGCTGCTTGGGAAGCCGGAGACAAAATGCTCGAGACGAGTTGTGGAAGTCCCCATTACGCCAGTCCCGAGATTGTTGCTGTGCGTTGCGCGTTGGACTCCGAGGTGGAAAGAAACTGACGCTTTGTATAGGGCAAAGCCTACCATGGCTCCGCATCCGACATCTGGTCGTGTGGTATTATCCTGTTTGCTCTCCTCACTGGTAGACTACCATTTGACGACGACAATATCCGCGCGCTTTTGCAAAAGGTCAAGGCTGGAGTGTTTGAGATGCCCGATGAGATCAAGGATCCCGCGCGAGACTTGCTTCGACGAATGCTTGAAAAGGACCCCGAGAGGCGTATCACGATGAGCGAGATCTTGACCCACCCATTCTTTGTTTCTCGTCCTCCCCGACCTATTCCCGGCAGAGCCCGTGTCACGCCTCCTACTTTTGATGAAGTGGAGCGACCCGTCAACTCGCCAGAGGAGATTGATCCCGATATCATGGGCAACTTGAAGACTCTATGGGCCGGTGCGCCCGATGATCAGATCGTCGACGCGTTGATGTGCAAAGAGTGAGTCAATCTCGTATCTTGTTGTAGCACCACTAACTCATCTCAGGAAAACATGGGAAAAGGTCATCTATCACCTGCTCATCAAGTATCGCAACAAGCATCTTGAAAACTACAACATGGAAGAAGAGGCGTATCTCGAAGCTAGAGAGCGTCGTGAAGCCCGCAGACAGTCTGGACCTTCCCCTGCTCGCAGAAAGGGTACCGCGAATCAGGCTCAGCAGCCACGACTTGCGCCTCTCGGCGAGAACGAGTCTGTTGCCAACACTCCGGTGAAGCGACCCCAGGCTCCCACGCCCAACAAGGCGTCTCGTGCCAAGTCTCCCATGGAGTCGCCCACGCCCACCAAGGGCGTACAGCAGACCCGAGGTCCTGCCGGTCCTCGACCGCCTACAAACAGGGGCAACTCTGCCAACAGTACCGCTTCTGACGCCCCAACCATCATCTTCCAAGGCGCTACCCCCACCAAGGAGATTCCTACCGCCAAGGTCACCTCGTCGAGACCCACCTCTGAAATTATCGCCCCTGCTTCTCCCATCATCAATGCGCCGCAGGTGGAGGACGTCAATTTGCAGACGTTCCTCAACCAGATTGCCGATCAGATGAATCGATTCAGCGTGCGGTCGTCCGTGGCTTCACAGTCTTCCGAGACTAGCGATGCCATCCTTGGTAGCGACTACCAAGCTTGCCTTGCTTTTGCTGCTGGTATCACGCCCAACAGTGCCCCTCCTGCCCGTGCCGTTGCTCCCGATACTCAGACGGAAAAGATTGAAGAGCATGGTCAATTCGAGGATGCTACCGACGACCAGACTGATGGTGACGGTGTCAGCATTCATTCTACCTTCACTGCTTCCATCGCCCCCCCAAGTCCTCTTGCCGGCCTAGGTCTTGGCGCCCCCTCCAACCGACCAAGTCTACACCCTGTATCAGGACTCAACCAGCAGAGGTGGAGTTATGCGTCTTCCCAAGGCTCGTCGTACAGGGGTTCATCCGCGGGCTCTTACCAGCCCATGGAATCACCCCAGTTCAGCTACAGCCCTATGGAGCTGCAAACACCGGCATTCCAATCAGACCGTTCTGCCCCCGCCCCTCCTCCCCGAGCCACTCGCCCAGCACCTACCCCTGCCTCCAGACCCCTGCCACTGAGTCCTGTCGCTTACGAGCCTGTCGAGAGCTTGCTGCATCGAGACAACTCGTATGTCATCATTGACAATGCCGAGCTTCCTTCAGATGCGAGCATGAGCTCTTGGGGCAGCAGATCTTCTGGCGGGTTCAAGGCTCGTGGTGGTTTGGACGGCTTTGGTATGCTCAAGAAGAACAAGAAGCTCACAGTCGACCCCACGGGCTACTCTTCCGACAACCTCGGTTCTCCTTCTGCTACCTCATCTGTCAACTCGCCCAAGCGATCGTGGTTCAACAACTTGTTCAACTTTAAGCCTGCTACATGCAGTCTGCTATCACACGACAATGTTGCTACGACGAGGGAGCGAGTGAGGCGGGTGTTGTCGAGTCTTGGGACGAGGGTGGCGGTGGTTGAACTAGATGGACACAAGGCGCTCAAGTGCAAGTTGGATGAAGTGAGGGAAGATGGCGGGAATGTGACGGCTAGAGGTGTCAGGTTCAGAGTAGAGTTCTCAAGAGCCAGCCAGACTACTGGCGGGCAGACCAACACTCTTGTGACTCTGACTCAGGAGAAGGGCGCCGAGTCTTCTTTCCGAGGTAGGTCCTCATCCTCAAACATGTACGTAAACACTAACAATGATACAGTCTGCTTCGCGGAGCTCAAGCACTTTATGGACTCTCAACCATCGGCACCTGCCTCCCTGTCACTCGGCTCTCGCCCAGCTGGCCAGACCCGGTCATACGTCCCTCCCACCAGCCCCCTCCTCTCTGCGCCTCCTATAAGACACCCCGCTAGCGCTCCCACCACTCCCGTCGTCGAAAGTCATCCCAGATTCGGCACCCCATACCTGTCTCTTTCTCCTCAGCCTCCAACCCAACTACCAAGTTTCTAAGGACATTTTTTATCTACATATTCCTTTCCTTGAGCGAGACGTCTTTTTACGATATTGTTATCCACTCTCAAGTCTTTTTCCCTGTGCCTATTTCCCTTCGTCTTCCATACCACATATATACTGGTACTACTATCTCGACCTGCAGCGATTGCGACTTTAGTCTATTGTCATGAGCGTATGGAATGAATGTTAGTGTATTGCTATGGTACAATGTTACATGTTTTGGGGATGTGTTTACTGAATGATTGCCCCAAGGCTTTTTTTGGGCGGCAAACAAGCGGCCTATGAATGGAGGTTGAGAATGTACTATGCTACGTAATGACTGGTAGTAAAAATGCTACAGATAAATGTCTTTGACACAAGGTGAACAGATGGAAAACATAAAGTCCAAAACCCGGAAACCCTCAAACACACCCTAAGCCTTCACAGTCCTATCTCGCCCCCGTCTATCATCCTCCATTGACTCCATCCTGAGGCCCCTTGGTCGCCTGCTTCTGCCCCTCGCATCATCGTCGTCCTCGGGCTCATCCTCGCCGCTAGCATCGGCATCGTAAGACACCTTCCTGCCATGCCTCGAGTGACTCCCTCGGACCTTGGACATCTCTCTTGCCCTAGACCTCCTTCCCCGACTCCTTCCCCGACTCCCACTCCTACTAGGACTAGCAGCCCGCACTCGGCTCCCCTTCGCACTCCCCCTCGCTCGACTTCGCGACTTACTCGGGGACCAATGCGCATCCATACCCATCTCGGCTTCCTGCTCCCTCTGCACCCGCCGCTCGAGTGCGACATTCTGCATACCTGCAGGATGCACGATATTCATCGGCAAGCTGCGAACCATCTCCTTGACTGGGCTCTCCGGCTCGGGAGGCGGGGGCTGATGGGCAGTGGGCATGGGGGCAATAGAAATGTCTTTTGGTTGGTCGTGGAGGATGGACGCCGGTGAGGTGTATGCGCGGGGGGATGGCGGTTTTGCCGGCGCAGAGCTCGTGGGAGAGATGGGTGACTCGGCCTTGCGGGGAGAAGGTGCGACGGAAGAGATGGAAAGTGGGGCGAAAGAACGGAGGTAGTTGGAAAAGCTCCAGATGGCTCGTGCGGTGTTTGTCAATGGGCGAATGGCTGAGGAGGCCTTTGGCGGGTCTGCCAGCTTGGCCGACTCGTCGCCGCTCTTGGGGGCGTTGGGGGCGTTGGGGCCAGTGATGGCCGCGGAAAGGCGACGCTGCACATACGAATAATCCCCATTCGCGCTCTGCTCGTCGCTGAAAAAGTCGACATTCTCCCCACCATCCGTCAACGGGTCCACGACTTCTGAGAGCGAGATGGTCGATAGCGTAGGGGTGGCACCGACGTGGCTCATGACATAGCCGGAGTCGTCATGCTCCGTCGACACCGCGGTGACTGCGACACGCGAGACTTCGGCCTGTGAGGGTGTGGCTTGGATAGTGCTGGGCATCTCGGGGTTCTTTGCGGCCGCGATAGCAGCCGGAACTGTCGTTGTTGGTGGGTTCGACCCTGCGGCGCTCGCAAACGCCCTGACAGCGCTAAACCCCCGAATTGTGCTCAAACCAGCAAGCGCCGAGCCAAAGCGACCTTGCGGCGTCGTGCTGAGCCCGTTCTCGCCCACCCATTCCACCCGCTCTTGGGTGGGAGTAATCGTATCGTGGCGGTTGAACGACAAGTCGGTATCGCCATCCGCCTGATTTGGCAGACACTTGACTTCGTTGAGCCAGCTGACGATATCTTCTCGGGACCGCGAGCCTGCGGATGTAGCTGCCATGCGCGCGACGGGGCTCGAGGGTTTATGAGCGATCGGAAGGGTGTGGGCCGGTTCGAGAGCTGGTCGAGCACGGGGGGGGGCGGGCTCCATCATGAGGTTGACAGAGAAACGGCGAGGGACAGGTGCTCTAGGTAGCCGGATGGTTTCAGACAGATAGTCGCCTCTGGTGCTCTTGCTCGACATCCGTCGAGCGACGTTCCGTGGCGACTGGCCGACGCACTCGTTGTCGCTGCTCTCGGAATTTGAGCAAAAGACAGAATCGGGCACAAGGGGCGTATTGTTTCCCGTCGTCTTTGACAACTTGCCAAAGCCCTTGGATGCTCTAGAAGCGACAACAGGCCCGAGGTGGGGCGAGACGTTATGGGACAAGGTGGCAGATACGCGATGGCTCTTGCGGACAAACTGCAGTGTCTCTTGCGTCTGCGTCTGCCGGCGGGACCCAGGGAGAAGGGGAGCTTCTTGAGTCTGGTGGGCGGGGAAAGAGTACGCCCGACGACCTCGGAATTGGTTCCCTGTAAGGACTTCCTCTAAAGGACCGTAAGGCTGGACGGTGGGACGGTCGCCATTGGCCTCGGTAGGGTGAGAAGCCATACTTGAGGGCCAGGTAATCTCGGCGACGTCGAGGGCGTTATCTAGGGGTAGAGAGTCTTGATGGCGACATACATCGCTACAGTAGGTGCTTTTGGGATTGTCCTGGGTTCATGTCAGTCACAAGATTTTTACCAAGGAGGGGGGAGAACTCACCAATTGCTTTGAACAAGCCAAGCACCACGCCGTATCCATCCCGAGCTCTACCATATCCATAGTGTCAAGATAATGGAAATGCTGTTGTGAAAGAATGTTGTAGTGTGGTGGCACGAGGATTGCGTGGTGGGACAAAGGACGAAACTTTGATGGAGATAGGGTTCTGATACAGAAAGGTTGACTGGTGATATGACTGGGTGGGGTTAGCGCACTTTCCAGAGCGAGTTATATAGCCATCCACAAAAGAAACTCGACATTCGGCCTGGCGCCATGAAACGAGATGTCAAAGAATCTCGGCCACTCTGAAGCGCACCATAGTCACCGACCCCTTTCTGACACCTCCTCTTGAACGAGCTTCAACATGATACAAGGCGGAAGAAGCCGGCCTGGATCATCAACTGGAGACGAGGATCTGACGCCAAACGCTCGGTATGCTTCAGTGACCGGCCCTTCTTGCGCATGCCCCTAGACCAGTCGCCAGGCAGAGCCTGCGGGTGCAATACAGACCCCCACGACAGGACGACAAAAAACCGAGAACACGTCCAACAGCCCAAGAAGTCTTACAACAGGGTTGTTATCCCTGTTGTATCCGAAGGCCCCGAAGGAGGGCAGGGCGTGTAAAGAACGAGGACATGGTTTTTTGGGAAAGATGAGGCTAATAGGTCCAGGCTCACAACGGGGAAACTCCAGACTCACGTATGATATCTTTTCTCTCGGATAGAGGGGCCTGGACTTGTAACGCCTCTGGGGACTTCTGAACTCTGACCTCTGAGTGCCTAGTGGTTTTGACGGGGCTGGACTCGGAGGGGCAGGCGTGAATGATAGCCGGATGGGCAAAGGCGTCAAAGCGGCGTAGGCGATATGGGTGGGATGTAGGTCGAGCTGTGGATATATATAGGGATATGAAGCACGTTGCAGAGCTACAAACAACATGTCAGCTTGGCACGGGGTTTCGCGATTTCGCCACTGCTCGAATACCAGACAAAGGCGTCAGAATGTACAGCACACAGAGGGGGACAGCAGGGTACATCACCCCCACCTCGGGGCATTTCAGGCAAAAGTAGAAGCCATCCAGCTTCGAGAACCCAGGTGTCCAGGCCTCCAGGGGGAGGGACACAGGGACGGGAGAACAATGAAACGCCAAAAGATCAAAAGACAAGACCAAGTACACACGCAAGGAAAAATCACTCACCCTTCTCACTGTGGTCGAGGGGTGTGGTTGGCCGGGAAAGCAGAGGCGACTATATATATATTTGGCAAGGCGGTATGGCCCGAGCTATGTGTCTCCGGAGTAGCCTTGAAAGATGCCCTCCCTACGCAATGTCGTGCTGAGCCTGGAACTCTGACCGCAGGCCAGCAACGTTGTAACCGGTGCTTGCGTTTGGCGAGATCCCGTGTCGTGGAGGGACCGCTACGTGTCTTGTTTTCTTTTTCAAGTGACGATTTTCAGCCCGAGACCGGTTGTCGAGAACCTCGTAACAAGCGATGCACAGGTTGCGGCGACTGGCGAGTGCAGGGCGCGGGGTCCCGCGACGAGATGGTGACAAGGGACTTTTTTTGTTCGGGCGGCGATGCTATGTATACTCGCGTAGTGCTGACCTCTGAGCAGTAGCTGGAGCATAGGTGAGCGAGGGTGCGGGAGAATGGCAGAGGGACGTACTTTTGAGCGTCAAGGCCGGATCGGCGTGTAGATGTAGATGAGGAGTTGAATGCGTGGTCGCGAAGGGACAGTGACGAGAATGGTGAATGACGGTGGATGTAGTAAGGGCTAGCAAAACATAGCGCAATGTACGTGAAGCGGTGGATTGAAAGGGTTGGCTGGGATGGCTGCGTTTTTGGAGCAAATAATGGCTGGCCGGGAAGTGGTATGAGCAAAGAAAGCGTGACAAGTGAGATGGGGAATACTTTTACTGGCTGGAGTATGACTCTATACGGCGTGGTCTGCTGGCCCTGTTGGACGACGTGGTGCGGGTGTTCTCTGCGTTGTACGGTGAGGAAAGAGATGGACAAGATACGTGACCTGCAACTATTCGCAGTGTTTCATAGCAATACATTAATCAGCCATGCAAGAGGCAACCGGACGGGATCCTATCGCCTCATTCGCCATGCAGCGGGAAGGTGGGTTGTCTCGCGTCATCGGCCCATGTCCATTTCAACATGCTTCAAGTCGATTGTCGATCATTTATCGAATTGATACCAAACCCAGAGCTCAGAGCCAATTGCGCTTTATGGCATCGGTCTTGCAGCGATCCTGAGTAGTCTGAGTACTGAGTCCTGAGCGGTCTTCTGGCATGAACCTTGTGCCACCATGATGCCTCTAGATACGTTATTTGCATACACCCAGATGCGAGATGGCGCATGGCGACGGATGGCACGATGGGGATGGCGGTGCAGGGATGTGCAATGTGACATGCTCCACGATATCCCTCCTCGTGGTACTCGCCCATGCAAGAGAAGAGTGGCGCAGCAGGCCCAGACCACCCTGGAAGTCGAAGGACTATGACGTCGCCACTTGCTCAGGGCCTCGATGCCTGGATTCGGCGGCGACCGCCGACACTGCGGAAGAACATTCCAGCGGAATCATTTCGGCCCCCGAGATCTTTCCTTGCGTTTCTGGAAATTGCTTTCGCTGTTCGTCAACATTCGACTTGTTTCTGGAGTCATCGCGGGAGAACACCATGGATTCACTGACGCAGCCCGACCAGGATATATAAGACACTGACCGTACTCATTCTGACTATCTCCCCATCAACGATTACAACCACAAAGCTATTCAACAAGCAACAACCACAACCACCACAACCCACGTCAGCACAATGCCCTTCTACACTACCTTCGAGCCTAGCTTCGACTACGCCTTCCCCGCCCAGCCCCGCTACACCTACTCTCCCTTCTACGCGGAGCCCACCCACCACTACCCCTTCCACACTCGCACCCCCACCCCTACCCGACAGCCCGTTTACGAGTCCGACTCTGGACTCGACGATGAAGAACAAGCCGTCCTCGCCCAGCTCGCCGCCATCCGCCAGAAGCGCGAGCAGCTCAAAGCCACTCAAGCTCGCGAAGCCGCTGGTGCTGCTAAGGCCAAAGCTCAGCGCGAGGCGATGATCAAGGCTGAACTTGCCCAGGCGCTTGTGAGGGAGCAAGAGAAGAAGAGGAAGCAAGAGGAGGAGAGGAAACGGGAAGAGGAGAGGGAGAGGCGAGCTGTGTTTGCTCGTGCAATGGAGCAGGCGAATGTGCAGCGAGAGAAGAAGAGACTTGCGCAGACGGATGCTCACAATAGGTATGTTGTTTCTCTTTCACAACGTTCATTGCAGATACTAACGTTGGTTCTCAGGCAAGACCACCGAGCTATCAAGCCTGTCTCCCCGAGTCATACCGACCTCAACAACATCCTCAGTGCTCTCTTCGGTATCAACTTGGCTCCCTCTGATGAAGAGGAAGAGGAAGAGTCCGAGCACGAGGAAGCTGAGGTTTCAGTACCCATCTTCAGCCCTCAGTGTACCTCTGCTGCCTGCTGCCAGTCGGACAAACCTACCCCCACCGACAACGAGGCTCTTGTCATGTCTCAGCTCGCTCAGGCTATCGCTAGAAGGCAAGCCATCGAACAAGAGGAAGAGAACAGGCGGAATCAGGAGGAACAAGAGCGGAAGCAGCAAAAGCTGGAGAAGCGAAGAGCCTTTGTTCAGGCTATGGCAGAGAAGAATCAACAGCGAGAGAAGCAGCGATTGGCTCAAGCCCAGGCCAAGAACAGGTCAGTATCTCCTTTCCACTCACTCGAACCAACCCTGACCCTTCCCTCTAGACAACCCAAACCCATTAGCCACGACAACCAAGACCTACAGAACCTGCTGAACGCATTCTTCGGTGTCCACCCTCCCACATCAGAGGACTCTGAGCAGTCAGATGTCGAGTCTGAGGCATCTGAGGATCCTCGTCCCCAGCGTCGGGCCGCTCCTGTCAAGTCGGAGGTGAAGGCTACAGCGCCCGCTACTGCCAACGCTCCTGTTGCCCCTCAACCCGAGACGACTTCTGAGGCTGCCGAGACCTTATCCCCCGCATTCACCATCCTCCATAACATGGACACCCAGCTCGCCCAACTCAAATCGTCGTTCACCTTCCCCTCCCACCTTTCCTTCGCCCACTCCACCCCAAACGGCCAAACCCCTCCCCTGTTATTCAACCGCACCAACGCCCCCTACCACGCACAAACCAACGCTCTCCTCCAGCTTCTGCTCCAAGCTGATACAGTCATCTCGGAAGGACAGCCGGAAGTGAGAGAGGCGAGAAAGGAGATGGTGAAGAAGGTCGAGGCGGAGATCAGAAGTATGGAAGAGAAAAGGGATGAGGTTTGGGAGGAGGTTCGGAAGAGGAGGGAGAGTGGGGAGGAGAAGGAGCCGGATGAAGAGGAGGAGAGGTCTTGGAGCGACTGCTCATCAGTAGCAAAGAATCAATAGATTGTACTTAGACATAGATCAATAAGTGTACAGTACATAGAAGAAGAAGAAGACAACAGACCCAATCATATGTAATGATTACATTAAATCTTCTGACTTCATTTCTCTTTCAGCTACTTTACATTATATATGGCTCTCAAACTCGCATATCTCAAGCAGTTCACCAGGCGTTCACTCGTCCTGCGCCTCGACCCACTGAGGGAACCACTCCTCCCAATTTTCCCAAGAGTCTTCAGCAGAGAGATCCTGGTCGTGGTCATGGTGACCATGGTGGCCATGGTGCTCGTGGGGAGGGACGAGGAGCTTGCTCAGGACATGCACAGCACCGTTACGAGCTGGCACATCAATGACTTCAACCTGCTCGCCGTTGACCTTGATGGTCGTCTTGGTGGCGCCTGCATTATAGAGTCAGCCCAAGTAACAACCACGTCGGATAAACTAACCTTCGATAGGGAGGACCTTGACCTTTTCAATCTCCACCTCGACGGTAGCGTTGGGCAGACCCGTGTGGATCTTGAACTGCTTGTGGAAGCTAGGGTCATTACCGACAGTCAAGACCTCGCCCTTGTGCTCGTGCTTTTCCTGGTGGAAAGCCTCAGACAGGAGGAGGGTGTGAGGGATGTAGTGATACGCCAACAGCTTGATCAACGACTTTTCACCGAATGGCGAGAACAAGTAAAACTTGAGCTTGTCGGGCAAGTCGTGGAAAGCAGCATTGGAAGGCGCAAAGAGGGTAGCCAAGGGGTTACCGTAGAACTTTGGCTTGCCAGGCTCAGAGTGCTCCCTGTCGTAGCCATAGTCTAAAGCATGCGCCTCGTGAACCTTTTGCACGCTGGAAGTCAAAGTGCTGAAGGTGTCGGGGAAGAGGAAGAGCTCCTCAAGGATAGATCCAGGAGGGAGAAGAGGGTGGTCGAGGGCGTGGAAGTAGCCATTGCGGGCTTTGCGGTCAGAAGCGACGATCTTGGCGTAGAAGTTGAGCCTGATAGCTACACAATACGGTCAGTCGAGGCCAGTGCATAGTGGGGGTATACACGCACAAGGAGGTACCAAGTTCTTCTCAATCCTGACCCTCCTGTGCAATCCGGCATAACTTCCATCGTCTGCCTTGAGAGCAGTGGCAAACGTAGAGTTCTGCCCGAGCTCCTGCACGGTGTAGGCCTTGGGAAGACCGTGGTAGGCCAACACCTTGCCTGCAATCTTGCGGAAGATTTCCTTCTTGCGCTTCTTCTCCTCGTCGCCATCGTCATCGTGGCCCTTGGACGACGAAGTGAGGGATGGGTCGCGGTCTAGGGCAGCAGAGAGCGAGGCGAGAGATGGGTTGTGGAGCAGCTGGTGCTCATGGTCAGTTCATGTGCTACTGGAAGGACAAGACGCACCTGCTCAAAGTCATCGTCGTCGTCCTCATGGTGAGGTGGCGTGAGAGCATCGTTGTTGGGCGCCTTTGATCGATGTCAGTACGGAAGACAAGAAAGTGATGACATACAAAGAAGGTGATCTGGGCGTCCTTGTCGTCGAGATACTTGCTGGCATGACCTTCAAACTAGTCGCAAGTCAATTCAAGCTACTCGTGTGATTCCTGACGACACCAACCTCGATGATATTGACAAGCTTGCTAAAGCTGTGAGGATCCTCCTTCAGGTTCTGCCAGATGGTCAACTCGGTCTTGTCCTGGCCTCCAAGGTCGCTCAGTGCTTCCTCTGCCTTGTTCCAGGACCAAGAGCCGAGGCTAGAAATACGGTTTGTGAGACCATTCTGGATGCCCTTCCACTGGTTGAGGGAGAGCTCGGGGATGTCTTGGGCGGGCGCTGCGAGAGCGAGGGGGAGGAAGAGGAGGGAGGCGAGGTGCACCATGGTGTCTGGGGAGATGTGTGGCAAGAGGGGAGGCTTATATACCGGCCTGGGATGACGTGACGCGTCAGTGTGCGGATGAGGTGACGACTCCACAGCCACTGCCGAGATGCCCACGTTCGCACCATTGCTGCACATGACGCCTTCATCGACGCGTCAAGTGGAGTGCCACAGATCACTCTGCCCGTCGGCCATCGCGTCCATCCAGTCTCTAAGGATGCAGCAATCATAGTCTCGTGGAACAACGAGTCTACTTTCTCTCTCAGATCGTCAAGCTGCCACTCATCAGACAAAGTGCGATGCATGAAAGGTGCAAAGAAGCGGGCCCCTACTGGCCTTCCGACATTATATGCGTGCCCAACTAGCCTACTTTTCTATGCCGTGGTAACTGGGTGCGGGAGAGGACGGAACCTGCGTCACTATATTCTCCTTTGGCACCAGCTTGCCCTTGATCTTCCACCCATCCCTATGGGGAATCAATCTCTCAAAGATCATCATCTCCTCAACACGCCTGGTCCGCCTGGTCGCTGTCCCATTCGATTTGTGGGTGATCAGAGCCTGTCCCATACGTCAATGATCACACTTCTTGACAGGTAGGAAGTGGCTACTTACCTGCTGAGTGTCAAACGCAACCACGATCTGCGCACCAATCTTCATATCTCTGGGATCTATCATGGTCATTCGAGCAGAAAGAAGCACGGGTGGCTTGTTCTCCTTGACCAACTGCCATGTCAACTTGTCCTTCCTGTTGCGGATGATGTGCTGAGCCGTCTTGTACGCTTCATCTTTGGAGAGAGCCAAGGCTTGACCGATAGTGCCCCTACGAGACATGATCAGGACCGCATCCACGCGAGATAGAGGCACTTACGAAGCTTGGCACTGCATGTACTCGTAATACTTTTGAGCAAAAGCCTTTACGGTTTTTGACGCCGCTCCCGGTCCTCGCATCCATAGCCACATGTGACGAGCTGGGGAAGGCGTATGGACCAAGAACGAAGTTCTGTACTCCTCCAGAGCTCTCTTTGCCATCAATTCGCCAATCCTGAGAGTTTGATCAGCGGTGGCTCGGTTCTGGGAGCAATACTTCTCACGTTTGAACCGTGTATGAATATCTTTCACGCCTGAATTCCTCTGCTTCCGGGTCGACCTTGATCCAGGGATTGACTTTATTCCAGACTCTGTGCAGGAACTCGGGCAACTTTGTGGGAGGGTCCAAAAAGGGCTCTACGTTTGAATCGAAAGTCAGTCATCATGGCGTTTCCCATTTCGTGTCATGGCAATCAAAGCTACTTACCAAAAACAGGTAATGTCTGAGTGCCAAAACTCATTGCAGGATTGGCCTTCTCCGCCCGCGCCATTTGCGCCTTTTGCGCTTCGACTTTCTTTTCGAGATCTTCGGTCAATTTGGATTTGGTTTTGGGAGCGGTTGAGGCGTGACGGGTGAAGGCGAGTGGTGAAGAGGACAAGGGGACGTAGGCGACTCGCGAAGGGCGAATAGATCGAGAGAAGCCTCGGGTGGCTGTGGAGGATGCTTGGCGGAAGGATGGAATGAGGGACATTGTGCCGAGGTGTATGCGTATTGAATTAGAGAGTGGCAGGAGCAGGGTCCCTTTTGGTTGATGAAGACAAGATTTGGGACGAAATCGATTTCTTGAACCAATCTCGTCTGCGCGGAACCAAATGTAAAGTGGAGGTTGTGCCCACCGAGTGACACCAAGAACGCCCTCTTTGTGTCTTCGAGAGCCATACATCACCACCAAGCATGTCGGCACCCAACGGAGGGCCCTCAGGTCCTCTCTACATGCAGGAAGCGCATGTGGACGCCCAGCCCCTGCCGGTGTTTGACTACCACTCGCTCGGCGGACAAGATCCATCAATCTGTATCGACAATGGTACGCATGAGCTCTCTTCGAAAGAACGTGACTTATATACGTGCTTGCAGGTACTCATTCTTGGAGAGCCGGATTCAATACCACACCTGGTCCATATATAGACACTCTGAATCAGGTCTCCAAGTACAAGGACCGCAAGTCTGGCCAGAATGTGCTCTTATTTGGCTCGGACGCCGAAGCCGATGCCTCATCACGGTCGAACACGAGGTCCATGTATGATGGAGATATCTTTACTCAACCAGATGTACTGGTACGTGAGCTCATATTCAGTCCAGGTAGTCTGCTGATGAATTTCACAGGAAGGAGCGTTGGATTACACCTTTTGCAAGCTTGGGCTAGACACGCCTCAGGTCCAACATCCCATCGTCATGACCGAGCGATTGACCAATCCCTTATTCAGCCGAGCAAGTGAGTCATCATCTCTCAGATGGTTATGGCGCATAGCTGACTTGTTATCAGTGACCTCGGAATTGCTGTTTGAGCTTTACAATGCCCCCTCCGTCACCTACGGCGTCGATTCTCTCTTTGCCTTTTCTCGACAAAAGAAGAGAGACGGTCTGGCTATCAACCTCGGTCATCAAGCGACTACTGTTATTCCCATATTTGACGGTAAAGCTCTGATAGGGCAGTCAAAGAGGTACCCCCAGAGATCCTAGATCTGGTATAGCAGCTGACTTTGGATAAGGTTGCCTTGGGGAGGAGCACAAGCTTCAGAGCTTTTATTGAAACTGGCTCAACTCAAGTATCCCTTGTTCCCGACCAAAGTCACACCGCAGCAAGCAACAGTAAGCTCATCTCAGTCTCCTACAACATGACTCCTAGCTAACGACATGGCACTAGTTCATGTATCGCCAAACATGCTACTTTTCGTCAGACTACGAGTCGGAGCTGAGAACCCTTGAGGACCCGGCAAAGCTGTCGGCTATGACTCGACTCGTGCAGTTCCCGTACACAGTACCAGTGAGTAGGCCGTGACAGCTCCAGATCCACGCATTGACGATGTTACAGGAGACTGTTGAGAAGACGGAAGAGGAGCTTGCGGCGGCGGCGGAGCGGAGAAAAGAGTCGGGAAAGAGACTGCAAGAAATGGGAGCCAAGAAACGAGCTGAAAAGGTGAGCCTACTCCCCTCACCAAACCCTACAGAAACTGATCACTATCATATAGCTCGCTGCCACAATCGCAGAGCTCGAAGAGTACAAGCTTCTCATCTCTGATAAATCTTCCCTCAAGAAGGCCGATTATATCAACCGTATATCCGAAGAGACACCATTCGACACTGAGGCTCAGCTCGAATCATGGGTGAAAAAGACGGAGGCGGATGTGAGGAAGAAACAGAGAAAGGACCTCGGGTTGACTGAGGAGCCGGAGGAGGAACCGACTTTCCCGTTATTGGGGAGACCGGACGGAGAGCTGAACGAGGAGGAGATCAAGGAGAAGAAGAGGCAGAGGTTGATGAAGGGCGCTTGGTATGCGAGGCAGAAGATCAAGGAAGAGAAGAGAATCGAGAGGGAGCGATTGGTGAGTTGGACGGCTTGTTGGCAACACTGTGCTGACAGAGATCTCAGGAAGAGGAAAAGAGAAAAGAGGTGGAAGAGAGAGAAACGAATTTGACGGGTTGGGCTGCAGACCTCAAAGAAGAACACGAAGTAAGCATAGCATAATCAAAGCGAAATTCCACTGACGAATACCGCAGGATGTCATCAACCGCATTCGCGACCGCGAGAAAAAGAAGGCGCAACTGGGCGACCGAAAGTCTGCTGCCTCGCAAAACCGGATGAAGTCTCTGGCTAGCTTGGCTCAGGAGGAGAAGGCTCCCAAAAAGAGAAAAAAGGGTGAAGGTGAGAAGTCTCGAATCTCGCTTCGAGTGACTAGGCTGATCCTTTGGCAGATGACGATGGATTCGGTATGGACGATTCCGACTGGGCTGTATACCGCGAAATCGTGAGTTTTTCCACATTTCACATCGATGGCCGTTTGACAATGACCGCAGGACGGCGGAGACGAAGATTCGGATGCCGAAGAAGACGACCAGACCCTCCTGGAATCCATCGAGAGCCGTCTCTTGCAGTACGACCCCACCTTCTCTGAAGAACACACCATGTTTGGCCGAGCCGAGGCAAAGAACCGTCTCTTGAACGCTTTTGTCCGCGGTGGAAGCTCAGAAAAGTATGATCCTGAAGATCTCGCCCAGGCGCATCAACTTCACCTGAATATAGAGAGGATCAGGGTACCGGAAGTCTGGTTCCAGCCGAGTATCGTGGGGCTTGATAATGCCGGTTTGGGAGAGGCGGCGGGGTGGATCTTGAATGGTTTCAGCGAAGAGAACAAGAAGCGGCTGATGCAGGTGGGTTCTTCTGTTACTCTGGGGTGAAGAAAGGCTGATGATCTTTGCAGGGCATATTCTTGACTGGCGGTGGTGTTCATACCCCCAACATCATCCCAAAAATGCGCAACATCCTTACTCCCATCCTTCCCTTCCGTGCGCCTCTGAAGGTCGTCTCATCACTGAACGGTGGGGATCCCAGACTGGAGGCATGGAAGGGTATGGCGGAGTGGAGTGTGACGGAAGAAGCGAAAACATCAAGAGTGACGAGGCAAGAGTATGAAGAATATGGGGCGGAGTGGCTGAAAGAACATTCTTGGGGGAACGTTGCAATCTGATGACATCGATGCATGGTTGTATGTATAATCACGAACAACAAGGTACAGCGTGAATCAAGCTGTTCGACAGTTACAATCATCGTGACTCCTCGACCCATATGGTCAACAACAAGAACTTTTGCGCCTCCTTTACCCATTCGGCAAAGACCTTCCCGTTACTCAGCAAGATCTCCCTCGCATGTATTTCTCCACTCTTACTACCTCCATGTACCAATCCTTTGAGCATTTTGCTACCAAGAGGAGCACTGATGACCTCGTAAAGCCTGCCGAAGATCGTTTCCCACGGTAGATCAACATCTACCAACACCTGCCAGGTCTTCCACGTATTCCTCTCGACCAGTAGTATATGGGCGAATCCCAGACCATCGTCCACGCGTCTGTCATCCTGAGTGGTGTAAGAGACCGGGAGTAGTTCCTTGTCGTGGTTGGGGTTGTGGATAGCTGTTTCGATGATGGCGACGGATTGAGCGGCGGTGGGCGTGGTAGGAGTCTGAGGGGAGAGGGAGGTCACGGAGTAGACGATCGAGCGATGCGTTGGGGTGTGTGGAGCCGAGTCTTGTCCTTGAATGTCTTCAAGCATAGGAGACTGTAGAGATGCGGGCGCGGATGAACGAGGGGACAAGGGGGCGAAGGGGATGGGAAAGGCGAGGATTGGTTGTACAGAGTGGCGTTCAGCGGGCGTTGACGGTTTGACAGCAAGAGAGGCATTTTGAGGCGCTGGCGTGATGGCGGAATCCTCTCTCAGAACGGCATCCACGCGTGATTCGTTCTCAAGACCCTTCTTCGCCATCTTCTTTCTCTCCAACGTGCTTTCCCAGTCCAGTCCCATCTGCGCTTTACCCACTATTTCGACGCGATCTCCTGGTCGTACAGCCAAGAATTGTCGTGTGACAAGATGGTCGAGCAAATGGCTTGTCCCTATAGTCACAGGGACTCTCAAGAGGTTGGTGAAGTACAGGTTCAAGCCCTTGAAGCGATAGTCGGTCTTCTCCCAGCCGTCCAAGCCATCAATCGGCCGCGGAAAGTCGAGCATCCGACGCCGAGCTTCCTCATCCACCTCTCCCTTCTGATCTCGGTAAAGACGGAGGTGATAGTCGTACAGCTCGTAGAAGGTCCGGTAGGTAGACACACGAAAGGGAGGAGACTCATATAGAGGGCAGTAGGTGTAAAGGACGCGGAAGATGACCTGGTTGTTGAAGATGCCAGTGTTGGTGATGGCGATTGAGACAAGGAGGCCTTCCGGGAGGGTCTTTTTGGCACCCATCTGGTGGCAGATAGATGACTTGCGGGGAGGCGGAAGGATGAAGCTGTAGGTGCTAAGCCGCGGTGCTGCAAGGAAAGGCCGACTTACCCTGGTTGGAGTGAATCCATCTTCTCGTCTAGATTCGGTGTCACTTGTTTTTGAGCAAGGAGACTCTTCAAAGAAGAAGTAGACTCATAGCTGTCATGATTATCGCTGCCCCATGTCACCCTTGTGTCGCCTCAGAGGTCATGCCATGTTGACTTACTCGTCATCCACAAAGGTTGAAGAAAGCTTCTTGTGCGACGGCGAAATGTACGGCACACTGTGATACATCAGGACGCACCCTCGAGGAAGCCTCCTTCCTCCAAGCTTACTGGGACATCTTGGTTCGTTTCCTAGGAGTGGACTCCCTTGAGGCGCAATAGCCCCATCGAGAAGCTTGTTTGATGTTGAGAGTCTCGTTGGGGTGGTTGAGCGTGCGAGAGGCGTCGTTGTATGCGTTGTAGTAGACATGGTCCTCGGGGTAAAACTCTATGTTTTCCCAATTACTGAGAAAGACCATCAGCACAATGCAGCATGAATGGGGTTCACACGCACCTCTCTAGGTCGCCATCGTAAGAGGATGGGGGGTGTCGTTTGGGAGACAAAAGCGATTTGACGGCGAGCATTGTAAGCAACTTGGTAGAGTTACGGGATCTCAGTTGAGAAGATTGTTGAGGATACAGACGAAATTGCTGTGATACAGGGTGGTAGGAGCGGTGTGGCAAAGGTGAGTGCGAAGCAAGAACGAAGGCCGAGAGCAGGAAGATACGGCGCGCAGGCCAGAAATTGGGGGCTGGACCTGAGCCTTGTACAAGGGAGGCTTGATAGTGCGGACAGCGGAGAGATGGATACTGGGGGATTGAAGGAACAAATGAATGTTGTTGCGATCCAACTTTGGTTCGACCAACGACGGAACCAATTATTTGTTGTGACTTGTGATCTCATGATTTTGAATGATCAACTTGAAATTTCGGTTCACGGCAACATCATCGAGGACGGCTACAATGAGCGCCTCCTTCCCCTCCCTCTCCCACTCCCATTCCGCCTTCCCCCTGCCACAGGTCCCAGAAGACACCCTCCACTACACCATCCACCTGCCCACATCCTACTCAGATCCCTCCGCCACCGCTCTCCTAATCAATCAATACGTCCACACCCTCCTCAGACACCCTTGGCTATGGAACAAAGACTCGTGGGAGCTTAAAGTGGCAGACTTTGATTCAGAGAGGTCTTCTGAAGGGCCAAAGCTAGAGGGACGAATGCGAGTTGGAGATGCTGTCGATGATGAGTGGCTTGTCGTTTGGCTTCTGAGAGAAGTCAGCAGAAAGTGGCCAGAACTCATTATCAGGTGAGTGGTTCCATTGGGTTTTCATGACTGGAAGCTGACTACGATGAAGCATCCGAGACACCGATGGAGAGTTCTTGCTCATCGAAGCTGCCAACGAACTACCGTCTTGGGTTTCCCCAGACAATGCTGACAATCGGGTAAGCTCTACACTGTAATATATGTTCTATCTAACGTTCTACAGTTATGGCTCCAAGGCGCTCATCTTCATCTGATACCTCTATCTGTCCGCTCGGCTGCTGCACCCCACCAACTGTCAGACGATATGGACTCTGACCCAGCAATCCATTTGTCCGAATCCGACGCCTTGCGTGCAGTGCGCACAGGCAAATACCCCGCTAGTAAAGCGGTCGAGCAAGCTGTCTGGCAAAGAATTGCTGGCTATCCCGATGCCATGCGAACCCACCTTCACCGCACCAACATTTACCTCCCCCTCGCCGTCGCCAAAGCTCTTCGCCAGCAACCCGACTTGGTCCAAAAAGCCGTCGAAGCATTCTACGTCCGCGACCCTGCCCAACTCCGTGCAGCCTCGAGGATGACCCACTTCCCGCCCTCCCCTGCTGTGCTTACGGACATCACGTTGACGAGGGCTGCTTATGCGCAACTGCAAGGACAGGTGTTTCATGCGCCAAGGGTGTTTGGGCCAGAGTGGCATGTGGGGGACGGTGCTGATCAAGGGTCAGAAAGCTCCCCAGAAAAGCTGGACGACCAGCGGAGATGGAGGGATTTGGGCGTAAAGGTCGCTACGGGTTTCGAGATCATGTACCGCGAAGGCGGTAAATCCTCTCGGACCGGCGCTCAAGCTAGCAACGAAGTCACGCAGGGGCCAGAATATCAGACCTTTTTGGCCGATCTGAAGAGGTCGGGCTGGTTTGGGGAGGAGCTGGAAGGCAGTCAGAAGTGGAAGGAACGTGAGGAAGAGGCGCGCAAAGGGTATGCCGAGGTCAAATCTGCAGAGTACGTTCATCATTTTATTATCCTTGCCTAGCTGATGGAAACAGTGTGGCATCCCAGAGACCGTCTTTTGCCTACTTAGTAGACAATGCTGTATCTTCCTCCACACTCTCTCCCGAAGATTTGACAGCTTCCGCCGATACCCCCGAAGACGACGACAAATGGCTCGAGGTATCGCCTGACGAGCTCGACGGGTTGATGTTGCGTGCTTCTGGTCAGGACGGCACGAAAGGCGCACCGGGAAATAAAGAGCGTATGGAAGTGGGAGAGGAACACGGGCAGATGCTTGGCGATCTGGCAAAGAAGGTGCAAGATTTCGTTGGGGGGCAAGGTGATATGCAAGGCGCGAGATTCTTGGAGTGAGTAACGCTGCATTGCTAGCTACCCAAAATCAGACACTGACTAGTCAACTCAGTGAGCTCTCGGACGAAGATATGATGGATTCTGGGTCTGACTCTGAAGAGGACGAGGAACTCCAAGCCCACAAAAAACAACTCGAATCCGAGAAACAATCCCGGCTGAGTAACCTCGTGCCCAACCTTGCTGCAGAAGATTGGGGTCACAAGACTTCAAAACCTCCTGCACCAAAGCCCAACACCGAACCCGCGGCGGCTGCTCAGCCTACCCAGACCGAGAAGAAGGCCAACCCCTTGGATTTTATCCCTTCCACCATGCGTCCCCCTCGATTCGCGAAACAAGAGTTCGACGGCGTCGTCTCGGATTCCGATGACGATGATGAAGATGACGGACAACTGCCTGCGGAAGGAACATGGGGCCGAAAGATTGCGCAAATGAAATGGGGCGATTTCCCGCCTGTTGATGGGGAAGATGATGACGGCGTGGCCAAGATTGAGGAAATTGAAGAGGACGAAGATGAGCAAGGGAGAAAAGAAAAGCTGGTGCTCGAAGACGAGGCATTGGAAGAACAGATGAAACGCCGGGTATGGGGAGAGGATGAAGCAGAAGAGGATGAGGATGATGAGATGCCGGAGGATATCGAGGACGTGGAAATGGAAGGAGAGGGGGACGAGACCCAGAAATTCCTCGACTTCTCTCGGGAAGCGCTGGGTATCAGTGATGAGATATGGGAAGGGATTCTGCAAGAAAGAAAGGACCGTGGGTCATTCGTGCCAGAACTCAAGAAGAAGGAGAAGATCGCAGCAAAGGAAGAAAATAGAAATTTCGAAGACAAGCCGATAAAAGCTGGTCAGGGAAAGAAGGTGCAGTTCTCGGAAGAGAAGGTGAAAGTGGCGCCTGAACCAGGGCAGCCTAACGCGTCGCTTGACTCGTTCGACTCGGTCATGCGAGCTATGGACGAAGCCCTCGCTCAGTCCCGTCCCTCTGCGCCTGCCCCCGCACCCATACCAGGCTCCAAAGCCCCCAAAAAGTCCAAATCCAAAGTCTCTTCAGCCAATCCTCTCCCCCCTGCTCCCCCTGGAGAAGACATCGACTTTGACAATTTCGACGAAGATGATCTTCTCGCCATGGACCGTGAGCTCCGCTCCGTCCTCGTCGGCGCGGGCGTGGACCCGGATGCGTTGTCTGATGATGATGATGATCCGGAGGAAGTGGGAATGTTGGATGGAGAGGGCAGGAATGAGTATGAGATGATGAAGAACTTTTTGGAAAGTTGGAAAAGCCAGGGAGGGGAAAGTGGAGCTGTTGGAAATTTGTTTGGGAGGTTGGCGCAAGATAAAAAGTAGCTTTCTAGTCACAGCGATGCCTTTCATGCAGATGTATGCTACTAGCAAATGCGATAGTTTCGCAATGACACATAGATCTTGATGCATGTACTCTTCTAATCTCCCATTACATCTCCATACCTTCAGGAGCCGCCTCTCCCATGGTCTGCACACCACCACCCTCCTCTCCTGGTCTCCTAGCACTGACAATGTCGTCCACACGAAGCAATAACGTAGCAGACTATAGAAAATCAGTTTCGATACATATAGCAGGGATGGAAACGCACCTCAATGGCAGTCTTCAGTGTCTGGATCTTGACACTAGCACTTTCCAAGAGACCATAGGTCTGCATATCAACCACCTTACCAGTGTCGCCATCGACACCGAACATGTTGTGGCCCTCCGCGTGCTTGGCCTGGAGATTGTTAGCTGACTCCCAAAGGGTAGCAAGAAGAACCCACTCGAAGCTCGGTAAGAGTCCTAATGGCATTACCACCACAGTTTTGCACCAAAGTCCTGGGGATCACCTCCAAGGCATCCGCAATAGCCTTGTAAGCCGCACCCTGAGGACCCGGCAGAACCTTGGCCTTCTCTCCCAGATCCACCGAGATGGCCATCTCGGTCGCACCACCACCAGGCGAAAGAATGGGGTTGAAAACCACATTTCTAGCCACAGACATCGCATCCGCAAGGTTTCGGTCAATTTCATTGAGAATGTCTTTGGAGGGACCACGAAGGAGGATGGTACAAGCCTTGGGGTTGGAGCATTCGTCGAGGAAGGCAAAGTACTCGTCACCGAGCTTTTCAATGTGGAAGAGACCACATTGAGTTCCGACGTCGGTTTCACGAAGGTCCTCGACACGGTTGACGATGGTAGCGCCGACGGCACGGGCGATACGGTTGTTGTCAGACTTTCGGACTCGTCTGAGGGCAGTGATGTCGTGTTTCAGCAGGTAGTGCTGGGCCAGATCTGCTTGAAATCAGTGATAATTCTCTTACAAGGCAATGCGACATACCAGAGACACCCTTCTCGGTGAAGACAAGGTCGGGCTTGAACTCGACAATTTTGTCGCACATAGCCTTAATCTGTTCCTCCTCAATCTGCAAAACTCTGTTCCAGTCTTCCTCCTTGGAAAGCTCAATGTTGGTCTGCGACTCGCCCTTCTTGTACTCGAGCGGGCAGTCAAGAAGCACCACTCGAGGGTTCTGGATCCGTCTCCTCATCTTGGGGTGGGTCACATCCTTGTTAATCATCACACCAGAAAGGACTCGGGACTCCTCGATCTCGCCTCCAGGAACCTTTTCGACTCGGGCATATCTCTTGAGGTCAACAGTCTTGATGTTGACCTGGTCGCCACCCTCGCCGCTGCCCACGAGCCCGTTCTCCGCCTCGGCGGTGACAGCTACCGTCCTGACGGCCTCCAAAGCAAGCTGGCACATCAAATCAGACCATCTGGACGAAAACTTGGTACCGATAGAAGTCTTGATGAGGGCGAGCATTTGTTGTTCGGAGGTGATGTCGACTGGGACAGAGACACGCTGGATAGTATCGAGGGCATCCGACAGCGCAGACTTGAAGGCGCGGATGATGACGACGGGGTGGATATGACGCTCGAGGAGGGGAAGGGAGTAGGCGAGGATCTCACCAGCTGCAACAAGTGTAAGTGGGCTTCGACAAGCAGGACAATGCTCTTACCAAGGATAATGACACTGGTAGTACCGTCACCGACTTCTTCGTCCTGCGTTCTAGAGAGCTCAATCATACTCTTGGCCGCTGGGTGGGCAACATCGATTTCACGGAGGATAGCGTGGCCATCGTTCGTGAGCCTTGTGTACTCGTTAGCATCGACCGTCATAGATGAAATGTATCATGGAGCTCACAAGATACCTCCCATAGGGTCGAGGATCATTTTCAACATAGATTTGGGACCGAGACACGTCCTGATAACGTCCGCGACAGTCTACATATAATCAGCGTCTTTTCGAAAGCACCATTTGGTAGACACACCTTGGCAGCTACGATGTTGGCGGTTTGAGCTTTTCTGCCGGTCTGGCGCTCAGGGCCGGTGTCTGGGGCTGTCAGCGCTGACTCTCCTGGGGCACATGGGACTCACTCATGACCACCATGGGCATTCCTCCTGGGCCTTGCATTTTTATAGTTTTCGGGTGTTCAGAGTTAAATGGTGTCAGCGAAGAATCGACGGAAGACACGAGAGCGCGTTCGTGCAGGCTTATGTAAGCACCCATTATCACTACACGTCAGGATTTTACTCTCCTCTGACATTTCGCCCATTCTTCTCCCGACTATACTCCACTCGCAGCCGCCATGCACCCCACCGGTATCGCCCTCAGACGATCGACCTGGAAAGGTGAGCAGCTTGATTAGCCGGATTCTGCTAACCCGTTCTAGGTCCCTTCTTCACTGCCTTCCCTTCCCTCTCCCACCATCTCAAATCCTCCACTCCCATCTTTACCAAATCTCGTGCTTGCACCATCTTACCAAACTTTGTCGGTATCAAATTCATGGTGCACAACGGAAAGGACTACCTTCCAGTCACAATAGCGGAGGAGATGGTCGGACACAAGCTGGGAGAATTCTCGCCTACAAGAAGACCATGGAGTTACAGGTGGGTCGCGAAGAGAATTACGGTGTTTCGAGAATTTGAGAGCTGACAACGATCACAGGAAAACCAAGAACTAGAATCCTTATGGCTGTATGCTGTTGTATATCCCGCATGAAGATACCCGTCTTATTTCGCCGCAAGCTTCGCAACAAGCAAATCACATGGACATTACGACGACGATCATGCTGGAGCAAAGGGCTCTACGTAACATGAAACGTCTACCTTCAGGATCACATCAGGCGTGACTTCTGCCAACTCGCCACTGGACGATCCATGTCAGCATGAACTTCCAGGAGATCATCATTACTCACCTTGGTAGCCAAGTCCATCAAGATATTGGCCGCATCAATTACATCGTCCACTTCCGTCTCGTCCGACGATGAATCATCAGAACTTGCTTTGCTCGCTGACCTTTGATGATTCTTCAGTCCCGCCTCGTCACGCTCAAACTTGGTATTCGTCAACCTTGGGGACATGTTGGACATTCTCTTGGGTCTGGGAAAGCCGTGTTCCGATCTCCAGAGGCCGCACGCATTGCAGACGATCTTTTCTGATTCGTCTTTACCTGCATCGACGTTGGTGCGCCACAGACTGGTCTCTTCCTGTACAAGAATATCAGCTTGTACCATGACATTTCCGACAACTTACCTCATTGCACCCGCAATTGGCGCACCTCCCGGGCCTAAGTATCCTCCTCTTTTTAGGCTTGCCTGAGGTTGGAGCTCTAGGGCTATCCTTGGCTGCTAAAGGCCTCTTCAATCCCTCGGTCGTGTCATTGAGAATGGGACGGATGGGGACCTGCGTCTCCTGGTTTTGGTACTTCATGCTTGTTTTATAGAGCTTTTTGGGGTTGTGTAATGGCAGTGATGGCTTGAGAGGGCCCAAAGGGGCTGAAGAGATGAGATGAGCTTGTCGAATTCACAAAGAGAAACCCATCTCGTTCTTATCTATCTAGCTGCGGCCAACTCAGGTCATGAACGTCACCAACTTCGACTCCAGCCACGGTGAGACACCACCATCCTTTACATCTCATCTCACCAAAATACCCACAGAAGCAGCACAAAAGAGCGTTTCATTATACAGTTCTTCTTTACATGTTGCCTCCCTCCCATCTCGTGTACGAACGCAACTCTATACCCGGCAAGCAGGGATGTTGTGAAGGGCTAAAGTCAGCTTAGCACAAGGGAGACGTTGACCGGCGGATGGATGTGGGGTCAAAGGAGCCTAATGGACTGTGCAGATACTCGAGACAATCTGAGTAGACCTTTTCTTCTCGACCTTTCATCATGAAACTGAGAGTCTCATGGGGAAGAAGAGGGAAGATGGTCTGGGGACGTATGTACCGAGCCGAAAGAGCGGTCTCCAACAATGCCCGCAACATGCTATATTGCAAGAGAGCTGTATGTGGCTACAGTTTCATCCTTATGAATGGTATAGCAGATGCATGAAAAAAAAAATTGCATGATCGGCTGGTTGAATGCCTTGACCGAAAGCAAGTTGCTTGTCATTGCTCCTTCCCCTAATGACTGGCTCGACACAAGCCCCTCGTCCTGCGTCGAGCCCTCCTCTCCTCCGGCCGACGCGCGGGGCTTGCGTCGAGCCAGCCCTAATGATATCTTCGTCGCCGGACAACAACAAATTAAATCGTGACACAACTCCGGTTTTCAGAGAGGACCGTGCCGGTATTTGTCCGGGTGATCTCGCAGCGTAAGTAGTCGACAGAACAAAGGGCTTGCCCTCGACTTCTGTGGCCTTGTAGGGGGTGAGTTGCACGGAAACGAGGCCTTCCCTCGACACCCGCTTTCTGGATGGGATAACGTTGGCACCACCATATCTACTGAGCGGCGCCCGCAATATGAGGTTGGCTGACTCAGAGGAATCTTCGACCCGAAACGCACTCTTCTGTCCTGGAGCTGTGCGTAACGACTGAGATACGGAGATGATAAGTCATAGACGCTTCGACTGACATTGGCAGTGTACAAACAGTTTTACATTTTACTATCTTGTCGTCCCATTCCATTTCCGGTCCAACCTTGCTTCGAAGCGCAAGCCTCTCTTCATGGTGCTTGTGCAGCACTATTCTGCGGCCCTCAAGATCCTTCTGCCATGCTCGCGGAGGAAGAGGTGAGCACTGTGCTCCCGCTATGGCTGGCTGCAGCTGACGAGGATCCGTCATGGGTGTTGTCACGTTGTAAGGGATGGGGTTCCGGGCGAGATGGCTCATTTCGGGTCATTTGTTTGATAGGTCTATTGGTGTCCCCGCGAGCTGCTGTCGAGTGGAAGGATGGTGGTGGCGACAAAGTCGCTGTTTTTTCGTTCTTTCCGCCATCATGCATCAGTGTATGTCAGCCAGCAAAGTGATTAGGAGGGCTCACCTTGCGACTGTTCAACTTGAATCCTTGATTCGTGAAATGCTCTGCCAGTTCTGTAGACTTTGGCAAGCTCGGCATCCTGACATTGTATGAGCACGGTTGCGATGCGTCGGAAAAGCTAGTTGCTTACTGTCTCGGGGGATATATGCTAAACGGCTGAGATCTACATTCTGCCAGATGAGGGACAACAGAATTGCTGTCTGTAACAGCCGACATGTCAAAGCACCGGAAGCGTATCGAATAGCGACCTTCCTGTCGAACGCAGAGGTCCTATGACCGGATTAGCCTCTGCAATTTGCAAGATCGCAAACTGGATCCGGGCTCACTGTAAAGAGGAACCATGTTCCCATGGAGCCCACCAGGTCTGGGACCCTCACGGCAGGTACGTGAAGATTGCCATATAGATTTCTTTCCTCAACTGGAGAAATGCCACCGGCTCGTGCATCTTCGTTCTCCGAAGTTGCAGAGTCCTCTCCGGAATCCACCTCCACCTCTTGCCTCCGTCTCTTCTCCGCCTTTCCCCTTTTACCAGAACGGCTGGACGTTTTCGGCGCCACGGGTGGATGGCGCTTTCCGTGAGTTGATTGATCAGACGGGGGTAATATTTCCGCAGCACATATCAAATGGAAAAATTCAACAGGGCTGTAGTGGAAAGGAAAATAAAGATGACGAGGAGATGTCAGCGGATTCTCACACAACGTGCGGCAAGTCGCACTCACTCCGCTTCAGCGATCCCCTCATGGCTGGGCGAGTCAGGCTCATCGCGACATTCTACAGCCCGAAGCCTGATGATAGGAGCGGGACCCAGAGGCCTTCGATCCTTTTCCGTCTTCCGCCGCCCAAACAGTGGCTCTTGTTCGACAGTAAGAGCAAACCTAGGGATTTCAAACGGTACGGTCAGCACCCGTCATGACGCTTAAGTCCATCGTGCGACTCACTTCATGAGCTTGCCCGCATAGATGCCATCGATATGAAGCGGCGGGGTATAGATAAGTATTGTATTGTGGCTGTCAGAAGTATGGGAAGGAGAGACATGATGAGGCGCGGATGATGGTTGGGTGACACCTCCGCCGCCAGCGGATCGGGCGGCGTTGAAGCCAGACGCGTGTGCGGACTGGATTTGCTTTTGCGGCAGTGGAGGGTCTGTGGTGAGAGGCGGCATAGCCTGCTGAAAAGGGGAAAAAAATGTGTGACAGCTATTATGGAGCTTCTGGGTTGGAAGCCGCCTACTGAAGAATGTGGTCCACGAGAGGCGTCGACTGGTGGCGGCTCAGAGTGCTTGGGGAAGCCCGGGAATGTCGTGTTCGGCCATGGGCTGAGGGTGGCACGGGGCGGGGCAGGGAGGCTGAGCAGTGGGAAAAGAAGACGATAATAATTCGGGATGCAGCATCCGTGATCGTTGTCGCTCCTGCGCTAAAATATAGCGGTCGTCGGTGGGACCTGATCACTTGGGGAATCCCTGGACGGGATCAAACTAATCGGCCTATCAAGCAGCGTGGTGATGGTGCTGACGACTTTCATGACTCAGCGTGACGCAAGCGTTGCGCAAGCGTCGTTGTTTGTACATTTTTCCTCCTTTCATGCAAGTGCTCGTATGCATATGTTCACCAGCTGCACGGCCCAGCAATGACCCTGGCATCTCCTGACGCGTCTGCAGTGTTCTCCTCGTGGCCGCATTCAGCCCTGGTGGCCGTACGTAGCGCCCAAAGCTAAGCCACCTCAAATGAAAGGTGATCAGATGTCGTAACGATTCATACATAGGCCTAAAAGGTCGATAATCAGTGCTCGAATTTGCCATCCACCATACTACGCGCAAGAGACCGAAGACCGCTTCTGTCATATGATCGACCTCCGACATCAATCGCCGGCGCTTATGTACAGGTACAAAGGCTGTGTCCATGCAGCGACAAAGATATGTTCTTCATGCAGATATGAAATGCAATCGCTGCACAGCGACTACCCCTTCATCTTCTTGCAAGTAGCTTCCACATCGGCACTGCTGAACTCCAAACCCAAACCCGACTCGGCATAACTCCTTGCCACTATACCCTGCGCCTTGAGCACATCCTTCGCCAGCTCTTTGGTGACCTCCTTCCAGACGGCACCGATGAGCACCGCATTGGCAGCTGACGAAGCAACAGGGTCGTCCTCATCTGAAAAGTGCTTGTCCACCCGGCGAGACATGGTCTCGACGGCTTTGCGCATATCTTTTGCCCCGTGCTCTTTGAGGACCTTTTTGAGGGCTGAGCGGTTGTATGACTGATGTAGCGAGACTTCGTTGGCAGGCGTGCTTTTCAAGAGTCGCTCTACGCCGTCGAAAAAGTCCTGAAGCAGACGTCAGCTTCAGACAATAGAGACACCCGCGACATACCATGAATCGAGCAAATGACCTTCGCATCAACATTCTGATGTAGGTTGTCAAGTTCTCTTGATAGAGATTTTGAGCGCGCTGTAAAGACACGACCAAGGGGGGGCAATATAGCTGCGAGACGTCCTCCACGAAATGATACATGTTTTCTAGTAATCATCAGCTCATATCACCTTTGTTGATGGGTCCAGCTTACCGATCATGATGACATGGTAGTTCAGCTGTCCCTTATCTTCGGTTGCCTGCCCATCCGCGCGGTCCATCTTGGCCAACTGTTGAAGAGCATTGAAGATGGTCTCGACAATGCTGTCGTACATGTTGTTGACACGCTCTCGTATGGGCAAGTCGTCGAACCCTTCCATTTGCGACTCGACGCGCTCGACAAAGACAGGGAAGTGCTTGATGAAGAAGGTGACGCCCTTTCGCTTTTTGACAGTGAGGGTCTGCTTGGAAGCTACAATAGCCCTGATTTGATCATTCTGTCATACTCGTCAGCATCGTCCAAGCGACGTGAAGGATACCACTCACCGTGAACGCGTCGAGGATCATCCTCTGCTTCACCAGTTGTTTTTCAAACAACGAAGTAAAGAACATTGAAGTATTCTCATCCGCAGCTTCTCGCGCGATCCTCTCTGTCACTCCGATGATTCCGACCACCGCCACGGGCCCCCTCTCCACTGCCGCCTCCACCCACTGCTTCAACTCCAACTCCACAAACCCAAAGATTAAATCCATCATCGACCTCACAAGCTGCATCATGCCCTGGCTCATTCCCTTACTCGCGTGACGAGCGGCCTGACGTCGGAAATAAGAGTCGAGCTCCATATAATCGGCAAACGTCGAGTCGGTATCGGTGAGGTGGAGGAAGGCGTTGATAAAGTCTTCTTCAATGACAACTTGATTGATGATCTCGGTGAGGGCTTGGTTGTAGAGCTGGGAGGCACGTTTGGTTCCAGACGAGTCACCGCGGCGCTCTTGCTTGGCTGCTGATCTATCTCCATGGAGACCACGGCCGATGACAGTCTTGGACTTTTGCAGGGCTGAGGGTCTAGTTGTGGAATAGCCCGTCGCGGAGAAAGCTATCATGTGTCAATAAGAAGACTCATAAGCACTGGGGCACCCTTACCAGCATCGGAACCGGCGTCTCCAGCAGTCGCATTCAAAGTCGTCATAAAGCCCATCAAGAGATCTTTCATCTCTGCCTGATGCAGCTGACTGATCGTCGACATGTAATTCTTCCCATCATCAGCAGCCATACCACTCTGATAGATTTATACTCACCGAGCACAGTTTCTGGTACCTCGCTTCATCCATCTCTTTGACATACAGCACCAGGCCCGTATACCCCATCAAATACTCTCCCATGGTCTGATGTGGCGCCAAAGCACCCTTGGTGGACTGTTTACGGAACTCGGCGAGAGTAGAGTCAGACTGATATCGGAAAGTGACGTCGAGATAGTCGGATATGCGTTTGCTGAATGCGTTAGATTGGGTGCGATATTCTTGCATTCGAGCGATGGTGGCTGCGACTTCGGCGTTTGCTAGGGGCAAGTGAGCACGGGCGTCTTGTCTATGGTGAAGGACTCACCAGAGTCCATACCGGCCTGAAGAGCCTTGTACAAGGACGCCGCAGCGCTCTCTAGGGATTTGACACCTCGATCTGTCGAAGGCGACTCTTGAGCAAGAATCTGTAGATCCGAGGGAGGAACTTCGACGATTTGCTGATACACACATCAACCTCGTGTCTTTTTCGACGTCTTCTGGGACTCACTAGAAGTTGACGCAACTCGTTGAGCAGAGCCTGTTGGTTGGATGTTTGTACCTGAATACCCTTGCCTTGGGACTCGATGTAGGAGATATCTTCAGATACGGCCTAGTCGTCGTCAGTTGTTGCACTTCACGCCGTTTTGTTACTCACGTTGAGCTGCATCCTATATCCCGTTATTTGTATGTCAATATCCTCAAGGTCCATGAGCGCTTCGTCGATATGCCCGAGCACCTGTGCTGTCCGATCATCAGACTCCAAGAACGCATGGATATTGGCCGACTCCAAAGCCAAGAGCTCGTCCAGCAGCCTCCCCTCTATAGCGTCCGCCCCCTTTTTTCTCCTCTCTAATGAACCACCCATTGCTCCAGCTCCGAATCCCCAGTCGAACCCTTCCAGCATCTCCTCGACATTCTTGAGCACGGCATCGTCTCCGCCTTCGGTATCATCGATTGTCATGCTCGCGGCTCCTGGTAGTAACCCAGTACGTCCTTGGAGAAGTACGTCTCGAGAGATGGTGGTGTCTAGAGGGGGCGGGTTGAAAGATGCGCGTCGACTGCGGGTGGCTGAAGTGGCCGAAGAAGGCGACAAGGCTGATGAAGATTGGGAGGGTGCCGAGAGATCGGTGGTCATGATTTTCGGGGGAGCCAGTGCTTTCTGTTTGGGCGCAGGAGCAGCCTCGGGAGGGGGAGACGGCTCTCTGATAGCTGGCGGTGCAGGAGCTGGTGGCTTCTTTTCGCGCCGTGTCGATGCCGGTGGGATCTGGTAGCCCTCCGCCTCTGGTACGACGCCCAGATCGCTTTCCGTCTTTCGCATCCTGACCCCCTCGTTTCCTCCTTGTTCATATTCGGAAACAGCAGAGACGTTCCGGAGGTTACTAGGCCCGAGCTTGTCTGCTCGGTCGTCTGACATCTTTCTTTGCGCTGGGGGCGGACCCATACCCAGAGGTTGTCCGGGAGTGACCCTTGGAGAAGGGATGCTGTCCCCGGACGGCCGCCTGACAAGATCAGGCATTCTATTGAGTGCGCCAGCACCAGCCGAGCTAGGTGGAGATCGTTCATCATCGATTGACGGTCGGCCAGCTGTCGGAGGGTAGTTGCTGTTTTGCGTATTGGCCGAGTTTAGAGACGAGAATGATCCAGATCTCTCGGTACGAGCCAAGAACTGCGGAGGTGCAAGGTCGCCAGGGCCCATGCGTGGGACAGGGAATGCCGAGGGGGGAGGTTCTGACGAAGGGCTTGCTACTGCTGGCGAGAGCTGCTGGGCTTGTGATTGGGGCGGGCCTTGCTGTGGGGGTGGAGAGAAGTTGATGAGTTCGGGGAGACGGCCGTTGGTATATGATCTGTACACCCTGGCGATAGTAGACAGAAAGTTGGTCTGATCTTTCGGGCGTTCTGTAGACCAGCGATACCGCCGCGAGGTCATTGTAAGAGCAAACTCAGAAGGCTGGAGTCGAGATGAGCGGCAGGTCGAACGCGACACTGTGTCGTGCTCACCGAGATGACCTCCAGCACCCTGATATCTTCCATGTTCCATGTCTTGCCCTTGGAGAAGGACAGATTGCTGTTACGCTTTGCCTTGTGGATGACGACTCTGCCCGACTTGCTGACTGCCCAACCATCAGAACGTCACCTCGCAGCACGACTCTACGCACCTGCCAGTATGAGGTACCTCGTCTTGGAGCCGCCGTCTGCTTCTATCTCGTATATCTTGAGGAAGCCGATGAGGGTCTCATCTGGAGTGCCGTCTGGGCCGCGTCGGGCGAAGAGGGAGGAGTTGATGTGGGCTCTGATGTCGTCCTGGGATGTGGAGCGGGCGGAGGAGGACATGCTGCTGCCCCGATGTCTCTGTTTTTCTGTTTCTCTGTTGGATGCTCTGTTGCTTCGACTTGTTGCCTTGTTCTGCATATGACAACAACAACATGAGATGCTCCTCCGAACGTCGGCCACCGCCGCCAGTGACTTGCGAGTTCTGACTTGTACATTCAAAATCAATGTACATTATTTCCAAGTAGAATATCGAGTCACTCTTACATCTACATTATCCAGGATGTCTGCAAGTACCGTTCTCCTCAGCTCAGGCCAACTTATCAAACAGGGCGCAGAGGCGGCAAGTCATCTACCATCAGCGCATGATCACGAGCTGACCTCCCTTAGAAAGTTTACCTCGCCCCTTCACTCTTGCCAGAACCAACTATCTACTGGCCCCCCTCATCTTCATCAAAGTCAGAATCACCCAAAGAACTCCAGGAAGGTGTCATCTTGAAACACCGATTCGCCAAGACATACCGTCACCCTACCCTCAATGCCTCCCTCACTTCCACTCGCCTCACATTTGAAGCCCGAGCTCTGAATCGTGCCGCCAAAGCCGGCGTCGTTGTACCGAAAGTGCTCTGGGTGGACGATAAGGGTGGTGTGATTGGTATGGAAAAGGTGGAGGGGTGGAGCGTGAGAGAAGTGTTGGGAGGTGGTGCCGAGGGAGAGGTTGAAGTGGTGGAAGACGAGCCGGAAGAGGAGGTTGAGGGTGGACCTGGGCAGGCGAAAGAAGGCGAAGAGCTTGACGACGAGGAAGAGCAAAACGAGGGAATGGTGGCGCTTGGAAAGCTTGGAGTCAGCCAAGGTATGTGTCTGACGCATTTGGTTACATTGCTGACTTGCTATTCAGAACACCTCATGAGATCAATAGGGACAGCCCTCGCCCGCTTACACAAGACCACCATCATTCATGGCGATCTGACGACATCAAATATGATGGTCCGACTGACGCCCAACAGCACAGGGCCATACGAGATTGTGATAATCGACTTTGGACTCTCTTCCACTGCCCAGTTCGCAGAGAGTTATGCGGTGGATCTGTATGTCCTAGAAAGGGCTTTTGCTAGTACACATCCCAAGTCTGGAAAGCTTCATGCCAAGGTGCGTCTGAGACACCCATTCGAAGCCGGACAGGACTGATTATAAAGTAGGTCTTGGAAGCATACGAGGAGGAGCTGGGAGAGAAAAAGTGGAAGCCCATCGGTCTCAAGTTGAAAGACGGTAAGCAGCTTCTCTGTCCCTCCTGGAAACCACTGACATAGATACAGTGAGATTACGAGGCAGGAAGAGAGACATGACGGGTTAAAGACATGTATAATACATTGTGCCATCATACAATCGAAAACTCTAAGGGTACAAATCAACACGTCCAATCCCAACTGTCGCCATTCTCACACTCTCCGAGACCGAGGCCCCACCATTGGTATACGACCCTCGCGACTGCCTCTCTTGCCGATATCGTCTGAGTCTCCATTCTGCGCGCGTCAGCCGAGTCATCCTGCTACAGACAAAACTCACGTAGAAACCCATCGCTCCATGCCCCCGAGATACTGCACCCCCTCCGTCAATTCCACCGCCGGGTACCCCGACACGGGTACCATCTTCGGATAGCTATCCCACTCCTTTCGCAGCAGCCACCCCGGCTCCTCCCCCAACATCTCCGTCAAGAACCTGTCTGTGAGTCTGGTGAGGGAAAATATCTTGACGGCATATTCAGGAGAGCCAGGGAAGATAGGGCCGTGCCATGTGATGGACTGGAACCTCGGAGGAGGGAGAGGGGAGGATTTGAGAGACCCGCGAGCAGGGGGGTGGGCGGAAGTGAGGATGGTGGACGGGATGACGGTGCCTTCCGGGAGACCAAAGAAGGAAGGAGCAGGATGGGGTTTGGTGGTGGTGATGTACGTGACATGCAGACGAACATAGGGCGTAAGGCTGCGTCACGTTAGTCCTTCGTTGTACTGATGTATATATTACTCGCGGTATGGGTTCTGTCAAACGGCTAGACACGCCCATGATTGAATCACTCTTCCAAGGGGCGGCCCAGAAGACAGAGTCTACCTCCTCATCCTGTGTGGCATTGCTCTTGACCACCAGCTTTCTCTTGCCATCCTTGTTAAACGGCACAATGTCATTGACGGTGTTGGCCAAGTGAAGGTCGACATTCGCATCATCGACCATGGAGCGGAAGATCTGCCAGTTGCCGCCTTCTATTTGAGAAGCCCCATTCGTGGCCATAGACACTCCGGCAGCGAGAGCCTGGATCTTGTCAATGTTCATAGCGTACTACTCAAAGTCAGCTTGGAATTAGGTCGCGGAGGATCGACTCACATTCACTCTCGTGCTTCCTTCCCACACTTCTCCAATCCACTTTTCTCCAACCCCCAAGACCTCCTTGGCCCAGCTCTCTCCGCTCCTCGATGTCAACTCTGCTCCCAGGCCAACCCTCTCGGCAAACTCATCAACACTACCCACCGGCCCTCTCTCTCGCAGCCAGGCCGGGTTGTAGAGCTGCTTGAATTTGAGCAAGAGCTTGTCGACGGCACGACGAGTGCGGAGGGGCGCCATAGGGCCGTAGCGCCAGATGGCGCGAGCAGAGGTGAGCCAGTCGGATGATGATGACTGGAAGAGGAACTGCTGCCCATCCCAGATGCCCACTCCAGATTCGCCAAAGTCGGGGTCGACTAGAGTCAAGTTAAATACCTGCTCGGATCAGCTTGGTGCACACAAGTGACAGGATGGCCTACCTTGGCCGCTTTCATCAGATTCTGGTTGGCCTCTACAAAGATGCTCGCTCCCAATTCTTGAGGGCGTGCTCTCTGGTCCCCATGAGGGTACACTGTGGTAGTCCTCCCTCCAATGTACCCTCCCTGTTCATATACGATAATGTCCCCAAGCAGGCTTCCCTCTGGCAGATTGGCTCGGCGTTCCGCTACACGAGCAGCCCGACGCATGAAGAAGGCTGCAGAGCTGCCGCTCGCCCCCGCACCCACAATCGCGACTCTCTTGGGTGTGGCATTGGCGGCGCCTTCTTTCAGATTGTATTCTTGGTCGTCGAGAGATAGGTCGGCCTCGGGGGGCAAGCCGAGCTGGCGGCGGGGGGAGGGCGCAAAGTTGTAGGAGAGGAAGAGGGCGATCAAAAGGACGAGGGAGATGGCAGTGAAGCGCTGGCGATTTGGAGTGGAGACGAGAGATATCAGAGCCATAGCGGGGCAGGTATTGTTGCTTCAAGAATGAAAGAGCGAACAGATCGAGACGGATGTCGGCGCGAGTCCGCGACCACCTTTGTCGAACTAATTGCGAATTGCATCTCAGCTTTCTATTGTCCTGTCCATAACCCAATATCGACATTCCCCCAGCGTTTCTGATACCGCCTTCATCGAACACACTCTTTGACTAGCTCTCAGATACTAGACCGGCCTCCACATGTAATTGCGACCTGCTGATTTGTGGGATGTTGGGACAGATCTGTAGAGAGCATTCCAATGCTCGTTGAAAGGGAAACAATGTTCCTTTTTATTCAGCCTCAAACAAACATCGGGAGTCTGTATGTTCAAAAACGTCCCAGGATCCAAAGATTTGCCGCAGGGGTGAGCACCATGATGCCAGGCTCAATAGCGCCTTGATGATGAGTATGGGTGGATTGTGGCGCTGTTCACTCGGCGATGCACTAGGATAGAGTAGTAGATTAGTAGATTTTGGGATGACGGGTGCGCGAGCCTTGCGTGCAAGTGCTTAGAGACAGGTTGGTATAAGGTCCGAGTGGCACTGCCTGACTGAGATAGGCAGGGCAGAATTCATGTATAGTTCAAGACTATCGTACACTCAACCCAAACAAACTCAATTGACACCAGGTATAACGCCTCAAATCCGAGTCATAGACAAGTGCCGCGCCTCGGTCTTCTCATGCATGCGTCTGCTTTCCTTGGCTAGCTTCCTCTGCATTGATCGCTTCTTGAACAGCGTCCGGGTGTCTGAGATGATGACCGATTTGTCCTCCTCGACAGACTTCGCGGCGCCGTCAGTATCGCGCCTTTCAAACCATTACACAAACATACCATAAGCCGCACTCGGTAGCCAGACAGTTCCTCGTCCAGATCTTCCAGCTTCTCGAGAGCCATATCCATGCAGAGCTGAAGGTATGTTGTAGCGTCCGAAGGGTCCAGCAGGGCTGAGAGGGTCGTCTTTCATGGCGTCAGTTGAAGGTCCTTGATTCACAGCCAGTACCCACAGTGTCTATACGTTCAATCTCCTGAGCGATCATACCCTCGCAGTTGGCGTTTCCCTGCTCTTGAATCTTCTCCAAAGCGTCCATCACCATGTCCATCACCTCTTCGTCCTCTCCTACCTCTTCTTGAAACTTGAAGACATCGACCTCAGCCGCGCGGGACGGGATAGCATGCAACAGACGTTGTCGAGTGGGTATTACCCGATCTGATTTCGAGGCTTTGGATTTGGGACGAATTGATCGGTCTTTCGGACGGTCTTTGATCGTTTGTGAGGGGGTGTGAGAGGTGACACGGCGACCAACGCTTGGCCTTGCGATGTTTGCAACAGGAGCGGCAGACATGTGAAGATGCGCTGCAGGATGACGGGCTTTTTGAGGAGTGGGGCTTGCGGGAGTGTGAGGTCTATCAAGATTCTTGGGGGACGAGCGAGCACCCGGCGGCGTACGATTGACGACGACCAGCTTCCTCTTGACCGGGCTCGGCGTCTGCTTCAAGACAAGCTTGATGGTTGGTTCGGCACGATCCTCATTTGGGGCAGAGGTAGTGATGACGGTGTGGTCTGAGGAGGTTTCCTGGGAGCGAGGGCTAGGTCTCGGGGAGGACGATGATCTGGACAGGCTGAAAAGGCTCTTGATGGATTTGCGGGGGCTGAGGGAGAGGCTGGTGATGCGGGCCTTCTTGTCTTGCTTTACTGGCGATATGAGTGCGCGAGAGAGGGGCGAGGCCATTGTAGGAGGGCGATAGGCAGGAAAGGCGTGTAGAGAGGTTGTTACGGATCAAGTGGAAAACCCGAAATCAAAATCAACAACGCGTGCGAATTGCACGGAGCGATGCTAGTCTCTCTTTGGTTCCCGCTTTCATTCTTCCGCAGATCGCAAACATGATCAAACATCCAAGATATATCAATTTGCATATTGTATATACATGCGCCAGACCACCAACTAGTCTAGCTTTGACAATCAAGTCACCCGCAAGACAGATATAAAAGGAAGAGACAGAGAGTAGACTATGGCGTATTCGAACGCCCTCTTACAACAAACACAGAGACTGACAGAAAAGCCCAAAACTACGAGCATACACCACCTATCACCCACGGGCCCGAGAAATGCGTTATCATGACATGAAGAATGTCTCAGCAACCTCCTCGTCCTCCTCCCTCATGCCCATAGTTGCCATCTTGCCCCTGACAGCTTCGGCCCCCGTCCTGTAGATCACGGGCTGACAAGAAACCCTGTTGAGCTTGATACGCTGCTGCTGAGCGATGCAAGCATCGTGGGATGTAGGTGGGCGCTTGTGAGATTCGCGACGGTCAAGCGGCTACATGACAAGGTGAGTCGAATTCCGACTTTTAATCTGTGAAAGTGAACTTACGCTCGAGAGATTAATCATAGACCTCCGCCAGCTCTTGCTCTTTGTGGATGCCAACCCAGAAGAACCAGGGCCTCCACCCATACCCATTTCGCTCAAATCAGTTGTTTTAGGTGGGCTGTGACTCCTCCTCGGCTGCAGCTTGGTCTCGCCCGCTCTTCCGGCAAAGACACTCGCCCTTTCCAATGATGATCCATGAGCGCTGCTGCGCGACTCGACGGGAGTGATCAATCGGTCTTCGTCGACTGTGGATCCAACAGACGACGCGGAGAGCGGCGTCTTCACTCGAAGGTTGGGCACCGAGGGGATGCGGATAGGGGAAGGCATTCGGTCCTCTGGCGCTCTTTGAGTGATCTGCCGAGGGGACACCTGAGCATCAGAGCTTGAAGACCTAGCAGGGGGAGCATTGGTGTTGATGGAGAAGCCTTCAAGCGAGAGCATGGCCTGAGCTTGGGGATTGATGGTGGTGTCCTTCTGGTCGGCAGCCGGTGCGATGACTGGCTCAAGAATGATAGGAGCCACGAGAGGTGAGGGCGGAAGTGGTATCTGGCAAGGATCGACTGGTCCTTGTGCGGCCGGTTGAACAGCTGAGATCGGAATCTTGCTCTCTTCCACCACCTTCTCTTCAGGGACGATCTCCTTTGTCTCTTTCTGAGCCTCCTTGATCTCCTGGGGCGCCACCTTGTCCTCGGTTTGTACAGCCTTGGAAGCTGATGCGAACAGAGTCTTCTTCTTCTCGGCTTTGCTCTTCTTGTCGCATCGCTCCTTCTCAGAAGACTGACCGGTGAGCTTGCGGAAGAATGCAGCGAAACCGAAGGATTTCGGCTTCTCTGCTGTAGCAACGACGGGACGACCGGGAAGAGTGGGTACTGGAGGGATGCTACAATCAGTGTAAGCTGGTTGCAATAAAGTCTATCAGTCGACTGACCTCTCTTTCTCATTCTGAGAATTACCCCGTTTTCTGGTCTTCACCTCACTCCCCTTGCGCTTCTTCAAGTTTTGCATCGACTTGCTAAGATTGAGCCTTAACCTCTTCTCGGAAGAGTTCTGGGACGAGTTCTGGGAAGGAGGACGAATGGGTTCTGCTGGAGGAGCCAGTTGATGCGAAGGCTCGGCGGCTGGAGTGGGACTGGTGGGCGTGCTTCGAGCGAGTGAAGGCTCGTCTGGAGTGCAAGTCGTCTCCTTTTATGAGGTGTGAGTGTGAGGCCTTGCGCCGAAGGAATCGAACCTACCACAACATCCTTCACCGGTCCTGTCGGCTCTTGGATTGGATCATGTGCTGCCTCCGTGTCGTCAACGACAACCGCAGCGGCCTCTCCCTCCTTGGCAGCTGACTCTGGCTTGACGGGTGTGTACACTGTGTTGCTTGTTGTCTCGGTGACTTTGATTTCCTCGGCGGAACTCGACCTTGTAATCGGTGGCTGAAGGTCGTGTGATTGGGAGGACATGGTGTGGGTCGTGGGTTGAACGGGTGTGGAGGTTGAACGGTCGATGATGCGAGGAGAGAAACTCAAGAGGGGATTGTTGATTATAAGGATGTACTTGTAGAAGATAGAGAACAGACGTCGCTGTTTATTGTTGTTTTGGACAGAAGCAGTGGAAATAGCCGATCGGTATGGTTTCAAAAGAGGCGTTCTCGTTTCGTGAGTTTGACCTCTCGCGCGTCTTGTGACCTTTGAGCTTCTTGTCGTGTAGATGTTTGTGTAAGACGGTGAAGAAGAAGAGAGATGTGTGAGAAAGCCCACGCAGTGCAAGGCTTTAGAGCTGCACTGACTGGCATTGCGGCTGAATGCGCCTGCTCTGACAGCAATCTTAAAGCTTGCCCCTCGAGCCAACGATATTCGAGAACATTGAGAAAAGAGACTTGCCCAAACAGGCGAGCCAAACAACATTCTGGGTGCTCAAAGGGACTTGATGCGCAGTCTGGGTACATACTTCAGCCCCATTAATCCCTGCATCTTCTTTGCTAAACTGCAAAGACTATGTAACGAGGTTTCAAAGCCGGAGCCGGAGATGTGCGACGTCCTCCCCCCCCTCCCTTCCAGGTTAGTATAGAGATGCATGTCGCTATATACCTGTCAGTAAGTCTCATCGCGTTTTGGATTCTGGGATATAAACACGACCGGAAATCCGCAAAAGGATACGCCGACAAAAATACAGGAACGACTAATAAGCCCCTCAGGCCCCAGGGTTACTTCCAAGGCACGGTGCTAACACCCGGTCCGGCCTTCTTCTTTATCATCCTCCATATACGTTGAGTGACGCTCAGCGCGAGGAGAGCAGACGCTGAAGCCATACAAAAGTGGCATGGGCAACACCCTTCAGTTCAGGTGCCTATCCTTTCAGTCTTATTGATCCTTTATACTTGGCTCTCTAACACACGACAGACTAGTAGGGGCGTGATGCTCGATCTCTCTCAAAATCACATCGCCCACCTCGCTGACCTACATCAATCATGTCGGCCCGATCGACTATATCGATAAGCCGATACAAAAGCTCCTCATTTGCAATGCCTATGCCTCTAGCTAGCTTGCTACCTCTACTCTTGATCGATTCAGCTTTCGCACTTCCAGCCGATTCTTCCTCCGAGACCGTGCAAGCTTCAGCGAGCACTGGAGCATCAAGCGCCAGCTCTGAGAGCAGTACCAGCACAGACTGTGATTACGATGGAAATGTCGGGTAAGCGGGTCCCACTTTCAGCCTTGCTGAAGCTCATTCCGCGTTTGCAGTGACTACCTCTCTTGCGCAAAGAGCAAGATATCTACCACAGCGTTGATCGGTGCAGGCATCGGTGTGACCCTGGGTGTCTTTGTTCTCGCTTTCGGGTGCATCTGGATCACCAGGAAAAAGCGAAAGAAGGTGACCGATGACAGGGACCAAGATGCAGACGAAGGCGAAGAAAGCGGTATCGATAGCGAGAAGGTCAGTAAGAGAAGACGCGCGAGACAGAGGAACAGGGAAGAAAGCGAAGCAGAAGATGACTGGAGACCAATCAAGCTGAGAGAGGATGAACCTCCGACATATCAAGAGGCGAGGCGGAACCACGGAAAGAAGGGAGGCAGTCACTGCGATAATAATACCGACTCATCCAGTTCCGAGCTCGATCCTCTGCCGAGGAAAGGCGGTCCAAGGAAGGGCAGTAGAGATACGATTTATTCGCAGCGCGCTGTTCGTCCGGCGCCTTCTGTTGCTCAACCTTCTCTCCAAGCTCCTTTTGGGAACAGTGGCTCACCTGGACAGGAAGCAATCATGAGTGGAAGGCAATTGTATCCTTCTAATCCGTCACCAGACCCTCGACACCTCCAGCCTCGTCAGCATCAGCAGCCTCCCACTAACGCTGCCCGCGATAGCGTCTTCTCAACATATAGCACGAGACCACCCGCTCGGGGTCCCCAACCTGCCCTCCCATCAATGACCACTGCCCGAGCGAGCGTCTCGTCCTCCTTCACCTCGAGACAACCCAGCAGAGGTCCTCAGCCGCCGTTTCCGTCAGCTATGAGATCCTCAGTACACTCTCGAGCCCCTCTTCGGGGCGCAGCAGGATCCAGACCGACATCGACCGTGTCTTTCTCCAAAGAACAGCCGAGCACGCTTGACGTACCACCAATGCCTGCACTGCGCGGGCAAACATCTGCGCCTCGACGCGATCGCCCTCCAACACGTCTGTTGAGATCAGAGCCGCATACTCCCGCACCTTTGCAAGCTCCTCTTGTCCAGGCACCTGCTTTGCCGTCTTCTCTCCTCACCAGCAACCCTGCAAATCTCACAGCACCGCTCAACATTCGAAAGTCAGTCGTGCCCAGCAATTACATACCATCATACTACCAATCCTCCTCGAATAGACCAGAGTCTGCAGAGACTTCCTCTCTGCCGTTCTTGTCCGACAAGTCTGACGAGTCTCCTCCGGATCCGTCGATGAAACCGGTACCCGTGGAAATGCTTTCGCCCTCGTCGGACAAGAGTACACTCAACTCGGCTCGACTTGAGAACAATATGAATGCTCGAGAGCGCCTCAGTAGTGGTTCGGAAGAATCGAGGATGGGACCTATATCAACCGTATCACCTTTCAAAGGCAAGACGGCGCCGGCGAGATTGTCGGGATCAACAGGAGCCAGAGATGGGGGGCAGAAGCCAATGAGTCGAAGGCGAAGTGAGACCGGAGGAGTGATATGATTTGCGAAAGATGAATGGCAGTGACCGACATGTATCGAATGGTTGTAACGATCTAGATCTATCTGAATTCTGCAAAGTCAGCCTATACTGAGCCGGCAACTCGACCCGCATTGGATATACGAAGGTATCAGTCAAAATCAAACACCAGCCCTTTTCGGATAGTCCCAGCTCACAAAGATGCATCTTGCAGCATCTCTTTTGTCTAGACCATTCGCCCCTTGGCCTCGGCGACCTTTTTCTTCAACTCTTCTTGGACACCACCCACAGTGCCGACCTTGTCTTTATGCAGGTCGATCCCTTCAAGAGGCTTCTCGAGGGCCAGCGCCTTCTCCTGAACATTGGGTGCGGGGCTCAAAGCATCCCCGACCTTCTCTCTGACAGCATCCACGATACTATCCACCTTCTTTTCCGCCTTCTCGGCCGTACCGCTCTCACTAAACTTCTCCACGACGCCGCGGCCAGCCTCCACGACCTCTTGGCCGATGACCTGCCAGTCTGTCTGACGCGCACTGCCGACGAATGATGTAAGGGTGTCGTTCCATCGCTGGCGGAGGACTTGGGAGAAGGGAGGTGGGGCAGGCGAGGAAGATGAAGGTCCGATGAGGGCGGCTTGGGCTGGTGGTGTAACAGGGTCAAAGGAATGGTTCAGGAGGGCGGAGGAGTTATGCAGACTGTAATGGTATTGTCAGTGCAGTCCAGAAGCGTAAGCAGAACGAAGAAATTACTCTGATCTGAGGGATGCGGTGGTGGCTGTCAAGTGAGTAGACAGAGTGTAGTAGACCGCGGCGGCAGCAAGCACACCTGATCCGGTACCAAGGACAAATCCAGACATGGAAGAGACAGAAGAGGGTCGGGTCAATGGGGTTCGGGGAATGTGCAGCGTATAGAGGCTTTGAATCGCTGGTGAAAGCAAGAGGTGATAGTCGTCCCGTGCGACGTCACCGTTTATGAATAGCGGAATCAATTTGCGGGTGCCATATGATGATGTATGTAGTTTTCTCAACCTGCTCTTGACCTCCTACAATGCATCGTTGTTAGGGGGAGTTAGAGTGCGCACTGGCATCCGTGTACCGGATGGCATGAATCGAGCTGTATATATACATCTTCGTCTTGAATTTTCTACCCGGCCGTGAAATGACAGTCACCCAACGAACCTACGACATTGCTGCTGCAGCAGTGATGCGTCTTTCAGCTTCAACGAAGTTTCGATTACTATACTCAGACCTTGCCAAAAAGCTCCATCAGAAAGAATGATGAACAGCTAGCGGAAGCTGGAGAAACATGATTTAGACTAGATATAGCATATGTGTCCTAGGTAGCTTGATGGCGGCAACTTCACCACGTATACAACAGAAACGGGGTCAGATCTACTGATGATGGGCATAATTACATCTATCCCCGAATGGACAGCTAGGAGATTCAAGCTATCAGTACATCATCATGTTTGCAGCATATTGTCGACTCACTTTCCTCGCCGCCAGTGGTGGCATGTCTTTGTCTGCTTCAACTCCGGCTTCCACTGCGCCTTTCTTTTCTTCGAGCTCTTTTTCCAATCCGCACCACTATCACCTGCATACTCGTTCCCATACGCACTAGGCCCCGCTGACGCATTGGCCCATGCTTCTTGTCCGGGGTAATGTTGCTGAGCGGCAGGGTAGTAATTACGGACGGAAGGTTGCGGGATGGGGATGTTGAGGTTGGCTAGAAGAGCTTGAATTTGATTCTGATCAGGAGGAGGGGGAGCAGCAGGGGCAGGTGCCGCATGGGCGGCCTCATAGATCGGCGCGGCAGTCATTTGACGAGTTTGATTGTCGAATGGCTGAATAATTCTGACGCCCTCCTCAGAAGGTTCTGCAGGAGTTTGACCCTCAAAGTACGGGACGACAAGTGCACCACGTTCCCTTTCTCTCTGTGCCCTCGTCTCTTCCGTTTCAATCGGCAGATAGTCTCCCTCCACGTACGCTAATCTGTTCAGCCAAGTTTAAATGCATGGTTCAATGTTTGACTCACGGATTGGTTCTGACCACTCAATATCATCTCTGTCACGATTTTTAGCCAAGAGCTTGCCTTCTGCCATATCCATATCATGTGCGCTCTCTTTGAGCGTCTGAGGCAAGGTCAGCATTCGTCATGATATCAGTAGACTATCGCGCGACTGACTGAACTGCTTCTTTCAACAGGATCAGGGGTGAACTCTCTGATCTCGCGCAATTCCGCGTCGTCCTTCCACCTCACCGTCCCTACTGTTCTTCCACTCTTGAGTTTTCGCGTCTCTTTGGCTTCCTTCTTGACATCCGCAGAGCGCTCGGGTATAGAATTCTGTCTTGTGAAAGATGACATGACATTTGCCAAAAGGGAAGCGCTCTGGGGTTTGGCAACGGAAGCCGGAGCGGCCTTTGGTGGAGGTACAGGTCTGGCTTTGGGTTTGGGTTTCATTGCGGGCGCTGGCAAAGAAGCGCTGAAGAAAGACATGTCTGACACGGTTGATGATGCGGCCGGATTGCTTGCGAGCTTGGACGAGGAAGCAGCGACAGTTGCTGGCCTTTTGCTCACGGGCTCTTCTTTGGCCTTGATACCATCTTTGCCCGCATCAGCCTTCTTCTTCGTCCCTGTGTGTGTCGTTAGCATGTGCTCACAAACCAAGAACGTTTTGCTTACCAGAAGCCTCTCCTTTGCCCTTGTCCTTGCTTGTGGTCCCAGACTCTTTCTGAAACATCTCGAAAGCATGAGCTTCAAATCTGCCAAAAGCTTCTGCAATCGCATTTGTACCGTCAAGCTCTGGTATATGTCAGCCCAAGTATGTCCTTTCAGGAGTATAGACCTACTCTTGTCCTTGACGGCTGCCATCAACTGTTTTGCGAATTTATTGATGTGGAATTCTATCGCGACTTTGTGTTCCATATCAGTCCTTGCCAGCACCTACCTTTCGTCAGCAATGTCCCGGTGTTAGCAGCTGTACTTACCTCTAACAGAGGCACTAAAACTTTCTCCCATCGTACTGGATCCTTACGGCTCGTCTTCAGCCAACCCTCCCACACTTCCACGTAATTGCCGTTCCCTGCCATCTTCTTCAAGTACAAATTTGACGCATGCTTGTTGAGCTGTGAGAGGATCTCCTTGAGCTGGTCAGGATTCGGCGTGAATGCTGGAGGATGTACGACATCGTCGTCTTCTTTGTCGTGCCGGACGCGCAAGTGCTTGAATAGGCCGCCCGGTATATCCCTCCTCAAAGCCTCGGGAGTGATGGTACTTCGAATGAGGGACATGTCGACAGTCTGCTTTTCGGCTGCAGTGGTCTCAGTCCCTGCGATGAGGCCTCCAGGAACCGCGTTGATACCAGGCTCTACTTTAACACCAGGTTCTAATTTGACACCAGGTTCCATCTTGACGCCAGGTTGCACTTTGACGCCAGGTTGCACTTTGACGCCAGGTTGCACTTTGACGCCAGGTTGCACTTTGACGCCAGATTGCACCTTGACGCCAGGTTCCGCCTTTACGCCAGATTGCAGTTTGACGCTGGGTTGCAGTTTGGCGCCAGGTTGCACTTTGACACCGACAGGAAAGTTTGATGTCGCGGCGGTGTTGGGAGGGGCATTGGAAGGGAGATTGGTAGGAGGATTGATAGGGGGGGTGGAAGAAGGGTTGGAAGGGGACTTTGAAGAAGGTTGCAGAAAAGGGCTGAAAGAAGGATTGGCGATACGATTGGATGGAGGGTTGGGCTGATGATGGGAGGCAGGCTTGGGTGCAGGCTCGGGTGCAGGCTTGGGGCCAAGGTTGGAGATAGGATTGGGGACAGGAGTGGGTACAGGAGTAGGTACAGGATTGAGGACAGGGTTGGGAGCTGGATTGAGAGCAGGATTGGGGGCAGGATTGGGAGCAGGATTGGGAGCAGGATTGGGGGCAGGATTGGGAGCAGGATTGGTGGCAGCAGTGAGTGGAGGATTGGGAGCAGCAGTGGGAGGAGGAATGCTCGCAATTTCCGACTGCGCTTGGCCAACAGTACTCAGGTACCCATCCAGAGTAGCCTGAGTAGCCTTTGGGGCGGCCTTTAGCGTACTGTCATCCTTCTTCACCGGGGGAGTAGACAGCCTCTTCGGAGGTGGGGTAGATACTGAAGATTCTCGAGAGGATTCTGTGATATCGACTACCAATCGTTGTCTCTTGGTCCCTGTGGAGGAACGAGGAGACAAACTGACATGGCTGGATCGTTTCTGCCCTAATGGTGCAGAATTAGGAGGAGGAATTGGTTGCGGGAGTTGCTCTCTCGGAGAGGGTAATGCGGAAGAAGCGCCTATATTATGCGGCAGAGCGTGGGATGGATGAGGACGAGGATTGCGATGGAGTTGGGATAAAGGAGCAGGAAGCTGCTCTGGTGACGACGTCACGTCGGGGAGCTCGGGACCCAACCCCTGTGAGTGGCATATGGTACTGAATGGCCATTAACAATGCGTACAAGTGTTGAGATGCTTATATCACTTACGGAGGTGTCTTCTCGGAAGGGGAGGGCGCGTTGTTAACTGATTGTGGTGGAAAAGATCCGGCCACATATTGCCCCAAAACAGGATTTGAGGCCAAACCTTGCGCTATCATCATATCGTCAGCTCCCGTCCCCTATACAAGATACGCGCCAGCCGCAACGACCCTAAGCATGAGCGGAAATGATCATTCAACTATCCCCGCCACAAAACATGCGGTGATCGCCGCCCACCAGTCGTGAACGGAAGTATTTCGAACTCCGAACATGGCCGACACGCAGGTGTGCTTACGTCTATGGGAGTGCGCTGGAGGACTCTACACAGATTGCTCCACGTCAAGCACTGGCACAAGCAACGGAAGTCTCTCCCTCGAGGGCCATTGAAGTGGACGATCATGTACATAAAACGCGTATGCTTCACAGATGCGCCCTCCTTTCTGTTTCCCATTTCCAGACTATAGCTACATGACGGGTCATCTGATCCCCCACTTACCTTGATGTGGAGAGGGTTGCTGATATAACGCATATGGCGATTGGTACATTGTCTGTACATTCAATTGCTGCGGCAGTACATGTTGCGGCGGTTGCGCGGGCCTCGGTTGCTGTTGGAGACGCCAAGTAGCGATGTTGTCGGGCATGACGCCACCCCCATTGACGCCATTCGGTGATGGAGTATCATACTGTCCAGACATGATGTCGATGTTGTCGTTGTGGCGCATAGGATATAGGGCGGTTGATGGCTGATTGGTATTATGAGTCAGCCGGGAAGTCCATGCCCGTAAGGCCAGCAGGGGAAGGTGGAAGTATGTCTAGACTTACTCGATATGTAGCCCTATTGGCCAGAGACTGCTGTTGATAGCGACGAGTGTCGATGGAGGCGATATGCAAAACGATGTGCGAGCTCGGTGGTGCTTTCTGTCACACTCTCCACCGAGTGATACAGTATGAAAGCTACTTCGTTCCCTGACTTCGCGTCGTCCCCAGATAGAGTAACACAGTATCCGAGAGAGAGAAGAGAAGTGTCCGCGAGTGCTCAGAGATAATTGCCAGCTTGATTATGAGATCCAGACATGTGATGTTAAGGAAAGAGTCCCTGCTGGCACGAGAGAGAACAAAAGTGGTGGTGGCCTCGGGAGAAAACGACAAAAAAAGGTATTTGTTTGTTGCCATCTCAGATATCGAGTTACGTAACCCATCTCACCGCCCGCCGGCGGGCGCGACGACGACGAGATGTTGCATGATGGATTCAAATGATTCTCCATCGATGTGACTATGAGCCCAGTAGCCAGTCATCGCCATGGAATACAACAGATCTGAACAGGATCATATAGAGAACGATAATCTTGGTCTGCCGCCCGACGACGACTCCATCTCACTGGATGCCAGCAAAGAAGACGACGACGAGCTGGATCTAATCAGGCGAGTACTACGGACCACAGGGGGCATACAGCTGACTCGTTATAATCAGGCGGTATGAAGACTTTAGTACTGTTGGTCAGTGTCTATCAAAAGCGCAAGATGTGCAAGTCTGCTGACCGTATCTAGATTGGATCCAGGATTCTTTACACGAACGGACTTTCCAGACCAAGGGCCCCACGAATCGATTTGTGTCACGGCTGGATCTTACAAATGGGGCAGTCGGGTATCTCTGGAAACTCCTGAGGCGAGGATTGGAAGAAGGAGAGGCGTGGGTGGTCACCTCCCTTGTCGGTCAGTAAAGTCTTGTAGGCCAGACATCAGACGCTGAAAGACAATAGGCGTAATCATTGGTATCAGCGCTGCCCTAATATCCATCATCACAGCATGGCTTTCTGATATCAAAATGGGTTATTGCACGACGGGCTGGTGGCTATCTCGGAAATTCTGTTGTCTTGAGGTGTCAGGAGAGATGGAATCGTGCGCGGAATGGCGGAATTGGGGAGGAGTGGAACCCTTTCGATGGATGGCATATGTGCTCTTTGCAGTAAGTCGGGATCACCAGATGGAGTGACTTTACTGACGCATAGTAACTACAGGCATGCTTCTCATTCTCATCTGCTTATCTGGTTAAGAACTTTGCGCCTTATGCGGCAGGGTCTGGTATATCCGAGATCAAGTGCATCCTGGGCGGCTTTATCATCAAAGGGTTCCTGGGTGTTGAGACATTCTTCATCAAAAGTCTTACTCTTGTGAGTCCATTATCGAGGCCATTGGAGTTCTGGTGCGTGACTGATGCTCTGTAGCCGCTGGCGATCGGGTCAGGGTTGGCTGTTGGGAAGGAGGGGCCGTCAGTCCATGTCGCTTGTAGCGCCGGTAATACCGTTGCTAGACTATTCAGTCGCTATGAGCGTAGTCACTGTAAGCTCTGCTTGTTGACCGTCTGATACCTACCCTCGCTAATTTTGAGAGTGAAAATGCGAGAGATCGTGACGGCGTCAAGTGCCGCCGGCGTGGCTGTAGCTTTTGGTTCTCCCATAGGAGGTGTCTTGTTCTCGATCGAAGAGATGAATCAGACATTCTCCAACAGGACCATGTGGAGAAGCTTTGTCTGTGCCTTGGTTGCCACATTCACCTTGGCTGTAAGTTGGCATGCTGCCCTATCATCACGGGACTGACTGTGAGCAGTCTATGGACCCTTTCAGAACGGGGAAACTAGTCTTGTTCAACGTGTCTTACGACCGCGACTGGCACTACTTTGAAATGCCTGCCTACATCCTCATCGGCATCTTCGGCGGTCTATATGGCGCCTTTGTCATCAAATTCAACCTCCAAATGGCCGCCTTTCGTCGGAAGCACTTGGCAAACCACGGAGTTGCCGAGGCCGTCATTCTTGCTACTCTGACAGCTATCTTTGGATACCTGAATATGTTTTTGAGGATCGATATGACAGAGATGCTTGCGGTTCTGTTCAGGGAATGCGAGGGAGGCGGTGATCATGAAGGCCTTTGCCAGTGAGTTATTACCATGGACGGTCGAGCTGCGGCTAATCGTGTGATAGGACATCGTCCCAGTGGCGTATGGTCAACTCATTGCTCATGGCCACACTATTGCGAACCGTCTTCATCATCCTCTCCTATGGCTGCAAAGTGCCTGCTGGTATCTTCGTTCCCTCTATGGCTGTCGGGGCGACGTTCGGGCGGATGGTGGGTATTCTGATGAAAGCAATGCGCACGTAAGTCAATATCATCCAAATGAGGGGCCCTCTCTAATATATTGCAGCTCTTATCCTTCTGCACCTTGGTTCGCCGCTTGTTCTCCCGATGCTCCTTGCATCACTCCGGGAACATATGCTTTCCTGGGAGCTGCGGCAGCGTTGGGGTAAGTAAATGACGATGTCGGAAGTGGCACCTGCTGATGGACATGATAGGGGTGTCACGAGAATCACGGTCACTGTCGTGGTCATCATGTTTGAGCTTACTGGAGCCTTGACCTATCTTTTGCCTACCATGGTAAGCGAACAGTGTTTCGTCAAGTAGTGATGCTCACACGGCGTAGATTGTTCTGCTTGTGACGAAGGCCGTCAGCGATCAATTCGGTGGAAGAGGCATCGCGGATCACATGATCAGGTTCAACGGCTATCCTTTCCTGGAGCAAGAGGACAAAGAAGATCCTGCCGACCCATCTTTCATCGAGCCCAGTGAGTATTTGCCAGACATGCCCGCTATGTTGGTGACTGACTCGTACAGTTGCCAATGTCATGAAACAAGACTTGGTGATCATGGAGGCCACTGGTGTTCCCCTCCAACGAGTTGCCGCGATTGTTCAAGATACCAGATATCAGGGCTTCCCAGTCGTCAGGAGCAACGAAGACAGGACTATCGTCGGATTTGTTCGAACAGACGAGCTGCGTTTCGCTCTGGATAGGGCGCGACGTATTCGCAACTTGTCTTTCAACCCTGTGTGCTCCTTCCAGTGTACTCTGGCCATTTCCGCGGATGCGCATGAGGCATTAAAGCGGCCCGAGATCGTCATACCGCCGCCACCCTCCGAAGGGCTGTCGCTGGATACTGGAGCTGGGATGGGACGGAGAGGGAGTGGCGTCGAGATTGAGCGAATCGATTTTGGGCAGTTCATCGACGAGGTGAGTATGATCGAGACATTAGGGATGTATATACTGACAATACTCAGACACCTTTAACCGTTTCACCCAAGATGCCGCTGGAGATTGTCATGCAGCTCTTTAGAAGAATGGGGTGAGTCCAACATTACATGGTTCCGGATGATATGCTAAAGCTATTAAGCCCTCGAGTGATATTGGTATCCAATCAAGGGCAACTGGCAGGACTGGTCACTGTCAAAGACGTCCTCAAGCACGAAGCTGCCGAAGTGGTACACCGCTCTCGAGCAACGCCTGTGACATCTTCCAATCCCAGCTACGGAAGGCATTCTTCAGATCTCAACGGTGGATGGGAGCCGGATTGGGAAGCCGGGGCAGAGGACACTGGAAATGGACTAGAGTTCATACTGGAGGAAAGCCTGGAGTGGGCCAGCACGAAAGCGGCGTGGGCGTACGGGGCAGCTGTGGAGAGTTGGCGAGGGATCAGAGGCCGTAATACGCGAGAAGGCGCTTACGACTTCGAGCTGACCGAGGAAAGGTCATAGATTCGCATGCAGATAGCTTCTCTTGGATTCTACGAGGATCTCTCGGCATCTGCCATGACAAATACGACCGGCGGGGAGAAACCGAGGGAAGGTCAAGGAACTATCGTCAGCCGTCGGGGAGAACATTCGAGTGTTTTATTTGGTTCGGCGGCGATCGCCGCGTCGGGTCTCCGAGGTTCTCGAAGGTTGAGAGACGCTGACTCACCGCTGGCTGGGCCGGGTGGCAATTTGTATAAAGGGTCCCATTTCTATCTCCATTTCCTTTTCCCTCCATCTTCTGCTTTATTACATCCTCACCATGGCTTACTACTACCCAGCCCCCTACTACTACGGCTACCCAGCCCCCTCGCCCCCTCCTTTCTTTGCGCCGCCGACTGCCCCTCCTCACCATGCTGCCCACCAGCAGGCATTCCCACCTCCCCACTATCAGCCTTCCTTTGTAGCTCCTCCTTCTGGCTACCACCCCGCCACTGCGGGACCTAGTCTCGACGAGGAAGAGGCAGCTGCCTTCGCTTACCTCCAGGCTATTAAGCGACGCCGCCAGGAGCTTGAGGCTTCTCGAGCTCATGAGGCTGGCTCTGCTGCTCGCGCTCAAGCTCAGAAGGAGGCCGAGGTTCAGGCACTGATCAGCAAGGAGCTCGCCAAGCAGCAAGCATTGTGCGCTCGATATGAAGCGGAGGAGTTGAGGAAAAGGCAGTACAGAGAGGCTATTCAAAGGCAGAGACAAGAGCTCAAGGCTGCTCGTGCGGCTGAACGTCAAAAGGCTGTCCAGTATCAGACCAGGTCAGTAACGCATGTCCTCGAAATATTCTGCTGACATTCTCTTACAGGTCCAGGGATCTTGCACCCAACTCAGCCTTTGGCCACGATGATATCAGCAACGTACTCGGATCTCTCTTTGGTATCAACCCTGCCCAAGAGCCCCAGTATGGCGACTGCTTTGCTCCCAGGTCTTCCGACAACTCTCTCGAAGCCCGCTTCAGCTCTGCTGCTCGTGCCTATGCTTCTGCTGGACAAGGTCGCGAGCAAAGGTCTCAGCAGCCAAAGTCTGAGCACGACGTATTCAGTTTGACTGATCTTCTTCGCTCTATCGGCCTTGTTGAAGATGACGTGTCCGGTCCCACTTGTTCTCAACAGTCAGTCTGCTGCTCATTGCCTATAAAATCGAGGCTGACCAAAACGCAGGTGTACCAATTCACAAGCTCCTACTGCTTCTTCCACCCCATCTGCGACCGCCAGCTCTGCTAAGCGCCCCTCTCAGAGTGGGCTCCCCGCTGAAGTCAACGACATACTTCACCGACACCTCGGTCTTCACATCGACCCCGTCGCTTCTCAAAACTTTGCTCCTTCTGTGAAGAATGCGAAAGGCAACGGCGTTCCCGCAGGCCTGAACGAGCTCCTGTCTCAGTTTGGCTTGGTCTTTGAGCCCGAAACGGAGACCGAAACCAAACCGGGTCCTAGCCACTTTGCTCAACCTGACAACGCCGCACACCCCAGCGCTGTCGACTCTGCTACTCAGTCAAAGCCCACTGCACCCAAGACCGCTCCTGCCCCCCAACCCAAGCCGGCTGCTCCTTTCACCTCCTTGCTCGGAGAATTTGCCAATGTCCACCCTGCTGTTGCCGACATTCTCAGGAATGTCGAGGTTGCTGTCACCGAGGAGGTCAAGCAGAGAAGTCGAGCGGGTAAGACAGGATGCAGCGGGCCATGTGACCAGCAGTGTGCTAGCGGATGCCAGAAGGCTTCGGGACAGACCAAGGGCAAGGGCGTTGCAGAAGGCGAAAAGAACCCTGTCGCGAGGGAGGCTGAGCCAGAACCCGCCGCCAACCCCACCACTTCCCTCTCTACCCTCGACAACATCCAGCACCAATTTGAGTCTCTCCGGGCCAACTTCACCTTCCCCGAGCACCTCTCGTTCGCCCGAGACTCTCGTGGCTCACACTCTCCTCCTCTCCTCTTCAACCGCGTCAACTCTGCATACCACGCCCAGGTCAACGCGCTCCTGCAGCTTTTACTTCAAACCGACTCCATCAACTCTGGTGGCGAGAAGGCAGTAAGGCAGAAGCGCAAGGAGGTTGTCAAGAAGGTCGAAGACGAAATCGAGAGGCTCGAACAGTTGCGAGACGACTTGTGGGAAGATGTCAAGGAGAGGCGAGAGAGGGGCGAGGAGAGTGAGCCTGATGCTGATCAGGAAAGGTCTTGGAGCGACACTGATTCGGTGAAGAACGAGGTCACTGTTGGGGAGGAGGAGACGATTGTCGAGCCTGAGCAGACTGAAGCTTCTGGTGAGGCTGAAGGGTATGAGGTGGTCGACAACCAACCCCAGAACGCTACCCCTGCTGAAGCCGCTGTTACTACCGACGCCCCCGCCCCCGCCGAAGACTCTACCCCTGCCGAAGACTCAGTCCCTACCGACACCCCAATTCCTGCCGAAGCCTCTGCCTCTACAGAAGACCTCCTTGAGCAACCTCAGAGTCCTTCCTATGCCGATGCTGCCAAGCACGCTCTCGAGCGATCCCAAGAGCCTTCCGCTCAGACGCCTATCCCCGAGTCTGCACCCGAGTCCTCTGCTATCGAGCCCCAGGCCGAGGCTGTGCCGGCAGAGCAAGACGCTGCGTCATCCCCTCAGCAAGTCGATGCTTCTCCCTTGCCCTCTGCCAGCCACCATCCAGTCACCGTTGAGGACGCAGAGGATGAGAATGAGGACAGGAAGCAGAAGCGGGACAGGAAGACCAAGGGACAGGCGAGGCGAGCGGGGAGCGATTCCGAGGATTACGAGATGCTTTGATGATACACATCAGCGTTGTGATAGTGATATTTAGTGAAAAAATTGCCGTCTCTTATAGTTTTTAAGGATCCTCCATTCAGTAGTGTAGTATACGTACCAGTAGACTTTGTACACGTAAAGTTCGTATGAATGTTGCAAACTAATCTTTGAAAGCACGATGGGTGATGGTACACTGCATGATGATACAGCAAATAAATTGATACACGACCGGTCCAGCACATGATAATCACTCAACTTGCTTCTTGACGATATTGCGACCAAGTCCCTCTCCGCCGCCTTCCGCCAGCCTTCGTTTTATCTGTTCCTTTTCCTCTGCAGTCAAGGACCTCCTTGCCTTCTTCCTCTTTCGAGATGGGGCGAACGGAGGCTCTGAAAGCCTTTCACACGGCTCTTCCTTGACTCTGACTACCTTTGGTGTGTCTCTCGCTGACTCGAGCTCTGGCATTATCGAAGGGCCGGCAGGGGGGGCATTGGACGGCTGAGGCGTGGATATGGACGGTGGGGAGAGAGGGTCTGATTTGACAATGGGGACTCTTCCATGCGGAGTGGCTGGGGATTCTTTCTTGATGGGCAGTCGGGGAGAAGGTGTTCTCTCTTTGATCTCTAGACCCGGTTCAGCCTCGACCTTTACAGCCTTGGGCGTCCTCTCCTCTTCCTTCACCCCCCAAAACAAATCCTCTCCCACCTCCTCCTTCACCTCCAAATCATCCTGCGCCGGACCAGGGCTAGACCTCATCCCACACGACTCGTGATCCGTCTCGTACTCTGGATCAGTCATGACCAGCTTTGCCTTCTTCTTCTGGCCGTCCTCTTCAGGGTCAAGACCCATGATGGCACGGGCAGCAGGGTAAATGTCGTCCGGCGCGAGGGAAGGCAGTCCCCCAGCGCGGGAGACCTGGTCGATGGAAATCTCTTTCCTCGAACGCGGTCTCGGCGGCTGGATCTGCCGCGCGACATCTTCAGACTCTTGGATATAGTCCTGCCGGGCATAATGATGATCTTCCCTCTCCACAGCTTCCAAGTCCGGTACCAACCCCAGCCCCATCGTCTCCCTCATCAAATCCAGACCTTTCACATACCACTCTCCATACTTTTGCCCCAGGTAATGCGTCCGCTCAATGACGATACGCTCGTATGCACCTGGGGCGATACACTCTGAAAAGAGGTCGGGGAGGAGGTAATAGTCGAGACCGCGGGCGTAGGAGGCGACGGTGTTGGGGGTGAGGTTGAGGGGTTTGAATAGTTTGACGAGGGCTTGAAGTTCGGGGAGGGAGCTATGCCGGGGGATGGGGATGTCCTTAAGTCTTTGTCAGAGTTTTGCTTCAAGTGTAAGCGGGTACTGACAATGTTGTAAGGCCAGTGCCCTTTGCCCATTGCAGCCCGATCCAGGACGCGCATAAACTCTCCCCTCCGGGTATCCCACTCGGCCATCTTGACCTCTACCATATTGACATGCACAATCCTCTTGTCGAGATTGTACACTGCTGCGCCCTCTTCGTTGAATCGCCTGCAAGCGGGGCATTTGACAAAGCGCTCGCAGGCGTGGAAACGTGTGGCGGTGTGGTCTTGAGTGGTGCAGCGGGACAGAAATGGGTCGGTGGTGATGGACTTGTAAATATCTGATTTGTACGAGTCGACATGGACCTGGGTCATGGTAAGTTACTCGTATAAAGTTGTAAAGAGAGGGTATACCTTGTCGTTGAAGAATCGTGCAACTTCTTTGATGACCTGCTCCCACCCAAAACACCAAGTGTTCAGAAAGAAGATGGTGTCTTGAGGATACCGGGCCATGATTTCGACCATCTCCTGTAGCACTGGCTCCCTGTCAGGCATATCCCCTGTACCCAGCCTACCATCATCAGCTGATAGCACGAGACACAGTGAAACACTGACATGGCGGCAGTGTCAAGGTAGATCCTGTCCAATACTCGCCGTCCCCCCCCGACACCATCCTTGGCATGTCTATAGGTGGAAGAAGGCGCAAGAAACTGTTGCAGAGCAGGGTGCCTCTTGAGGTATTCGATGAACCGAGAATCTGCCCGTACATCACCGGTATGGAGTACGGCTATGGTCGGGGAGGTGATGAGAAACCTGGGTTGAGTTGGTCAGTGCCATACAGACAAGTATATCACCTACATGGCAGACCCGGGGCAATGGTTGGCATCTAAAAGTGTGACGGTGACATATACAGGGCTCCCATTGTCATATGCGATGATGTATTCTTTCGGCACACCATACGGGAGTGTTTTCCATAGCATGTCCGTCAGCTCGGTTCGAGTCTTGGCTACTGGGCTTACTATTCTGTCTACCATGACTGGGCTGGCGGCGACTCGTGGCTTGAGGCCGGCGAACCTCCTCCGTGGGCCGTGGCGTATGTTTCTATAGAGCCACTCGCGCTCTCTTTCGGGTACGAGGCTGAGGAGCATGCCCTTGCTGTCCTGGGAGGTGATGATGGTGCCTGTCCAGTCCGCGTGGAGGCCGAGGAGGTGGTCTGCGTGGGTGTGGCTGAGGAGGAAGAGCTGGGCGTTGGGCGGGGAGCAGCACCCGACCGCCCCGCCGCCGGCCACCGGGACCAGCGGGAGGGCCGTGCCCGGCGGGGGGGCGCCGAACGAGTCGATGCGCACGGTGGGGAACTCGAGCAGGTGGCCGCAGTAGATGCCCGCCATCGCTTGCAGGCAGGGAGAGAGAAAGAGAAACTCGCGCGCCGCGTTATTGCCACTGATTCACATCTTGGGTTTGTTTATTCTCTACATGCCTTCAACACTCTTGACCTAGATAAACTATGTATACACTTCGTTTCTGGGGCTCTGCCTGCTGCCTGCTATATCGTCTGTCCCCTACACTTCTTCTACCAACCCCAGGTGTTCCCCTGCACCTCTAGCAATGCTCCCCACTCATTCGTCCCCATTGGCGACGAAGGCCTTCCATCGCTTCCCGTAGAAGGATTCACACTCCTGGAGATCCCCGACCCTCCCCTTCCTACGGACTCTCGCCTGTCCAGGCTCCACCCACTGTCCATGCCATACACATTTTCGCCCAGGCTATCAAGCGAGAACCACCCCGAATCGTCCGTCGCGTAGAAACTGGAGCTTCGCACGCTAGTTGTGTTTGCTCTCTTGGCTTGCTCCGCCTCTCGTCCGTCTTCGAGCTCGTACCGAAGCGCGAGTACTTCAGGACGGGTGGAACGCATCTTGGCGAGAGCGCTGACTCCTTGCGAGTTTCCCCTGGCCGCTTCAGGTTGCCGGCCGCTACCTCTCGAGTAATAGACATTAGAGCCTTGGCCGCGGGTAGAGTGGTGCCTATTAGGACCATCTCGCCTGGCTTGGTTCTGATACCTGGGAGCGTTGTTCGTCCACTGGCCCGCGTACTCGTTGGAGTGGTGTCGGTCAGGCCCGAGTTCCAACGGTGGGGCAGCGGCCTTGGCAGCGATGGCAATGCGAGTGACTTCATGGGCCGCATCCCAAACACCTCGCCCGGTAGTAGCAGGTATAGAAGGGCTTAGTGTAGGCTCCGTCGGAGCTACAATGACTTCCTTGTTCTCGACCTCGTTGGCAGACAACTCCTGAGGAGGCGTGTCGGACGCGGTCATGGTATCAGACTCTGGAAAATCAAAAGATGGCACTTGGAACTCAATGTTGCCGATCATGGCCGCTTGATCCAAGTCGGGAAGACCATTATCAAACTCTTTGGCAGCCACAGCAGCTTGTTCTGCCTCCAATTCGGCAAGGCGCCGGGCAAGCTCAGCCTCATCCTGGTCAAAGTCGGCCCAGGAGTTCTCGGTGCTCCTCGCCGGAGCCCACGCGGTTTCGAGCTCAGGCGGGGCAAAGTTGAGGATATAGCGGTCTCCTGAGCGATCGTCTTCAGAGGAGTGCCCGCCAACCTCTCTTTGGAAAGTATGCTCGTCCTCAGAGTGGTTCCGGCTGGAATTGGAAGCCAGAGGAGTGTTTGGAGTGATCAGAGAACTGGACAGTCCAGGGGTACCTTCTCGATCAAAGTCTCGCGGGATCTCTTCAGTCTTATGAGACTCGACGGGCGACTCTCTAATCTCCAAGATGGCAGATGCAGCTGCCACGGCGTCGACATCGCCACCCCCTACATCCTCCAATGCCGTTCCTGTCTGAGAGGAATTATCAGAGGGACCCTCGGAGATGGCCAGTGACACAGCAGAAGCGTCTTGCTCCGAAACAGAAGCCTGTCCGGCACGGATGGGAGCTCGAATTGCATCAAAGTCTTTGATCGGTCCGTCATACGCACTCGCCTCCCAGACAGGAGATGGTGGGAGAGGATAGTCTTCCGGCTCTCGCACCTTGTCGCCAAAGAGCAATTGCACACCTTCGGGCAAAGTGTGGACTGGAGTTGTGGCGGGCTCTTGGATATCAGACGGGATGACGATAGCCGACTCGGTACGAGCTTCCACCAGCTGCGTAGGGGGTAAGTCAACCTTCTCCACAGGCTCAGACAGAGCATCAGGGTCGATAGCGGGCTCTTTCTCCTCGTCCGACCAGTCGTCGTAAGGGCTGTGTGACTTGTATGGCGCTCGTCTGATTTCGATGACCTCCTCTTCGTCACGGATCGGCTCCAAATCCGACGGCGCAGGGGGTTCAACGACAAAGGTTTCTTCAACAGCATCCGGAGAAGACTTATCACCTTGCACAGCTGATTCGTCGTTTTCGTCGTCGCTATCCACTTCGTACCTTCTGGCTGGCAGGTTGGATCGGGCCTCGGCATACAAGCTCATTGTTAAGGCTCCACGCCCATAGGGAGCTTTGATCTCTGGAGCAGCTGTGGCAGCCTCCACCTGTCTGCTGGCTTGCTGCTGCTCCTTTTCCTTGAGAATCTGCACCTGCACCCCATAGTCCGCCACATCTCCAACGAGCATCTCACAGTCCGAAGGGAGTTCCTCATTCAAGTCTTCGTCAGAGCTGAAGAAGGCATCCAGCTTTTGAGCTTTGGGCTGCTTGAGTTTCTTGGGCTGGGGGGCGCCTCTATAAACTTCCCTGGCGAGCGCCTTCTTCTCAGCTTTAGACAACTGTGGATTCTTGAGAAGGCGTCGTTTGGCGGCTTTGGAGAAGAAGTGAACAGCAGGCTCTTCTTGAGAGTGGGAGGAAGTTACAGACATGGAGGTGGGAGTGTCAAGAGGCTTGGGGTGAATAGGAGCGGTCGGCAAGAGGTTGCGTGAGGCAACGGAAGAAGATCCATCGACAGAGGATAGAGCGCCGGTGACAGAAGAGTCGATAGTCCCGAAATCTTCGTCGAATCCTTCACTCTCGTGTCTGAAAGGCTCTTGAGACTGGAAGGGAGGTGTGTCGCGCTCGGAACCCGGCCCCGAGACAGCTTTAGCCTGCTCCCCAGATTGCTCTTTCTGTACCTCTCCCTCCTCCACAGCCTCCGCCTGAATGTTGACCTGCTCGACCTCGGCCTCCACTTGATGGATCTTGGGCGCTTCCTCGAGCACATCATGTTCCAAAGGCTTCTCCCCAATACTCGATTGCTTAGGCATTGCCACAGATACAGATTCACCCGAGACCTCCTCATCTTCTTCCGTGGTGAGCTTGGCCTCAGCCACAACACCATGCACCGACTGTGGACTGTTGGCAAGTCGCGAAGCGAGGCTGAAGGCCGGCATGGACGAGTCCCAAGCGGATCGGGGGTAGGCAGGGTAGGTAGATGAGGGCTTGGGTTGGGCGTTGAGATCAGAGTTGAGGTTGGAGTTGGAGAGAGGTTCGATGTGGGCGCGATCGGAGCCGAGAGGAGGAAGGTTGTCAGGAGTGAGCTTTACGCCGCCGTGCGAGTAGGGGTTGTTGGCATGCTACGTCTCGTTAGCTCCAGTTATCAAAAGAACAGTAAAGACTCACCTCATCCAGTTCCGAGGCGTCCGAGAATACCATTTCGCACTGAGAACAGTGGTGTTCCTTTCTTAGGATGTGGCTATCATAACTCGCCAGAATCTGGTATTCACGCTTCTTCGGGGGCACAGGCGCAAGAGGCGGGAAATGGACAGGGTCAGGGGTAGGCGCAGGTTTCTTGAGGGTATCGAGCATGCGCTGGGTCTTTAGCAGACTTGTAGGAGCGATGCCATGAATGAGTTGGTAGTGCTAAGTCGGGCATTAGAAGCATAAACCGGAAATGTATTTACATACGTCGGTGGCCTCTTGAGCTTGGTTGAAGAACATCAAGCACTCGGGACACAACACTGCCCAACTGTGCTTCTCCTGTTTGTGCTAGGGGGATTGAGTTAGCCATGTTGACTTCGAACAGTCTATCATCATACCTGGCGCAGGGTAGTGATGTTCACAAAGTCTGCCTGGCACACGTCGCACATATTTTGGGGCTCGAATCCGTCCTGACACACGATCAGCAGAGTCCTAGTTGACTTGAAGGATGCTCACGTCGAGAGAGACAGCCTTTTCTGTCGCAGGAGGCGCGACAATTGGAGGAGTTTGGGTGACACGGGTTTGGATTCCTGGAGTATTTGACATTCTGCGCTGTACAGGTTTGGCAGATAAAGAGTGAACTGCTGTATGGTGCTGAAGAACAATCAGCGTTGAAAGGTGTACGCCACGTAATAAGTCACCATTTGCAGGGCGATGAGGGTTTTGAAATGCTTGTTGCACGGTTTACAGACGAACTCTGACTTGTTGATCTTGAGAGAAGTGGCACCCAATGTATCACATAGGGAGAATCGATACTATGAGGAATCAGCGAAAGCGAACCAGTCTCATCGCCACGTACATCATATTTCGGGTCCGTAGTATCCTCGGAGGAGCGCACTTGGTGTGGTGGGACTGGTCTGCCTTGGTATACCGATTGGAGCTTATCAAGCTTGGGATTTTCACGAGTATTTCGGGGCTTGGCGAGGGTGGTATACCGCTACGGCTATCGTCAGCTCCCTCTATATCAAACCTTGAAACCTTACCTCATTGCCCATATTATCATCATTAGCCCTTCTGTTCGACTGTTGTCCCGGAGAAGTGGTCGGAGTGGTCATGCCGACCTTTAGGTTGCTCCCGTCATCCTCAAACTCGGTCTGGTCGACAGAAGACACGGGTGTGGGCAGCTTGGCGGGTTCTTTGGGTGAGATGGTAGGTTGAGCGTATATCTCTGGAGAGGCTGGCTGGGGGATGGATGATCGCATGGGTACAGGATCCGAGTCGGCTTCCAACAAGGACGGCTGCAAGGGCGAGATAGCGACGGCAGCGTCAGCCACCACCTGCTGCTCCGCTTCCTCTTCTCCCGTCACAGCCACCTCCTCCCTCCCAGAATGATACGCCTGCTCATTTCCAGCAGGTTTGGCGTCTGACGCGTATTGAGCGGGTAGTCGGTACTTTCGACCGCAAGTGCAGTCGCAGGCGCAAGGGTTGCTCGGAGGCGGGGAGATGAAGGTTGAGGCGAGGATGGCGGCGAGGAGGGCCGCGTCGAGTGCTGATACTATGAAGGACATTGGGTGCCCGTGCGCTGCCGTCCTGGAAGAAAGAAGAAAGAGAAAGAGAGAAGGAATGTCAAGTTGATCTTGGATACGGCGGACACGGTCTGTGCCGAGCCGTGTTACGTAACCATGTCAGCTCTTTTATGTCCTCCTCGATCCTCCAGTCCTGGTGGCTTGTGTGGAGAAAGGACTCGGGATCTCCTCATCAGTGCCATACCCCATGCTCCAGGAGGTGTCTCCAGCTTCTTGCTTGCGTCTTGTCGAGTCCCTTGTCTATATAGCGGGGCATCACGGCCGTGGTACTGCATGCACTTGCTGGCTCTTGTGCAATCATGTCATGTCATGCACTCACATCCCGTCGCAGCGTCATTCTTCTCGTCAGCCTTTTACAAGAAGGGGAGACGATGCTTCAACGTCCCATTTGTCTGCTGTGGTGCGCCGCGGATCCCCGCGTCTTGCATTGCCGCATATCGGCGTTTATATTTATTACCTATGCTTTCGAGTCGCCATCGTACATATACAGCTCATACCCAACTTGATTTGCCATCGAGCAAACATCAGTACATCAATATGATCACTCTGACTATCGTCTGTCACTCTCCGTCTCCCCAAAGGCCACACTGACCCCCCACTTGCAGGTACGACACGGCGAATCGACTGGTAATCCCTGTTCTTGCGCCCATGCTTCACTTACTGACAAGAGACAGACAACCTGAGACCTCTCTGGGCTGGATGGGCAGATGCCCCTCTCTCAAATCATGGTGCGTTCATGCGACTACCTTGCCTCCAACTGCCATTACGAGCTGATGTCGTCATTTAGGCATGAATGTACGCCGACCACCTCCTCTCTCATTCCTCCATCTGACTTTGATGCGTAGCAAGCCAAAGCACTTGGGCAATCGTTGAAGGATACCCGATTCGACTACATTGTGGCTTCCGATCTCAAGAGAGCCCACTGGACAGTCAGCTTGCTCTCATCGCGACGTTTCAGGGCTGACATGTCTTTCAGGCTCAACAGATACAGTCAAACCAAGCTACCCAGCCGCCTTTAGACACGACTCAGTTCTTGCGGGAACAGGGTTTCGGGGAAGGTAAGCTGATGTATCAAGATCATGGATCCAGACTCATGTCGCATAGCCGAGCATCAGCCGTTTGGTAATAGCGATGGCAAGTGGTATCGCAAGCCTGGGCGGACCTTTGCATTTCCAGGAGGCGAGACGCTCGAAGACGTCCGTAACAGAGCTAAGCAAGCGTAAGTATATCTCGGCATCTGCATATTGGCTGACTGTCGCCAGAATCGAGCAATATATCGAACCGATCCTGCAAGAAAGCCGAGGGAAACCGTCTTCAGACAAGCATGTGGCCGTAGTCGCGCACGGTATCTTTAATTCAGAGTTTCTGGGAGCGTTGATGGCTAGGAGGCAAGGAAATGCGCCGCTGGAATGGCAGTACCGAGGAATGACCAATGTGAGTGGCTTCCGATCGAAAGAGTCTGATGCATGCTAATGGTCGCAGACTGGCTGGACGAGGGCCGAGGTCGGTTACGCTGTAAGTCTCACTCGCACCTTCTAGGCCATGAAATGACACCTTGCAGGACGAGTCTGGATCATCTACCACCCCCAAGATCAGCACCAATCCCTCCGAGCCTGTCCACCCGTCTTCCAACCCCTCTGCAGCCCCGCCCGCCAAAGCCAAAGACCACGCTCTCGAACCACTGACTATCAAAATTATCAGTACGGATGTGACGAGCCATTTGTCTGGGGTTGTGAGGCAGAAGGGCGGCATCGGAAGTCAGGGGTACGATGCCAAACAGGAGGATATTCGAAAGTTCTTTGGCGGCGGAGGGCAGTGAGCGACATGGTTCGATGGGTAATGATGCATGGTTTCGCTACAAGCTGAGAAGGGTATGTCTGATGACTACTCAATAATCCAAATCTTCTTCTCCCTTCAACAGCGCTTCCAAACGCCGTTCTCTAAAGTCGTCCTTCATCTTCATAATCACTTCTTCCATGCCTTCGCCGTCAAGGATGTTTTGCAGGCCGATGATGGTAAAGCCAAACCTGTGGTCTGTCAATCGATCCTGAGGAAAGCGTTAGTGGGCGTCAAAGGAAACAGGGATGACTTGCTTGGTTGAAGTTGTACGTTCTGATCTTGTCACTCCTGTCCGCCCCTTTGACTTGATCTCTTCTGCTCGCCCTCTTCATTTCTACTTCTTCATTGTGCTTCTTTTCTGATAGTCGCGCCTTCAAGATCTCCCACGCCCACGCTCGATTCTGCAAAGTCGTCAGGCATAATCTACGGGTCGAAACCACATACCTGATGTTGACTTCGCGAATCTTGCATCGAGACGGTGATGCCAGTGGGCACATGGGTCATGCGGACAGCAGACTCCGTCTTGTTGACGTGCTGCCCGCCAGCACCACTGGCACGCATCACATCAGTCCTGACATCTTTGGGGTCGACCAATGGCGCCTCGGCAGTATCTGGATATATCGGGAGCACCTGGTCTACTTTAGCTCTTGCCTTTCAACAACAGTTTCAACTTACAATGACAGCCACGGTCGAAGTGTGTATTCTCCCCTGCGTCTCATTTGCCGGTACTCGCTGTATACGATGTACCCCCTTCTCCCACTGCAATGCTCCGTAGATCTCCACATCGCCTCCTCCATACGCAGGCGCATCAAACTTGACAGTCATCTCCCTGATCCCACCACCGCCCTTGCCTCCTGTCCCATCCACTCTACTGATCTCTTCCACCTTCCAGCCCCGCGTCTGGGCGAAACGGACATACATCCGAGCGAGGTCTTCAGTACAGAGAGCAGACTCGAGACCGCCGACGCCGGCGTTGAGAGACATGACGACGGGGAGCGAAGAGGTAGACGGAGGAGGCAGGATGACGGAGGGGAAGGTTGATGTGAGGAGATCGTCCAGCTCGGTGCAGAGGGTCTCGTGTTCGGCTTCAAACATTTCCTTCACGCTTGGATCCGGGTCGTCTAGAAACACCTTCATATCTATGATGGACTGCTGATCGTCAGCGACTGCAACAGTAACGGCCATGGACTTGCCTTTCGAAGCTCGAGGTACTTGTCCCACACCTCTGACAGAGGCGCCAGCTCTTTCTGTATTCTGGCCCGCTCAATCTGCGCCTTGATATCGATCTCCATAGCATTCGCTTCCTACTGTCGTTTCAGCACATGATACATGACTCTCTGTAGCGTACGCACTTCCTCCATGGTCTTTTTGTAGAGGTCGACCTTGACTTTGGCAGCCTCGAACATCTTTGCCTGCTCCTGTTCCGTCTCTGTCGCCCATCCCCCCTTGGCCTCTGTGGCATAGCGACGGAATCCCCAAGGGACGCGAGGCAGCCGTGGGGCGACGGGGGCAGCCGACGTGGCCAGGGGTCGGCGGGTAGACAGGCCTGGGTGGAACTGGGCACACCCACAAGGGCAGGCCGTTGCAGGGGCAGCATATCGCTGGGCATGGACCGCCCAGCGCAGAGGATGCCGTACGTTCGCAGGCGAGAGCATGTCGGATGTCCGAATACTCGAAAGAGGTCGATGCAAAAAAAGAAAAACAGGTATCTAGTTTTTCGGGCATGGATGCGCGCGGAAAATCACGGACGTTAAACCGTTATGTGAACCAGGTTTAGCGAGCTTCTCTTGGCTTCTAAATATTCAAATTGTCTTCTAATGGCAACCCCGAAGGGCAGTCCGACGCATCCGTATTCGACGGTCCATGTGCTCTGCCATTATATGCATCCCCGGCTGCGTTATTCCTCATCAGACATGAGCTCTGCCAACTCTCGTTCCTCCTCTTCCGTCATCCCCGACGCCTCCTGCTTTTCCTCAGCCTCGTACACTAGTGGCGGAGGGTTCAGGATGTCTGCAGTTTGTCAGCAATGTCAACATTGGCGTGACTCACCCTTGACAGTCCATGTCCGGATCGACGCATCCAACCCCGCGCTGACTACAACCAACTCTGCCTGCCCATTGGTCTCTCTCATCCAGCTCTGCATCGCCGCCACCTCTCCACAATGACCTTGGATTGTCCCCCTGAGTTTCGGAGGATTCGCCTCCACATCCCATATCCGGATGTCTTCATCTTCCGACCCCGTCAAGACGAGCGAAGCAGCATTGGGCAAAGGAAAAGCGGTGAGGGGGAGGATGGATTTGACGTAGGAGGGGTGAGGGATGGTTGTCTTTGGGGACGAGGTGGTGGGGTGGAATATGGCAGTCTTGTCCATGGACACTGACATTTGTCAGCCTTGCGCTCGGGCCTGCGAGAGATACGTACCACTCCATAGACCATCTTCTACCGGTATCAGCCTCGCGACGCTGGTCTCATGTCCCTTGACATCATGCACAAATTCAAGTCCTTCATCTTTGACTATCCACTGCTTGATGACGCCTAGGGAGTCGGCGGTCCAGACGGACAAGACGCCAGTCGACTGACCCTCAGCGTCGAGCTCGTTTTTCCACGCAGCACACTCGACAGGGCGGGTATGATCTTTGATGATCTGCCTCGTCTCTGGTTTACCCTCCACCTCGCTCTTCAACAAGGAAGCAACATCCCAAAGCCGGCTCGTCCGATCAGACGAGGTTGAGAGCAGCAAGGGCGAAGGTGTGGGAATGAGGGTGAGGGATTTGATAAAGTCGCTGTGGCCTTGAACGGTACGGATGAGCTCGCCCGAGTCGGCGTTCCAGACGCGGATGGTCTTGTCCCATGATCCCGTGAACAGCGCCGTCCAGGGGATACCATCAGATCCGGTGACTTTGGTCAAGGCAATACTGGTGACAGGGCCTTGGTGGCCCTTGTACAACTTGACCGTTTTCCCCGTCTATCCCATCAGCCCGAGTCCACGATATGATAATGTAGCTCACACGAAGATCTACCCGCCTAGCCTGCCATCCGCTCTCTGCAGTGAAAGCATGACTTGCAAGAATCTGGAGGTCGATAATCTTGCTGGACAAGGTGATGGGGTTGCCGACTTTTTCGGCTGCTTTGAGCTTACGTTCACGGGTGGCAGCCTGTGCCAGCTGTGCGGAGGTTTGGAAGAGGTGTCCGGGGTCGGAGGACTGCATTTTGTGTAGTGAGGGAGTGGGAGAAGAGATGGAAATGCAAACTTGTTGCAGACTTGTTGTCGACGCGACGCGTCGTAGCGGCGATGAGCGCCGTATCCGTGTGGTTGCCTGGTGGTTATGTACAGTGGCTTATGACCTTGGTCATTTCGTTTGTGAAAGTCACTGACTGAGGTCCAAGTCGATGCCGACTGTCCTAGCCCTGTACGGATATAGATATCTGATCTCGTGACATGAGCTCAGCTTCACATGTGCTCGCTTGATGTCTCCCATGTGTTGTCACCCTTGACCGACAATCTGTTGGCAGCTATATGGACTCTTTCTGTTTCAGTGCCGCCTTGGAGTCGACTTGTTCCATCTACTGTCCGCAATTGAGGGTACATCATATAGACTATCCTAATACTCTTTCGATCACATGACAGAACGAGCACCAGGTCAAGTGAAGGAGATTGGTCCACAGAGTACGCAAGAGCAAGTTGAGAATGGGGGTAATGATGCTATGGTGTGCCTATCTCCTGTGCGTATAATAATGCCTCCCTCAATGAACAATCAGACCCGACAACGGGGCAATTCTAGTGACCACTTTGACCCTGCATGGAGCTGGGGGTAATCGATACTTGGGAGCTCTGCCCGGGGGTTCCTTGGCCGGCGGAAATGAAGACAATAATGGGGCTGCGAGCAACAAGGCAGTAATAGCGGTGACCTCCACACTGCACTGCTTGGACATGGCCCCCCTACAACACAGGCCGTTTCATGGACAATCGTTGTTGCCAGAGCACCGAGTGATAAATGAGAGGCACAGGCACGAGATCGCCCCTCCTTTCCCGGCCAGAGAGGGTTTTAGAGTTTCTCTGGAATATGTAGCTGCTGCTGGAACTCGTTACGTTATTACGTAGCATGCACATCTGCTCCCGCTCATATTGCATACGAGAGATGCTGGCAGAAGCTGTCCATCGCAGCTACATCGCGTCGCCTCCTGCTGTGGGGGTATCTAATCCAGACAAGGGGAGCGAAGTGAATGATGGTCGATCGGCATCGCGAGCATAGAACCACACACGTAGATTAATCGCAGTCGGTCGTAGAGGGCGGCATGCGTACCTGCCCTGCCTCCACCCATTCCGCCGCAAGCGAGGACTAGCAATTGCCGGAATCCGAAGCGCGAGGAGGTACGGCCCTATTTCAGGGTGCGGTCAGGGTCCTCGTCCGATGGAGTGCTCCAACGAGGTAACGAGGTATTCAAAAGAAAGAGTACAACTTACAACTTATAAGGCATCGCATCCATCCCATCCAGCGCATCCAGCTCTCCCGCCATGTCCCACTCCTCCAGCAACTCCCTCCTCCAGCAGGCCCGCCCCACAGACCTCCTCCCCCAGCTCCCAGACCCCGCCGTCGCCGTCTCCCACGCCCAGGCCCACTGGCTCGAGTCGCACGAGCGCACACAACAACAACTCTGCAAATCCCGCAGCGGCGACTGTGGGTACTCTATATCTTGCTGCCGCATCGCTGACCTCCTCCAGGCCTTGCCCTCGATGTCACCGTCGACCTCGCACCCGCCTCCTACTCGTCCTCCCCCATCAGCTCCACCTTCCAGCCCATTGCCTCCTCCTCCACCGGGCTTCGCTACCTGAATGTGGAGCCTTTGGCTTGCCCGTCCACCGACCATGCTACAGCCGATGCACCGTCCCCCGTCTCGCCCACCGCGGACAACAAGGCAAGCTGCGCCTCCCTCCTGGCCAGTGCGCAGGTCTCTGCCATTGGCGAGGCTATGAGCAAAGACAAGTGGCAGGTACGTACATCCCTATGACCTCAATGTTTGTGGTGCTGACGTTGCCCCAGCCGGACGCCTCCTCTGCTCTCTGCACCTTCCCCCTGTGCACTGCCAACTTTGCCCATTCTTCCTACTTTTTCCTGGGCCCCCGCCGCCATCACTGTCGCATGTGCGGCCAGCTCTTTTGCGGCAACCACTCTTCCCAGCGAGCGCTCCTCATCCACACTGCTGGCTCTGCCCGATCCCTGGCCCAGTCAAGAGTGTGCGACATGTGCGTGCCAAAACCTGGTCTCGACGCCGACGAGGCCGTCCCAGAGTTGTCGACCAGGAAGAATAGCGCCACAGACAGCGAACCATTCTCCGACTACTCTTCCCACTCCAATTTCCTTCAAACCCCCGATGACGACGCTAGCATCTTCATGCGCTCTGTGCATTCCCCGGCACTCTCGGTGGAAGTTGAGGAAGAGCTCGCGCCGATCGCGGATTGGATGGACCGCTCCGGCGTCTTGTCCCTTTACCCCCTCGCCGTCAACCCGTCTCACTCCCGATCTAAACGATCCTCGTCTCCCGCCCCGTCTGCCCCGCCCCTCTTTGCGCCCTCCCTCAAATTAAGACGAGCGGCAAAGGAAAAGGAGATCCAGCGCCAGACTCTGCGCCAGAGACGGTCAGGCAAGGACGACTTTTGGCTGCCCAAATGGGTCCCGCAGTCGGCCGAGGCGGACGAGGATGAGGAGGAGGCGACGATGACTGTCCAGACTGTTGGCGGCGTCGTAGAAGATGGGCCTTTCCGATACAGACCCCGCGTTCAGACCCCGCTCTTGACCCCTGTCAGATCATAGATGTTCATAGACCTTTCTCCTTGACCTTTTCCTTGAGCTGTTGTACACACGCCCCCAAATTCATCATTCGCATTCTTGACATATATCTTTGTAATAGTAATCCCATCTACTTGGGATCTCCCCCTCCCCATATTATCTTGTGTGTTATACAATCAGCGGTTTCCGTGGAGTGAAGAAGTATAGCAGAGTACCAGAGAGCAGAGTATGCAATATACGTGCCTACTTGACTTTTTTGCTGCACAACAGAACGATGGGGCAGTTGTATTCTAGACTGTAAAAAAGTTGGGGTGCGGCACTAGTCACTAGATCACTGCCACATGGGGTGGTGCCACGGTGAGTAACCCTCGACCCTGTCCCAACCGGTCAAAACTTGTGGAACGAGCATGCGATCTGCGCGATCTACCAGAGGCTAATCCTAGATGCATGCCAGTTGACCTTCCCCAGCACTGCTGAATTCTATGGATCTTGTCATCGCGCGTTACAGGAGTTGCAGCTGGGTGTGACAGACTGTGACGATTTGTGGAGCGAAATGCGCGAAGGCGCAGAGTATATCATTGAAAAGCGCACCAAGTCCGCTCTACGGCCTATGCTCTGTGTACGTAGTATGGCATTACGGCGTCACCTCCCTGTGCAATGTGCATAGACTCTGCATGGGAATGACGATCATGGACGATCTCGGCCTGTCTCAGACCTGGGAAGCGGCTCAGAAACAGAGACAGGTGATGGCGCCGGCGGAAACGAACCTTTTTGTGGATCATGGAGATAGCTATTAAGATCAAGCAGACCAAAAAAAATAAAATAAAGAAAGTTGGCTGGAACGGTGGTACCGGCCGGCATTGATCATGCCAAACGATGTCACAGGGGAGTGCGAAGTGTATGCCAATCCTCATGTGCTCTTCCATGGTTTATCGCCCCTCGCGCTCTTGTCGCTATTCCAGGCCCAACACCACTATATATCATGGGAGATCCAAGATCCAAAGCCTGCATATGTCGCCCAGGTCGCCCAGGATGATGACTCTCATGACGATTCAAGACATCATCCACAAGAGAACCGATCAGTGCGGGCGGAGAGCGTAACGCCCCTCAAACTCCCCTCCCATGCCGACAGATAATCATCATACAATAAACTGTAGGCTCAACACACCGCCCGTCACGGAGGAGCCTAATAAAAATGATTGACAGAAGCGTCAGAAGGAAAAAAGAAACGCCAAAGAACAAAAGTACAAAAAGAGAGTTCAAGATTCACAAACTGTATCGTAAGAACCGTAAGTTTGTCAGAAAAAAACACAATCAATTATCAAACGCATCTTGAATCTTATCGGGCAAGCCGCAATGCAAGACACTGACAAGCTTGGGTGTCCGTCCCGTTGATGAACGTTTACGTTACTGTCTATCAACCTACTTGCAGCTTGCTATCGCCTGTCCTCGGCATTATCGGCTCACCTCATCAAGCGCGTGAAGAGCTCCGCGGTCGGTGAGCGCAGTTCATATTATGAAGCAGTGCATGCTGCTCTTTGGCACTCGTTTCCGAGCGTTCCCAAGAACATGCCAACCTCTCCATGGGACTGAGCTCGTATGATAAAGAGTACAGAGCGCAGAGCATCCAATATCCACGCCGAAAGAAGCAGGAACGCCTCTGCGGAGGCCGTGGGGCTTATCAGTACAGAGTTCAGATAGGAACTTGGCAAGCTTTTGGCGGCTGATGGCTGAGAGAGTGGATCATCAGGATCGTCAAGCTCACGGCACGTCCTCAGGTGTCTGTTACCTGTTACCTATTGCCTGTTGCCTGTTGCATGCTGCCCGTTGGCCGTTGGCTCTCAAACCTCAACTCATGTCAAAGCTCAGCAGCCAAGACCCAAGGCATGCGCTCATGTATCGATTGCCCCGATTGCCCAGATGTACATATGCATATGGCGGTTTATGACAGATGGCAGATGGTAGCTAGGCAGGTACGGCTAGCACTGCAGATGGTGCAGCTGGCAGTTCCCAGCGCAGAGTTGACTGATGGTGGGTATCGCGCCCCAGTGGAATACTCTGCCACAAAGCATCAGCCGTGACTCTAATAATCATTCAATGCCACAATGTCAGTCGCCGGATAGGCCGGATGGAGTGTCGGATGGCCGCCTTTGTCTAGCTAGCTGAAGACAAGTAGACTATCGACCGGCTTTACGAGAAAGTGCAAACTCGATCAGAGGAGAGGTGAAGACGACAAGGATATTGGAAGTGGTCTCCTCTCAACTCGCGATGCAGTAACATACATCGGCAGACTTGGAGCACCATATGATATAACCTGGAGATGATGATTGGCAGCCCTTGCCCAGTGCATCGTGCTGCATACCCCCAGGCCCTACTAGGTGGTGAGCCTCCACCTGGGCAAAAGCAGACAAAGTCAAACGCGTCCTTCCCGGCCATCCGCATCTACAACGCAGCGCCAGGGTCATGCCCAGCAGCGGCTCCACCTCCTCCCTCTCTGCCCTCCCCTCCCCCCTGTCCCCCCTGCCTCCCCCCCCCCCCCCCCCCTGCCCCCCCTGCCTCCCCCCGATCCCCGCCGTACCACCGTGCGCCATGTCTACAATCAGACCCACCGCGACTTTTACTCTTGGAAGCCGCCCTCCACCCTTCCCATGGAAACTGGATGGGCGCAAAAAAAAATAGAGAGTATAGACAAAAAGACTGTGCAGGCGCACAAGGAATTTGGGCGCAAGATGGCCCTGGCCCTCGGGGTCGAAGACGGAGGAGCCGTCACAAAGCCCGTCTTTGAAGGGGCCGAGAAACTGGCCAATGCGAAACGCCACGCCAAAGCTCCTATATCTTGGAACAACTCTATACCCAACCGGCTACCCCCTCCCCAGAGATACGTTTCGCGGGGCAAAGTCAGGCCTCTTCCGAGATACTTTTATTGCGTGCCAATAAGGCGTAGTCTTCTCTCGCCCGACACGGTCATCTTACCCTTCATCCCAACTTTTACCGACGATGTCCCATTCGATGCCGACGCGTACGCCAGAGAATTCCCTCTATGCGCCTGGGAATTATCTGGGAGAAACGGAGACACTGATATCATTCTTCGTGAAACGGCGAAACGGTGTCGCGCCAAGGGACTTTCGGCGAGAGATATCAACGAGACGAGAGTGTTACCAAAGGATATCGTGGATATTGAAATGTTAGATCTCATGAGAGACCTTCCGGCGTTCCCATCGCCTCCTGAAACATACCTCGGCATCGCTGAAGAAGGAAAGGGCGATGTATCACCGGCGAAAAGAAAGTGGGAAGAACCTCTGGAGGTGAAACAAGAAGAGTACTCGGCCGACCCGTTGGAATTTGAAGAATTGTGTTGCCACAACCCCAGCTGCACAAACTTCATGTGCGTCAGGCATAGTAGGTGTAGTCTCGTCCATACCGGCGGCGCTAATAAACATGACAGGCGCGCTGTTCTTCGACAATATGATGAGAAGGACGACGGGAGATGACATAACTTTCGCAGAGGACAAGCTCAAAAAACTCCCTCGTCTTCAGAACATCCTCCTGAACCTTAACAACAATTGTTCGGGTACTTGCTACTCTCTTCGCATATCGGAGCTGTTGACAGAGACGGAAGGAGAGAGGCAGAGTCACCCAAGAAAGCCCTGGACACCGTGGGATCGCACCCAGCTTTTCCAGATTCTTAAAGCGTGGACCAACGCGGGCATTGGTCTTTGTGCACTGAGAGATGTTTTTAATAGACCCTGTGATGACGTGAGCCCTCACCTTCAGTTCCCGTAAACACACTCATTTGCCTGTCAGATTGCGATGGAGGCTGTCACCATCATTAGAGCCCACCCAGAGCTGCAGGCCAATGACGAGGACGAGGACGGTCCTAAACCCAAGATCAAGATGAACCGCCCAAGTGAGTCTGGAGCGCTGCTTCGGCTGGTGACTGACCCGCACTAGTCCCCATCACAAACAAGCTTCAGAACTTTGAAAGATGCGTCCATGATGGGCCATGTTTACCCGACATTTGCAGATGCGCAAATACAAATTGGCCTTGCGGCCGACACTGCTCTGTAAGGTATCTTGCAACAGGATTACGATCGCTGACATTGTTTCAGTGTCCCATCTCCTGTACTAGGCGCTTTCGCGGCTGCACCTGTCGCAATATTGTCATACGGGAGGGCAAGAATGTTTCTCGAGCTTGTGCACCTACGAGATGTCCTTGCATCAGGAGTCACCGAGAGTGTGATAGAGAGCTCTGTGGGCCATGTGGCGCAGCGTGAGTCTTGTTACATCTAAAAGGCTAAGCCCACTAAAGGCTATGACAGGGATGAGATTCTAATAGCCCAAGATGTACGGGCAGCGGGTGGGACATTTGGTCAAAATGGAGTTTGGGAAGCGTCAGTTGATCTACACGAGTCTAAATTCATTACCTGCGGCAATGTGGCGCTGCAGAAAGGTATGACTCCGGTATGTCACTCTTCATATGTGCCGATCTACATTGACAACCTTGTAGAAGATGAGGGTAGGGATCAGCGACATTGCCGGGTATGGCTTGTTCGCAGGTCAGGATATTCCGAAGGATACAATGATAGGCGGTGAGCGGAGAATCTACCCTCAGTGACCACAAATTGACACTTACTTGTTAGAATATGTTGGAGAGCTGATAACGGACATGGAGGGGAATGCGAGAAAGTGAGTTGGTCCGGTTAATGCCCGACGAGACAGCTTACCTTCCACCAACAGCACCACAGAAGTCCGTCTGGCCAAGATGACGCATTGATTGGATACTGATATAAAGTAGAATGTCGTCCAGCGACGCTACCAATTCCAGGTCAACGGCGACAGTATCATCGATGCTGCGTTCTACGGCAATCTGACGAGATTTTTCAATTCGGACACGGGTCTCAAGGTCAATTGCGTGGCTGAGCGTGCGTTGGCCTCATCCCTGTGACTTATAGAGCTGACCTGCAGCGAAGAGCGCTCCGTGGACCACGAGACAAGGATACTTTTCACGACATGTAGGTCTGCATAGGGCGAGCGTAATCATATATGCTGACAGGAGCTCAGTACGAATGATCAAGCGGAACGAAGAGATTTTGTTCAACTACGGGCAAGTCAGCAATGGTCATGAAGGAAAATGAGTGCTGATGTCTGCTTCAGAGAAGGCTTTTGGGCGCACCATTAGCACGATTGCAAATGCACAGTACTCGTACTTGAAGGTTGTACAAGGATGCAACAAATCACAGGCATGCATAAATACAGAAAGACCACACCCAAAAAAGGATAACATGTGCACCTAATCACCATTCTCCGCGTCCCGCTTTCCTCGCGCAACTCTCTTCGATACCTTCTCAGACTCGGAATCCGCTTCCCTCTTGTTACCATTCGTCGTGATTTCAGACAGGCTAGCCCGTTTGCCTTGCTGTCTTTTTGGCACCGCATTGGGGATATCTGCATTATTGGGTACAGCGCCCGACGGCTGCCCCGTGTACTCCGCTTGAGGAAGTTCCTCCCAATCTGTCTTCTCCTTCAGCTCAGCGCGTCGGCTGTTCGAGATGGTCATGTCGATGGTATCCAGAGCCAGCAACCGATGAACATGAACCTCCTTCTGCTGGCCATATCTTCGCACTCGTCCGATAGCCTGTGTCTCCACCGCTCGATAATTGTAAAGCGACGGCGTAAACAGAGGGCCAAGGAAGATTGCATGGTTGGCAGCGGTCAAGTTTGACCCCGCCGCACTGGCATCGTTCATCTTCAAGAGCAAGACTCGTGACGAAGACGCGTCGGAGGACTGGAAACGCTCAAGAGTATTCGCCCGGGCTTTGACGGCTCCAGTAAGCGTGTGGTGGGGAATGTCACCTGTCGTCAACGCCTCCGAGACCTTGCTTGCGAGATCCTCCCATTGAAGGAAGACGAGGACGCGCTCGTCTTCGGGAATGGTGTGAATCAAATCGACAAGCTTGGCGAGCTTAGCGCCATAGCGACCAGATGAAAGCTGACCCTCCACGCCCAATGTGCTGACTTTGACTATGTTGGTCTGTCGCACGGGCGCAGTACATTTTTCCGGCTCGATGCAACGCTGACTATTGGCAGCCTTCACCAGGCACGCGTGACAGGCCACATGTCCACAGCACGATAGAATGGCCATTGCGGCAGAGGCGGCTGTCGAGGGTTTGTGCTCACATCCCGACGTCTCCAGGACCCCCAGCGCTTCTTCGCCTCCTTGCTGAAGCTTCCGAATCACTTCAAAAAATCGAAGAGATCTTACTCTCCCGACAAGCTCTTTTGAGAGCTTGCGCAGGAGATGTGTCTGCTCCCGCAATTGCCACTTCACGTCATCAACTTTGGCACCTTTTGGGACGGCGTTGGTTTTCCCTGCGGGAGAAGAGGGAATCACAGCATCTTTGATATTGCACTCTTTCTCCAACACCTTCGTCACGCGACGAGCAGCCTCCGCATCCCCTTGATGCTTCCGGGTATCCCAAGAAGAAGTTACCCATTGAGTGAATGGCTGAGGGGAGGGGTCACTCTTGGTGAAGTAGCCCTTCTTCTTGATCCACGTATGAAAGGCGACAGCTTGATTGACCGAGACGGCAAGATCTGCCTGACACGCAGTTAGTTGAAGCGCCCGAGCGCCCGAGATGTGCTGGCAAGCTTCGCGAGCTGATTCGACGTCACGAGTCTTGTCATTGAGGTCGAGCGTAAAGTGACAACAACGTTTGAGAAGTGCCTCTTCAGCGGTCTTTGAATCACTCAGAGCCTCTTCTAGACGAGCGTGTCTGTCGCCTTGAGAGACATTCTTGTACTTGGTCTCCTTGCGCCTATGTGACATTTAGCTGGCAGCTGCGAGTCAAGTGAGATTCACGTACGTGCGCATTTCCAGTGCTTGAAGATGGTGTTCAAGTTCAAGATAGACAGCTCCTTCTGAAGCTGGCAGCATGAAGGTATGTATATGCTCCACGGTGGGGATCTCCTCAATTTCGGCAATGTTTTGGCGAACAAAATTGTCCAAGAAAGTCTGAGCAAGATCGTCCCTGTGTTGATGCCATACTTGAGAATGGACCTCCCGGAAGGCGTGGAATTTTTCAGCTTGAGTCTGTTCCTTGGCTCGGATCTTTAGGTACTGAGTAGAGGCTTCTCCGTCATCTTCCATGCCCAAATGCAGCCCCATGAAGGAAGCAATGCTACGAAAGTGTTAGCTCGAATTGACAGAGGGATAGCGCCATACCTTCGGATAGCCGCAAAATCATCTACGGGTGGCGTACCCGAGAGAATCCATTTATATGAAGAAGTCAATCTTAAAATTGCTGGCAAACTCTTCTTTTGCAGGTAAGTAAACTCGTCTGCGACGACACGTCGGAATCTGACAAGGGCATCTGGTCAGGCAACTGGTCATAGCGCAGACATACATGCACTCACCTGAACATGTGCATGACCGGACAGGAGAGCTTGTTGAAATCTTGTTTTACCGCACTGCTGGTCAAGGCCTCGGACCCTTTCGCCTGTCTGAAGGTTGGCATCGGAATATCAGCAAGTTCGTCATCCTAACAAACCAGCAAGTGGTCAGCCTATGAGCACGGTATGTACGGAAAAACTCACATCGTCATCATCATCATCATCATCATCAGAGGCCTCCCAATTCTCCATTTCGGCCAAGGTAGTCTTCTTTTTCGCTTCACCATCATATCGATCACGGTAGGCTCGACCCTTCATTCGTTTGCCAAACTTGATCGACTTGTGCACTTCAGCCCCACCTTCAACCTCGCCTCTGGCGTCCTCCTGGATCTTGGCCATGGTTTTTATAGCTTCATCCGCCCCTTCCTCCTTCAAGACACGAGTCTGGGATCTCAATGTTGCCAGAGCTGAATCGAGACGATCGCAGAAGAACCTCCCTCCTTGAGCGTCGTTCAGCCAGCCTTCAGGGTGAGCCGCAAGATACTCGAATCGCTCCCAGTATAGGTCGGCCTCGAAGATCTCCGTGGCCATGACTATGATGTCGGCTTTACTGAGCTCCGCGATGGTCTTGCCTTGCAGGTCTCTCATGTTCTGGATGACCATGACCTCAAACATATCCCCAGTAAAACGAGCGATTTCGCTTGGCCACTGTCTACTGAGGTGGCCGGGAACCAGGATCAAGGTGGCTTTGAGATCTATCAGATCGACGGGCGCCGGTTCGGGTGCAGGCGCTTCTCGAGTCTCCGCGATGAGTGCGATCGTTATGACGGTCTTGCCGTAACCAACTTGATCGGCAATGACACCTCCGCGGACCAGAACCGGCCTTTCAGCCTTTCCCTCGGCTCTCCAACCCACAGCGGGCAGGATGGCTTCGGCAATCTCCTCTTCGACAAAGGTATGTGTTTTACCTGCAGCCTCTTCCTGCGCCAACATCCACCAGACTGAGCGCAGTTGCTCGGTCCGGAGGCGGAACTTGAAGCCAGCAGGCTGCGCATGCTGTGGATCGCGCTTGTTGCTCGGAATCACAAATACTTTCGGCGGTCGAGGATTTTCGGCAATCGGCCCAGGCGTAAGACGCCATGAGAGGTTTGTCTTGCCCTTTAATCCATCGTGAGGGAGTCGGGAAAGAGCACGATGGGCCAGCGACACGACATTGAGACCTATACGGAATGATCCGAAGCCGTCATCTAAACGAAGCTGGAGCACGAAAGGAGACGGGCGGCTTTTGAGAGCCTTTTGTGTACAACGTCAGTAATAATGACTTTGAAATACGACAGGAAACCCACATGCTCGTAACGACCAGCTTCATATCTGTCTTCATAGGCGACGATGGTGCTCTTTGTCTTTGCTCCCCTCTTGTTCACTTTGCCCGCTTTCTTGATCCAATGGACTCGAGGTGCCCGAGGAGCGCACCGTTCACATACATCCTCAGCGCTCTGTGAGACCGTCAGTAAAAGAATGTTTGAAAAACGGCAGGCTCACGTGTGAATTTGCAATGACAGTCCATTGTTCCAACGCATTCATGGGCGGCAGTCTCTCGGTGATCCATGCTAGGTTGGCAAATGCTGCGTTTCCTTGATGGGACAAGTCCACTTCGCCCCAGGCCCCATTTCGCCACATGCTTTCAGAATGAGATGAACTGAGTGGCACCCGGCACGATAGAATGGCGGAAGCATGCGTACACGCGTCCTTATCCAAAGATACGGATATACTGGAGGCTGATTTGGGCACGGCGAAAGTAGCGACATCGCGATCGATATCAGAATCAGTAGTAGCACCGACGACAGCGATATCGCCGCCACCCATAGCAGCAAGATGAGCCTCCTCGCAGGTGACCCAGCTTCCCGAAGCCCTCACTGATGACGCTTGAGAATCCTCATCGTTTTCGCGCCAGCTGGATCGGAGCTGCGCTATGACCGGGCGTTCAGTTCCGTAGTCGAGTCTATCGATGCTGGTCGAAAAGACATAAGAGTCGTCGGAAGACTCTCCACATCGAGTGGGGTCAAAGAAAAAGTACAGTTGGGGAAGCAATTTATCTTCAGAAGAAAGGACTCTTTTATGAAGAGAAGCCATGGCCTGTCCACAATTGGGTAGTAGCTTGTAGATGCCCGAGATTTTACGGTCTAGTATCTCTTCGCCCGCGCTATCGACTTGCACTTCCAACTCGGACCAGCGTTCTTTGCCAGCAAAGGTGCCCTCCAAACCCAATGATGCTTCCCAAGAGGGCACTTTGTCACCGCGTCCAATGATCGTGACGTCTATAGTGCTTCTGGATGGAATGCAAAGATTCCAAGGGCCGCAAAGCACATCCTGACCGGTGGTATCGATCTGCAACCGGGCTACCGGGTGAAGAAGGAGTGCCCGTAAGCGACTGTCGTTCGGCTCAGAGGCGGGTGATTCGATTGTGAGTCGCCATTCGGGCATTTGCTTGTCGAGGACGAGATTGAGAGAAGCACGGGGCGCCTCGTAAACAGCGGTCCATACACCTTGCCTTTTGAGGTGGCGAAATCTGAATTCTGCGCCTGCGACCGCTTCTAGAACGGCGTCACTCCAAAGCCTCCAATCACCTTCATCAACGAGTGTTTTTGCGCGCTCTTGAGCTTTCGTTTTGGCTTTTGCCAGGGACTCGGTGCCCAGGCCGGCAATTTCGACGCGCATAGGCAAAAGGTCTTTGAGACGCTTTTCGAATTCAACTGGTTGAACTCGAAGATTGGCACAATTACTGTAGACATGCTCTGGCCTTCCCCCGCAAGACTTGCACGCCCTATAATGACATTCAACACATTCGAGGATGTTGTCGACGGTGCCGGATTGTCCTTCGCACTGACAATGACGAGAACTGCGATGGGCGAGGTCCAAGAGAATGCCAAGGTTGGATCCAGCCACTTTGGCCAAGTCAAGGTCATGGCGCTCGAGACGCTCTTCACCCACGATACGGCCAGCAATTTGTTCATCGATGACCGCAGCTTCCTGTATGAGACTCGTGGCGTCTTGATCGGGGTTGGTGCCGGCTTTTAGCCTGTGACAGGCCACTCGGAGAGCAGACAACATTGCTGAACCCACAACAGTCGTCGACATGGCATTGCCAGCCAGATCGGCCAGCTGATCTTCAGTCTCGCTTGTCAGTAGGAGCTCTCGCACAGGAATTCCTTGTAGCGCCAAAGCTTCCCGACCCGTAACAGGACCTCCCCGTATGGTAACCCAGGGGATCATATTGGGGGTCAGGCAAGGGGCTAAAGCGGTTTTTGCCGAGCCCGTTTGACGATCAACATTCTGACTGACGTTCCAGATACAAGCTTTGTGACCCGAGTCAACACCATCTTTGGCCATTCGAAGAGTTGAAATCTCTAGCAAGTCGACAACTCTTTCAGTCTGAGTCAGAAGCCAGTCGTTCCAAGTCCAATCGAGACCTTTGCAGACACCAGCCTCTTGCCACGAAGTGAGTGGTCTTTGAAGACCGAGCTCCTCTTCTTCTCGCGCCCGATGATGTCGAGACTCGCATCTGGTCCAGTCAGTAGGCTTTCTTGATGTTCCTTCCGTCTGTGCTTTGGCAGAGGCCAGATCGAGGCGCGCGCGGTGAATATTGGGGTCGTCGGTATGAAGCAAGAATGCTTCAAAGGGGGATGACCAAGGACGTCGTAGGTCCTTCACAGTCTGCTGCCATTGTTCGGGCAGACCCCCAGATTTGGTGGATGGTGTGGCAAAGAGGTAAACTCTGGTGCGAGTGTGAGGAATATAGAACTCCTTTGTATCCAGACTGTGTCGCTACGTCAACTCCGTTTATTGATGTTTGCGTATCACTCACCGTGTAAAATCCGCATCATAGTCGATCTCGGCAAAGTATTCAACGACCTTGGCCCAAGGGGCGCTGCAGACATTCTCTAATATGACGATGGGTGGCTTGTGCTTGTTGACCCACTGCAACATGCCCCTGAACGTCCGACCGGATTCTCCATTTGCGTCAATGTCTTGCTGGACATTGTTGAGATTGGAGTAATCGACGCAAGAGGTACCCGCAATGAGAATCTTCCATGGATGTTTAGCGTAGATCGCGATCGACAGGAATCAAGACAAAGAACTCACATCAACGTCGCCTGGAACCTCAACGAGACTTCCATAAGCTGTATGAGCCCTTTTTTTCCCCAGTTCTGTAACGTCTCTGAACAATATCGGGGGTGCAAAGTTCCTCTCAATATAAGCTTGCTTGAAAGGCTCAATCTCGCATGAGAAGACATGATCAAACGAAAGGGTCAAGTCGTGCTGGGATTTGATGGCTTGGGCAATCATGTCAAGTGCCAAAAGGGGTGATTCTGTTCCTCTGCCATAAGGTCAGCAAGTCTCAGGAAGAAGAAGTGTGATTTCGTACGAGCACATGGTTGCCACGCGCAGTTTCCGCCCATTCAGCTGCTTTACAAGCTGGACGATGTCTGGCATCTAGCATGGTCGTCAGCCCCAAGCCAGATGGCAATGGCATCCAGTCTTACCCTTGAAACCAGATGGTCAAACATGGCCTCCACGTTGCTCATCGGAGGCAGATCTTCGCTCATGTCCTTTACAGCCAACTTGATATCGATATTTTGCCCCAAAGGCATGACACCAGTGTCAAAATTGGCCCTGAATGGGATCAGAATCATTCCTCATGCTAGACACCATACATGACTCACAGGGCTGCAGATCTGCGGGGTTTTGCTGTCGCCTTTGACAGGGAAGCTCGGGCTTTACTCGTCTTTGATGTCTTGATTTCTGCAGGGCGTTTGTCAGATCCTATACAATGCTCTTCAAGACGACATACCCTCTTCGCTCTCCTCCGCATCTTCCGCCTCATCTGCGGACTCTTGCCCTTGCCCCTGCTCCTGATCATCAGAGAAAATCACATCATCGTCCCCTTCATCCTCATCGACGCCCTCATCCATGACAAAATCGCTCTCATCGTCATCAATCACCCTGCGCTTCTTTTTGGGAGGCTGCTTGCTGCTGGCCGCATCGTTCTTCTTGGTCGGGCCTCTAGTGGGGCGCTTTGGCGGGCTTTTCGGTGGTTCTGATCCATCACTCTCATCATCAACGTAGATTGGAGCAGACTTTCGAGCCGATGCACGGGCGGGTCGCTTGTTTGAGGACATTGCCTCCTCGACAACCTCGGCAGTTACTAGAGATTCTTTGCGGTCCGCGAAGGAGGGCGAATGCTTCACCGAGATAGGAGAGGCCTCCTGTTTGGAGGGAATTTTCTCTTCTTTGGGATGCAGATGAAGGGCAGCTTCAATCAATCCGCCGTCGGGTTCGACTGATTCGCCATGATCGACGATTGATTCACTGTCTGCCTCTTCCACAGGCACTTCGGACGTAAAAGACGCAGCTCTCTGAAGACGAGGTTTGAGGGGATTCTTTCTGTAGAACGCTTTGACAAGGACACTGTTCTGGTCGCCCACGTTCTCTTCAGGCTCCCAAGTCCTCTCGTCTACAGGATAATCTGTCCAGTGGACGAGATATTCCAGCTTGGGTACGCGTCGATTCTTGACAATACGAGCGTCGACAATATAGTCTACTTCGTATTCTTTGTCGCTATCGTCGCTGGAAGGAGCAGGCGAAGGGGTCTCGACCTGTAGTGACAACGCGTCGCGTTAACATTGTTTCGTGAAAATGGGTAATACTCACGCGTTTTCGTTTCTGGATCGTGAGAGGCTTGCGGGGTGCTTGTTCTGCGCGAGAGGTTGACTGTCTTGCGCCGGCTCTGGTGGGGTGAGAAGGGGAGGGAAGGGCGTTGCTGATAGATGCCGAGGCCCTGAGCGAGGTTCTCCTGGAGCCTTTCGGTGGACTGGCGTCCGCTATGATCTCCCCTGCCATGTATATTCGATGGCGGGCTGTCTCAACAGGATCCCAAGACAGTTCAAGAAGAGAATGGACAGGTTACGAAGAAATGAGAAATAAGAGCAGGAATTAATTATCACGGACGCGTCGGCAGTCGCGTCAACTGCAACAAGCGGACATCACCGACAAGCCCTGGACAAGTCACACCAACGTTGACATATCGTGGAACCGCATATTTCTGACATGCACCACAGGAGACACAGAAGCGAGGAAAGGGGTGTTCACCCCAGACATAGCCTGTGGATTGGCTTTGTTTGGGCGGATCCTAAGAATCTATGCGTGCAATGTAAAGGGCGGTCACTTCCTGGTCATAAATGCATGGTGACCTCACTACCAAGGAGCATCGAACCTGCCGTCGTCCAAAGCCCCTCCCTTATCTTTTGAGCCCATGTCTCCGCCCATCTTTCTCTTTACTCTGCTCTTCCTCCCGCCCAACGCTTTGTAAGCATCTCTCGCCGCCAACTTTCTTTCCGTGGACGACGGTGCCTCTCCAGCAACAGGCTCCCACCTTGAGGCGCCCCCGCTGCCCATGCCAGCGTACCCATGACCACCTGTAGGGGTAGAGTAGCCAGACGAATGCAAGCTCGCAATGTCAACTCTACCCCTCTCAGGCTCGGGCTCTGCTGTGGGATCTGTCCTCTTGAACGTATGCTTGAAAGCTTTTTTCCATTCCTTCTTGCTCTCTATCTTGGTCCATTGTGGCTGCGCCGACGATGGAATGGGAGGGGGAGGAAGAGAAGACAGGCGAGGAGATTTGTCGTATGGGTCATAGAACTCAATCTCGTCGTCGACTTTACGAGTCTTGCCGCCCTTGTCGCCCTCGGGCGCGCTGATGCGAGGGAGAAGCAGGTTACGGTTCTGTAAGAACCAGACTACCGTTGGATTTAGACACATCACGATTCAAGCGCTAGTGGGCTTACCGTAATTGAGTGTGGACGACTTGTGCCATCTCTTGCAGACTCTGTCACATCTGGCCAAAGCCCGGATGTCCAACATCAAGAATATCCGTACAGATAGATGCGTGGGTAGGACTCGGAGCTGAAAGCCAGAAAGGGGCAAGAATTTAATTGATCAGCAATGCGCCATATATATAGCAATTTCCTGCTTACAGGATCTCTTGATTTGCCGCCCAGCAAACTAGGCAGTCTTCCGCCAAATTTCCCACCAGTCGGTGTCACCGGGCGTGTGCCCTTGCCGACAGCCACCAGCTCGTCTTCATCCGTGTCGTAGTCTGAGAACGGCGGTGTGTTGGCTCCTGATGAGAGACGAGAAGAGGTAGAGCCCGGGGAAGAGGGTGGGTTGGGGGTATGGGATTGCTGGTGGATCTGTTGCGAAACGTGGAGGTTTTGGAGAGCTGTCTGGAGTAGCGACGAGTTTGTCATTGCTTCGAGCGTCTTGTGGAGTGTAGGTTGTAGGATATTGTTGTAGCAGCAGCAGCGGAAGAAATGAGCCAGTAAGGGAGCTAGCTTTTGTATTGCTTTTGTAACGAAAAGTCGCCGGTCATCCGCGCGTCAGGCCGGATCTATGACGTAGTGCCAACCGGGAGCAGAAATGACAAGCAGTCAAGCAGAAGCCTGGCTGTGCCACCTGGATACTGTATTTGAATGGGATGCCGGCTTCATTATTGTCGGCCGTTGCGAAGACAGATCTCGCTCAATCAAATTCACAGATCTCTCCTGTACGTACGTACTAGATCGAAACAAACATGCATGCAATACCAAGAAAACACTATACATCTATAAGAAAGATCCCCTACTCCTTGTATGTCATCGCTTCCCTGTCGTCGGCAGTCAGACGAGCCCATTCGAGACATAGTCTGTACACGTAGACTACCAACGCGTTAGCATATGCCAGAATCTGCGCATGAATCACTCACTCTCCATGTCGATCTTTCTCCCGGCAGTAAACATCCAGTCCCTCCCCGCCTTAGCAATCTTTCTCAGCTCGGCATCCCCGTCATACTTTTTGGTATGCGCCCCCGCCTGCTGGTACATCCCAGCAGTAGCGTTGGCGGCATTCAGCATGGCGTTGGAGGGACCCGAGAAGAATGCGTGGATGTTGTAGATCTCCTGGTACATCTGCGAAACAGGGATGTAATGGAGCCAAGGCTGCAGCCACTCCGACATGAATTCGGTGTAGACGGTAGATTTGACAACAGCACATTCTGATTTCAGCTGTAAAAAAGATGAGCATGAGACCCAAAGACAAACGTCGATAGACTTACCAAAGCAAAGAGACGGGCAGAGTAGCCCATACCGTCCACATCGATCAAGTACTTGTGCCTCCAATTCTCACCGAGAGGCACGGCATCGGCAAATCGGTGGTCCTTCCTCATACCATCACATCCGCCAGGATACTGGGTACATCCGACCGCCTTGGTGAAAGCTACATCCATGATGTCCTTGTTGAGCTCGCCAATCGGTACTGGAGCAGAGACATAGTTGTTGGTACCAGGAGGGTCGGCAAAGACAACAGTCTTGTTGGAGTCTGACTGGTCAGAGGTCATCTTGATGAAACGGTGACGCTGGTATTGCGCAAGGAAACCAGGAGGGGAAGAACCACCACCGGTAGTCGCACCACGCCAGAATATGTCATCAGACTTTTCCTCCCAGGAAGTCTCCATGTCATCGACGTCTTTGATGACCATGTTGACCGGGTCCCAACCATAGGTGTATCGCTTGGTGGACGAAAAGTAGTAGTGGGATGGGATAAGAATGTCGGAATAGCCCATCCCCTTGGCAGGGGAGAACATGGGGTAGAGGGCATGGATGGTTCTCCAATCAGAGAAGAAGTGACCCTGGTTGTAGTGAGCCCAGGGATGGGCGCAAAAGTCAAACTTGTCGTCAACGCCTTCGGGAAATACAAAGTCGTCCGAGGGAGCGCCAGAGGTGACACCAGCTGCGGCAAGTCTGGAGATGGGAGCCTGACCTTCCTTCAGGTTGGCACGAAGAGAGCCAAACAAGCGTCTGGCCTGCGAAGAAGGGTCACAAGTCCTGCGGTAGGCTTCCCAAACATTTCCGTCACCTCTCCAATCGGGAATGAATTCACCTCCCAAGACATGCTCAATACCCACTACACAGAGTCAGCACCGCAGATCGGGGAATAACTAGACTTACAAGAGGAATCGGCAGTCAAATTAGAGTACAAGTTTTCCTCCCAAGGGACAAGGATACGACCCTCAGCCTTTTCATTGATAGGAAAGTCCATATCGGGCAGTTTGGCTTGAAACTTCTCGAGCATGACTCGGAAACCCTTGGCACGGGCACCGACTTCAGAGTCGGAGAATCCTTTAGAGACATCGATAGTTCTGGTCTGACCGTTTTCAACTCTGACGAGATCGACAGAAGGCAAGAATCCGACTTGGATGCACCGTCTCCGGAGCTCCTCGCCGCTGAACAGCCAGAAGGGCGTCAGGTCCCTGTCGAGCTGGTCGTATTCATCGTAAATGATCCCATTGTTGTCCTTGGCGAATTTAAACCACTCATCAAAGCCCTTGGGGGGATTCTTTCCGTACCGCCGCTTGTACTCTCCGACGGCTTCCGGCAAGGTCTTGCTTTGCTTTTTCATTTTGCGCTCGTGGGCATCCTTGGCATCGGCCATGAGCTTGGGAATGGGATGGCGGATTGGGGGTCTCGGGGCCAAGGCCTTTTCTCTGAGAAACTTGGATCGGATGACAGACGAAGAGGCGGTTGTCCATCGTGTGGTCGCGAGCAGACGGTCGGGGGAGGAGAAGAGGAAGTGGAGGAGGAAGAGGACAGTGAGGGAGAGGCCCGCGATGGCGACTATGCGCTGGCGAGGGAAGATGCCCTTGGCCATGGCGTTTGCTTGGAGGGAGAGAAAGTCGCGTCCGATATGATAGACGCGTACGGGGAATACGGGGAAAAGGGGGTGTGTGGCAGGGAGGAGGGTTTGCTTCCGCTGCGGTAAAGTCGTGACGTGGAGCCTGAGAGAGGTACTTTAGTTGGCCCGTCTCATCTCACCACATCTCACCACATCCCGCCGCCATGTCCAAGCCCGTCCCCCTCAGCTCACAGCTCCCGGGGCTGCTCGAGAAGGTGCGTGCCAGTCCCTCCGCTGGCTCCCGCTGACAAGCCGCCGCAGATGAAGAACGTCGACCCGGACTACCGGTATGCCCGTCTGCTGTTCCCCAGAGCCTTCCTGACCAAAGCAGGGTGATGGCTCTTGTGGATCTCAAAAAAGAGCTGGAGAAAAACATCGCCGCCAATGGTGTGACATCAAATCGTCGCACGGACCCGCACTTCACCGACGACTACACCGAAGGACAGCTGGTAGACATGGCCCTGAAACTCCTGGCGGACTCCAATCAGGAAGTCAAGTCGAATGCTGTCACAAAGTTTGTTGTTGCATGTGTCATCGTGTCTCGGCTGACCTGTGTATAGCATCGCGTTGATCGTGAAGAAAGCTAGACCAACCTCGCTGTCCAAGATCATCTCGTCCCTACTTGAAGATGTAGCGTCTGGTAATGAAGAGCGCAGAGATACTTCCACTTTGGGTAAGGATCATTCATTTGAGCGCTCTATTTCTGACTGCGTATAGCTCTCAAGAGTGTTGTTCTTGAGATGCCATCCTCCGGTTCTCAGGTATCGGCCGACCTTGAACGCATCTCTTCCCGCGTCCTTGAACTGTTCAACACGGTAAGCGGTCGTAACGACGCGCAGCCTTCTATTGACGTTTCAGGCCGATCTCCACCCTCAAATAGCCTCAGAGCTCCTCCAAACCCTCACCGACCTCTTTACGCGCTTTTCGGCCAACGTATCCACTTCAACCACCGTCAGCAACTCTTCTCTCTCTGCGCTCATCAAGATTCTCTCAACCGCCCGACCCGCAATCCGCAAGCGTGCCATCCCGACTCTGGCCTCTCTTGTTGCTGCTAGCCCTGCGCTCTTCAACGAGACTTTGCAAAAGGAGATCACGGCGGGTGTATCACAAAGCGGAGATAGCGGAAGAGTGTGGCTGGGTGTCGTGGCGAGCTTGGCCAAGGGCCCAAACGTTGGGAATGTTGGAAAGCTCGCGGCGGAGAAGAAGCTTGCCGAAATCATTTTGCAGCAGACCAAGAATCCGGAAGAAGTCGAGACTGTGGAAGCTGCTTTAACTGTGAGTAGACTACCAACGTGCAAGTGGACCTGACTGATGGTTGAAAAGGCTTTAGAAGCTCTTGTCCTCAGGTGCCCCACCGAGATAGGAGTCTACATCTCCACCATCACCCAAAAATCCTTGGCTTTGTTGAGATACGATCCCGTACGCTTGATTGGCTCCCGAAAGTCTCGTCTAATGCCTAGCAGAACTACGTCAACAATGGAGACGATGACGATGTTGATATGGAGAGTGACGAAGAAGAGTATGAAGAAGATGACGAGTATGAGGGCGCAGAGTACGTCTATCGTCCATCGTTTCGTCCCCTGCTGACTTGTGTTAGCTACTCGGACGACGATGACGACTCTTGGAAGATTAGACGCTCGGCTGCCCGACTCCTTTTAGCTATCATCTCCACCCGCCCCGACCTCCTCTCGGAGATTTACGGTAGTTCTGCTCCCGTCCTCATCTCCCGCTTCAGTGAGCGTGAAGAGAGCGTTCGGCTGGAAGTGCTCGCCGCGTTTGAAGTCTTGTTGAAGCAAACCACGGCGCTCAGGACATCTGATATCGTGACTGGTAGTAGGAGCAAACGAAAGAGGAGCGAGGGTATGGACGAGGACTATGCTGGTGACGACGGCCCCATACCCGCTCTTCGTTCCTTGCTTCCTCAGTTGAGTAAAGCTACTCTTACTCAGCTCTCTTCCAAGTCGGTGCCTACCCGACAACAGTGCTTCGTCCTCTTGCGACAGATGGTTCAAGCTCTTGAAGGAGGTTTGACCGATTCGGTTGACCCAATCTGCACTTCCGCTGCATCGGCTCTCCGAACTGTAGACTCGGCCACCTCCTCTTCTTTGGCCATTGCCACTTTGTCTTTCTTGGCCGTCTTCTTTGACAACCACCCTGCCAGAGTGTTTGCTACACATTTGAAAGATCTGGTCCCTGCTATTGTCAGATGCCAAAGGGACAAATTGCAGAGGATCAGCTTTGAAGCTTTCGATACTGCCTCGGCTCTTGCCAATTCTGCTCGTCCCCTTGGATCAACCGCTAGTATTGCCCCGGAACTCGAAAACGCAGTCCGGCTAATCTTTGAAGCCACCACCGACATCCTCGGAGACAACACCGTTGACGGCGATGTCCGTGAAAAGGCCCTGTCCACGCTAGGCAACGTCCTCATTCACACCGGAGACTTGTTCACCTCCGTATACTCGGAATGTCTGGACTTGATCTCCAACAGGCTCGCTGTGGAAAGTAGTGCCCCCACCGCCATCTCGGTTATTGGGCAGGTGGCTTCATCTCCACTAGTCAAGGGCCCCGAGTTTGAGAAATGGCTTTTGGAGACCCTCCCTCAGGTCGTGGTGGCCCTTCGCCGTGCCAAGAAGGGGGCGTCCAAGAATACCGAATTTGCATGTCTCGCCAGCATCCTCGAACGTATCGGTTCAAGTTTGCCTGAGGATACAGCTGAAGGTATCATTGTCGAGCTTGGCCCTCTGATCGACACTCCCACCGCCCTACAGACCGCGGCACTCATCCTCACACAACAGCCCGCCTCTCGCTCTGCTGTCGACACACAGCTCTATCCCAAGGTTCTTGCGGTTCTCAAGAGCTCTATCAACCCTCACCTTGTCGAATCGTTGGTCTCCTTCTTTTCAGCCTACGCTGTGGCCCTTGACGGGTCTTCCCGACAGGCTACCAAGGCCATACAACAGCTGATCGGCAACTTGAATGGCGAAAAGGGGTTGCCCGATGCGACTCACGGCGGAACAGCCGCGTGGGCTACCACCGCCAAAGGTGTCGGTGCGATTGTCAAGAATGTTCCAGCCGCTGCCGCAGAGTCTTTGCAGTCGTTCGAACAGGTGGTCCAGGTAAGACGGCTGCATATACACATTCATCAAGCTAAAGCTGTTTTAGTCTGGCGCCGCTAATGAGGCCGATGCCTACCTTGCCCTCTTGTGTGTTGGCGAGATTGGGCGTGGCACCAACTTGTCTTCTAGACAAGACCTTTTCGCCAAGATATTGTCCTACTTCCAGAGCGAGAGTGAAGAAGTCAGGTCTGCTTCAGCTTTTGCTGCTGGTAATCTCGCTGTCGGGACCCCTGATGTCTTCCTTCCCATCATCATCAGCAAGGTCGAATCTGCCGAGAAGGAGTCTGAGCGTCTTTTGCTTTTGCATGCCGTGAAGGAAGTGATCCTTCATTCCTCCAGCGCTCAGCTCGAGGCTATTGCCGACCGCCTTTGGAAGCCGCTCTTTGCGACCCCTACTTCGGTGGCCAACAATGCCGAGACCGCCGGTGACGACGGCATCAGAAATGTCACTGCAGCATGTATCGGAAAGCTTACAATCACCGCCCCGACCAAGTTCCTGCCTCAATTGCAACAGCTTCTGCAGTCGTCACCTGCCAATAGGGCCTTGGTCGCTGCTGCGGTGAGGTATACTTTCATTGACACGAGCAATGGCTACGACGAGTTGATCTCGCCTATCATTGTGGACTTCCTGTCCTTGATGAAGGATGAGAACCTGGTGAGTTGGTCTGGCCTGAACGCTGCTTCATACTGAGAACGATTTCTAGATTGTTCGACGTCTGTCGCTTGCTTCTTTCAATGCTGCTATCCAAAACAAACCTCATCTGATCGTGGACAAACTCGATGCCCTGCAACCCTTACTTTATGGAGAGACATTTGTCAGGAAGGAGCTCCAGAGAGAGGTCATCATGGGCCCCTGGAAGGGTATGTGCCCTGTGAAGTGCTCTGGTTAGATGCTGACTATTCGTAACAGTCATCGAGGACGACGGTTTGGAGAACAGGAAAACTGCATTCGAAACCATGTATACTCTTGTATGTTGTATGGACTTACTTGTGCTCCTGGCTGACAGATTTACAGCTCGGCACTTGCTTTTCCAAAATCGATCTCCCCACGTTCACTGACCGCGTGCTTGCCTCCTTGTCAGACGTGAACGAGGTCAAGGTGTTGGGTCTCATGCTCCTTTTGCGACTCGGACAAACCTCCCCCGAAGTGGTGCAGCCGAGATTGGACGAGGTCGTTGGTGAATTCCAAGGAATGATGAAGGACGTCGAGGTCAAGGACGACACTGTCAAGCAGGACCTGGAGAGGAAGGGTAAGTTCATTGGGGTAGTAATTGGACCACAGCTGATACTCTGAACAGCTGAGATGCAGCGAAGCACTCTCCGAACCGTTGTCCCTCTCTATCGCGCTTGTAGCGTTCAGCAGGCCCCTGGCTTCCACCAGTTTGTGACTCAGGTCTTGGCAAACGACAAGTGGAAAGAGTTCAAGGACTACCATGCGTAAACAGTAGATGGATGATTGACGAAATCAGCAAAGAAGAGTTTATGTGATTAATATTAAGTGGGTTTCGCAATGCAAATCATCAAACCTGGTACTCTCAGAAGGCTGGGTAGGCCGAGCAGACCCGCTTATCGAGCGCAACTACTAAATGCAAATGCAACAGAGATAAAGATGTTTGAGAGCAGAGGTAGCCACCGGCCGCCGGGGCGGGAGGGCGCCAGCTGCGGAGAAAATATAAACTTTACGCGGTCCCTGACTCCTGAACCTCTCAGTCATGGCTCAATTCGTCATTTGCCACCCAACGGCAGAGTCCACGAAAAGAAGGGAGGATTTTTCGAGTGCACACGCAACCCGGCTCAATCCATTTTCATCTTTAGATGCATTCCACCGTTCATTGTTTACAGCGCCATAACCCTGCACGCGCGCCCCGACAGTCGACTTCTCGGTCCTCGCCACAGAACATCCCCATACCGCAACCCTATCTTTCCCTTATACGGCCTATACAGCACGGGAGACGGAGAAACTTATCAGAGTTCTTTGCACAAAAGCTCTCGGCCCGCATCAGCGCGAAAGCCACAAGAAATCACAAGCCACACCTTACATCAAGTCATCAACAAGCCGGAATTGTATCCATATCATTGGCGTGTCTTTCAGCCTTATCAGCCATAGACAATTTCCCAGGTCTCAGGACAACAGGTATCATCAGGTACCATTCAGTAGCTTGGCTCAAACCATCCCGTGCCCCTCCCTTATCTTGTCTCAAGGGACGAGGGAAGGTCGAAGGTTTCATATCAATACTCTCTGTCTCGGAATCCTGGAGGGAAAGATCAAATAGACGATAGAAGTCGTCGATATTGAGGTGCGCAATCCTTTCTGGCTTCTCGGAGTACAAGTAGAAAGATCTTTATTGACCGAGCTGTCTACATATTTTCTGTCCGCTCTTTCAATCACATCTCCTCTTCTATTTTCTTCGCCCACAGCCCCACTACCATCTCAGCATCTACGTGTCGACTGGCAACTACCAGATCAGATCACGTTCAATTTGAACTTTCAGCCCCCGCATCTCCTTCGCGACCGTTCTTTGAACACCTCAGATACCGTAGCCGGTCTACGGATATTGATCTCTATTCACGGCACAAGCAATTCACTTGCAGGACAATGCCTCTCAAGAACAGGAGGCCGGACTTCCCTGTGCTCATTTTACCGTCGGAAGTATTGTAAGCTGGGTGCTGATCTTTCAACGCGCATGTACTGACCGAATCACAGTGACGAGAACGACGATAGTATGAGAAGCGTCCGTACTCCAGCGCCATTCACCCCCATCGCGTTTGAAGAGGTAAGTGTGGTGGACACCATCAAGTCACTTCGCTGACAACATCATGTAGGGTGGCCTCCCAATAACTCCCGATGAAGGCGTGTACGATATACCAACAGGCGACACCACCGGTGATAACGAGAGAACATCTGAAGGGATTTCTGAGATGGGAAAGGAATGGACAGAGGATGAGGATGGGATCTTGCAAGGAGTACGTCCTGACCCAGGCTCGAGACTACAGCGCTGATGTCATTATCAGTATCTGGCCCATCCCCCTCAACCTCTCGGCTTGAAATACCCTCCTACAGTACTTTTACCTTCGGCTGTACTTGACGTGATAACCTCTCAGATAGTCGCCATCCATTCCCGAATCGACTCCTCGCCTTGGAAGCATTCTTGGAATGCCACTCGCCAGCGGCTGTTTGCGATTGCGAGGAGAGAAAGTTTGCAGGCAGTCGGTGGCCACCGGCGGCTGAAATCAGATTCAATCATACCCCAATCACGAGGGGTGGACGACGGGATCACCTCGTGGGGATCATTGGAGATGAACAGACGCCAAAACCACAGTATGGACAGTCTCTTGGGAGACGATGCTCCGAGGGAAATATCGGAGGCTCTGAGGTTGTCCCATTGTTTGCAGGCGACTGCCACGACGGGCGGGGATACAACGATGCTAGCATCGGACGGAGCACTGTCGTCTCGTGAGCATTAGCCCTTTGACTGTCAACAAGATGACACTGACGCTAGCTAGCCATCATAGGTGTCTGCCCTCCCCTACTTGGTGGAAAGCCGTCTTCGTTATCGAGCAATGACGCCTCCGGGTTATTGAAGCGCCCAACGTCGCTTCTTCAACGTGGGCGTTCTTTTACTCTCGCCGACATCGCTCGCGAACAGGCTATGGCTTCCATCGACTTTGATGATGATGCCACATCGACATTCTCACGGGTATCCTCTCGTCCAGACCTGCATCGGTCTGTGACTAGTCCAGCTTCAGTTCCTTACTCTTCGCCGCCGTCATCCGTGTCGAGCAAGTCTGACTGCGACGTCCCATGGGTATATCTTCCGCCGGCCAAGGCCGAGTCGCCTCTAGGGTTCGAATGTAATACGCCAACACAATCCATTACTGTACCCGTAGGCGAAGCATCTTCGTTTACCTCTCCCACGCGCGAGTTTGCCTGCCTGTCGCTCTTCTCCACGGACTCTGTTCCCATTTCAGCAAACATGGAAGCTTCTTCGTCTTCCCCTTCCCTGAAGCGCGCTTTCCAGGTTCGCCCTTACCCTCTTCAGCGATCATCCTCCGATGGCAAGCTTTCTTCAGATATGACCGGATTCGCCTCGCTTTCTTCTCCTCGGGAGAACAAGCGAATGAGAGCGGATCTTCCAAGTACGACGGCGGCGAGTGTGGCGAACGGCGGGTTCGAGGCGAAGACGGCCGGAGCCGGTCCGCGGGAACGGGCAGGGCTGGGAGAGACTTTGAGCCTTGGTTTGGCCAAAGACAAAGTTGGTCTGGGGGCGCCTTTGCGAGGGCTGGAACCGCCATTGTTCTCGGCAGGTCCTGAGAAGTAGCACAAGAAGCATCATTTCCGGAAATTCAAGTAGACATGTCCTCAGCATATAATCATACAGCATCATTAGAAAAGGGTCAGTGATGTTCACCGTGTTGCTCAATACGGTACATGTACGCAGTACGAGCATAGTAATTTTTAATATAATACATCACAATCATTTGTTGAGTGTCAGCATGCATCTGTCCCATGCCAAAATCTGCATCTGGCTTCGACTTTTCGACTGCCCATGCGTATCGTGACATCGTCGAGAGTACAAGCACTGTACATATGTGCCAGGGTATACGCGCGGATTCTGTACTGTGGTGACCACCGGGCTACTCAATCAGCCGAAGATAGAACACCCCAGGATCGAGATTGTCGGGTTGCATCGTCGTCACCTCTTCAAGCCTGTACTTGCCTGCATGAGTGCTTCCGCATCAATTTCTGGGCCAGATCGAATTTTGACAAGAGCCCCTCACTCAGTACGTACATGTGTGACGAGATTGAAGCTGTCGTGTCGCCTATTGACCCCCGTGGCGCACTTCTCGTCAGCACCAGCACCAGCGGATATAAAAGTCGTTTCGACGTCGTCATTCAACGTCAATGTAAAGCAGGTAACAATCCCTCTGGCTGGCCATGTGCAAAGTGATCCACAAGCCACAGCCCCGGTAATAACAATGTTTCATCACTTGTCAGCAGCATAGAGGTACATACATGGCTACATGACTACTAGTGCGCTCTCAACAGAACCGTATTCCCTGCTCTTCAAGCCAGACGTGGGTCATGTATCCAGATCCATCAACAAGAAAAGCTGCATGGGTACTCTACTGTCAAGGCTAATAATTGAGAAACAGGCATATATGTACAGGACAAGGGTATATCGACCACGCCAAAAGCGCTTTCCAACAGCAAAAGCAGCTATACAACGATTCCTTCCTGACATCTACAAGACATCAGGCCATGATCCTCTGCGGGCTCGAGCTCATCCTCCTGAACCCCGACGACACCCGCTTGGCCAATACGTTTGGTCTTGCCAGATTCCCGGCCTCTTTCTGCAACGCCGCCAAATCGAAACCCGCCGTGCTCGACCTCCTGGGGAGCCTGTCTGTCGAAGCAGAGAGAAGTGGGACTGGAAGGTTCTTGCGAGCAGCCGGCTTTTCCGTCTGTGCACGCCGCAACTTTGGAGTTGTCTGAGCGTGTTGGTTTTCTTGACCCTCTGTGATGACGACAGCAGTGTTCTGCAGCACCCGGTTCGAATGATTTGACATGCATACCACTCGTCCGTCTTGGTCAAACTCGCGCGCCAGCCTACCCGTTGACATGGCGCGCACAACGATAGGCCTGTTCTTTCGAGTTGATGCGGTAGTGGGAGGTTTAGAAGGAGCGACGAATGAGGATGGGGGCGCGGATGATGGCGGGGTTGGATGACGCCTTGGGGGTGAACACAGCCAGACGCTCTGGGCGCATGGCATGGTAGGAGATACAGGGGATAAAGTTTCCCCGGAGAGGGGGTTGGGAGAGACATGACCAGTGTTCTCTTCTCGCTCGGACAACATGTGGAGACCTTCAGCCACAGACGGGTTGCGTGATCGGACAGGAGGATTGCCAGTCGCAGGCGATGTGGGCTGGCTTCTGGCTCTGATGGGTATAGGGTTCTCGGCACTGGGAGAACTGAGCTGAGCAGGTTGTGGGAGAGCATGAGTAGATCGGGTAGGCATGAGGGTTGAGTAGGGTGGGGTGGATGATGACCAGCGATATGGCAGAACACGGAGCTTGAGCGATGGGAGAGCTTTGCGCAAGGCTGGAGGGATGGTGAGAGAGAGGCGGGGGGAGGGTGACTTTTTCGGCCACGTCTTTTCACTGGCACCGGCTACAGACCTAGGATACAAGTCAGCGATATGGCAAACAAAGACCAACGACAGACACGCACATTCGTTGCTTGACGCCGTCTTCAAGATCTGTCATGGAAAGAGGGTATGCGTCGATGAGGACACACGATTCCTCGAAGGCGATGGTTGAAGCTCGACGAGGAGGGGTGCTCTCGGCGGAGGACACGTCTTTGGAGGGCATCGCAGGTATGTCTGGAGTAGGGTATATGCAAGAGAGGGTGTTGTTTTTATGTGCATGCGACGAGAACTGTCTCCAAAGGACCCAGGGCTCAGCAGCACAGGGGGATGCATAGCGTGATGCTCGGATGGCCATGTCCCCCCACTGCGCCATGCATCCCATGCACCCATGCATCCCATCTATCCCATCTATCCCATCCATGCACCAGCAGGTCCCACAACTGACAAGCGACCTCGAGACATCGAATGTCCCGGGCGTTACGCCCGTTGTCAAGTCTTCTCGTATCATTTCATCAGCCTGATCGAGGCCCTGGTCTGTGTCCGCCATCACCCTTGGGCTCTGCCCCCCACCTCGAGGACACGGCGGGTACAAGCTAAGGGTGTCTTGGAAGCACATAGAGTTTGTGTGAAGGGCCTGTGATGTGCTTCCCACGTCCTCCGCGCCCGCTCTTTCGCTTGACCTATCTATACACACAGTGCTCTCCATGTACTTCTCTAAGGCACTTCGGTGATCAGATGGACGGCCATCACGACGCGAGATCAGGGCTGTCTCTCGGATTGACAAGTGACAGTTGATGCACACCCCTCGACCCTCTCGTCTCGCAGCCCAAGGCACAAACAGGCGGCAATCGCTTCAAGCTTGACACGCGCATGGACATTGGAAATCCTGCAGGAGAACGGGAAACACATACTCGTTCAAGATGTAACCTGCATTCAAAATCTTCTCACATATAATTCCCAAACAGAATTCACAAGCGCAATTCCATTTTCATCATATCATCCAACACTCTAAAAAAGGACACACGGGCGACACAAACTACGCTTAAACGTTGTATGTGGAAGAGGAGACGTTACCAGAGGTAGCGGTCCACCTGACGTGGACGTCCTCATCCTCCTTGAGGTGGTCGTTACCCTGGCCGGGGACGACTCGGAAGGTGTGGGCTATGGGATTTGATCAGTAGGACTCCATACAACATGCGCGAGATGCTACTTACCACCGAAGAAGTCTCGCTGACCCTGGATAAGGTTGGCGGGGAGGGTCTCGGTCCTGTAACCGTCAAAGAAGGACAAGGCGGTGGTGTGGGCAGGGATGGGGATACCCCAGAGAGTAGACTGAGCGATGACTCGTCTCCAACCGGCCTGGGCGTTCTCGATAGCCTTGGTGAAGAAGGGAGCGAGGAGCAAGTTCTCCAGCTGGGGGTTCTCTCGGTAGGCGGCAGTGATGTCACCAAGGAAGACAGACTTGATGATGCAACCACCTCGCCACATGGCAGCGATACCGGCGTTGTTCAAGTGCCAGTCGTTGACGTTGGCGGCCTCTCGCATGAGCATGAAGCCCTGGGCGTAAGAGATGATCTTGGAAGCGTAAAGAGCCTGCTCAAGGTCGCTGAGAAAGAGTCAGCGCTGCTCAAACGTAGTGGATGATCAAACTCACTCGATGAACTGCTGCTTGTCACCCTTGAAGGCCTCCTTGGCGGGGCCAGAGATGACCTTGGAAGCCCTGGTTCGCTCGTCCTTGATGGCAGAGAGGCATCGGGCAAAGACGGCCTCACCGATAAGGGTAACGGGCATACCGTTGTCGAGGGCGTCAATGGCGGTCCACTTACCGGTACCCTTCTGGCCAGCCTTGTCGAGGATCTTTCGGACCATGGGGACACCGTCAGTGTCCTTGAATCGGAGGATGTCTCTGGTGATCTCGATGAGGAAAGAGTCGAGGACACCAGTGTTCCACTGCGGAGAATTAGTACGCGCCTAGTCGCCAAGATATAGAAACTGACCTTGTCGAAGATGTCGGCAATCTCGTCCTCCTCGAGCTCAAGACCTCGCTTGAGGATGTCGTAGGCCTCAGCGATCAACTGCATGTCTCCGTACTCGATACCGTTGTGGACCATCTTGACGTAGTGACCGGAACCAGTCTCACCGACCCAGTCGCAGCAGGGCTCACCAGCGACCTGGGCGGAGGTCTTCTGGAAGATGTCCTTGATGTGGGGCCAGGCGGCGTCGGAACCACCGGGCATGAGAGAGGGACCGTTTCGGGCACCCTCCTCACCACCAGAGACACCGGAACCGACAAAGAGGAGACCCTTGGCCTCGAGCTCGTGGGTTCGTCGGATAGAGTCGGGGTAGTGAGAGTTACCACCGTCAATGATGATGTCACCCTTCTCGAGGTAGGGCTCGAGCTGACCGATAAAGTCGTCGACGGCCTGACCGGCCTTGACGAGGAGAATGATTCGCCTGGGCCTCTGGAGCTTCTCACAGAGCTCCTTGACGGAGTGAGCACCGATGACGTTGGTGCCCTTGGCCTCGTTGGCAAGGAAGTTGTCGACCTTGGAGGTGGTTCTGGTATCTGACTCAGCACGTTTTCATGCTAAGCGAGTTTGCGTAATGACTCACCGGTTGTAGGCGCAGACCTTGAAGCCCTTGTCGTTCATGTTGAGGATCAAGTTTTGACCCTACATGTGCGTGTGCGAGTGGCATAGTATAAATGTACAAAGAGGACGGAGAAAAAAGGCAGCCAGGTCAGTGACGTGTTTGAGAAGCGTCGTACATGTGTCGGCAACGACGACAGTGGAGAGACATACCATGACGGCCAAACCGATAAGACCAACGTCGGCGCTGCAGAGGCAGGATAGTCAGCAAAGTGTCCACATGTCGAGGAGGAAAAGTGGGGGTGCCGGGTTCATCGGCCGATTGCTGATGGGCTGAAAAGGGGGCATGCGGGGGACTGGGAGGGTGCAGTGGGCGGGGAGAGGACTCACAGTTCAGAAGACATCTTTGGTGTGTTTTTTTGAGGGGGGTGTGTGTGAATGGGCGAAATGAATTCGGTGGAGAAAAGAGAAAGAAATGGAATCAGGAAGATGCAGAGGCAACGACGTCGGCGCGGCGGACCCCATTGCATTCAGGGACACCTCCGCCACGACGGGACAGTCTCAGCGACGAGCAGCCCGGGCGGCATGCCATCTGCGAGCGTACTCCAGCCCGCCCTGCCCCGCCCTCTCCTCTCCTCCCCCTCCCGCCCCATGCATGCCAGCAGCGAGCCCTGCGCGATACGGGCTTCTCTCTTTCCCCACCGGACCGTTGCCCCGATAATTGGGTGCCACACTGCAGCTGTCTATAACGCCGTCTATTTCCGAGCCAGCTTGATTAGGAATAGTAGTCTCTGATACTGATTAGGAATAGTCTCTAATATTGACTGGGAATAGTTTGTAATGGCGGTAGTGGCTCGGGCATCGGGGCAGAGCATAGATGAGACTGAGGAGAATGGACTATGGAGCACAACATCGCCCATGGTGGCCAACGCACACCCCAGGTCCTCCGTCGCAAATCCCCCCAAGGGCCGCAAGATCATCAGGGGCATACAGCTCAAGAGAGGCTCAGCCTGCGACGCATGCAGACGAAGGCGCGTCAGGTGCGACGCCGGAAAGCCACACTGCGCCTCATGTGTACGCAGCCTGCAGTATCTCGAGAGAATACACCCCGGTGACCCACATACCATCCAGTGCCACTATGCCCACGACTGGGATACCGAGGACGACGGCCACTCATCCCAGGGCGAAGAGACAGATCCCAGGCCGCGGGGCGGAGTGGATATCGAAGAGCCAGCCCCGGTTCATAATACTGGTGGGTGGCAGTGTAGTGCGATGCGTAGAATGCAGTGCTGAACGTATATAGAGGGGAGCCTGGTATCTCAAGAAAACGGGCTTCAGTCCTTTGCTGCACCGCCACGTAACGATTCTCATCAAACAACCGAGACTCACTCTACAATGGACTTGGCATCTATCCAGGGCGAGCAATGGGGCCAATCCATTGCAGGAGCTGACACCATGACAAACTATAATCCTGCTCTGTTCTCCGACTTTCAGTCCTTGTTCCACATGGGCAATACTCCCATGGACGCTTTGGCCTCTTTACAGGGCCAAGCTGTAGAGCCCCAGACGCTTTCTGAACAGTCGTCTTCCGGTCAATCCCAGAATACAACAAGACCAGCGACCGTGGCAGAGGAAGATATACTAGACGCGGCGATACAGTCATCATTCATCAGGGATCTTTTGTGGCCCGGATGGCCGGCTACTCTTCCCGCACCCAGTAAGCGACCCCTTTTCGCATGTATGCCATACTTATGCAACTCTAGGTATGGTGAACCACCTGTAAGCGCGAGACAGGCGGTATTGCAAAAGTACTGACAAGGTCCAGCGTCGAAATATTCTTCACGACCATCCCGTCCATCACTCGCGTCATCCACAGACAATCGTTCCTAGCCCGGCTATCTCTTCCCCCAACCCACCCCGAATTCCCTCACAAATCTCTCCTACACGCCATCTGCACCGTCGCATCTCGCCAATCGGCTGCCGTATGCACGCGCACCGTCCAAGAAGACGTTGAAAAATCGGCAAGCGACGCCAAGGCTGCAAAGGGAAAAGGGCTGGATATTGATCCAGAGAGTTTGACCTGTTTCGCAGAGAAGCATGCAGAGTATGCGCTTGCGGCCATCAAGTTTAATCACGTCAATGCAAGGGGGCTGTTTGACATGCTGCAAGCGGTGGTATGTACGAGCTTTCTTTGGTTCGGCTGCGTTCTGACTCGAGGGATTGTAGATCGTTCTCGGGCATTGGGGTCAATCGGTCGCTCGGTGAGATTCTACTGAAACGCCATATTTATCAATACACTAAATGTTGGGATAGATGGATGGATTGCTGGTATCTTGTCGGCACAGCCGCCCGACTAGCCACTTGCCTCGGGCTTCTTGATAGCTGCAGCATACGACGCGACAAATCAACTCCCTACCGCCGGTCCATATTGGGCTTTCCCAAAGACGATGCGGAAAAGGAAGAGAGAAAGGCGGCGATGTGGTACTTGCTGATATATGATGTGACGAGCTCGGCTTCGTCAGGATGGTCCGGGACGCTACCTATGGATGAGATTGTGAGCCTCAGGTCGCAGTGTGAGAAGTGAGGCTGATTCTGTGTAGACTACCCATTTCCTTGCGGCACGGGTAGACTTTGATAGAGGAGTGAGTACCCTTTGAACTTTGACCCACTTATAGCTGCTGATCAGCATCAGGGCGCCATTCGGGAGAATCCCCAGTCGTTCGTGTCACCCGATATCTACTTCAAGTAAGCACCCCGCCCCTCCGTCGACAAGTCACTTACTCTTCCAACAGCCATCCAGTCGTAGATAGCTTTGTGATGCTGTCAAAAGGCAACATGCTGCTGAGCAGGGTCATCAAATTCGTAAGGCGAAGTCGTGGAATGCAAGCGCATGAGCGAAGCTCAGTGGCGGACCAGCCAGAGTTTCAGCAGATTGAGAATGACCTGGGCATGCTGAGGTAAGGCCAGTCTGCCGAGTACAAGGTTCAAAGCTGACGACGTCGAGTAGTATGACCTTTCCGCCATCTCTCCGGGATCCGGTGCAATACATGCAAGGCCCTATCAAGACAATTGACGCTGATCTCATTGTGCGTCTTTCAACGTCCATGCTATCAGACTTCTGACTCTTTACAGAGTGCACACTTGATACTCCACGTCGCAGCAATCCACCTCCACGAGCCTTTCGCCGACATTCAAGACCCAACGTCATCTTCTGCCAACAGACTCTTAGTGGAGGCGCGGGCTTGTTTGAATATCGTGTATCTGATAGTCAGTGGGAGCGCGGACGTGTCGTACATGGTGGCCCCTTTTACGTCTTGTAAGTCTGCCACTCATTCTCGTATGGAAAGTGCTGACGTTGTTTCTAGAGTGAGCAATTCAGTGCGAGAGAATTGCGATTTTTGGCTGATGATACTTGTAGTTATCTGTTCACTGCTACCCGAACACTGGCCCTGTTCTATAACCGAGCATTGGAGTCACAGGACGAGGTTTCTGCGAGGACACTCTATACTGAAATCGCGGTTTTCAAGTAAGTGCACCATTCTTTCTATATCTGGCCTTTGCTAAGACCCGCGGCAGAAATATGTTTGCCAGTCTCGCAACCCGTCACGCCGTGGGCGTCCGCCACCTCACCATGATTGATACTATGATCGCCAGCATGGAAGAAGAAGCTCTGGGCCGTCCCGTGGTCAATGGCGATATATCCGGCCTCGGAGCTCAGGCTTCGCGCAGTCATTTCAACTCGGACCCCTTCTCGTCTCGCTCCAACAACTCGTTCCACACTGCCAGTCAATCCACAACCCAAGAAGTACCCTTCCTCGCAGAGAACCACCCTGATGCTCTGATGATCAACGATCTCAGAAGCAAGTCGTTGACCAGCTGGTCTTCGAGTGTTAGTGGCAGGTTCCAAGACTACCTGGATCAAAGGAGAGGGTATTTGAAGAGTTCTCCAAACACCAGTGATAGTATACCCGATGTGGGCAGTAGCAAGGGGCAGGGTGAGGTACCTGCGCCACTTGATCCACTGGGTTGGATGGATTTGAAGAGTATAGGGAAGCTGGGAGATCCGCTCCCGACTTCGGCCTTGTTTACGCCATAGATTTCAAGTCGGCATCGTGTATAGACGTCGACACAATATATACTGTTTGATAGCAGGATGATGAATGATGGTGCATACAGCGACTTTTGCTCCTTATTAGTACAACATTTTTATTTAGTGGCATCTTCTTTTTACTCTTTATCACCGGATCCATCTTGATCTGGATCATCCTGAGGGGTGTCAGCCCAGAGCATACAGCATTGCCATCGACTCACTTGGTGCCAATCTTTTACAGCCGCGTCAATCCACCCTCTGATATCGAGCAGCGCCCTGTCCCCTCCTTCTGCAGGCTGGCCGTCGTCTCCTTCATCTGCCTGCTCGTCTTGAACGCCTGTAGCCTCATGGGCCACCGCAGCCCCTTCTGGGTCAGCCTGATGCAGGGACGGATCAATATTTGGGTCATCTTGCACGGCTTGCTGAGCCACCGCCGACCGTTCCCTGGCCACTCTCCGTCCGGCCAATTCCCTCTCCACCTTGGCCCTCTCGACTTGCATATTTTGCTTTTCCTGCACGACATGCGTCATGACATTTTCCAGCCCCGCCATCTCTGACCGCAGAGCTGCGAGCTTGGTCAGGTTGGCGATGAGTTCCAGCCGCAAGGGCCGGTGCTCGTCATTCAATGGCCCGTCGTCGCCGGCGGTCATGCGCGATAGGTCGGCAGACTTTTCAAGCAAGCTGCCTTTCGAGTTGGCAAGCTCATTGTGGAGTTTCGACAGGTAGACGTAGTCTATACCGGTGCCTATGACCGTGGCTGGAGGGGCCGGTACTGGGCTCGCGAGCTGATCGACATGAGTTGGTTCGACGGAAGCATCGGACGGCCGAGCAGCGATAAGCGACTGGAGGCGTGCGCGAAGACGTTGGTTCTCTTCTTGCATACCTGCAACGTTCTGCTCCAGAGCCATCCTAGAATACGTCAGTATAGTGTCGCACGATAGATCAAACGACTCACTGCTCATTCTTCTTTTTATTCCGACTCTTCTCTGCCGCACGGCGGTTTTGCAACCGCTGTCTTTCTTTCTTTTCCTCTGCTGTAAGCCCCTTTGACTTCTGGGTGCTTGTTCCCGCTTGAGGCTGCACTGGCAACTCGTGTTGTGAAGGTTGCCGGACAGGAGACGGCTGACGTTGTTCGGTCTGTTGCTGGACAGCCGCCTGAGCTTGCTCAAGCTGCCGCTGCTCATGCTGCCCGGCATCCAGCGGGTGTTGGTCGATATCCATCCCATACTCGGCTCCATTAGCGCCCAGCTCGCCCACATCCTCATGATGTTGGCTCAAATGCGCGTGCTGCTGTTCATGCTGGTCAACGACATGGGCGAGCTGGGCAGTGTCGTGCACATGCGCGTCGAGGGAGGGAAACGCGTCGTCGGCCTGGCGAAGGATATCGTGGTAATCGATGCTGGGAGACATGAGGACAGTCGCGTCCAGGGATGGCTGACGTGGGAAAGAGAGATGATAACGAGGTGCTTCGTGATGTGGGATTTTTTGTTGTTGTGGTCTTCGACAAGAAGGCTGTTACGTAATAGTCTCTTTTGTCGGGCCGGTGATGACGAAGTGGATTGAAATTGGATTGAATTGGATCGACTTGTGGCGTTGCATCCTTACTTGCATTCACTGATATTAAATACAGCAGCAATGGGCGTCTCTCAGGATGAACAGACCGTCACACTCACTCACGAGTCGGTCAGTAACATCCCCATCTACCTCCTGCTCTTGCTGACTCCTGGCGTAGGGTGCCTCCGCTGAGATCTAGTAAGGATGGGCCGGCTCTGACCAACACCGCTGACATGTCACAGTCTCTTTGGAGCTACCTTGACCTCCTGGAAGCAGGGTGGCAAGGAGCGCATGTTTGTCAGCTCCAAGTCCAAGCTCGACGGGACTCGAGCAGTGAGTCCCTTGCCCCTCGATGTGGATCAGATGGATGATCTGATCATTTCACCTTTTGCAGATTAGAGGTGGTATCCCTGTGGTCTTTGTAAGTTGCCCCCCTTGCTTCAGTATCGCCGATCGTCTCCCTGACAACGCATGTTCAGCCCACTTTTGGCCCGCCCCCCTCCTCTCCTCCCGAGTACGCCGCCCTCCCCCAGCACGGATTTGCCCGCACCTCCCAGTGGGTCCTTGAAGAGACCATCATGGATCGCCCCGAAGGCGTGTCTGTCCGATTTGTCCACCCTGGACCACCTGCGACCTTCCCGCACGAATTCAAGCTGAGCTACGTCGTCACCCTCACCGCGCACCAGCTTTCCACCGACGTCCATGTCGTCAACTCTGGCAAGGAGGACTTCAAGTTCCAGACCTTGCTACACAACTACTTGGCTGTCCCTGACTCTAGCAAGATCAAGATTACGGGCATCGACAAGGGAACGACCTACAAGGACAAGGTGCTCGGCATGAAGGAGTACGAGTCTGACGGGAGCGTGCTCGTCATTGACAAGGAGATTGACCGGCAAGTCGTTTCACATCATGTAGAGCGTTGACTGATGATGCTCCAGAGTCTATCAGAAGGTCCCTTCTCAGGAGATTGTTGTTGACGACGGTGCTGGATCTGGATACAAGGTCCACTTCCATGGTCTTGAAGAGTTAGTACCCACGTTTTTGTTTGGCCATTTGCTGACCTGTTCTAGCTGCACGATCTGGAACCCGCAAGAAGCTACTGGTAGCCAGATGACCGATATGGAAGCCGGCGGATGGGTAAATGCTTCATATAACAATCTTGCCATGCTGACGCCTTTCACAGGACCGATACATATGTATCGAGCCGGGATACGTTCGGGAATTCAAGATTCTTGCTCCAGGGGAAGAGTTTACCGGCGCGCAGACTATCACTGCCCTCTAGGATCAGGCCGTCGCTATACCGAAATCGAAATTGTAGACTAATTTAGTCCTGGTCATGGGCATTAGCGAGCCTGTTGACTGACCACTGGGTGTATCATCTATGAAACATTATGACGTTGCATGGTGGAAGGTTCCAGAGATAGCAGTTACGTAACGGCCAGGTGCACTCTTGACGCTTTCGATGCACTTCTCTGTACTTCTCTCTAATCCGACTATCCTAATCCGACTATCCAAATCGACCAACTACAACCACCCAGCATGGCCCCCCTCCATCCCGAAATCACCTGGGCTCAGCGCTCCTCAGAGTCCGAGCCTGAGAAGGTCAGTCAGGCTGCCCACCAGCTCCCGCCGTCCCCCACAGATTGGCTTGCTGACCCCTTGCTCGCAGAACGTCATCTACTTTACCATCAACACCCCCGACATTCAAGGCGAGCCCAAGTTTGACATCAAACCCACCGAGATCTCTTTCAGCGCCAAGGCTGGCGAGTACGTCAAGATCATGAGCCGACAATAAAAGGCAAAGCTGACGGCGTTGCAGCGCCTCCAAGGGTATCCCCGAGAAAGAGTTTGCTTTCGACCTCCAGCTCTGGGACGAGATTATCCCCGAGGAAACCAAGAAGCTCATCACTTCTCGAGCCGTCGTCCTTACCCTCAGAAAAAAGGAAAACAAGGCCGAGTACTGGACTCGACTGACCAAGGAGAAGCCCAACAGGAACTGGATCAAGACCGACTTTTCCAAGGTGTGTACATTGCAGTGATTGGGAAGAGGATGCTGACGCTGCATTAGTGGGTCGACGAGGATGAGCAGGACGAGGCCGAGGAGTGAGTTGTTTCGCTGCGATGGAATAACATTGTGCTGACCTCGCATCAGGCCTAGCGGACTCGAAGGCTCCCAGGGAATGGGTGGACCTCCTGGTATGGGCGGCCCCCCTGGTGCGGGCGGTATGGACTTTGCTTCGATGATGCAGGGTATGGGCGGTGGTGGTGGCGGTGGTATGCCCGATTTGGCTTCCATGATGGGCGGAGCTGGTGGAGCTGGCGGACCCGGTGGCATGGACTTTTCCAAGCTCATGGAGCAGATGGGTGGAGCTGGTGGCGGTGCCGGCGCGCCCGACCTCAACTTTGGCGACGACGACGACGACATTGACGACTCTGAAGAGCCCACCGACGCCAAGAAGGGCGATGCTTCCGGTGTTGAGAGCGTGAGTGTCAGTCAATAACGCCTCTGGGATGAGACTAACCGTCTATAGCTTGACGACGTTGAGTAAGGAGATTACAAGAATTCGAAGCATACATAGTTGCACATACAGACAAAACGAATGGATCCACCCATGTCAGCGCACACATACAGCTTTGCCGTCCGACTTTGATCGGATGAACGCGCAAACATTGATATTTAGCTAGAGACGCCGCCACATGCGCCTTTCATCATGCCTCAATTATGTTTCAGCTTGCGCTTTCGTATCAGGGTCGAAGGCAGAATCCAGTGCGATGCATGCTATAATGCCAGTCATAATATGTAGGCGCGTCCAACTATGTACTACTATAAGGAAAACATTCGAGATCAACTCGCCTGCAGTCATGTCGCCAACCATCAACATGGTTTACAATTTTTGGGGAAAAAGATATAAAGATGACAACACAAAAAAAAAAAATCGTTCAAGGTCTAGTTGATAATACAGCACCAAAAAGTGTCCAAAATGTCCGAGCACCACTGCCGCTTAGAAGTCTTCCTCGAGAGAGAAGCCCTTCTTGATGGCGTTGTGGTCGGCGGCGCCGACAGACTGGTTGACACCAGCCTTGGAGTAGGCAGACACCCGGGACTCGAAAAAGTTGGCCTTGCCTTGCAGAGAGATCATCTCCATAAAGTCGAAGGGGTTGGCAGAGTTCCAGATCTTGTCATTGCCGAGGGCAACAAGAAGTCGGTCGGCGACAAACTCGATGTATTGACACATGAGCTTGGCGTTCATACCAATGAGAGAGACGGGAAGAGCCTCTGCAGTATGGTCAGCCATGGTCAAGCAGGCAACGAAAGAGACGTACCAGACAAGAACTCTTGCTCAATGAAGACAGCTTCCTTGATGATCTTGTTGATGGTGTCGGGGTGAGGGCGACGCCTGAGGTGGGTGAAGAGGAGACAGGCAAAGTCGGTGTGGAGACCCTCGTCACGAGAAATGAGCTCGTTGGAGAAGGTGAGACCAGGCATGAGACCACGCTTCTTGAGCCAGAAGATGGAGGCAAAAGAGCCAGAGAAGAAGATACCCTCGACGGCGGCAAAGGCGATCAGACGCTCAGCAAAGGTAGACTTGTCGTCGGTGATCCACTTGAGCGCCCAGTCGGCCTTCTTTCGGATGCAGGGGATGGTGTCCATGGCCTCAAAGAGGTAGTTTCGGCGGGCGGTGTCCTTGATGTAGGTGTCGATGAGGAGAGAGTAGGTCTCAGAGTGGATGTTCTCCCTGCGAGTAGTGTCAGTGCGCTGTGTGGAATGTAGACGCGTCGTTCAGCGTACATCATGATCTGGAAACCGTAGAAGGACTTGGCCTCGGCACACTGGACTTCAGCAGAGAATCGCTCGACGAGGTTCTCGTTGACGATACCATCAGACTGCAAGAAATGTTAGACGTGTCGAGGGGTGAGATAAATTGACTAACGGCAGCAAAGAACGCGAGGACGTGCTCGATAAAGTATCGCTCGTTGTCGTTGAGCTTGTTTTCCCAGTCGTGGAGATCAGGGGCGAGGTTGATCTCCTCAGAGGTCCAGAAGGATGCCTGGGCCTTCTTGTACATTTGCCAGATCTGTAACGCAATGTCAGTCAATGTTTGACGCGTCGACGCGTGACTCACCTCGTGGTACTTGATGGGGAAGAGGACGAAGCGCGCGTTGGTCTCCTTGAGGAGGGGCTCGTCTTTCTCCTCGCACTCGATGTCACCGACAAAGCGCTTGCGGTACTCCTCGACGTCCTGGGCTTCCTCGACGACGGGCTTGGTGGGCGCGACGGCCTGGAGCTTGGAGAGGAGGGTGGGCTCAGTGGCCTTGATGGGGGTGGGCATGTCAAGGGTGACCTTGTCGAGGGCGGCGGCGGCAGCCTTGGAAGGGGTCTCTACGGAAGGCATGGTGCGTGTGGATGGGATGGGAAAGAATGAAGAAGAAGAAGAAATCGAGCAAGGGGGGGGGCTTATAACGGTGTTTGCGGTGCCTGTTGGGACATTATTTCTTCTTACGCGTTTCTAACAAATGCATTTCTTCGTGCCTTTTTTCGCATCGCGTCGCGAGATACAGCAGGTCCCGCCGTGACGTGGCAGCGAGCCACTGCCTGTTTCTTCCCGCCCGGCCGAAGGGGCATGGGATGGGCGCAATCACATCAGATCAGATTACGTGCATGGCCAAGCTTATGTGGCATTGATACACATGGCTTGTTGGCTCCGACGCGTGCTGGCCGGCACAGACACGTCCGTCGTGTCGAAGTTCGGTGGTGAGCCATGGCCAATGTTGGGTGATAACGTCAATTCAGCCAAGAGCAGTACCCCATGGTTCATGGCGAGTTTGTATTGTATCGTCACATGGGTCAGACGTTAGTCTGAAATGCTGCTGTCATGCCACACTCTGCTCTACTAGGACCCTTTCTGAAATGGCTGGTAATCGAGTTTCCAGTCTCCGACGCGACTTACGTCAGTGCCAGCCATGCCACAATCGCGAAAAACACAACTGTCTAGCTATTTATGTAGTATTATGTAGTCACTCATGAAAGATTGGTCGTGTATCAAGTTCCTATACCATTCGCAGGTGTGTATGAACACTTGCATGACTACACACGAGCTTGGGCTTGGCTGCAGTACGCCGCTTGCGTTGGTCGTATGCGGACAGGCCATGTACTGTATTACTTGTTGCGAGATGCATCAGACATCTGACTTGCCTCCTTCTCTCCCTTGAGCGCCATCCGATAGAGACTGTCAGTCGAGTGAAGTACTGATGATGACTTGGCTGATACGTCGGCCATGAGCGCCGCTGGACGCGTCGCGCAAATGACACTCTACTGTACGCGTCTCTGCGAATCCATCCACCAGTACTCGACCTGCTGCCATGGCCAAGGAACCCCCCCAAAAACAGTGAGCCCCTCTGCCCCCCGTCCTCCCACTGACAGCCCCTCCCAGCACCGGTCCCAAGCAGTCCACCCTCGCCTCCTTCTTCGGCGCCCCCAAGCGTGGCCCCAGGCCGTCCCAGTCCAAGTCGTCCCAGCCACAGTCCTCTCCAGCCTCCAGCAAGCCCCCAGCGTCCTCCGCGGCAGGCGGCAGTTCACCTGCTCTGCCCAGGACTTTGAACAAGAGCAGCGTGGCGAGCAGCAACAGAGCTAGCAGCCCTGTCAAGCAGCCCGAGCCGCCCTCCGAGATCACCGTCGTAGAGGAGAGTGATGATGAGCTGTCGCCTCCTCCAAAGAGTGACGCTTCAGTATCCACCAAAGTGGCCTCGTCCAAGCCGACGCGAAAGCCGGTGAGCAAAATCGATGAAGATGAAGAGATGGATGAGGATGATGCCCCTGTGGTCACAGTGAGTATTCTCCATGCCAGAATATCTAATCTGACTCCTAGCAGGGTCGCCGTGGCAAGCGAAAGGTAGTCTATATGGAAGACACTGATTCTTCCGGAGAAGATGTTCCAGCAAAATCCAGCAAAGGCCGTAAGCCCCGTAAGAGCATGAAGGAGGACTCTGAGGATGAGTTTGTCATTGATGACGCGGAAGAGGCTGCCATGGGTGAGTTTATTCTGTAGAGGACTGGGCACCACTCATACATCACAGCCGCTGCCCTGGACGACTACGAGTCAAAGAACCTCTCACCCTCTAAATCCGCATCCGGTTCTCCTTCTCCTCCCCCTTCGCCTCCCCAAAAGATCAAGGCTAAACCCAAACCCAAGGCCGCCCCCAAGAAAGCCGCTGCTTCGCGCCCTGCTCCCAAACCCACCCAGGGTGGTCAATCGGAATCCCACTCCTTCCTCACTACTGCTGAGCGCAAAAAGCTCCAGGCCAAGGAAGACAAGCGCGATGGCGAGCAATGCTTTGATTTCCTGACACAAATCAAGGACAAGGAAGGGAATCGTCCAGAAGACCCCGATTACGACGACAGATCAATCCACATTCCCAAGAGTAGCTGGCAGGACTTTACGCCCTTTGAAAAGCAATTCTGGGAAATCAAGCAGAACCACTATGATACTGTATTGTTCTTCCAGAAGGGCAAATTCTACGAGCTGTATGAGGATGACGCTATGATTGGCCACCAAGAGTTTGACCTCAAGCTCACGGACCGAGTCAAGATGAAGATGGTCGGCGTGCCGGAGCAGTCGCTCGAGTTTTGGATCGCCAAGTTTCTGGCAGGCGGTCACAAGGTCGGCATCGTCGAACAAGCCGAGACGGCAATCGGTATGGAGATGCGAATGAAGTCGGGGACCAAGGGCGGTGGCAAGGAGATTGTGAGGCGAGAGCTAAAGAGGGTCTTTACCAATGGAACCATTGTGGATGGTGAGTATCTCAGCTCTGACGACCCGAACCATCTGGTATCCATCAAGGAATCAGTGGGAGCCGACGGGTTGTCGAGCTTTGGTATCTGTGTCGCCGACGCTTCTACCGGAGAATTCACCCTGACTGCGTTTGACGATGACATTTCTGGTACTCGACTGGACACCATGTTCCGTCAGGTGCGACCCAAGGAACTAGTTCATGCCAAGGTGAGTTGTATCTATGCGTCTAGGTCGGGAATGACCATGCCTAGGGCAATTTGTCCGTCAACACCACGCGACTTTTGCGCAACATTCTCCCATCATCCACTTCCTGGCAATCCTTCAAAGACGTCAAAGAGTTTTACACCGCCGAAGAGACTTTGCGTCTGCTCCCATCGATTTTTGGCGAAGATGGTGCCATTCCTGAAGCTGTCACCAAGATGAAAGACAACGAGCTTGCCATGGAGTCGCTCGGCGGTATTCTCTTCTATCTCAAATCACTCAACCTCGACAGAGATCTGTTTTCGCAGAAAAACTTCAACATCTACGACCCCATCCGTGAAGGCAAATACCTTATTCTTGATGGTAAAACACTTGGCCACATGGAGGTACTTGTCAACAATGAGGGCGGTGTTGAGGGAACTCTTCTTGAACTCCTTCAGCGTTGCGGTACCCCGTCCGGGAAGCGTCTTTTCCACATCTGGTTGAGATCACCACTCCGAGAGGTCACGGCCATCAATGCGAGGCTGGACGCCGTCGAGGATTTGATGAATCACCCGAGGTTTGCCGGAGACTTTACACTACTCTGTAAAGGCCTGCCTGATCTTGAGCGTTTGGTTTCTCGTATCCACGCGGGATCAGTCAAGCAAAATGATTTCCTCAAAGTGGTTGAAACTTTTGGCAAACTTCAAAAGGGCCTTGAGGGGCTCTTGGACATGTCTGATTCTTTCGACTCTACTACCATCAAGGGTCTCTTGCGCCAACTGCCCGACCTCAGTGCCATGGTCAAGCACATTCGCGGCATGTACCACATCCAAAGTGATGAGAAGACAATCGCCATCGCGCCAAACCCTGGAGCTGATGAGGACTGCGACAATGCAGATGCCGAAGTTGAGAGGATCGAGGGAGAACTAGACGAGCTGTTATCAGAGGCCAAGAAGACCCTGAAGTGCAAAGATCTACAGTATTGGCACAGCGCGCAGGGTGGGAAAGAGATATTCCAAATTCAGGCCCCTGCTAGTGTCAAGGTCCCGGCCAAGTGGACCAAGCAGAGTGGTACCAAGGTGAGTGGTCATACGTGGCGTTAGCTGAGGCTGACAGGGTGCTAGAACTTTTCGCGGTATTACACGCCCGATTCCATGCCTGTCATTCGACAATTGCAAGAAGCTCGTGAGACTCAGACGGCGGCTAGACGAGACTTTTTCAAAAACCTCCTGGCAGAATTCAGCAAGGACCGAGAAGTGTGGTTGAAAGCTGTTAGGTAAGTACAGTCTCTTTACGTTGCGAATGTCTCTTACAAATGGTAGGATCGTTGCCGAGCTCGACTGCCTCATCTCCCTGGCCAAAGCCTCTTCGGACATGGACGAGCCCAAGTGCCGACCAGAACTCATAGAGTCCGACACTGCCTTCATCGACTTTAAAGACCTTCGGCATCCCTCCATGTGCTTGCGCGCTGATTTCATCCCAAACAACGTTCAGCTAGGTGGCGAGGTTGCCAGAATCGATTGCATTACCGGTCCCAACATGGCGGGTAAATCGACGCTCCTGAGAATGACGGCTGCTGGCGTGATCATGTCCCAACTGGGCTGTTTGGTCCCAGCCGAGAGTGCGAGATTGAGCCCCGTGGACAAGATACAGACAAGGATGGGTGCTTATGACAGTGAGTATGCTGACTATCGCATGTCAGTGCAGCGCTAACAGATCTCTAGACATGTTTGCCAGTGCCAGTACTTTCAAGGTTGAGCTCGACGAGTGCTCTAGGATATTGAGAGAAGCCACCCCCAAGTCATTAGTTATCCTTGACGGTAAGTTCAACATGTACCTTCTACCCGTGGCTGACGTCTTCCAGAACTTGGACGAGGTACATCGACATTTGACGGCATGGCCATCGCCGGAGCTGTGCTTCATGAAATTGCAACCCACACCCTTCCCCTCGGTTTTTTCGCGACCCATTACGGCTCCCTCACAGACGATTTTGCCTATCACCCCAACATCCGCAATATGCACATGCAGACTCACGTCGACGACGAGCAAAAGCTAGTCGTTTTCTTATACAAGCTTATTCCCGGTGTGGCCGAAAGCTCTCACGGTACTCGTAAGTACGAATCATGACCGGCAGCTGTGTAATTGACATATTGGCAGACGTCGCAAGGATGGCAGGAGTGCCAGCCGAGGTCGTTCAGCGCGCCGATTCCGTCTCGTCCCAATTCTTTGACGACTTCAACCAGAAGCTCTCCACTCGCCGCCAGTCAAAGTTGCCCATCGTGGCTCAAGCCGACTTTGCTTGGCTGATGAGGGTCGCCAGTGGTGATGAGCACATGCTCAAGAATGGTACTTCTCTCGGCGGACAGCTGGATGTTATCCGGAGGGCTGTTGGCAGTTACGAGTTGAGTTAGCGGGGGAGCATGAGTGATAGTGCAGATGATTGCTTCTCGTTGTACCATTTTTTATTCTCGGAGCAGGATTCACTCGCCAATTTATAGACCTCGTCTTATGTATGCATTACCGTCTCTATCATATCATGTGACAAGAGCCTGCCATCTATATAGGCCACAAAGTGCGGAGATCGCCGAATGTCCGCGCCTCCACTTGCACGCTGCTTCCTCAAACTTTTGTATGATTTCTTTGTCCACTTTCACGCGCTCCCGTTCAAAAGTTTTCCGTCATGGCCAAGTCAGCAGCCAAGACCACAACCAAGTCAAAGTCAAAAACACCCGTCGTAAAGAAAGACGAAGACGCGCCCATGAAGTCGGCCTCGGTGGTCGATTCGAGCTCGGACGGAGAGTCTTCGAGTGAAAGCGATGACAGCGAGGATGATTTGGAGAACGTCCAACCCAAAAAGAGCAAAGCCACAGATACTAGGCGGTCAACTGCACCTTCTGGCTCTCTTCCGTGAGTCCACCCCTGATTGTAAGCAAGCTTGTACTACCACTGACATCCGATGCAGCAAATACAGGCCCCCACCAGGCATGAGCCCTCTCGAGATTACTACCGTCACTGCTTCGTCCCCTTTTGAATGGGACGCTCTTGCTTCTTCCGCATCCTCCAACTCCGGACTCGAGCTCTGGGCCATCCGCGTGCCAAAAGAGCTCAAGCCATCTAGACTCAGCAACCTCGTCATCTCTGCACCCAAAGAGGGTAAACCTTTGACAGGCAAGCTCGATCACAAAGGCCAAAAGTACATTCTGCGCACAGCTGGATCGAGTAAGAATCGAGCGGAGAAGGAGGAAGAGCGGGAAGAGGCCGGATTGGTGGATTCAATCGAGATGGGTGACGGAAGAGGGGCTGAGGATAAGGCCGAGGAGGGCGGCGAGGAAATGGAGGGCTTGAGGCTTCTTGTGCCAAAGGCCAAGGAAGATGGAAGACTTTTTGTCGGTTAGTATCGTCCCTGGATACTGGTTGAAAAAGGCTAATGCTGTGATAGCCCCCATCCCCATCAAACGCCGTCTCCTCTTGACCCCCGATCTGACCTCTACCCTCGAAGCAAACTCGGATCCCTCTCTCCCTTCCTTCCTTCAGCCCTCAGAGAACCCTCAATCATCAAAGAGACCACAGCCCACACATCTGCTCAAATTCAGAAATCATGCCTATGGGTACGACACCCCTGGGCCGGAAGTGACCAGCAAGAAGGTGTTGGGGCAAGAGATGGAAGTGGAAGAGGATGTTTCTGGCCAGGAAGAGGTCGAGGAGAAGGTGGAGAAGAAGGAGAAGAAGGAGAAGAAGAGGAAGACAGATAAGGATGAGTCGCCGGCCAAGGCCAAGAAGAAGGCTAAGAAGTCGAAAGACTGATTTCTTTCTTCCGGCCCATTGTATTATAGCATGCAGCAATTTGGTTGCCTCATATCACCACTGCCCTCTTGTAATTTACGAGGAGGCGCTGAAGAGCTGTCTGCTCGATGATAGATTCAGCGATCCCTCATCAAGTAGTACCTACAGGTAATGGACGTCCTGAACGTGTCCAGGCGCCGGGACAAGAGCGAAAAATGTACGAGTAAGCTACATCAGATGGGCGAGACTTCAGGGCGTCCAATGAGGAGGGATGACTACCACATTATTCAGTAGCTTCTCGGAAGTGGGATTCTTCATACGTTTATTACTGTTGATCCCAACTAGTTAAAGACGAACAGTGCAAATGTAAACGCTGATGGGATGTGTCGACAGTCTGCTCCTCATAACGCTGGTATACTCAAGTAAGTATTTACGACATACAGCAGTATAAATACAACATTCAAGCCACCAAGTGCCTCACTATAACAATCTATGCAAGGCCACTACCATTTGTACTCCTCAACACATTTTGAACTCTTTTCGATACTGTCTTGTTCACTGTCTTATTACTCGCCTTTCCCGACACGAGCGTAGCGACCTTGCAATTCGCCAACATCGCCTCAGCGCCCGATTTACCTCGAGGGCCCTCCTCCGCCTCTTCGAATGCTTCCATCAAATCTCTAAATGTGGGATACTCCGCAGCTATGCCAGCAGCAGCAGACGTTGTTACACCTTGCACCTCTTGGAGCATGAGTTCCAGAACGGCGGTCGACTCGAGGGCCTTCTTCTGGCCGTCCTGGGGCGAAAAGGCAAGGTGGGATTTGGAGATGAGTTTGTACTGTACAATTGTCAGCTGAGACAAATTAGACGAGATGAAAAAGATACCGGACGGATGGCAACGTCCGCGGCGATATTGAACACCCAATCTTCCATATCTTCAGTCTTTTCTACTGTGATATCGAGTCAGTACCTTACAACGATCAGGACTTGAGTATACTCACCATGTACCAAGAAGCATCCTTCAGCCACTTGAAGCTTGACCATCTCTTCTTCGATTATATCCCTTGTGGGCCTCACAGCGCGTCTCCCAGCTGTCATAGCTCCTCCCACGGCGCCGCCCTCCAGCCCAGCCCTTGCAGCACTCATGTAGTCCTTGTTTGCCATGGATTTCGACTTGGAATAGTACTTTTCGATTCCCTTTATCATGATGATCACCTGATTCTGCTGAGAGAGACTCATAAGCAGCCGGACATCGGACGCCCATTGAACAAGCGCGTCGTCCCCATCAGCGATCTTGTCCACTAGCTCTTCAGCAGTGATCAGGATTAGTACGGTCTTCTCCCATACCCATCTGGGCTGATCTAGAGGAATAAAGCGTTTGACGGCAACGTCCCATCTTGACTTCAGATGACGTTTGAAACGTATGGCACCAGGTATGGGTGAGTCCGAATCAGACATGAAACGGAGGTCAGACTGGTTGTCTTTGAGCTTGGTGGTGATCTCGGGGAGAGCGCCTGCAATGGGAGATGAGGGCTTGGCCATGTCGGCGGAGAGGTATAGAGCGACTTCGCGCACAGTGTCATTCTTGGACACTCGAAGCTACGGAGAGTCAATAAAAGGACCTCTCTCTGCATCGAACATATCTGACCTTGTTGGCATCCTTCATCTTCTTTCCGAGAGATTTCTCAGCCTCTTTCGCAGCCTGTTACAGGAGTCAGTCGAGTCGCCGCCTTTACCATGAACGACTTGCCTTGGCCGTGTCCTTGGCCAGTTGCTTCGCTTCCTTGTTTTTGGCGTCCTGCGCCGCTTTTGCCTCACGGGCACTCGCCTTGATCGCCGCCAATTGTTCCTTGGAAAGACCCTACATTTGACTCAACAGATGTCACAAGACAGTCTCGATTGACATACCTCGCTGTTTTGGCCGCTTGGCCTGGTCTTCTTTTTGGCTCCAGCAGTGTCTGCCGCAGGTGGCCTTTTTGTGGCCACTCTTGGAGCGACTGGAGACGACAGATATGGATCTTCCATTGAGTCAAGCTAACCGAAGATCAGTAACAGTCCACAAGATTGTGGTCCTGGCTTACGCGATCTATTGTGCTCATACCCTCGATCATCGACCTTGTCCCTTCTAATGCTCGTCCCTTTCCCTTCGCTCTACCAGACACCCCAATCCCATTACCTGATACAGTGTCCAATATACTAGCACTCGAAGTCCTTTCCACGCCATTGCTTGCCCTTGACGATAGAATGTTGGCTCGCGATTTGACGGGACTGAGCTTGGCGACATCGGCGATGAGCTTGAACACGTCCTGCTCAGCATCGTCATTGTCGGTCTCGATTCCATCCTCAGAGTCGGAAAGGATAGTGATGGTGTCTTTTCTGCCTCTGAGAAGAGTTATGGGTAAGGGGAGTAGCGTCCGAGAATTCGATGTACCTACATCGTGGCCGAGGAGGCTGTTTGCTGGACCGATGGGAAAGACGAGCTTGATGTAGAGCGGGAGGGGCGGACTGCGACAACAGACACTTCTTCGTCCGACTCGTCGTCGCTGATGACCACGACGCTACTTGGCATAGTGGATCAAAGCCGCGGGGACACGAGAAGAAGAAGAGAACAAAACATTAGTCAAAAGTCGAACGCGTCGATCCAGTTGACGCGACTGCCCTCGCTTACGTCAGCAACCCAGCGCTCAAGCTTGTGTGCACGTGATCTGTATGTCGACAACAACAAGACAGTTCAGTTCCTGCGGTGGCCAGGTCTAAACGTCCACAAGGAGGCCTCCGCTCCCCAGGGAGACGACGGCTATCTATTCAGATTGTACCCCTCGTTCCCATCGCTAGGGCGTCCACTTAATACGTGAAAATGAAGCAGAAGGGACCAACCGTCGCTTCCTCACGACCCATCAGGGCCGGCCAACAACCGGCAACAGCACTCGACTATCAGGGACTGCCTCTCGTGTGAACCATTGCGCCCAGTAAAACCCACTAATTCCAAATATAGTCTGGTCGTTGTCGCCGGACGAGCTTGCCGTGCAGGGGATGGCTACAGCGGTCAAAGGTGTCTAACCGTCCGTTTCCGTTTCCAACGTGCGCAGTCGCCAAGGTCACCACAACCTGTATCCAAGAATGATAAGCTCGTATCAGCAACTGATGCTGTCCCCGATCCGCTTGACGAATGCAGTGGCCGTAGCTTCGGTACTTAACAGCCAATTCGCTCGCCTGAGCTACTCTTTTTCCCCCGGTATCTCATCTTACTACTCTCTTCTAATCCCCTGGCTCTTCTTCCTCTCTTTGCTCTTCCGAGCGCACGCTTTCTTATATCTCTGTGAGATCAAGTCCTGGTGACTTTTGTTATACTTCGATACGTCCCTTCTTCAAGGACTGTAAGTGCGTCGCAGACTGTATCCTCTGTAGAGTGTCATACACTGACTTCGTGGCAGTACTTTACACATCTCGCCTCGATCTTATACTCCTCTGTCCTCTTGATCGGCAACCGGCTTGCCAATCTTGTACCCATTTTTACTCTCGTTCTGCTCAACGTTGGCCCCTCCGACTCCTCGACCCAAGTGAACTTGCTTGACTACCAAAATGAAAGGCTTCACTATAGCTCTCGTCTCTCTTCTCATGGCCTGCGACATCACCATCGCTCGTCCTAGTCTTCACGTACGTTTCTTTGTCGTCTCTTGGTGGGTGCTGACATCCATCACAGGCATCCGACAATTACAACCAGCTGGAAGTCCGCAAAATCAGGCGAGACGACGCTGCGTCGCTTGCCGACCATACCGTACTATTAGACCGCAGACAGGGCGGTGGTCGAGGAGGCGGTGGTGGCGGTCGAGGTGGTTGCGGCGGCGGTGGTGGAAATGCCAACGCTGGCAACAACGCAGTGAGTATATTTTGGATTGTTTTTCGCCTATATGTCCATCCACTGACTGCTTAGCAGGCCAAAGGCAACAACGGGGGCAACAATAGGGGCAATAATGGCAATAACAATGGTGCCGCTGCTGTGAGACTCTATCTCTCTTATCGCAAGTCCAACCTTTCACTAACTTATCGCAAAGGCCGCCTCTGCTTCGGCCGCTGCAGCTGCTGCCCAGGTTCGTCATCTGCCTTTTACGCAAAAGTGTATCGCTGACCCTTGTCTAGGCATCGGCTGCTGCCGCAGGTAACAATGCGGCCAACAATGGGAACAACAACAACAACAACAACAACGGTAACAATAACGCGGCCGTGAGTCTACCCCACTTTTCATATATTGTAAGCTGGCTCATATGCGCGCAGGCTGTTGCGATCAACGAGAATGGTCAAGCAGGCCCCGCGGTCCCCAAGCTTCAGGAAAATACCGGTGGAACCAGTATGTAATTTGTTCCGATCGATTACCCGAGGCTGACGGTATGACTAGCTCTCGACAAGAGCGTATTAGTGTCAACCAAGGCCAACGCCAATGCCACCGCTGGTCAAGCTGCCAGCGCTGTTAGTGGTAATAACTTCATCAACGTGAGCCTTCTACACTACTACGCACTCGGGCTGTATTGACATGCGTTTAGTTCTGTAAAGGGAACACCATTACCAACGGTCTTCAGGTCAAGGAAGGTTCCTGCAAGTAAGTCGTGTGAGCCGTGTAACATGAAGCGCCGTGCTGATATGAGGCAGCCCTATCGTCATGGGCCAGATTCCTAGTACTCAGAACATGGTTACGACTACCTTCTCTCAGCCTGTACGTACCACGTTTCCATGCTGGAATGTTGCCTGACGACCAGATAGAAAAATGGAGCCACCATCAAGGCCGGTCAGACCTTCACCATGGCCCTAAAGTCCTCGGGCATCACCATGGGTTCTTTCACCAATGCCCAAGCCAACTACTATGCTGCTCCCCAGCAGGTTGACCAGTCTGGGTATGTCTTCGTTATCCACCCAAGAAACATCTGACCCTGGTATAGTCAAGTCGTTGGACACGCCCATGTTGTGATTCAGGCCATGAAATCGATGGACGACGATTCCCTCCTCGACCCCAATACCTTCGCTTTCTTCAAGGGCCTTGACAAGACCGATGGTTCGTTGTATTCATTCGCACTGTTCGTGGATTCACTGACGACATGAGCAGTCAATGGCTTGTCTACTCTGGATATTTCGGGTGGTCTCCAAGCTGGTGCTTACCGAATGTGCACCATTATGAGTAGCAGTAATCACGCTTCTGTGATCATGCCCATCGCTCAGGTTCGTAGTACATCGTCTGAACCCCGCCACATTGACTGACAGTATCACAGCGAGGTGCCGAAAACACCTGTACCTATTTCCAAGCAGCCTAGATACCCCTTGACCCTCTTTCCATCGGTCGTTGAACGTTTTATGTGAAGCTTGTTGGTGGATACCTAATTGATGAACCGGTCAAGCATGCAGAGTATCCGCTTTACGGTCCATCTCGGTGCTGCTGGCTTATACCTATCTGTATCTATATGCACTAGTTGAGATGTTGACTGCGCCGTTGACCGGGGTCCGGGAGAGAGGTTACAGAATGCGAGTGTTACATGCACTGCCAGCACTCTTGGGCCCTTGGCTCTGCCGTAAGAAAAAGAGGAAAAACAAAAAAGGTTGTTCGCTGCGCGACTTGCGCCGTCTGCCCTTGTACCAGCCATATACTCGTACTCTACTCTGACATCGCCATTATTCCCGCTCAGTCCTGTCTGGGACACGCAGTTCCCTATCCGCCACCGTCGCCACCACGGCAACCCAGCAGCCACGCAACCCCCGCCTGACAACCCCCAGCGACGCCCTCGCCCATCCACCAAACATCGCATCTGTTTACACTCTCGTCGCTGCAGACCCACAGCTCAATGTCAATGGCCGCCCCTCGTCCCTTCGCCAACCCCTACTATCCCTCGTCCCCTGGTCCCGCCACTGCCTCCTCTCTGGGCTACTCGCAATATGGTTCCGGGTCCTTTGCTGGCGGCGGGCCCAGCAGGCAGCTGTCAATATCTTCCTCTGCCTATGGGCCATCAGCCGGGCCGCCCTCAAGGAGTGGGAGCGGAAATGCTGTGATCAAGGCATCAGAGAAGAGAGGAGAAAGCAGAGAGGTGGCAAGGGTGCATTGGAAGGCCCTCAAGGAGTTTTTGGCGTCGTGGATCGCTCGAGGTGGGTAGATCGCATATGTCTTGCACACGCTGACACTGGTCCAGAATCGCCATCGGCCAGAGCCTCTGCTCGTGAAAAGCTGACACGACTCACAAAGCTCCAATTCCAAGAGCTGTCGACGGATGTCTATGACGAGCTGATGAGAAGGATAGCTACAGAGACAGGCGAAGGGGCTACTGGTATGTCTCCTGACAAACCCTAGGGGTGGCTAGCTGACACCGTACCAGCCCCATTCTTACCCGTTCGTGAAGACTTTCACCCGAAACGCAACCAAGCGCGCCAGAAACTCGCCACCCTTCCGAGTAACAGATTCAAAGATCTCGCTAGCGACGTCTTTTACGAGCTCAAACGGCGATTCCCTGAATTTGAGCGAGAACAGGGGCAGCCGCAACAATATGAAGAGCCGCCTGCCCCTGGCCCTCGGCCCTCCATGTCTCAAAGTAACGCTCAGCAATCTCTTTCCTACTCTTCCCAACGGGGCATTGCCGAGACACCCCCTCCCGCCCTCATTGCTCGAAATGCTTCGAGCAACTCCTTGAGCAACTCTTTGCACCAGCGGCAAGGCTCGCGGCAGATGTCGGCCAGTACACATCGATCGAGACCTTCCAACGACCGCAATAACTCTCGGGAACCGGAGCCGGAACCTGAAGAGGAGTTTTTGGATGATAACGGGTACGACGACCGTCGCCCGCAGGCAAATGCTGCCACGAACGACATTGTCGTTCCAAGCAAAAGCCGACTCAGGGAGGAGGAGATCGAAGTGCCGTATGCTCGGGATAGCACAATGGATGTGTTCAGGCAAAGTGTGGCGTCGAGGGGGGAGAGTGGACGCGGGTCCGGGTACGGGAGAGACAGTCAGGCGTCGTATGGTATGTCCCCATCGGCATCATTCACTGGAGAAGATTTCAGGAGAAATGCTCCCCGAAATGCGGAATTGTTGCCTGAAAGAGAGTATGTCTCGGACACTCAAAATACATCCAAAAGTCTGCGAAACGAAGAGGCCGAGAGAAAGCTTCGAGACGAGTACGAGTACAGACTGGAAACTCTGGATAAAAAGGTTGCTGCCGCCGAGAGGGAAAGGGATGAGGCGCGTAGGGCCGAAGTGCAAGAGAGAGATATGCGTTTAGAATGGGAGGACCAAGTTCAAAAATTGAAAGAGCAGACAAACACCCACTCTTCCTCTTTGCGCGCGCTACAACATGACCTCGACCTCGCTAGGGACGAGACCGAGGGTGCGAGACAAAGAGCTGAAAAGGCAAATGCGAATGCAGATGAAGAGGTGGCTCAGTGGAGAGAGAGATCGGAGCAGCTGGAAGATGAGTGTAGAAGGTTGGAAGAGGAGAAAGTGTCCTTGGAAGATGAGCTGGCGCGAAGTGGACAGGGCGTGAGTATATATAATCTTGATCGTCACCTAGCTGAAACCCTTCCAGCAGGCTGTAGGTAATATTCGAGACGAACTGCAGTCTCTAGTGGATGAGCTCAACTCTCTTTCCCTGCGCAACGAGGACCTATTGACTGAACGCGAAAATGACGCGATGCGTTTGAGCGATATGGAGGCCAAGGTATCCGAGTACAAGCGCAAATACGATGCTGTAAGGGTCGAGCTGCGAAATCTGAAAGGTGAGCAAACCTTCGTCTCTTGCCAGACTCTGCTGACATTCGAAAGCCACTTCTACGATGTTTGCTACTTTCTCCAAGCCGATCACCGATGACCATCTACCGGCATCTCCAGATGGCAATATTCTGGATATCAACGTCTCGGCATTTCAAAGCTCCGTGGACAACTTGCTGTCAGCTGCACGGCAAGTTTCAGTCTCACCGGAAAGGTTTCGGCGCTCACACCGTTGCAGATCCTCGAGCCCATCCGGCGTACTTCCAGCCATGAAGGCAATTGTCGAAGCTATTACCGCCATCGGCGAGGACGTCAAGGGTTTCGAAGCCAATCCCAACATTGACGTAGACGTCTCCCGCCTCGAATCCCTCAAGTACGAATCTACCACCCGTCTCAATAATCTCATGCAGGCCGCCCGAAACCATGCGATGGCTTCCGGTCTCTCCCCCGTGTCGCTGCTTGATGCCGCTGCTGGCCATCTCAGCACAAATGTCGTCGAAATCATCAAGCTGCTGAAAATAAAGAGGAGCGACAAGGATTTAAAGAGGAGCAGTAGTCGATTGAGCATCAGGGATATGGTAAACAGGGACAGAGAAAGGGATAGGGCGAATGAGACCTGGGATGCCAACTACAGGTCTGAGAGCAGATCGGGGCGGCGAGCTGAGGCATCTGATGAGCGAGGACCTGGTGTCAGGGTCACCCGACCTTCTGTCGACAGATCGCAGAGTGGCCGCGCTCCCTCGAGGTCTGGATCAGCGAGTGGGATGAGGTATGAGCCTTCAAGGGCGGCGACGCCTACGGAGGCGGTTTCTACGACCCTCAACAGCTCAGGTCCTCCTAGTTCGTACAGATCACCCCCTTCCAGCTCGAGCTACAACAATCCCACCTCTGTTTCTCCCTCACTCTCCAACGCCTCCCCGCCTCCTGCTCCTTTGCGAGCCCAGAATGACCAGGGAAGGCCCAACCTTCGGATAAATTCCTATCAATCTGTCTCTTCCAATGCCCGATCAGACTCATTTGATCTTGAGCGCAAATCGTCCATCCTGACCGAGAGGTCACCTTCCGCTCGTGTTGAGCCGCGTAATGCGCCGACTCCTATGGAGATGACTCGTGAAGATGATGCCCGCGAGAGGGAAAGTCTGGGGTCGACGGGTACGGCAAGCAGCAGTGGCGGACCCATGACCACCCCTGGCTCTACCCGTCCTTTTGGTTCTGTCGAGGTGAAGCAGGCCGAGTCGGACGACGATGGGCGAGAATGGGAAGATCTCAAGCCGTACCTGAATGCCCAGTCATCGGCTTTGGTCAATTCGATCCAGAACCTCCTCGCTGCTATCCGAACAAATTCGTCACCCGCCGCTCTGAACGAACATCTTTCAGAAGTCATCGCCATAGCGTCATCCATTGTGGCAGTCTCGACCAATGCCTTGCCTGGGTCATTGAGGGGACAGGGGGATGCGTTATTGAAAGAGCTGGTGAGCAATACAGACAAGCTGAGTGAGGCGCAGGAGGCGGGGCAGCAGGATGGGCAGGCAGGGGTGTTTGAGAAAGCCGTGAGGCAGCAGATCGCGAGCGCCAGTTTCGGGGTGGCGAAGAGTCTGAAAGCTTTGATGAAGTTGGGGACCAACAGTGATTAGTGGTCTCTCTGTCATCTTCATTCGAATAAAAAAATATGATCCTTTAGTATATCCACCTTTCACGTAGCGAGTTCCTTGTCCGGACTCGCGTTTTCATGACACGCTATGCACACGATGGTAGACAGATCTTGAAGAGTGACAAGTGCATGAAAATGTCTAATCCTGCTCGAGACGTTCTCTAACAAAATCCTCAGCTCTGCGTAATCTCGACAAACTCTCTTCAAGACCCAGTACTGATACAAGTTCAGGTACACCAGGTCCCTTTTTGCGCTCTGTCAAAGCATGCCGGAGGGGCACGAGGAGTTGGGGTTTCTTTGCGATGTGCAACTCGTCAATGACTTTGTGGATGACATCCCAGACGAGGTCAGAGTCAACGGTCACTGCTTTGTCGGCGTAATGTTGAAGTGTTTCGGCGAAAAGGCCGATGTATTGGCCTCCCCGTTGACGTTAGTCATATTCAGAAATGATGATTAGGGAAATAAGGACTCACAGTAGAGACGTGGGTTGATGGTCTTCAGGATGAGTTGCGATTCTTGGCAGGTGTAGGTTGGAGGGAGGAAATAAAAAATAGATTGTAAAGGCATGTCCTTGAGAATTACTGTTCGAGGCTGGTTGAGAGATCAGTACTCCAACATAGCAGGGTTAGAAGTTGATGCTCACCAGGTCTGCCTCGAGTACTTTCTCAACGTATCCAAGATCGTCCACACGAACACTGGCCATGAACGGTTAGCACACGATAGACGGTAGACCACTCGGTAAAATGTTTGTCTCACCATCCGCGTAGCGCCTTCTCTTCCTTCAACATTGTCTGAAAACGCTGGACCAGCGCCCTCTTCTCCTTCTCGGAGTTTCCCTCTTTATTGAGAGCATTGATCATGCTCCCGTCCGCCCCCAAGCGACCAGCTTTCCTCCTTAACGTCATCTTGTTCAGAAAATCCAGCTTGCCCTGATCGACAGACGCTTTCCGGTGTGTAATATACGAAGGGTCAAAAGACTCAATGAGCTGTGTCAATGAGAACAGTTCGTGGAGAGAATGCCCGTCGCTGCGAACATGAGGATCGAGAGGAGTTTCTTGAGGATCAAAGGAAGGCGAGATGATGGATTGGTAGTCCCATCCCATCAGTGCTAGGAAGTTGAGCAGGGCGTCGGGTTCGTAGCCTCGTCTCTGGTGCCGATATCAGCGAGGGACGGTGAATGTGGTCGTAGGAACTTACAATATAATGCTCGACAAATGTATCGCCCTTACGTTTGCTCAACTTTGTGCCGTCGGGGTTACAGAGGAGGGGCAAATGGGCGAAACGGGGAGGGGTCCAGCCGAATGCGGTATAAAGCCTGTGATGCTTGGGCACAGACGCCAGCCACTCCTGGACATACTATGAGCAAACGCCACAATTTTTGTGCAATAAAAAAGCACACCTCTCCACGGAGGACATGTGTGATCTCCATGAGATGGTCGTCCACCACACTCGCGAGATGATACGTTGGCCAGCCATCAGATTTCATGAGCACAAAGTCGTCTGGGCCTATCACAGCTGTAGGTTGGCGGTCGCCGTAAATCATGTCTGCAGGGAGGTCAAGCTTTCCGGACTCGTTCTTCAATGTTCCTTTAGCTGCGGTCTCTCTCGAAAGTCCTGGGCGCACCTTGTACCGCACAACATATGTATGGCCAGCCTTTTTCCTCCGGGCGACATCTTCCTCCGTGAGATGTCGACAGCGACCATCATAGCTGTGCATCAGACCTTGTTTCTTCAGAGACATTTTGATAGCCTCAAGCTGGGTGGGGGTGCAGAAACATTCGTAGGCTTCGCCTTTGGCTACCAGTTGTTTGGAGTAGTGCTGGTAGATGTCCAATCTTTCGGACTATCCATATGGTCAACGGAGTTCAGGATCTTTCGCGAGAGCTCACTTGAGTGTAGGGGCCATGTGAGCCCCCAGCACCCACGCCTTCGTCGTAATCCAGCCCCGCCCAGTCCAAAGCGCTTCTGAGACTGTCCACGGCTCCTTCCTGGTATCTTGTCTGCGTCCGAGTCAGATGCAGTCTTATATCATTGTCCACTGTCTGGACATACCCTATCCGTATCTTCTATACGCAGGAGCCATTTTCCCTTCCACTTCCTCGCGAGAAGATGGTTGAAAAGGGCTGTTCTGAGGCCGCCGAGGTGCAAGTGGCCAGTGGGAGATGGCGCGAATCGGAGGCGGGCGTTGACGGGATTTGCTTCAGGAGCAGCGTGTGAATGGCAGAGGCGAGAGCCAAGCCATTTGGGGCATCTGGAGATACTCCGTAGCGGGGACGCCATTGTGATTGGCAGAGGAAGATACAGAAACGGCTGCTTGCTGACCGACGGACAGAAAAAGTCAAGAAAGCAGCAAGAAAGTCGAAATAATCCGGTGACGTGGAAGGAGACTTGTTCCGTGGCAACGCGATTGAACGAAGTCGGAATGGAGTCCCCATTGTCTCTTCCATTCTACTTTCATTCTGTCATCCACATGACTCCCTTCCCGCCCTCCCCGCCACTCAGCGGTGAGGATACTCCCCATAATATACCCTCTGACTGCCATCGTGTGTTCGTCGCGCTGCCACGACTCACACCACAGCAACGCGCAGGATACCGCCCTTGGCCTCTTCCTTTCTGCCATCCAGGGCCAGATGGTATGCTTTCACAAAATAGCAAGCCTGGCTCGCCAGAGAGGGAAGCTATGACCTCTCCCAGCTCCGATACCCAAAAAATACCGCCTCAACCCCAAGCTCTTCGCGATTCTTTTGTCACTCCTTCTGTGGGTGGTCTGCTTGACGACGGGTCTGACGTGCAAGAGCTAGCACAAATGTCGCTTGCAAATAGACGACAAGGCTTTATTGGTAAGCGCAGGCAAAGAAAAGTGGTCGCAAGTAGCGGGGACGAAGACGACGTTCTCGTGCACAATCCAAGTTCTAAACGACAGATCGTCACTGCTCGTGCAGCCTACTCTTCCAAGGCATCTCGACTTGATGTCACTCACCGAGCTTCCTCTTCTCACAGTTCCACCTCTTTCAACAAGCGCCGCTCTGGACAGTTTGACGACCTTCTCTTCTCTGCCGATGAGCGACATGCTTCCCCTGTTCCCCCCACGGCAAATTCCCGTTCCCGAGTACGGAAAGCCATTGCTCCATCCACTCAGGCAGCACTGAACGGCTTGAAGGAAAGACGCGCTCGCCGTGGCCCGCGCACGCCTACTCGGTCTTCCGACTTCCCGGACGATCGTCCTGGACGCCTCGTCATTGTCAGCGATAACGAGCGCAGTCTTTCCCCTCCACGCACATCCAGGCGTCGTAGATCGAGCGGTAGAGCCAAGCCCGCTACACAAGTTCACTTAGACCCAGACGACGAGTCCACGCGCGAAGCAGAGACGGAAGAAGAAGAAGACATGTTAGAGGGCCTCAAGTTGGACAATCCCGAAGACTATCGAGTGGAAGGCCGACTCAGGTCTCCTAGGAAAGAGACTCGAAACCAGAGAGCCATCTGACATCTAAAGAACAAAAGATTGGGGGTCATAGAGGTTTCGAGCTCTTCAGAAGGGGGCGGGGAAGAGTCAGACTCGGCAGAGGAGTATTTCGGTGATGACCTGCTCCCGGATGGAACCGTCCGCGACCCCTTTCGCACAGAGGAGGATGAAATGCGCGACTTTATCACAGATGATGGTCACGATTCAGCAAGCTACGAACTTCCTGCTGAATTTGCCGGCGCCCGCGGTCAGTCCGAAGACACCAGATTCCGCATCGTTTTCCAATACTTTCTCTACTTGGCCATGCACGGCCCGGAGCGCGCCAGAAACTTGCCAGAGAGAGAAAAAGCGTACTTTGAGCCTTTTTTATCCTCTATGAGGACAAGGATGACCGACTACCGAAACAACAGAGTACGAAGTCAGGCGTGGAGGCAAGAGTTTGTTCATAAGCTCTTAAAGTATCCATACTTCTGTGTACGTACCACAGCATTTCTTCGCGAGCCCGATGGACTACTGACACATGATGGTTAGGCTCAATTCGTCAAACCTGAACCTGGCTGTGACGCATGCAACTTGAGTGGAAGGATCAGTAGCTTTGCCATGTCACTTGAAGGGCGACCCTATGACTCCGTCACTTTCGAGTATGTGACCGATTCTGACGACGACTCGGAATCATCCAATGCCGAGGAAGATGACGAGTGGGACGAGCTTGAAAAGCTTCGAGGGACAAACAAGGGAAAAGACAGTCCTCAAGGAAAGATAGCAAGGGAGAAGTCTCAGATGATGGAGCACCTTCGTGTGGACTATGAGTGGTTGGAACATGGTGAGGGGATGGATAATGGCGAGGCAGGCGAAGCTGAGGAGGTCGAGCAAAGGAATGTGGACTCGTATATCATCGGTGAGTATATCTATCAATTTGATAGGGCAGCGAGAGAGCTAAACTTGCACAAAGGTAAATACTGCAAACGTCGAGCCCAGATATTTCACAGGATCTCCCATTGGGGTATGTTTCATGATGTCTCCACACTTTGAATCCAGCTGATCAATGAATGAAATGACAGAATTCATCCTTTTCCACCGTATCAAACAGCTCTACACCGACCTCCTCACCCGTATGGGCTATAAAGTCCCCGGTTCCCTTTCTGAAGACAGAGCCAAGAAATATGCAGCCGAACATGACGACTACTATCTGGGCAGGAGGAACACTCGGCAAAGGACGATGGCCGATAGGGCGGCTGTCTTGAGAGGGAGCGATTTCCCAGAGGATTGTGAGGACTTGGAGAGTGTTCTCCAGTGGATGATTGGCGAGCGCTATGTTTCGGAGGTGAGCAGTCGACAATCCCAAAGACATCGCCCGCTCACGAGTAGCTGTAGCAACAAGAATGGATTGAGAACCTGATCGAGAGGGCAGAAAACTTAGATAAGATACCCTCGGATCGGTGATGCTCGCGCAATCTTTTTTGAAGTATTCCTGCATCTCTGGCGGCTCCATATATGCGCCTGATGGTGGAATGAGACCTTGACATACGCATCATAGTTGTGATTTTGTTGATTTTGATTGTAAATAGGGTGCGTCCGATGATGGAGTGTGACCTTGACATACGTAATATCGTTGTAGATTTTTTTATTTTGATTGTAGGTAGGGTGGAGTGTACAATTACTTGGATCTTGCATAAGCAGCGAATGAGTATAGTTCGTGTCTGTCGATTCCTCTGAACATGGCCGCGTATTGCAAAAGATCAACTCCGCTTCACTTTGAGAAGAAATCAAAGCCATAATCCTCCCAAAAACGCCACCAACACGCCCATCTTCATCATTCCTTCTACCCCATCCCATTTGCCTGGTAAGCTCACACTCCTGAAAGCAGCAGAGTCCTGAGAGTCTGAACCGGAGCCGCCAGATTGGGTAGACGCAGGAGAGGTGGCGGTGGATGATGCTGTGGAGGTTGAAGTGGCGCCGCTGATTCCCATGGCGCCAGTCGAAGTGGCGTGTTCAGCATTCGAGGACGCGGAGGAAACACTCGAATACGGTCAGCGCTGCCTGGTACGCACATAATGGGAGTTGGACTCACGCGCTATCAGCTTTGCCTTGGTCCGTGTTAGGCTCTTGCATGACAATATTGATGAACTGTCACCAATCTCTATCAGCTACCAAGTCTATCCGGTAGCAGGGGGGGTACTCACATGCATGACGCCGTTAGGCAAAGCCATATCACTTCTGATAAATTGGGCTCGATAGTTACCAACAGAGACGAATGAAGCGTCGTCTTTGGCGGTGAGGTATGTGAGAGGAAGACCAGCTGCAGTGACGTAAACGTTGCCGGAATTCAATAGTGGCGAGTATGCCACGGTACCGTTCAAGATCTACTCGGCTGTGTTCAGCTGTGTTTCCTCAGCTGAGAGAGTACTGACGCACGTGATTTCTCAGAATGCCTTGCTTTTCGACATCCGACCAATTGCTGTAATTGAAGTTGGCCCTAGCAGAACGGAAGGCATCATCAACGGGGACAAAAAAGGTGCAGCCATGGCATTCCTCGACGGTCTGGTTCCAGCCCAGAGATGATATAAGAGAAGCGAATTCAAGAGCCCCGTCTGGGGCGGCGAGGGCGAGATTGGGGGTGTTGAGAGTCTTTACCAGAGGTGATGGCTATGAAAAGGTCAGCTGGGGATGAACTGAGAGATGTGATATTGCGAGTGATATTACTACTGCGAGGATCTGGTTGTTGTGAGCAAGGTCATCTGCAATGAAGTAAAGACTCACCCTGTCAATAGGCTGCACGTAAAGATTTTCGTAACTGAACTGGTTTCCCTGGCTCGTAGCATTCCATGTGTCCCCCCTAATCAGGATTGAAGTGTTGTCCCAAGGCTGTGGGACCGAGCGATTGGCGGCAGTCTCCAGTACGATGACTTGGGCTTGTTCACCGGGGAGAAGGATCGTTGAGGAATGGAGGCGAGTGAACGCCACGGTATGTTTTCTCGGGGGAGCAATATCTGTTGATGAGTTGAGGTGGGCCCCGACCAACTGAAAGGGGTCAGCTTATCAAAGTCGAGAGATGTGAACGTACGTGGTAAGAGAGAAGAGACACAAGATCTTCGCTCGCCTCTGGGTTTGAGAGCCCACTGCTCTCCCACGCCTGATCCAGTAGTCAATCATTATTTCCTGTATGATACCACCTACAACGTACAGAGTTGACAGGCGGGTAGAATGTATAAGCATCGTCAGAGTACAAGGCCTCAATGAAGTCGCGTCCACTGTCCGTTTGATTGGCAACGGTCAAGGCATTCCAGAAAAGGCTCAATCCAGCTTCGTTGAGGGCTGACTCAAGGCCGTCGAAGTATTCACCTTCCGTCCCTGGGCGGGCCGAGGCGAAATAGCAGGAAGCGCCAAGCAAGGCGGCTGAGATGAGGTGGGAGAAGAGCATGGCGAAGCAAGCGGATTCAAGCAATCCTGGAGAATGAGTGGCAAAGAAGGAGGTCAGGGCGAAGGGGTCAGTTTACAAAGCAGACACTTATATAGTGGCTGATGCCATGATTGCATTACGTCCAGGTACCTGCCTGTATGCGTGCAGTAAATCCGGGCTGTCAAACACGAGGCAAAGGCTCAAGGCTCGTGGCTGACTGTGTCATACTTGTGGCATATTGGTGGCAATATGTGATACCCTGGGAAGAAGCATTAGAGGTATGACAAGTGTTCTGGTTGGATACAGGGGTGCGAACAGTCCGAGTCAGACGGAGGAAAGAAGCTGGCGGGTGGGCTGGAGGAAGCAGGGCGTATGCGATCGCCCCGAGCGGGCATGGTGAGACGGGCACTGTAAATTTTCAGGCGCATCAGTACAAATCGTCATAATTGTGTGTATTGAAGATTGTCGAGATTTGATCGCGAGGGCCTGTTCAAGGGCTGTTTTGTAAGAGGACGTCTGAATCTTCCACGTCGCCGTTTTTCGACTTCTTCTTCCCTCGCTTGTGGGCGACTCTTCCTGTTGTTTGTGGCTTGTGCATTGCTTGTGCATCTCCTCACCACGCGAACATAAAATGGCCCAGACAGTCACGAACAGTACGCTACTATCATACTGTTCATGCTCATACAAATCGCTGACATGTTCACTCTCAGTCCCTCGCGACGGGCGTCTGATATCGCTCATCCTCGCATCCAAAGGCATAGAAGACGCAGACGAACGAGTCATACACCAGCTCCTTGACTTTTCAGCAAGTAAGTGCATCTCACATATACACTGCAGTAAGCTCTGACACTGTCCTAAAAGGATATACAGCAGATGTCCTCTCTTCTTCCCAAACTCTGTCCGACCACGCTGCAAGAACAGGCGCCAGCTCGAACAGAATCGAGAAGGACGACGTTGAACTTGCTATAAAAATGAGAAAGCTCTACGAATTCTTCGAGGCGCCCCCGCGAGATGTGAGTAGCTCACATATGGACAAAGAGCTAACGATTGGCAGTATCTCGCGACTCTGGCACACGAGCTCAACTCTCATCCCCTTCCCATTCTGCCAGAAACATTCGACCTCATCCGTCTTCCTCCGCCCCACCAGCGACTGGCAGAGGTCAACTTTGATATTGTCCCTGATGTCGAGGTGGCGTATATGGAAGAGGAGGACGATGAGAGTGACGAGGAGAGGGAATGGGACGAGCAGAATGGAGAAGAGGCCAAGGCTGAGGAAGACGATGGGGATGAGGAGGAAATGGAAGAGGTCGGGGTAGAAGGTCCGTCACTTATGGAGCCTACGGCTCCTACCAGGCAGGTCGACGTGGATGAGGATTACGACATGTAAGAAGGAGACTTTCGGGATCGATGTTGTATTGTATGCCACTGTGTACCGCACATCTCTCAGTCCACAAATCCATCATCTAATCGATTAACAAGACTACATAGCCTAATACCGAGCAACGCAAAAAAATCGACATTGACAGAAATATACCAAAGCTCCAGTATAAAACGTCCTCTGATTTTCCGATTATCCTAATTTTGTATATATACAACTCTACTGCCCGCTCGCCTCGGCAAGATATTTGCCCGTTGTAGTGTTCTGCCTCACCTCCTCAAACTTCCATCCGTCTCCTTCCAGCTGTCCAGGTACAATCTCGATACCCAAACCACTGATCAACGACCCTTCCACGGCCCAAGACGCCTGCACCCCTTGCGGGCTCATCGCCTCCCCGCTCCCAGACTCGTTTGTAAATTTGGCAATGATTTTGCCCTCTCCGTCCAGCTCGTCGAGCTTCCATTGCATACGTCTCGTCGCGGGAGACCAGACTCCGCCAGCAGGTTTGGCTTGGACATTGGTGATCGCGGGGCCAGGGGCAAAGGCGGCTACGATGGTGGCGTTGGCGCCTTGGAGAGACAGGGACGGTGAGGGGCTGCAAGTGTAGTGCAGAATCATCCTTGTCTCGCCTTCCTTGCACTGGAACGCTGGGTCGAGCGTAAGCGGCAAAAATGCAGCCTCCTTCCCCGGCTGGACATGCACCACATACTTGAACAGCAGTGTGCCCTTACTAGCTCCCGTACCAAGAGGGGCCTTTGCTGTAGCAGCCGCCAGCACCTCGGCATTCAAAAAGTATTCCCCTGGCCTATCGGGCACTTGAGCAAGGTAAGCGGGGTTGGGCGCAATCTTTTCCAGCCTTTCAAATTGTGTGAGGCGGATGTGTATAGGACCTTCAGGGGTGGGAGTGACGGCAGGATCGTGACGGAGGGATAGATGAACTTCGCCAGTAATCTGAATTCGCGAGACTGTCTTGGACTTGAAGACGACGTTGACCATCTCGCTGATGTTGGCTCGCAGACCTGGATGGTCGGTGGAAGTAGTCGCGACTTGAGGGGTCATGCCCGACATGCCGGACGTGACCATACCGGGCGAATCAAAGGGGTTATTAGAGGAGACAGATGAGAGGGAGGTGCGGCGCCCCATGGGTGATGGTGAAGGGATGGTATCACGATTGAACGTGTTTGAGCGAGTGGAAGCAGGAGACTCTGCGAGACGCTCTTCGGGCTCAGAGAGTTTAGGAAGTGTCGCGGCACCTGCGCTCGCACCGACCACTGTCCCCGGCCCAAAGCCAAATCCTTGCGACCCATCGTCGGTCGGCCCACCAAACATGGTATTTCTAACATCCCTGCCTCTTCTAGCTATAGTCGACCTTCGATTCGGTGCGCCACCAGGAGGGGGAAGCTGTAGAGTCTGCTGCATCTTTGCCAGCGCCGCCTGCCTCGCCTCATCGCTCTCCTGAATCGGCTTTTCGGCCAAGAACAAATTGAGGCGTGGTTGGCCGGTAGCAGAGTCGAGGTTTTCGGAGGAGGCGTTCGGGGAGAATGTAAAGTTCTGGGAGAAGAGGGCGTTGTTGCCAGTGGGAGAGGTAGGGTGGGAGGCCGAGGTGGAGCCACCTGTGGGGGAGGGAATGAGCTCGTTGGGGTTCTCCCAGGGGTTGCGGTGACGATCAGAGGGAGCGACACTGAAACCCTCCTCGTCCACCGGTGGCGTATTCTTTGTCATATCAGCCCTGCGCTGTCGATGAACCGTCAATTGACTTACCGAAGGAGCACTGACAGGTTCAGACGGCAGAGGGTGGTTCCTCGACTCTTCCCCGATTGCTTCAAAGTCATTCGTACGGTGCGCACTTCTGGTAGAAGTGGCATTGCTACCACTCCTGTTCCTGTTACCGCTGCCTCCCATTGTTCTGGTTCTACCGATCATAGACTTGAAGCCGCCAGCAAAGGAGGAGCCGGTGGTAGACACATTGCTCTGTGAGCCATTGCGCAGCGCTTGAGGGCGAGGCGAAAAGTCGTGGCTTTGGGTGGAAGCGGCTATAGAGGAGTGACGACGATTGGATTGGGCTAAGGCCTATCAGTACAGGTCGATGGTCAGAGCGCGCAAGTCTTACGAGTACCAACGACACTTTCCGGCCCTGGCGTCGCTCTGATACTTCCCGCTGTCCCGCCGCCAATGGCACCCAGCTTCTGACCGACAGCCGTCACCTCTTCTCCGGTCTCCCACACAAGCAAGTTTGCCACGGTCCCTTCTGCCCTCTGACCGTCCCGGGTAGCCACGTCGCCCTTGACAGTCGCCCACCTCACCGCGATCTCCTTCTCGGCGCGCAACCTTTCTTCGTCCAGCCTCTGGTACGTGGTGTAGACCATCGGCGAGAGGCTGGAGAGGGACTGGGTGATCTGGTTGAGTTCTGACTGCAAGCCATCTACCTTTGACGACTTTGACTTGCTGGATGCCTTTTCGAGTTTGGCAGAGACCTTCTCATAGTCTTTGAGGGTCTTATCGAGGGATGCCTCCTGCTCGTTGATGCGGCGCCAGGGAATGATTTTGCCGTGGAGATCACGCAGAGGGCCTTCGAAATCCGTCCTGATCAATGCCGACAGCGTAGAATGGGATGCGGATGTCTGGCATGATATGAGCGCTGTCCCACGAAAGGCTACGTAGCTTTGACTCACCTCTGCGAGCTCGGCGATGAGCGAGTCCCAGACCCTGGCCTCTCCGCTGTTCTTCGCCCAGTCGTTGCCAGTCTTGCCGGTGAGGAGGCCCGAGTCTGCGGACTTTGCGAGCTTGGCGAGGGAGTCTGCGTACTGGGCTTCGATGTGTGCGCGCTGCTTGAAGATGTCGGCGAGGGCGGTGAGATGGACGTTGGAGGTGTTGTGGCGCTTCTGGAGGGCGGTGAGGAGGGGGCGGGGGGCTGTGGGCAGGAAGGACTGGACCCAGATGTCGTCCGGGAGGGAGTCGCTCATGGTGCTGGATGATATAACCACTAACGAAGTAACCACGAAGTAACCACCAAGTAACCACCAAGTAACGAAGTAACGAAGTTTGAACGAAGTATCAAATGGTTATTGATTGTCAACTATTAGGTACTTGTTGGTTCTGAGTACGTAATCACGTCTATGACGCTCACTTCTAAGCTTAAGATGTTATCCCTGCCTGTCTTCTCTCTCCACGCACAATGAAGGTCTTCGCCATCTCCCTTCTCTCCGTCACCCCCACCGCCCCCGCCCAGGCCACCCTCCTCGGCACCGCCAACGACCTCTCCTCCTTCAGCTTCTACCAGAGGAGTTCCGTCGGCGAGTTCATGTCCTTCTTCACAAAGGTCCGTCCTTCCTCCCTCCCTTGCCCTGCTGACGTTATGCCCTCAGACCGTTGCCGAGAGAACGCCTCCCAACCAGCCCTCGTCTGTCGAAGAGAACAACTACAAGGCCCATGTCTTTGTAACCACCGGCCGAACTCCTGGCAGCCCCGGTCTTGCTGGTACGCCGTCCCTCTGCGCCCTGGCGTCGTCTCACATAGTGCAGCTGTCATGATCACCGACTTGGAGTACCCTCTACGCCCCGCCTTCTCTCTCCTCACCAAGATCCTTGATGAACACACACCCCTTCTCGCCCACGTTCCCAATGCCTCGGCGGCCCCCTCGTTTGGTTCCGCATCTGCCAATGCTTTCGGCGGCAATCCTTCGACTGCTGCCGCGGGTGGGCTCCCCCCCGCGCAGAAGGGCAAGCTTGAGGGAACTCTGGCCATGTACCTGACCAAATACCAGGACCCCAAGCAGGCGGACACAATCATGAAGGTACAGAAGGAGCTCGACGAAACCAAGATTGTTTTGCACAAGACTATCGAGAGTGTCCTGGAGAGAGGAGAGAAGCTCGACAATCTTGTAGAGCGATCGAATGCGCTGTCAGCCCAGAGCAAGATGTTTTACAAGACTGCAAAGAAGGTGCGTGCTGCGATGTGTGTCCTATGTGGCTGCTGACTGGGGCATAGCAAAACTCTTGCTGCGTTGTCATGTAGGAATAGTAGATGGATATATTTTGCTGTCAGCTTAATGTACGGTGTGGTGGTACTGTCTGTGAATATGTATAGCAAGTGGAACCATAGAATACCGTGTCCGGACACGATGCCCGCCGGGGCTCGCGTCGCGTTGAGAGCTTTGTCGGCTTGTTCTCTTGATTTTTATTTCTTTTCTCTCTTTCCACCGCACCATGGATCGCAGGCAGCACGCTCGCCGGTCAGCCCAGGGCGAAGAGTTCGAGCTCCCCCTCACCCCCGGGTCCGCCACCTCGTCCACTGCCGACAGCAAGCCTGCCGACGGCCCCGGCGTATCCAAGTCGCCCTCTCTGGCCCCTTCGCCTACCAGACCACTCGCTGCCAAGAATGGGGCGGGCAAAGGGCCCAGCAAAATCATGGCAAGGGCAGCCATGTTTGAGAATTCAGATGCCAGCGCATCTCCGCCATCGAAGAAGGGCGAAGCTCCCAAGAAGCTCAAACCGCCAACGCCAGGAGCCAGTCCAGGGTTCAGGTCAATACCACCTGGCGGAGGGAAAGGGACCGGTCTGACCCCTAGAAAGCTGTCGCCAGAGAAAAGATCTATGGGGCGGGAACCGCTGGTAAAGTCGCCTGCAAAGACGCCTTCGCCCTCAAAGACGCCTTCGCCCTCAAAGACACCGCTGCCTGCGCCTGTGCCCGAACCGCCAGTGCCTTCACCAATGATAGAGGCACCTGTAACGGGCGATATCAGCAAGGACCAGACAGGGGAAACACCGCCAGCCACGGCAGCTGAGCGATTCTCCGAGATTCCTCTATCAGCCACCGTTCCCAAATCTCCCGCTGCGACCGCTTCCAGCTCTCCTGTTGCGACCTCCCCCAATGATCTCGCAACTGCGTCTCCCAGCTCCCCTTCCCTTCCCTACCTCGACGAGCCAGAAGACAAGGGCACCCTCCGCATTTCTCCCATACCTTCCAAACCTTCCAATCTCCCCGGCATCTCGACAGACTCTGATGTCACACCTCCTGCTAGAGAGCAGGAGAAGGAGAGCAAAGGGTTCTTTGGTTCTGCTCTCGGATTTGGGATGCCGTCGCACGCACAGCCTTGGAAACCGTCGGAAGAGTCGTTGTCGACTGATATTACCAGTCCGCCTACGGAGCCTCCTTCGACTTCTGCAGGGTGGCGGTCGACAATGACACACCTCCTTACGCGATCTACCTCAGGCTCCGCTCTCACCCCTCCCATACCCGCTCGAACTCCTTCCCCGCTAGCTGCTACCTCTTCTACCCTGCCCTCCACATCCCATCCGCCCGTCCCCCAGGCATCCGTTATCACCTCTTCCCCGACTGCTGTCTTGCTTCACGGTCCTGCCGCTACACCAATCAGGGATAGACGGCTCAGCAAGGATATAGTAGCGCTGGGGGTGGGCGAGAAGAGCCAAGAGGGCTTCCAAAGGGTGAGAGGAGAGATGGATAGTGCAGCGAGAGAGATGAGGAGGGAGAGAGATGCGAAACGGTCAGAGCAGAGCTCGCCCAGCTCTCCGCGACCTCCCCACTCGCCCATTGCGGAGGCGCCAGAGGGAGCGGGAGAAACAGACTGGACATTCTGGGGATCCGTCGTCCAGACATATGAGGATATAGCTGTCAATCAACCCAAAGAGTTGTCCAAAGCCATTCAGATGGGCATACCGCCGGTGATCCGTGGCGCTATCTGGCAACTCATGTCCTCCTCCAAGTCTTCTGATCTGGAAGAGTCGTACAAAGCGCTGCTCAAGATGGAATCGAGTCACGAAAAGGCAATCATGAAGGACTTGAATAGGACGTTTCCGAGTCATAAGGTCTTCAAAGAATCCGGAGGGCTAGGACAGGAGGGGTTGTTCATGGTGGTCAAGGCATATAGCATGTGAGTTGATTGCAGATTTTGAGGTCGTACTAACAGCTATCCAGATACGATAAAGAAGTTGGCTACACTCAGGGACTTGCGTTCATCGTCGCTGCTCTGCTTCTCAACGTGAGTCACTCCTATACTGATTTCATGTGGCTGACTCTCTTCAGATGCCTGATGAAGAGGCATTCTGCGTTCTCGTTCGCCTCATGACATCGTACAACCTTCGCTCCCATTACACCGCCGAAATGCAAGGTCTCCAGCTTAGGCTTTTCCAGTTTGATAGGCTGGTGGAGGAAGTATTGCCGCTGGTGCATACACATTTTGTGAGGAAGGGGGTGAAGAGCAGCATGTATGCTAGTCAATGGTTCATGACTTTGTTCAGTTATCGGTGAGTTTGTTGTTGGTGTGCTGGGCCGATGCTAATGACACAATAGCTTCCCGTTGTCGTTGGTCTACCGGGTGTTGGATATCGTCTTTGCCGAAGGCATCGAAGCCATCTTTCGCTTTTCTCTCGCTCTCTTGAAAAAGTCCGAGGCCAAACTTGTCTCTCTCGAATTTGAACAGATTCTCAACTACCTTCAGACAGACCTCTACGAAGTTTATAAAAATAGTGCACAGGATGAGCCGGCAAAGGGTGGTGAGGATGATGATGGTGTGTGGCGGGCTGATGAGTTTGTGAGGGATGCCTTTGAGATAAGAATGTGAGTACTTCCCCTGCCATGGAAGTGAAACTGATGGGGAACAGAACACCGCTCATGCTCGACGCCTATGCATCGGAGTGGGAAGAACAATGTCGGGCAGCAAATCGACATGCCATGGAAGTGGACCATCTCCGAAACATCAATCGTACCTTGAGCGGTCAAGTGTGAGTCTCATGTAAATTGCAAGTCATTGGCTGATCTAGGGACAATTGCAGAAAACAACTGGAAGGATCTCTAGCGGCCATGAACCAAGAGCATGTCGATCTTGTTCGACAGCTCGTCATGTCTAAAATCGAAAAGGAAGAGACGGAGAACGAATTGGTCAGATATAAAATGCTGTCAGTTTAGTCGCACAAATCTCGCGAGGTCTCGCTAACCACGACATTCAGTTATGCCGAAATGGCACACGCCCAGCAAGACGCCCTTTCAGTGCACTCTCGACTGTCCAGTGGTTCAGCTACCACTTCCAAACGCTGATGACGAACCGGACCGACTGGCCAGAGACAAGAGAGAACGGGAGAAGGTTCAACGATGTACACTTATTAGCATTCATTTTTTAGCGGCAAGATTCGTTGCTTTACACGAGTTGCCGGCTTTTGCGTTGACCATGCAGCATGGTTGTGTGCCATCATTTACCAATGCGCCTGCTCGCATCGACGATTTGACACAAGTCGTGATAGGATACATAAGGCAATTACTCGTCGTACAGAAGATCCTTGACCATATACGGCCCATCGAGAAAATAACCCAAACGCCTGTAGTAATCTCTGGTACCTACACCAGAGATGACAGCGATCCTCCCACTGCCGTGCTCCTCTCTCGCAATGCGCTCGGCCTCCTCCATGAGGAGCGTTCCGATACCTTGATGCTGAAATTTCTTGGGATCTCTTGAGTGGACCGGTGCAGCAGTACCGTAGACATGCTAAATTTGTCAGGAAAATATGTAATGCAATTATCGAGAGACTCACCAGCTCTCTGACAAGACTGCAACCTCCTTCCATACCGACCAACTCCTTCCTGAACGTTCCTTCTTCGGAACACTTTCTCAGCCTCAACAATCCTACCAGAATATCCGACAGAGGATCCTCATACGACAAGAATGTCTCCCAGCCTCCATTCGCAGCGTAGTCTCGTCGAAGAAGCTCAATGTCGGCAGGCCTCACCCTGTTGTGGATCTCGTGCAGACCGACCTCACGATACCGCACATCCCTACACTCTGCACCAAAGTCCTTCATACGGGCAAGCGCCAATTCTCGAAGGTTTCCATTCTCCACGCCAGATGATACGAGGGGCATGGGGATATCTCGCTGGACTCGATACACCCGCGTCCAAGGCGGCACAAGAGCCATGATACGCGCGACGATGTCGACGAGGGCGTTGGGTGGATAATTCTTGTACTTGCCAGTCCGCCAGAGCTCGTACAAGCCTGTGCCGCGGATGACCAGAGTTGGGTAGAGTTTGAGACCGTCTGACCGGAATGCGGGGTTTTCGAAAAACTCTTGGAATTGCCAGATATCACGTTCGGTACCACAATTGGGGAGGTCGGGCATCATATGGGCGACAATCTTGTAGCCAGCATCCTTTGACATGTGGAATGACTCGCTGACTGCACGGACAGTGTGACCACGGTTGGTATCACGGGCAACATCCTGGAGCGGGATGGTCAGTGGGCGCAAAGATTCGAAGACAACAGACGCACCTCATAGACTGATTGAACGCCAATCTCCAGTCTAGTGCATCCGTACCTCAGCATTTGGCTCAGGTGGGGTTTCAAGCAATAATCGGGGCGAGTCTCGATGGTGATGCCGACACACTTGACTTTACTCTGTTCGGAGAATCTGAAAGCAATTCAGCTAGAGATTACAATCACTGGTGGTAGGTGGTATACTGACTTGACGGCTTCATCGACATCATCCGTTGTATGTCCACTGAGAGCATTGTGAAGCCCAGCGATGAACTTGTGCCGATAATCTTCTGGCATTGACATGAATGTGCCTCCCATGAGACTAGAGCACGTGAGCACGAGAGCCAGAAGGACGGTGACAAAGGACCTACATGATCTCCACCTTGTCCACACTATGTCCCAGATCTCTAAGCTGATTCACTCTACCGCGAGCTTGCTCGTAAGGGTCATATCGGGCTCGTATGGCGCGCATGGAAGTTGGCTGTGTTCGATTAGCCTGGTTGTCGGGGAGCCCCAAGCGACTTACTTCGTAACCAGTGTACGATTGAGTAGAGTACTCAAAATCAGAGTCAGGCCCACCAGGGCAGTAACTGAACGATATGAGTGTGAGGTAATTCACATATGCTACTGTACACTTACACGCAGATGTTGCCAGTCATGGCGACGTGCGGGCACCGATGGGGCTTGCACATGACGGCAACCACAGCAACACCACTGGCTGTTCTGACAGGCTTGGCCCTCAACCACATTCTCAGCCTATCCTTCCATTCTTCTGGGACAGCGGCGAGGACATCTGTCAATCGGGGGACCGCTTTCAGCGAGTATTTCTTGGAATACTTTGCTCTGATCGAGTTGACGTTTGGAATTTGCTGGGTGGCGGAGCTGTTGTTGGAGTTGTATGCAGTGATGAGATCTCGAACGACTGCCGAGACACAGAGCAGGTGGAGCTCTGACTGGGATGTGGGTGGGGCAATCATGGTGGGTCTCTGTATGCGCAGGAGGATACAGCGGCAAGGGGCGTTTATAAAAACAAAAACAAAATTCAGAATGTTCAAGGAAGCAAGGAACCGCGCCGCTCGCCGCCGCCCGCAACGCTGGTCACCACCATGCTCGTTAATTCTCTCGTCACCCGGAATCACCCCCAGCCATGTCTCTACGAACCATCCCCCTCCCGCTCAGGTCCCTCCCTCGCCACAGAGCCCTCCCGCGCGCCTCTTCGATCACCAGCCGTCACTTGACCACCTTCAAATCCCTCCGATCAGCTGCCCCCTCCGCATTCTCCACCATCAATGCCTCTGAAATCTCCCACTTCTCCAAGCTTTCCTCGCAGTGGTGGAACGAGACTGGCGAGTTTGCTCTTCTGCATCGGATGAATCCTACCCGTGTAGAGTACATCAGGCAAAAAGTGGCTCTGGCGCCCACCGGGAACGAGGAGTGGTCATTCGAAACGCGGCATCTGGATGCGCAACGTGAGGCCGGAAAGGGCACTGGGAGATGGCTTGATGGATTGAGGGTGCTGGATGTAGGATGCGGGGGAGGGCTTCTGTCGGAAAGCCTGGCCAGATTGGGAGGGAGAGTAGTCAGCGTGGACGCCAGTGAAAGCAACATCGGGATCGCAAAGACCCATGCTTCACAAGATCCCTTCCTAGCCGATAAACTCGAAAAGGGAGAGCTAGACTACCGACACAGCACGGCCGAATCACTCAGAGATGCTGGGGAGCAATTTGACGTCGTTTGCTCCATGGAAGTGCTCGAACATGTGGATGAACCGGGAGAATTCATGAAATGTCTGGGGGAAATGGTCAAGGTGAGTCGTATAGTTATATGGCAAACACATTTCATGCTCATTGTACACTGTCAGCCTGGTGGGCATTTGATTCTCTCGACAATCTCAAGAACTCCTCTATCCCAGCTCCTCACGATCACTCTGGCAGAAGACGTCCTCCGATTGGTCACTCCCGGTACCCATACATATCGCAAGTTTGTACGGCCAGAGGAACTACGACGCTTTGTGTACTCTGATATGGGAGGTTTCGGCATTTGGGAGAGAAACGAGGATGCTAGTGATATCAGGGACGGAGAGGTCGGTGAGACGCGAGGAATCATTTATGACCCCTTGAAGGGTGGGTGGAATCTCTGGGGAGGGGTGGAGGGAAGCTGGTTCAAAGACCTGGGAGAGGCTTGTAACTACATGTTCTATGCCAAGAAGAGAGTCTAGAAAACAAAATGTGTGTGATCAAATCGGCAAACTCGTCCGAGACGCTTCTTTGCTGATAGAATTATAGCTATATCCGCATTATCAAGAGCAACCTCTACAACAGGTATCATGTGTCACTAAATGCATATCATAGACAGGTTCTAATTTGGTCATGGGCTGTAATCACCATTATAGAGCATGAAGTCATACCGCACTTCATCCGTCAACGTTCACAACAACACCGTCGGTGCTGCCTGTACCAAGTGTCTGTTACATCCATGCATCATGTTCACGCTCTGCATTGTTCGGGAGAATATTGCATGCATAGCTAGCTGACAACTGTTCCACGTTCATGCAAAGGGCCGTTCTCGCCATGGAGATGATCGTGCGGCTACCTCCACTCGGGCTTTCGTCGCCGCCACTGTCGACGCGGAAACTGTCCCTCATGAAAATCAGCTCGTTTCGGACCCCTCGAGTTTCTATCAAACACAAAACTGCCACACTACAACCGAGTCGTACCAGAAAGACCTTCACTCTCTTCAAATCCCTCTGCAGCGCTCCATCCTCTTTTGCTGAATTTGCCACCATGCCTTTGTCCCCAACCTGACCGGAAAGACATGGGGAGTCTCTGGTCAAACAACCACCCTCTCCAGTAGAATCATTTTATCTTGTCAAGGATGGGCAGGTGACAACTTCAAGTGCATCTGAGTGCTTACTGAATGATGCAGACAGCCTGTGAGATCTCCTGTCAGTCTCACATATGTAAAAAGAGAAAATATCTTAAACCACCAACTTTCACTTTGGAATATCTAAAACCGCCAACAAAAATATGAATATATCTTAAACCACCAACTTGCCTCTTTGGGGCATTCGGAGCATTCTGGCTGCCCTACCCCGGCTCCTTCCCTGGCTTACCCTGGCAAAACCACGTGCACCTCGACGTGTTGTTGTCTGCTGCAGTGCTTGAGCTTTGCATCTTGTGTTTCGCGTCTTGCTGTCCTTTTGAGCTACACCCAAAGCGGCTCTTTCGACATGGGATTCGGCGCTCTGGAATCCCCCTCTGGGCCACAGGCGTCCTCACCCACCAACGAGTCCACCTACAATATCACCCGCAATGACACGGCCGATGGTTGATCTGTCGACATCTGCCCATTCCTACTGCCGCAGGATGAAGAAATGGAGGGCTCTTCCTGTGATGAAGATGGTGAGACTGGAGAAGAGAGGCCGGCCCAAGACATCTACCCTCAATGCTCGGAAGAGAGTCGCAACCGCCCTGCAAGAAAGAGGGGATAACTTCCGGGTGGGGGGAAAGCGGCGCTATGCCTGCAAGCGCTGCAACAAGCAAGGTCATAGGACCGATACTTGTAGGAAAGTGCTGGAGATTTCCGATGCCCCCTCCTGGTTTTGACATTGTTTTGATTGTTTTGAGATGCATTGGAAATTGGAATTGATGTTATGTTGGTGGCGAGACGGATGTTGCAGGTGGACATGGAAAGTGGAGGCAACAGTGGGGTTGATCAGGGGGTAGGGCAGCCAGAATGCTCTGAATGCCCCAAAGAGGCAAGTTGGCAGTTTAAGATATATTCATATTTTTGTTGGCGGTTTTAGATATTCCAAAGTAAAAGTTGGCGGTTTAAGATATTTTCTCTATGTAAAAATGCTGATGGGCAAAATTTAGAAGATCAAACTCAAAGACCCTTGAGGAACTTGAACTTGGAAACATGACTTTAAGGTGCTCTTTGGATCACCTTGCTTCTCATACCAAGTCTGTTGAAAACAGCAACCAGCTCCTCAGATCTCAACTGGAAGAGAGGGAGACTTGTTTAGTAGTGGCATTGCAAGCTCTATGAGAAGAGGCTGTAAAGGCACAAAAGGGACAACAAATATGGAAGAGTCAGATCCTGGCTGTTTCATTAATTCCCCAGAGGTCACAAAAGGCAGAGATAGATCAAGATAGTATTGTGAAGCAAAGTGGGGACACTACTGGTATGTGCTGAACCCTCAACTTGTAGTAAAGGTGCTTATCAAAAGGCTCTCAACAGCACACATGAGAAGAATCCAAGATCTGGAAAAGGAGGTAAAGAGTCTCACTCTAGTTTCAGAGAGGCAACAAGCTAAAACCAACAAATACAAAGAAAAGGTTTTTCTAACACACATTGTCAATTGAGATAGTGCTGACCATTGACAGTTTGATAAACTGAAACACAATGCCCATTGGAAGAAGGAGGGAAAGCTTGCAGCAGCAGCACCCATACCTGATCATTCTTTTAGTACTGAGAATAACTGAGAAAGATCCTGAGATATAAATTCTGTACTCGTATCCGCAGCCATCTCGATGATGTGGCCATTTCGGACATCACCGCCCATTATGTCCATGAACCCGTATCATGCAATAACTCCATAAATATTATACATATGCATTACAAATTTCACGAAGTCCTAGCTGGGCTCTGTAGGGATGCTTGCTGCTCGTTTGACTGCGCACCGGCGCGTCGAATACGAGCTCGCTTTGCCCGACCCTCCCTATTCTTCTCTTCTCTCTCTTTCCTCTTCTTCAGCGCTTCACGGTTGTCATCCCTATACTTGGGATCATATAGACGCCCGCCCGGATTCTGGACTGCCTTGCGACCTCCCCTGGTGGCCTGGTCCAGCGCCGTCGCTGCTCTAGCTTCCTCCAACTCCTTGTCCTTCAGCACAAGCTTTGACTTTAAGACCTCTGCTTCCGTCTGGGACTGCGTAAGAGCCTCAAGTAGGTCTAGCTTCCCGGTTCGAAGTGCAGTGTTGATCCTTCGGGAACTGAGAGGGGTTCGGGGGGAGGATGGCGCAGGATGGGAGGCCTGGGGGGGAGGAGTGGACGGATCATTGACATTGCCGAGGATGATCTCAGCGCTGAGAGGCCAGAGACCCGCCTTTGCCCATGCGGACCTGATCTGCCTATTGGTGGCAGTCTTCACCCATGCCTCTTGATGCCAGGCCCAAAACATACCCTTAGCCACCCGCCTTCCTTGGGAACCTCGCGAGTACTCGTCCAGCTGTTGGTGGTGTTTTAACTTCAATTGATTGAAGAAGTCCACGTCCAACGGCTGGAACTTGCCACTGAGCTTGGCGGGCAAAATGAGCACGCTGATGTTCCTGTCCCTGCAGGCTTCAAGGAAGTCGACCATGATGTGAGACTCATGCCCATCCATGATGAGCAGACGAGGATGACGACCGTTGTCTGCCGCTGGGCGGGTATGAGGGTTGAAGGCCTCCAAAAGCCACTTCTTCATGATGAAAGTGTTGGAGAAACCAGAGTCGGTGTTGGTGGCCAGCTGCTTAGCCTCCTTGTCCACCCCAAACCATGTTTCCATGAGTTTTGCCCCTTGATAGATGACAACAGGTGGCACAGGAGCGGAGGTTGTGCCGATGCAGGTGATGACAGAGATGTGGTCGCTGGTGGTGCTTCCCAGCGACCCTGCGCATAAGGCGCTGGCCCCCCCGGTCGAAACCGCACTCGTCCATGTTGTAGATACACGATGGGCGATAAACGTTGCTGTCATAGATCTCTTGGAGCTATAGATGCATCAGAAATGCCTCTGGACCAGCCAAATCACTCACAGTCTTAAAAAAGGCACGACAGTTCTCTCTCGTATTCGCATTTTGGCTGCCAGCTTCGGTGTAGCCGTAGAATTTCGAGCTCAAGTTGGCGCAATGACGCTCGACAAAAGTTGAGCCCCATCTCTCGCCCAGGGGATGGCCATGGAGAGCTTGCCCGAGCTCTCTTACGTGCGCCGGGGTCAGGAGGGTACCGCGGTCGGCATACGTGTTGATTTTGTCGATCAATTGCTTCTCTTGTATGACAGAAAGCTTGCGAGAGTTATTGGTGGCATGTGAGGCATGTCTTGTGGCATCGATCATTGAGAGTGGTAGGAGCGACCTTGAATCGATTGGCCACCTTGGCGAAGCTCTCTTTGGGATGCTCTCGCTTGTATTGGACTGCCGAGTCGATTGGATCGGCCATTGTCGAGGTACATGGAATGAAAGTATAGAGATGTATGGGAAAAATAAACACACACGGTGTTCGAGATGGCTACGTCATCGAAATGGCCGCGGATACGAGTACTGTATGATGCCAAGTAGCTACATCATCCTTCTATGTAACTGACTATGCTTCAAATGAGAATGTAAGCATTACCTATATACTGTGGCAATTGTGTATTTGTTTCATCAGCCTTCTTGACTCTGTTAATATAACTATTTGTAAGACCTTGTATTGAGAGAGTGCAGCTGTAAAGGTCACACCTTTAAACTTTTTTTTGAACTTTTCACCCCAAACTACGTTATCTACGATGCCCTCGGTCACCGAAGAACCCAAGCCCAACCCAACGCCTACCCCTCCGTTCATGTTGACGAAGAGGGGAACACTCTCGATGCTGCCGAGGCTATTGGCCGACCCTTTGTTGGCGTCACTCCAGAGGGCGCGATCATCCTTGGTCCTACTGTTCCTCTCCACTCAGATGGACTCTCCGAGCGCTCTCACAAGGACACCCCTTTCCCTCGTCACGACCGCCCCCCTCACGAGAAGCTGGCTGGCCTTACTCCCCTTGCCCCAGCATCCGAAGATCTATCCACCCAGTCTGCTCTTTGTTATAATGACTTGTGTGTCGTCATCCAGACGCTGCAGACCCACCAGGCAGATCTTCAGCAAGAACTGCAGCGAGGCCAAATCGACCCTCCCAAACTCCCACTCCTAGCCTCCCTCTGCGCTTCTCCCCTCGGAGTCGTGTATCACCTCCAAGATCTTGATCGGTATTTTGTCGACTATGCCTCCCGTTTCCACAACGGCAACCGCACCTCTTCTAAGTGGCAAGTCACCCAGGCCAACAGATCCATCGCCAAAATCAACACATACAAGAGGTGGTGTTCCTCTTCACTGACAGCGGCGACGGGAGGGAGAACGGCGGTAGTCTCAGTCATGCGCTAGCAGGACGGAAGAACAGCGGGGGACGGCGGAAAACGGCAGTGAACGGCGAAGGATCGAG